CACACACACGGGATGACTTTTCTTGCCACTGATTGACTTGACTACTTGACTGACAGTCCACCCTTCTCGACAGGATTTGTCCATTAAATCAAACCACCAAATCAAAATCCTTGCTCAATAAACTTTACCCTTCTTCTTCTCCGCCGCACTATTTATTTATTTATTTACAACTTATTAACTTACACATAATTTATTTACATGGGAGAGGCGTGCAAGCAACAGGTGAAGGAATCTCCATACGGGGACCCTCCATCCAGTCGGGGCACACCCTGCCCGCACGGCCCTTCGTATTGGATCCGGATCTGGCAAAAGTAAAGTTGAGATAAAATCTCACTTTGCCTGCACGACATTCCATTGTCTTAAATACATGGGCTTCACTTCTCATAGTGCAGCAGGAGCCGTGTGTGTACTTATTTATCTGTAGTAAGTAGATCGCTATCTCCACTTTTTGCCAATAAGTTGCTGATTTTGGGTAAAAATTCATCGCGAGTGCCGGAGGGGCACATATTTACATTCAGTCGAATAAAATGTAATGGTCAAAATTTTATACATGATTGTTGTTGCCACATAGACAAAAAGTTGTAAATAATTTTATGGTCAATCTTAATCTTGACTTGATAACAACAATCAATGAATGTGCATGCATACATAGAATTTAATGCATTATTTGATCGATCAGGGACACCCATGAAGGAGAAGAATTGAAGAATTGGTTGGTAGTGAGAAATGGAATGGAGGTGTGGGGAAATAATAATTCGCTTCCTGATATGTTCTGGGTTTTTGTGTGCATTTTTGTGTATGCTTAAATGTTTATGTATGTTTGTGAGCTATTTATTCTGCGTATCCAAATTGTACTCAAATCTTGAAAACTTGTTGCCCATTTGCATGCAAAATGCGACATTGTTATTATTATCGGCCACGGAAGATGAAGAAGAAAGTGAGTGATAGCAGTAAGCTGGTACCTCTATCCATCCATCAATCCAATCTAATCCAGCGAGTGGTTGGACCTGCATAAATAATTCGGCTGGGAACAGGGTTCCCAAGATGCTGAAGGGAGTTCAGCATAATATCACGAAATGCATGATAATAAATTCGGAGACAAACGAACAGTGACCGCGGAAGCGTCAGAGAGAGAATGTCCCCACGGTTATTCGATGTCCCATGGCCACGTTATATAAACCTGTATTCTACAATGTTAATGACCCCAGATGTCCCCAATGGGACGAACAGGGTCAAAATTTGACCCCCGGTTCGGTCATGGGGCAGCGAATCCCCTGAAGTAATTTCGCTTTTCCCAACATTTGACATTGTAATGAAATGTAGATAAAATAATTCTGGCGAGATTTTACGTCACATTCTGACCAAGAGTCCAAATTTGCATATTATTATGTAAACCCTGTCTGTTTGTTGGCCGATGAGTCGTTTCTGTGTTTTAGTGCAAAAAGTGGATTATGCAATTACACGATCCATCCACGATTATTGTTGTGATGATGATGAGGCGATAATCCGACAAGTGCATGCCCATAGGTCGGTGGGAGCATGAATAATAGAGTCAATTATACCAATTAGCTCGTACATATACACAACATTACATTTGAGTAATAAATAATTGCAACTGCACCAATCGCGGCTGGTTTGGATAAAGAAGAAACAAATTAATGTTCTCTCTCCTAACCCGGCAATAATGAAAACTAATGTTTTGCTTGGTTATTTTACCTGATCAATTATTTATTTTAGGTACATTTACAGACATTAATTTCATATTGAGTTGGGAATAAAATTTGCATAATTGTACCAACCATCAATCTCTAGAGATATTAGCATGTGAGGATTTTAAGGACGATTTTACTTTATGCGTTTGCCTTGATTCCATCATCGCTGTACGTACAGTTTTGGCCTTATCGATCTGACTGACGACGATCATAATCTCACTTTCATATTCCATAATTATATTTACTTGGTTGTAGTAGTGCTACGCGAACTTGTGTAAAGAGTTGAAATTATGTAATAGGTACGAAATTTTGCATATTTTTTTGCAACAGTGTTTCGCTAACAGGTATGGACCGATGAAATGGGTGAAGGTCAGTCAGTATATCCCAGAGACCAGATTATTTGGGGGACAAAATAAGTAACCCGGTGTCATATTTCGTACCGTTGGCTACTCAAATACTTGACCAACAAACATATTTCCAATATCAAAATGAACTGTATTTTTGACACTGTAGAAAAAATTGAGACACAAAATCCTGTCATTTTTACAAATGCACATATTCAATAAATAAAACCACGTGAATACGACAAAAAAATTCTCAGAATTTGTCATCCTCGACGACGACAGCATCGCCTCATGAATCTTTCTCACATTGTTGAATTACATAATAAAAAATGCGACCACGAAATAAATGGTGTCGGTTTAAAAACCTTTAAGCTGCTCTAATTACCATGTAAGTGCTGCTACGCTACACTATGAAATGAAGGCGATGATATAATAATGATGATGGGGCTGCATACTTATTGCACAATTAAATTCTATCGCCACGATTTTTTTCGCCACCCAAATTGAGAGACGATGACATTCGTCCGGTCACATTTCTTGGAAGTTATTGCCACTCAAAGCACCAACTAATTGCAGGTACGATGACGATGACCATCATTCTCATCTTACGTGACAACTAAATATCAACCTATGTACATAAGTAAGTAGATATTTACAAAATTGGGGATGGATGACATTGATACGTACATTTTTCGCTAATTTCGCTTCAATAATTTCCACCATAATAATTAAAATCTCTCAACCAGTTCACACCTCGTACATACTAAAAAACAATTAATTTCAATCGTTGTTTCCCGTACATCGATATAATTTCTCATGGAAAGATACAGATCACTTTTAGATCAACATCTTATGTAACACGTACAAGAAGATTATTTGTTTTCCAGGTGTACAACTTTGAGCAAAACAGATTTATGTAATTGGATGAGATAGCTGCCTCATCACCATCTAATCGTAATTGATTCTAGAAAACGAGTGGGTCTTCTTTTACTCCACTCATTTGCGTGACTGAATTAATTAATTGATTACTTTTAATTCCTGTTATATCATTTAATTCTTACATAAAATCAGGAAACATTGCATAATTGGGTGGTGGTTGTGACGTGATGGTTATCAATTTTGGGCAAAAACCGAATACAAAAATACTTACTTATGAAATTATTTAAATTTTGTTATTGCCTTAAATCTTTTTTCGATCGAATTATTATATAAAGTGGTTCGTTCATACTTGTTTTTTCATTGTTTGTTGTCGAGTTCAAAAGTCAGATGGATGGATGGACGGGTTTTGTCGGGTTGTGTGTCGTTATATAAGAAGATATCGATGGAATATTATGTCATGTCAGTCAAACCTTGAAATGAATGTTTGTGTCTGCTGTCTAATCATCATCTATCATTATTATGCTGGTAGATACTCTGTCCCACGTCCCACCAGAAAAAGAGGAGCAAATAGATAGTAATTTCTTCCTGGAAAACACGGCAAGGTTGAAATAATGGAAAAGCAGCAGACTCATTAATAAGGGATTCAATTCAACAAGGTGCAAATGGAATCGTGTGGATGAGGAAATTCTGAAATCGATTTCTCGCATTAGTGAGTGACCCACCAGGAGAAGGATAACGAACATTTGGTTGTCCTCATTATTTGGCACCACCACTAACGCCAAAGTATATATTATTTTTGGGGAGATGGATGTATGTCCACATAGTGGAAAAAAGGCAGGCAATCAACTATTATAGAGCTTCTGCACCCTATTTATAAACATAACATACACACGCACGCACGGAGGAAGATCACAAAAGTTGAAAGTCATCCCCGAATATAAATAAAAATGTTTGTTTACTTTTTGCTGTGTGGAATCATCACTTGATCCGTTGAAAAATTGAGGGGAGGGGATTTTTACTAATTATATTTTTATGTAGGATAAGTTTTACAATGCAGGATGAAAGAGGATTAGTTAAATAATTAAAAGTGGGGTAAATGAGAATTGTTTTAAAGGATAGATATAAAAGATTGGATATTTTAACAATTTTACGGTAAAATAATTATGTTCTCACCTTGGACTTTAATTTTAAAAAATTCCGTAAAATTTCGATAAGTCTTTGTTCCTCACAAATTTTTGTTCTATGCATATCTGAAAGTTCGAAATGGTTCGAAGTACTTCGAAGTGGGATAAATGTAATTTTTCATTTTCAAAATTTCACAACTTACTTATTTTCCTAGTTGATAAAATTCCCTAAAATTTAAATAACTCTATTCTCTAGCAAAATTCGAACTGCCACATGTCTCCCTGATATCCACGTAAAAAGAGTAAAACAACGAGTGAAAGTTGTCTCGTACACAAGCATAAGTTTTTACCAAACGACGCCTCATAAAAGAACCCTTCCATCATTATCTCCACAGCGAGACGTCCTTGCATTCCATCTCTGACACGTTACACGGTCCTCTGACAATAATAATAAATGACCAGCGAGAATTAATTACTCTCGTGAATCCTCCAGTCCACCAGAAATTGCAAAATCTCTTAAAAATTACACCCCTTTGTTTTACCACCGTATCGGTAAAAAATCAACAACTGCCTGACCCACATCTGCTGAGTCACTCTGATTGATTTAATATTTAAGTTGCACAAGTTGCCTGCTTGCATGGTGTGGTCAACCCATTGTTGTTTCGAGAGAACAATGTATAATGTGTGATCTGATCTGATGATACTCAACCAAACCAAGCCAAATTGGTGACTGAGATGAGTTTCAGGGCTGTGCGGGAGGGATGTCGCCTCTTTTTTGGGGAGGATATCTCCTCCCTTCGATAACCCGTGACCTTATCGAGGGCCGAAATCCGGACAAAACTCCGCCACATCCTCCCCGCTCGGACCCCTTAAACAGGAACGCTTCCTTTTGCTCGTACATATAAAAATGGGGTATAAATTCATCATCCCCTCCTCACCAACAACTAAACCATCATTAAACTCCAACCAAACCTGTTCTTTCCATATTAATTAATCTTGAGCACTTTGAGTAACGTGTAATGAGTGAGAAGTCAAATTTAGGAAAAAAAGCGACTCATCGCATGACCACGTATAAACCAAAAACCACAACACGGAATTAATTGAGCAAGGTAATAAACTCTTAATTGGTTTGGCAACTTTTAGTCCAAATACATAAGCTCAAGGAGAGAGAAAAAAAGCGTCGTCGTCTCACTCACCACCGAAAACTTGTCTCATTTGTCACCCCGTAAAAATCTGTAATGAGAAGTATTTAAATATAAATGTGTCCCGATTTATGACCACGACGATTTTTTTACCACTTTGCAAATAATTCTTTAAAAGCGGTTTGCCCTGTCATGGTAAATAGCTTAGTGTCCTCCAAGGTCGGACGTGATGGTGTGATGTCACTTTGCTAATAATATCCAGAGTTGAAATCGCTGCGAAGAATTCTGCAGGAATCGGCAAAAGCTGGATGCATATTGTAATCTGAATGTTTTTTGAAAATAATGTTGCAGACAACTTATACGTGTTTTATTCTGAAGAACGCTATGTGCATAATTGTGCATGGTTTCCTGCACAAAACGCTCAAGTTTTCCGTCAGAAAATCAGGACAAATTTCTGCATGAAAGCCGATTTTTACTCTGGAAAACTGGACAATGGATTTATTTTATATATGTATGCAGCTAAAAATAATGTATTCGCCATTTTAAAAATCCTTTATTCACGTTTCTCCTGGAATGTGGGACGACGACGCGACGAGATGGTCACGCTGAGCTATTTATGATATCTCTAAAAGGAAATGATGCACTATTTTCGTACAAAATAGGATACCCCGTCTCTCGCGAAAAGCTTTTAACAACTCGATCTTCTTCTTCTTCTTCTCCGAATGCGATCTACTTATGTGCATAATTCACTGTCTGGCAGCAGCAGCAGGAGCACCTTTTACTTTACCTGGCTTACGACATCAACAACTTTTCTCTCCCCCTTTTTAATAAGTTAATGTGTATTGACCCAGGGACGTGTGGGATGGATGATAAATGGGCGCAAAACACACTATGTACAACTTCTCTGTCCCAACCAGGTAAGTATTTACGTATAAACATACACTTTACGATGTCTACTAATCCATTACATATTTCGAGCAATGAAAACCCACCAGGGTTCCTAAAAATAGAACATATTTTTAGTCCAACTTTTACTCCATGTTTGGTATCAAAATAATTCATGGATGGGCAAAATACTTTGGCGAAATGCAATATTTTGAGTTCCGTTCCTCCCAAGGTTTGGATTTCTAGGGGTGTTACACCCACAAAAAGACGAGAATCTGCATGGAGAATACAGCAGTTGTACGAAATTAACATTTTATCTATGTCAAAATACATTATTTTCACGGCTTTCTAAAAATAATGTGTTTTTCCAGCGGTAAGAAATTAGTTTTTTCACAAAACCTGTATTTTCGCATGACTGTTGTATGCATGATTCTCATCTTTTTGTGGGTGTAACACTCCTGTAAATCCAAACCCTGGAAAATACAGGGATCAAAATTCTATGTACATGTTGCCAAAGTATTTTGCCCACCCATACAAACCACGCAAGTATAAAAAGGTAAGCAAAATGTTGTTAAATTGTCCCACACCTAAAATAAAAACCACGGCCCACCATTCATGAAACCCTTGTATGTACCAACCATCCGAACAAAACAGACCCCATGCAGACCACGAAACCATAACGTTTTCCCTTTCTCTCCTACTTTTCACTTCCGGTGATTTCCTCCTCACGAGTGCATGTGTATCCTGCATGTCGTAAAATGTCTCTCCTCCGTCGTATTTGCATGGAAAGAAAATAAACCTACTTTCTCTCTCCAGTTTCATATTGCATTACTTACGGTGAGAAATTGCATTTGTTATTATTGTTTGTTCTCACTCTGCTGAGAAAACCCCGACTGGGCGAGAGAAAGTCCGGCCACTTTCAGTTTCTCCTCATGCATATTCAATCCCGTAATACGAAACAGGCAGCTTTCTTCCCATCATCATCATCATCACTTTCACCGTTCCTCCTGGGGAAAGTTGCTGTCTCGTCGAGAAGTTTACGAGAGGAGGAGGTGTGTGTGCTGTGCGTGTACGTACACAAAATTCCATCTTTTTCCCATGCCATTTTGTCTTTGTTTCTCAATTTTGTGCAAGTTTTTTTTTTAGTTTCCTTGGTGGTGGTGGTTGGTGGTGATTTGGTGTCATCCATCATCACCCTTCTGCAGCCAGTCTCTCACCCGACTCACTGACCGACTGACTTGACTTATTTTTTATTCGGTATATCTTTTTTCTTCTGATTTTGAAACTTTTTTTCCAAACTCAAAATTTTCCGTGTGGTGAGGCCAAGTCGGGTGAAGTGTCGTTGTCGTCGTCATCGTCGTCTTATCGGCGTGGGGGAGGAGATGAAGCCTCGTGGCGTGGAGATTTGTCGACTGGGCGATCGAGGTGGAGGAAACCCGGAGCTCATCCATATGAAACTTTTGCTCGTGAAGGATCTCGAACTGATGGGACTGATCTGGCGTTTCTTCCCTTTCACGTACAGGACCATGGATCGGAGCGCTTTGTTACTGCAGGTAGATTTCGAAATGATTGTAGTTTTTGAAAATTAGGTTATTTTTTATTTTGGAAGGTTGGCTTATTTTTTTTGACTATCAAGGATGTGAAGGAACTTCGGAATATTGCCTTTTTTAAAATTTGAATTTGAAATTTGACTTTGAAAATTTGACATTTTTATTCATTCCATAATTCTCTCATATTTGGAGAAATTTGCATTATTTTTTTTCATTTCATCCCTGCGCAAATTAAATGGAACGTTTTGAATAGTTTGATGTAAGTAAACAAGGTCAATCATAAACGGTTTGTCGTGTCAGTCGACATAAAATCATGTCTCCAGAAATAGCACACATTTCATAACTCCAACTTCTTAACGACACCTAATCCTGTCCAAACACGTTTCTTGGCCAGAGGGGAAGGAAGTAGGGCAAAAATAGGTTGCATGTCGTTCCCTTATTTGTCATCATGTGCAAATGAGATGAATGAAAGTCGGTGGATTGAGACATGTAATTTTGCCTGGCTCATCCTACACGGACAAATCGTCTACCTACGAACCCCGAATTATTCATCCTATAAATAAATAAATAAATAACAAAGTTCTGTATGTAGCATGGTTTCCTCCGCTATTTCACACCCTTCATTAATTTAATTGGTTTTGCAGGTGTGTCGAGAAAGGAAATGGAAGCCCATGTCGGACTCGTCGACTGCAGGGGGAGGCGGTACGTCATCGATGTCAATGTCATCGTCATCCCCGGTGGCAGGGCCGTCAAGATCGTCGGGATCCATGAGTGGGAGATCAATTTCAGGCTCAATGTCAGGATCGTCCTCGGTGGCCGGGGGATCGAGCAAAGACCAGGAATACATGTGTCACCAGTCGTGGAACTTTTGGTGGCGAACGTCCCCCGTCAAAGTTCAAAATCGTCGCATGTCCACCAAATTGCATCTATGGCAAACGGTATGTATGTCTGAAAATGTAGTTTGGAGTATGTTTAACCTATAATTTTGTAAGTATTAATTATGCTAATCTTATCCCAGATTAATCACATTCCTAACACTGCAAATTACTGTAAGAAGGACGTCCTGGTCAGATACCTGCGTCGCATGGCGGGCACATATGGAAGTTTGTACGATTTCTGGTATGAACATTGATTATGTATTTGCTTTCTTTATGGAGTCCTTTGGTTATGAAAAGTTATGAAAAAGTTGCCTCAGTCTATAATAAAGCGGGCCCATTTTCTGCATTTTCACAACACGGGCCTCAATTCGCGTCAATTACTTGTGTAACAGTTTAACAAAACTTGGTAGTTTGCAATAACTTTAGTATAATAAATTTATTTCTGTAGCCCGGTGTCTTTCAACCTGCCCACGGAATACAATCAATTGGTCAGTGAACACAGAAAACGGAGAAGTAACCACCTCCAAAACTACTTGCTTTCATCGGACGACGATGAGGATGAAGACAAGCTGATTTGGATCGCAAAACCTGTGGGGAAAAGCCAAGGCAAAGGAATTTTTGTGTTTGAGGTACGCAAACATTGGTCAATATTTTGTCATGTATTGAAAGTGTCGGAATGCTTAGTTTATAATTTTTTAATGACTTACAGCGCTGCTCCGATTTGCGATACGATGCTCAGTACGTGGTTCAAAAGTACATCCATCCTCCATACCTCATCAACGGGTACAAGTGGGACTTGCGTCTCTACTGCTGCATCACGTGTAACAACCCTCTCACCTTCTATTCCTACGAGGAAGGAATAGCACGATTCGCCACGAGCAAGTACAATTTGACCGACCTCACGGACACTTTCTCTCACCTGACCAACTCGTCGCTCAACAGACAGTCGCCAGCCTATTACAAAAACAAGGACTCGATTGGCACTGGTGAACATTTTCACTTATTCCAACTAATTTTCATGCAATGGGCTTCCTTTTCATGAGTATAAATATATTTGATGCAGTGAATTTGAATATGTTTTCTCGATTTCCAGGGAGCAAATGGACCCTCTCTCAACTCCGGAGTTATTTCAAGCGACAGAATGTCGACGATTACGCTCTTTGGCAGCAGATTTGGTCCATCATGGTTCTCACCATTATCGGGGATGGCAAATTGATCAGTTCACAAACTTGGGAAGACAATGGGTTTCAATTTGTCGGGTTTGACATTTTGGTGGATGGCAACTTAAAGCCGCACCTGCTCGAGGTTCCAATTCTAAATGATCCACAAATTGTAAACTGTTAAATTTCATTACATTTTTGTGTACCTAGGTAAATCTCCATCCCGGCCTTGGCTCCGGCTCGTCCAAATGTTCCGTCGATGCCGACGTGAAGGTTCCTATGCTACACGAGATGTTTGACCTTCTCGGGTTCCCTGATGGACGTGAATATCCCGAACCCGCAATCCCGTCCATGGCTGAAACGACAAACCAATTGTGTGCGAGAATAATGAAGGCAGCTAAAGGTAACTGATAACTGTTTAATGTTCAACTTTTTTCACTATGACTTCAACCAATCATATTTTTTGCCTGGCTGGCTGTCAATAACGGTTTTAAAATGTGTTCAAACATTAGTCGTAATTTTTCTCAATTTCGTTTCGCAGGATCTGAGTCTCTCAATCGTACCTTGCTCCTCACTCCACTACCAGAAAGTATGCGTGCTCGAACGTGTCCAGTTCGCCACTTGACACCAATTCCGCAACGTCCTAGCACTTCCGGTGCACCGAAACCATCCACTTCTACCGTCACCACAACTGCCCGATCCAGCCTGTCTTCCGAGAATGGGCAACAAGTCATTAAACGACCCCTCTGCCTTAACAGTTGTAGTATCAACCCCTTCTTCTTTCAGAAGGTGAAGCCAGTCCCCATTCGGAAAAAAAATCGTAGCGTACTCGACAACGCAAACACCCGTAGTCGATCGCCGAATGACATGCGTTGGTTCTGTGACGATGTAACCAGCGATGAGGATGAGGACGACGATAAGCCCCCATTTGAGCCTGTGATCGTGGGGATTCCCGTTATGAGTAAGCAGTCTTAATTAATCCCTTTGTAATCTTGTAAATGTTGCAAAGTTCGCTTAAATCAGCATGAAACCTGTATACAGAGAAATCTGCTGCAAAATTGCTCCTCCCCATCAACGGGCCAGGAATGAGTTTCCTCCCTCGACAATGGTATCGAGATTCTCCCAAGACGTGCGGAAAGTGGGTCAGAATCTTCCCATTTGACAAAGTGACGTGCGCCTCGTGTTCCTTTACCCGACCGAATGATTCTCGTGACTCGATCAACAGAGTAAGTCACAAAATGATGTCACGTTATCCCACTTATTTATTTCTTCTTATCACAAATAATTTTCTCAGGTGGGATTTCACCTCCAAACCCTCCGTGACGTGATTGACCAAGCGCGACGACAGAGAATTCCAGCCCCACGGGAAGATTCTTATTATGATGAAAAACTCCAAGGCCAGTTTAATACAAAAATATGGCATCCCAGCATTCAAAACTAATTTTCTCTGTGATAAAAATAGCAATCAATCAAAGATTTTACTAATCATGTCTAAAATTGAACTAAATGTGTCCACTATTAGTCACCTCTGACTTAAAATTGTACTAAATCAACAATTATGAAATACCTATTTCCAAAGCTAATCAAAATTCCCAATGCATAATAAACAAAACTACAAACTCACAATAAACTTTTGATTACAAGAACTTTATTATTTTATATATTTCTTTCATTTTGAGATTAATATCACATGACGTAATATCTACGCATGCATATGTATTCGTTTAATTATCAAGTTAATTATTAAGTAATTAATTAAGTAGTGTAACTATTAAGTAATGGTTGTAAGGACTTATGGCAGGTGTGAGGTTTCAGGTAGATTTGGCGTGAAATAATTTTAATTGGTTGTATTTAATTGGTTATATTTTTTGTAATTACTCGGTAAGATTGCGTACGGATCAGGTAACGCTGAATAATAATTTGGTTGTACTATTTGCATAGATATCGTTATTATAATGATGACTAGAACTTACTTTTCTCTCCTACAATCTAATTAATTAATTGTTTAATTTAAGTACGTACGACTAGTAAGTGAAATACTCTTAAAGTCTTTTGTTCATCTAATTAAATAACTAACTGAACCAATTTGCTTTTAAATGGGATGTGGTAGTGGTGGGGATAGCTGGTGAGAAGTCCATTTGCATAGATACATTTACATATTATTACTATTGTTAATAAGTCCACTATTCAATTTTAATTAGTAATTATGTAAATACTAATAATGCACCAGAAGGGTTTGTTCAATAGTTCCTCCCCAATTTCACTAAATTCACGAATGCATAGATAAGTGTGTCGCGTGAAAGTGGGTAAGGGCTGCCAACGTGATAACACTTTTTAAACTATACTATTTAGATACATACGTCTTGGAGGCACGGTAAGGTGTGTAAAGAGGAAAAAAGCTAGCAAAATATTACATCAGTTTGACAGTCAAGTCGGCATCAATCTACATATCATCTTGTGTACCTATCGATCATTAAAGCTTCAACTTATTGCAATCTCTTCTAGTTTTCTATGTATATTGGAAGAAACTTCTTAAAGCAACGGATTAACTGATCTGGTTTTGTAGGTATTATTTACTCTTCTTTGGCTCGTGGAGTCGAATTTGGCCGTGGTGGGGACGAAGTTTCGACTCCATTTTTTGCACCATTTTCTACTCGAGGGGCTGAGATGGGGGAGGAGGGTCGGAGCATCTTGATTAGCCCGTTACACATTAAGGAGTACCAGTAAATTTGGGGGGCGATGGCAGCCATAAAGATAACCTTCCAACCCCATGGCATTTCCCAGAGGACCTGAAGAATAGACGGAATTTTTATTAATCGAATTTCTTAAGGAAATGTAAATTGCTTTTCAGTATACGTAAACAATTGAACAAATCGAAATTCATTCAGGATTATACGACTTGTTAGAATGTAGATTTAACGAAAAACGTTACCTCCATGAAAGTCATCCCACTCTGTTGCCCGTACAGATTGGCGGTGTAAAATATACTCGCAATTCGAAACACGGGGAAGAGGACGATCATCATGATCCCGTTCAAGTTGTAGATCGGGGAGGATTTTAACTGCAAAAAATAAAATATAAATTAAAGTCAACTTATTAATTAGTTGATTACATCATCTCGAACCTAACATACCTTAAACTTGCTCAAGATATAGCGAAAGGAGACGAAAGGCGTGCTAATTTCCATCATGTATACAACCCCCATGAAAAAATCCCCGTTACGAATTCCATCCCTGGCAAACTACAAGTACAAATAACATTAACAAAACATGACAAACAACCTTTAGAAATTTAATTCACATAATTTCAACTAACAACCAAAACACCAAATCCAATCGGGGCCAGGATCATATGATGAATCACAATGATGGGAGATCGGAAGATAAATTTGAAAAACCGTCCCACCATCGAACTCCTCTTATCCACCGTGGGGGACATTTCAGAAGCATAAAACATTGCAAAAGTATCTGCAAAAAAGTACAGGCAGCAGTTAATTACCAAAAAAGCTATTGCACATTTTGTTCACTTATTTAATAGTTACCAACCATAGACAAAATATGGAATTCCAAACCACGCATAGTCGAGCGTCATTGGATGTGAATCATACATAACATCTCGGTAACAGTTGGAGCAGACGATAAGTCCAGCCACTGAAGCAAGGACGGCTTGACCGGCAGATATCGCCCTGCAAAGGAATAGGAATTATTATAAAAAACCAAGTAAACCTGATGACAATTAAATTATTGTGCTTATCATACTTGACTGAAATATCGGTGCAGTCTTTATCCGTGAAGCCAAGCTTTTTACGAATCTGCGCCCCTACTGCGGTGTTAAACCAGACCCTTTGCAGGAGTAGGAGGGCGCCAGGGAATGTGACGCAACCCGTGATAAAGAGTACGGTTGCTCTACTTTGTGACATCTCGACCAAGGACGACATTTCTGCTATCCTTCAAAATCTCAGACTTTCAATTTCCTTTTTTCCTTCTTACAAGTTATTATAATATCTCAACGACAAGAAGACCGGGTTGAATTAATTCTTGCGAGGGGGTGGTTGGTGTCAGAAGGAATGATACACAATTTTTGTGGGAGGTGGCACCCTGCCTTCTTCTTCTTCTATACCCACCACCGACAAAGTAGGAGGGCTGATAATGGTAGCAATTAGCATAATAATTTCAATAATTTCTTTGAGATAAAGGCCATCATAGAAAGAAATCTCTCTCGGAAAGAAGAAGGGAATTATTGGTAAATTAATTTCTCGGTCGGGGCAAGGTTGGGTGTCGGGGTGGGGGCTTGGTGGGTGGTGGGTGGGTGAATCTCACGCCCCAAATGGCGACAACTTATGGTTATGGCGACAAGGCAAAAATTAAGGAGGACATGAATGATTATATTGTGGACACCACCAAAAGTGATATGCTTCCCGGACACATTTTCTCGAGGTGTGTAGGATTCAGATGCATGCATGTCATTAGTTGAGACTGCAACCACCACCACCACGCAGCGGTGCACTCAAACCAAAAACTCGGCTAAAAATCCTCCACTTTTTTACTCCTTCTGACGCAAAAAGAGTTAAATTTCGAATTGATGAGCGATATTTTTTAAGGAGAGGACGAAAACCACACCCACCGACATGGAAGAAGGAGACTTCTTTCAAGGAGGAGATGGAGGTGGTGGGGGTGGGAGAGGTTTTACCGATTTCAGTGACGATGTCGGACTCGGCCCGCCACCGCAGCACATGGGAAGCCCTTTTCGAGGAGGAAGGGGGGGTGGACCTTGGAGGTGAGATTGATATTAATGTTCAATTAAGGTAAGGGTGGAGGTTTTATGTCGTTAATTGGGATTTTTTAGGGGTGGCGGAGGTCGAGGTGGTCGTGGCGGGGGACACTTTGACAATGGTTTCGGGCCACGAGGTCCTCCACCGAGGGGTTTTAGAGGTGGAAGAGGGGGTGGTTTTGGTGGACCGCCAGGCGGACCAAATATGAGGGGTGGATCGCCCGGGCAGAGAGGTAATATATTTATAAACCGGTTAACTGGTGGTGTTAATTAATTGTAAATTACAATTTGTAATCTTTCTGATGTGCAGGATTTCGTGGTGGTGGTGGACACTTTGAGAGAGGAGGTAGTCCATTTCGCTTCCCACCTGGAGGACCAGGATGGAATGGGCCCCCACCGTTTCAAATGGTAATTTGTGAAATATTTTTATACTCGAATTGTAATTCATTTATTGGAATGTTCATACAAAATAAGCATATCTGCATGGACTATTTTGCGGCACTTGGTTATATTCATATTCGCATTGAATTTGTTATATTCTGTCCGGGTGAAGCTTAAATAGTAAATTGTGAGAAACCATAATTCTAAACTGTGAGAAACCCTGGTCTTAGGATAAGAGAGTTAAGGAGGCCGCTGGTTTATCACAATTTAGAATTATGGTATATCACTATTCACCCGCACAGCACAGCACAGAACAAATTCAGTGTTTAAACAAATGGTAATTATTTTTTAACTACGATTATTAAGGGGTGAAACCCCTTTATAAGATTGATAGGTCCGTCTGTCCGTGCGATAACTCAAGAACGGTTTAACATATTGACTAGAAATTTTGAACATAAATACTTCATATACAAACAAAGGTCGAGTTCGAAGATGGACCCTGAAGGTCACTCCCTTCAAGGTCAAAAGGTCACGAAATGTCATTTAAAGGTCAAATTGCATATATATATATCAATTTGACAGGAAATTTAACCCCGATTTCAATGGTCACATCCATTTTGACCTCATAGGTTATCTAAAGGTCACCTAGAGGTAACTGAAAGGTCACTAAACGTAATATCTGATACATATGTCAATCTTAACTGAGATTTATCTCCGAATGCAATGGTGACCTTTGTTTTGATCTCAAAGGTCACTTAGTGGTCACTAAACGTTATATCTGATACATATGTCAATTTTAACAGAAATTTAACCCCGAATTCAATGGTGACATTCATTTTGACCTCAAACAACATGAATTTATTAAATAACTGTTTGTTAACTGTTAACTGACACCATATGTTAAATTTGATACATATGTCACCTCACAAATGTTATAAAGTTCTCTGTTTCACCCCTTCGTTACATGCATTTAACGGTTTATTTATTTTCGTATTTGCAGGGCCCCGGGGGCGGAGGACCCCCCATGGAGAACTCCAATGAATCTGAGAGTGGACAGCAAATTTGGGCTGAGACTAAGACAGACACAGGGTCGTCGTACTATTACAATACAAAGACAAGAATTACGACATGGGAAAGGCCAGAAGGACCAAATGTTACAGTAATGAGCCACGAAGAGGTACGTATTACAAAATAACAAAGTTTTACTTATTAACACAAGCCAAGATTACTTGAATGCCATTATTTCTACGAATCAAAGAGTTCTGTACTAAATTTTACTCTATCATGGGGCTAAATGGTCGCATAAATTTAACACTTTTATGTAATGCACAGTGGACCGGAATGATTAAAGGACAAGGGGGTATGAATAAAGGGAAGTTCAGTCAAGAAAACCAGGACAATGCTGCCGTGGCTGGTCAAAACCAGTCTTCATCGCCTAGTCAAGGGGCTGCAGGTGAGGATAATTTTTAAAATTTCAATTTTACATTTCTAGGTTTCATCAAAGTTTTGTAAATTAAATATTATTCTGTTTGTCTACGTCTACAGGCAGTGACGAAAACGGGATTCGCCCCACTGAAGCGAAACCGCTGGATACACAGATGCGGAATCCACCCCCAATGTTGGGCTCTGCCCCTGGTCAGCAATCAATGCCACCAGGTTTCCCTCCTTTTGGTGGTATGTCCGTCCCACCTCCGTTCGGGATCAATTTTCCCCAGAATTTTCCTATGGTTCCTCCCCCATGGAATCCTATGTCTGGTACTGGGCCTCCTCCAGTCGGAGTTCCGCCTCTCCTGGGTCCCGCTTCTGATCCAATTCTCCAGCACGTGGATCCACTTGTCGTGGCAAGGGCATTCGAGTGGTCTGAGCACTACTCTCCTGAGGGGAAACCATACTATTTCAACGTAAAGACACAGACGTCGGTGTGGGTGAAACCAATGCCGATGATTGAATTAGATAGTGAGTTCTGTAACATTGCAATATTTTTATCTACTTTACTTAAATAATTTGCATCGTTTCTAGCCGCTAAGGTGATTGCCCAACAGCGCATCACGCAACAAAATATGATAAATGCGACCAAGGAGAAGGAGCGGAACGAAAAGCATGGAGAATATCGAGAGAGAGCAGAGGTGCGTAATTAACTTATTCAAATTCTACACTGTAGATAGAAATTGAAATATAATGATTATTTATTTTATCTTATATTTTATACTGGTTTAGGCCGCCACAAAAAAGTTGATGGCTTCGAATGACAAAGGAAAGCCGATCTCCTCCACCCCCGTGACGGGCACACCATGGTGCATTGTCTGGACGGGTGACAAACGCGTCTTCTTTTACAATCCATCTACAAAGTCTTCCGTTTGGGAGAGGCCACCAGAGCTGGCTTGTCGAAACGACGTAGATGAGCTGCTCTCGACCTGTCCTGCAGTCAAAGTTGTGCCCACCCTACCCGTTAAGAAGGCTGAGGCGACGAGCACATCAGAATCTTCGTCAGCAAATAGTGCGGGTGCTGCTGCTACTAGTACTGGAGGTGGAACTCCTGCTACTGGGAGTTTCTCAATCACGATTAGCCCAAACGTGGCTAGTTTGGACTTGACCCCAAAACCGGCCGGGGTCGTGGGTGAGAAAAGATCACTGGATGGGACTGAACCACCAGGAGAGGCACCACCGCCAGAGAAGAAAATCAAGACGGATAGTCAAGAAGAGGAGAATGAAGATGATGAAGGTGGAGAAAGTGACTTTACTTACAGAAACATTTTCAACAAATTATTTGCAAAACGTTGCTAATTGGATAGATAAGGCGTCCACCAATTTCCGTTAATCACAAAAAATGTTACACATTTTTTTCTATATTTCCAGCCGAGTCACAAGATAAAGAAATCATCACCATCGAAGATAAGGATGACAAGGATGTGGACAAAGATGCTCCCAACAGTCAAGGAAGCACTCTAGAATTTGAGGTCAAGGCGGCTCGAGAACGAGCTATCGTTCCCCTCGAAACACGTCTTCAGCAGTTCAAGGAGATGCTGATTGAGAAACAAGTCTCGGCCTTTTCCACGTGGGAAAAAGAACTGCACAAAATCGTCTTCGACTCACGCTACCTCCTCCTCACATCCAAGGAGAGGAAGGCTGCATTCGACGACTACGTCAAGGAGAGAGCATTCGAGGAACGCAAGGAAAAGAAGGCACGGCTCGCACAAGTCAAGGAACGTTTCATGAAGTTCTTGGAAAGTGTCCATGTTCATCCCAAGTAAATCATAATTGACTTATTAAATTAAGTTTATTGAGTTCAAGTTTTGACATAAATTCAAAATATGTTTCCATTTTGTATTGACCGTTAAAATTAGAACTTTTTTTACCATGCACTTAAAGCGCCTCCAGATTAATTAACCACATTACTTAATTTTATTGCTCTTTTTTAAATTTTAGGATGAGTTATAACGAATTATCGCAAAAGTATAGTAGAGACGAACGTTACAAGTCTGTAGAAAAATCTCGTGATCGAGAATCCTACCTGTCCGAATATATTGCCGAGTTAAAAAAGAAGGAGAAGGATGCTCGGAAAATGGAGAAAGATAAGGTTCGCCGCTTACCATATCTGCTCTTCTTATTGTTAGTTGTGATTATATTCAATTTCCTCTCATCAGGTAAAAGATGATTTCCTCTCCGCTCTACAAAAGTCCATCTCCGATTACCACATAGGGTGGGAGGACGCTCGAGAAATGGTTGACAGCTCCCGCTTTGATGTACTTGCCAGTGATGAGAAGGCTGAATTGTTCCGCTCGTTCCGCAAACAGCTCAAGATAACCACCAAATCGAGAGACCGTAAGAAGAAGAAGAGTAAGCGGGAGAAGCGTCGACGTGAAAACGAGAAAAAGCAGAAGGGATCAGATGCACATGGAGGGAAAGATGCTAAGACTGTAGTGGACGACAATGGTGAAATTGTCGAGGAGGAAGGCACAACGCCCGACTCGGAGAAAGCTGAGGGTGGAGAAAGTGATAAAGTAGAAGACATTTCGGTACAGCATCATCAATTTTTTTATTGCATAATAAAGTGGGAACTTAGTGAAAACTATTTCTCTACTGTCGCCATACAATAAGTATTGGACATTTAAACGAGTCGTTTCTTCCATAGGATGAAGAGGAGGGTGCCATCACCGACGACACCGAGGACGAAGACAGGATTAAGAAGGAAAAAGCTCAAATTAGTATCCGTGAGCGGGAGAAGGAAGTTCAGCGAACGCTGGCCACACACCTCCGTGATCGTGACAAGGAGCGAGACTACTACCGACACGAAGAAGCTGTTCAAGAATGCCAAGCCCTCCTCACCGACTTGGTCAAGCTAAGCGAAACTACATGGAAGGATGCAAAGAAGGCGATGAAAAGAGATCGGAGGTGGGAACCCATCTCGTTTCTTGACAAAGAAGAGGTGGAACTCTTGTTTAATCAGCACCTGGAAAATATCGAAAAGAAGAAAAAGTTTCGATTTCGGTAAGTTCAAGTTATCTAGACGGTAGTATGTTTGACGTTTCATTGAAGTGATTACCATTTTTTCTATTTTGGTAATTAGAGAGTTGCTCCGTGAGAACAGAGTGAAATTGAATTCGTCATGGAAAGAGACACGACGCAAGATTAGAGAGGATCCCCGATTCAACAAGTTTTCGACAGATGATAGGGTACGTCCATATTTGTGTTTATTCATTTATTCATTACCATTATGAACATTTTTAATCATCGTGCTATTTTTTACGTAGAAATGTGAACGCGAGTTCACCCTGTACCTCAAAGATCTGGTCACTAGTTACAAAAGTGACTTCCGAATGTTGCTTAAGGTTCGTAAACTTTAAAATATTAACAAACCATTGATATTTTTTTAAACTATGTTGATAATATTGATAACTCTAGGAGACAAAAATGCTTACCTACAAAACGAAGCAGCTCGTTCGTGAAAATCCCCAAATGATGCGGGACATTGAAGCAGTACTCGAAAAGGATAAGCGCTTCCTCAATTTGGAAACGATGATTGATGAGCGTCACCGACTGATTGTGGATTACATTGAGGAATTGGGGCGACAGGTAAACAAATTTTGTTACTAATTTTGACCAATCAATTATATTACTTGAATATTTTGTTAATCTGGTCTTTCTTCCAGGGCCCTCCTCCACCACCCACGGCTCCCGACAAGGTCAGCCGCAGACTTAAGTAGAACGACGACCACGACGGACGAAAGAATTTATAGAATAAGACTTGTTAATTTTTAAGATTGATATGATGAATGACCTGTTGAGTTTTCCAGTTTCAATTCCAATTTTTACATTTTTCATGTAACAACTTAACTTGCTTGTTTAGACTCATTTAGATAATAATTACTATATTGCTATGTTTTACCATTGTCCAATTAAGTCAGTATTGCTGTATTTGGATTAGACTAAAGTTACATAAAGGTAAAATAGCTACAATGAATAAAAACTACGCAAGTGGTTGGAAATTATCTATTAGTCGTCTTGCCTCAAAACTTAGCATACGGCACTCGTGAGACTTTCTGAATCTGGTTCACGCAGCGGTAAGTCAGTCGTCTCGCATCCGTCTTCACGAGTCACAACTATACAACTTTACTCGAGTCATTTAATTAATTAAATACCAGGATAAATAAATCATCAATTGATGGATTACAAAATTCCGACGAGGCCCAACCGCCTCGGCGTGCCGGCCGGTGGGCGGGCCGAATCCACCGCTGTACGACCTTCAACCTCCAAAAGTACCCCTGTCCCAGTTAAGACTGAACCTGACGTTCCGGTGCAAGAGTTTTCTCTCAGAGTTCCTAAGTAAGTACAATAGATAAGCCTTAATTATAAATGAATTGGAGACTGATGGTGAGGACCTTTTAATAGGAACAACGTTCGTCCTGTGTCAATCATGCGGTTTAACAAGGCTCTGGGCGTCGATCCCAGCAATTGGACTAGTGTCAGGATGGCTCGGGAAGATAATTCACGACTTCACAAGACCGTGCAGATCTTACCAGATGAGGAAATGCCAAAGTGAGTGGAGCTATTGTGTATTTTTGGTGAAAACTCGTTATATTGTATTAAATAAAGTATCAATTGTTGTGCACGATTTTTGTCGTTTGGTAGTTAAATTTTCACATGTTATAGTTCTTGATTTTATTGTTTTTATTTTTTAACCCGACAGGTTTGGCGCAGGGTCAGAATATGGCCGTGAAGCGAGAGAGGAAGCCCGTCGCCGAAAATACGGTCTCAACCGGAAGAAGTACAACCCGGACGATCAACCCTGGTTGCTAAAACTTGGAGCGGGCGATAACAAGGCGACAACGAGAAAGTTAGTGTGCAATCATTATTTAAAAATATTTTCTGACCTCACAATCACCCGACATATTTATCGTCCAGGTATAAAGGTGTCCGTGAGGGTGGCGTGTCTGAAAATGCTTCTTACTTCATCTTCACACAAGCTCCAGACGGTGCCTTCGAAGTCTTCCCGGTCAACCATTGGTACAACTTTACGCCGATCCAGCGATACAAAAGCCTAACGTCGGAAGAGGCCGAACAAGAATTTGGAAGGCAGGTTATCAAATGCTAAATTCATTAATTATCTATAGTGTTGTTTAACTATAATCAAGGTTATCATTACACTTTCAGACGAAACAAAATTATGAACTATTTCTCTGTTATGGTTCGACGTCGGATGCGAAATGACGACGACGTGGAGGAGGAGCCCTTGCCGGGCATATCGTCAGGAAAGAAGGGAGGCAAAAAAGGTATGTCATTGTCATGTTTGGAGTCACGTCGAATTTTTTTATTTAACGCTTTGCCTCATGGAAGGTGCTACCCTCTCATAACGGGAATATGCTAAATGCTGTAGTAAAGGGCGAATTTTATTTTTTTGCAACATGCATATTTTGTATTACCGTTGCACCAATATTGGTGCAACGATAATACATAATATGCTTGTTTAATCGAAATTTTTATGTAAAAAGTCGCACTTTTGCCTCAAAGAAACTTGCCTCTCTTTATCAAAAATCACGGTGCTGCTCCTCCGCCACTTACCTTTTGTAGTGTGGAAGGAGAAAGAAGGGCTGCGGCCTCAAAATCTTATAACATACCTTGACAAGTACCCATTTTTCCACAGTTTCCTCCGACCTGAAAGTATCGGAAATGGAGGATTGGGCTGAAAGTGATGATGAAGAAATGTCTGACGAAGGAGAAGATGCTGATGAAAAGCCCAAGGACAAAAAGAGTAAGATGAGAATTTATAATAAATTAGTCACCTTGATAATCACATTCCTTGAAATATGTAGAAGGTGCTACCGCCAAAGGAAAGAAAGCGCCCCCTAAGAAGAAAAAGAAAGGGTCTGACGACGATGAAGGACTCGAAGATTCTGACGATGGCGACGAGGAGGGGAGAGAGCTCGACTACATTTCCGACACGTCGGGGTGAGAGTTAGCTTATCTTGTGTAATAATTGTAGATAATTTAATTGATGTGTAACTGTTATCAATTGAATTGTGTATTTAGATCTGCCGACTCTGAGCCCGAGAAGGAGGGTGACATTAAAGGTGTCGACCAGGAGGAAGCAATGCGTGACTTGCTCGAATCTGGGTCAGATTCTGAAGAGGAGGGAAAAGGAGAAAAGAAAGCGTCCGATGAGGGTCCGTTAATTATATTAACTTTGGAGACTTGTGTTTACTGACATCCTGTAATTTTTGTTCTTTACCAGGCGAGGATGAGGCTGGCCCTTCCACCTCAAAGAATAACGAGGAACAGGCCGAATCCACGGATAAGAAGAAGAAAAAGAAGAAAAAGAAAAAATCAGAGAGGAAGGAGACTGAATACTTGTCTGATGATGGAGAAAAGAGTGACGATAACGTCGAGAGCAAAATGGACCTTGGTCTAGGTAAATGTGAAACTCACTTTTCATAGGACTTTGATCTTGTCGTCTTGGTTTTGTGATTAACCTGATTCCCTTCTCACCCAGACTCATCTTTCGTTAAGACTGAGCCGGGGACGGGATCGGATGGCAAAGGGAGCTCATTTGGAAATCTTGGTGACAGTGAGAGTCCCAATATGACCGGAAAGAGGAAAGCCAGTTCGGACTTGCTCAACATGTCGTCATCCTCCAATAAAAAGCCCAAGATGGAAGTTTCATCAATTCTGATCCAGTCCGCAGCGTAAGATAACATACTTACCTTATGTCAATTCATCATCAATCATGTCATAAAGTTAACTTGAGGAAGTAACCATTATGTATTCATCTCGCACAGGGCTGAGGGGATCACTGAAGAGGCTGTTCGACGCTATCTCCTCCGTAAACCAATGACCGTGACCGAACTGTTGCACAAGTTCAAGTCCAAGAAAACCAAGATTTCGAGTCAGGACATGGTCAACGTGGTGGCGCACATCCTCAAAAAGATTAACCCCGTCAAAAGGAACCAAAATTCAAAAATGTACCTTTCTCTCACGGCTCCAAAGCCTTGACGATACATTCGAAATTAACATTTTTCAGGTCCTTAGGAAATATAATTATTTTCAATTTTGCATAAATTTATTATGTAATTTATTCACCTAAAATTTCCTCATGATTAAATCGATTACTTAATCACATGGATGTATAAGAATCATCACAATATTGTGAACGTTTTCATAATTGCAAATAAATGGGGAGTGATTAATGTACGTTTTTAGTGTTTGTTAATTGGTGTCAATTATACATCCTGCTTTGTTTTCATAAGTCGGAATTTTGTATGGAAATGGCATAGGTGGAAAATGTTATTCAGAGATGCATTTACTGGTTTATAATTAGAATTGTGCATAAAGAGGAAACATTATTGTCGATTTGCAAAATTAAATAATTATTCGATTTAAAAAAAAAATAATTTGTAAATATGAAAAATTTGCATTTCAATTCTTTTCTGATTAATTGTTGTTAGACTTTCATAGCCCCGATGCACCATCGCGGCGGCGTTCTGAGCCCAGTTTTCACTTTCACCAACCCAAGTCATTTCGAAGTCATCATTTTGGGTTGGGTGGGATTTAACATTTACACGACCTTTGACCTAGCATTACAGTAGTTTAAGTATAAATTAGTAGTATTTTCAGTACTTTTGATGAGAGCTAAGTAAAATTCTTCGTGTATAATTTACATTGATTGATTGGAAAATTGCAAACCTTGAAACACTAAATAGCCAATAACATAAATACAAAATATTAGTCGCTATCAACTCGTCAACACGGAAATTAAACAACTTCACTTAGGTCACATAATTGTCAAAATAAAAACAAAAGGTTAGAAGTAATGAAACCGGTAAAAGTAATGGACGTCATGGGCGAGGCTATTATCACCACCACCTACAAGAAGATAAGATAAAAGTTCACCTCTTTCGACATCAAATCAATTGCTGGAGAGGGTATGGACAACAGCTTCCTACTCTTATAGTAATTAATTAATGGGTCAGTAATTCATTAAGTGTGAAAAGCAAAAGGTGATTTAATCCTCACCAGAAGAAAGATGTCACAGAGATTCTTATCGTCATTAATTATTCAACAAGTCACAAAACACAGCACAGTATTTACCTGAAGAACACAATTACATAAAAAATTGTATAATCCGATGCAACAAGGAAGTATTAGAAAGAAAACCGCACTGCTGCGACGAAGGCTACACACATAATTACAAACCATGGATCATTAAAGGAATATATCCACCTGCGTGGTTTTCCAACAACTCAAAAATGTCGAAATATTCAAAAAGTTGGTTCGACTATAAACGACTTTCTGACGCCAGCACGAGCTTGGATGGGGTCGATTTCAATTCGACCACCATCGGCAGTAATAAGGACCTCCTTCAACGATGCAGCGTTATCCGAGTTCCGTTTCGCAATGTGAGTCGCGATTTATTAAAGTTAAACTCAGGACTAAATGTCTTTACATGTTTTTGAATATTTACTTTGTTAATTTACTACAGCTTGCCCGGGCCACGGTTTCTCTTCCATTGGGAGGGTAAGTTTCTCCAACTTTCAATTTCCGCCGTTATATCTCGTTAAGTGTTTTGTTTTTCATACTACATTCCAGATTCATCTTTATTGTCATCTGGGCTATGCTTACTGACTTGGAAGCAGCCACCTATACACATTGTGGGGTAATAATTTAGCATAATACACATCATGCAATTAGTTAAGTGTTTGGATTATTGCTAATGTTATGCTAATTTATCCAGGTCAGAAACTACCTGCCCTCCCTGTCAGCCGCGATGGGTGGCTTCTCTCTGAGCCAAACAGTCTGGCGGGTTTGCATCGCCCTCCACGCCGCTCCGCGTTTTATTGTCACTGGTAGCAAAATAAAATATAAATTTATATTCCGTGATGATAACCACTCGCCATCTACATGTCTAATATGTTTAATTTAGGAATGTATTATCGCTACCTGAAATCTATCGTGTTTGGCAGACACGTAATCTGGGCCGCGACCGCGTGTTTGTTAAACGTTTTAGAAAATCTTGGACTGATCGGGTTGACTTACGTTTCATCAAAGGAGAACTATAGTACGGGAAGGATTTCACAATTTTTCTAAAATTTTGATACGATTTTGGTCTTAAAAATGTATTTATTTTTACAGGAATCCATGAAAAGTGCTTCATAATTTTCATGGTGTGCTCAGAGCTTTACATGGTGATAATGTGTCTCCTCCTCCACCGGTGTCGCAACATCCCGGCGACGCTCCTCGAGAGTAAAAGTCTTCGTGTCAAGGTCACCCTCGTTCTCGTTAATCTTGTCAGCTTCGCCCTGGCCGGATACACGTTTGTTCGCCACAACGCCTACTGTGAGGAAGGAAGTAAGCGCGCAGCAGTTTACTGGTCATGATGATCAAACTATTTTTATGTATATTTTTTTGCGATTGTCAAATCCAGCTTAAAGTTTCAATTGTTCTTTCAGTGTACACCCTGTTCGCATTCCTCGAGTACATCGTGATCCTGACGAACATGGGTTTCCACATGACTGCCTTTTGGGACTTTTACGATAAAGTGATCACAATAGGTCCGTGCGGACTGGGTTTGAAATTACGTTGAAATGAAATTACGCACAAAATACTCACACAAATCTCTCTAACTTTTCTAAATGCACAATCTAATCTCCACTAAAGTCTGCTCTATACACCTTTAAACCTCAATTAAACTCAAAACTACACTTTGCTACAATTAATGTAATATGTACATGCTTAATAATTTTCCGCTCATGCTTCAATTCTATTCTAAAATGATCCCTGCCTTTTATGTACTTAATATGCCAAACAAATTTACTCGAATCTCACATTACTGCCTCACGTAATAACAATCAATGCTTTCCTTTGGGGAGGTGTACTCACTTAAATCAAGTTTGATGTTCTCTTATTGAATAGAGGATGATGTAAATATACTACTTTGCGAAATAAGGCATGTCAATTTTTATGGAATATATATGCATGTTCCTAATTTCGCTTTCTTTATTCAATTTTGACGTGAGTACGCTCTTCACTGATTTCTCGTGCTACAACGAAACTAGACTAAAAAAACTAAACTGATGTTAAGCTCAATCTGAATTATTTCCTTATTTTTCCTGGTTATGAATATAATTAATTTAATTGTTAAATTATTATTTTATTCATTTATCTATTATTTGTTACAATTTATTATAGATCTTTGCAATTTGAATCGTCTCCGTACCACGTTGAACCTGAACCTTCCCTACTAGATGCCAAGGTCCCACCAAAGATATAAGGAAGCAGGACTTTACCCTTGACCTCCACCACCCATTGCCACACTGTGTTGCCATTATTGTTCTATATGATTACCGATTCAAGTCAAATCCACTCCTTGTTCTTCACTCGTCATGGAATGGAATGGAATGTGTACCTTAATTGTTGTTGTTTGCTGTTTGCTCATTCTCCAAAAAGGACTTTGTTGAATGACGCTGTCCTCTTCGCGTGCTGTGATGTTATCCTGCTTTGTTTTTTGCTATACATAATCCTAGAATTGGATTGAAGATTTAAGCGACGAAACTGGATTTATAATTCTATTCAAACTAATAGAAGTGATAATTTGTATGCATTCATATTGATTATGTTTGTTACTTAACTTTGCACCCATCCGACCATACATATTTGTATTACGTACATGTTGTTACATTATTTTGAGATTAAGTATTTGCCAAACTAGGAAACCTATGTAATAATTGATACAGTATTTTGAAACATATATATTGTTGTATTTTATATTTAGTGCTATGACCTCAAGAGTATTTAAGAGGCACGATAGATAATTAACTTGGACCTTGGCTTTGATATGTATTTAGTTTTTCTACGCTTGTTGTTGTCTTGCTATCAAAATGTTTAGTTTAGTTCGTTTGTGCCACACTTTTTGATCGCATGCCATAATTTGCCTTAAATTCAATCAAGGTTTAGACTGATAAAAGTATTATTAGAAAAAAAAATACCAAACACCTGTGCTTCTATCGAGTATCTTCTCGTCAGTGAGCGAAAAGATGATTATAAACAAGTCGTAAATTTTCCAAAGTATTCAGAAAACAATCGGTTCGTTATTTCACGGATTTTTTTATCGTCAATTTTGCACCTCAAGAATTTGGTTTGTATAACGATTAACTATGTACGAGGAAAATTTGGTCAGCTAAAGCGGTGCATGTAAAATGTACAAAATTTTATCATACATGAGAATTTATAAAATTAGTACAAAATCAAAACCATTCTTGAGGTGGAAATGACTGAAAAAATATCATGAAACTGTGACCCGGTGCGTTTTCCTTTCACAAGTTTCACAAGTCTACACGACACATTCCGATTCAAATAATTCTATTACATACAAATATTAGTGAGATTGATACTAAAAATGTGGTTGTGTTAAAAAATGGCTTACTATTAATAATTAACTAATTAGCAAAAAAAAACTGAACTGATGAGTGAGCGAAAAAAAGTAACTCAATTAAATTTTTCAGCGATAGCTTTCAACCCTCCATTTTTGCAGGTTATCACAAATTGAAGTCTTAATTGTTAAAATATATTGTTTGATTTGAATATTATTTCAATTTAGATTTAACCCCTCGTTCGTGCTTGTCTAGCTTAATTTATATTTCTAGAGACTAAAAATAGTGTATACAGATTGAAATTATTATAAACTGTGTTACATCAATTTCAAAGTGAGTGAGATTTTTGCCGTTTCCAAAAAATAGGTAAAAATATTAAATCGTCATCCAAGTATTACTCAAACAGACTCTATAATAATTCTAGTGAAGAAAACATTTACAAATTTTACTTGTCTCAAAAGATTAGTTTTCAATCTATTTAGCAAAATTATTATAGTATTTGCAATCTATCTTGAACTTGATCTTGAATAAAGAATAATTTACATGATACTTATAACTCAACAAAACTCTGTTTATTGGTCGCAATATCACCATTGTGATTACTTTGTGATTACTTTGCGTGGGGGAGCGTTGTGTAGGACGGACTAACTGATAAACAAGAGGGAACCGTGCGTAAAGCACATGTCGAATTTTCGACTTAATTTGACCCATGCGCCCTTTAAGGGTTCCGGGCTTATTGTCGCCAATCTTATCTGGTCGACAACACATTTGTCGACACGTCATATTAATTTACAGGGAGTCCAAAAGTGCGAATAAAGTGGGATTAAATTCTTACTGATCCTGTACGGTGCCGTAACCTCCCCTGAAGCTGACGACGGCCTGAATTAGCCCCCTAAAAAAAGCGACGCCATCCTGCCTGCAAATCTCCCAAAGTAAACCTTGCCTTGGTTAGATTATCGTCAAACTCATTGTCCACTGAGGATGAGTAAAGAGAAATAAATTGTGTGATTTGTGAGAAACCAGGTGCATTTACTAACAGTAATGTTCACCATCCGTCATTCATGATACAACCAACCACCACAGACCAGATCCATCCTGAGAGAAAATTAAGAACAAAGGAATAGTGGAAAATAACAAACAACAAATTCTTCCTCCTCTCTGTTCAGTTTACTTACTTGACTTTGTGTCGTCAATTACAAATAATAGCATTTTCTGGTGTGACACAATGAGATCCATTCTATTATTCGGGTGGTGGTGGTGATGTGGTAGTGATTGTTGGATTGTTCGCTTTTTCGCGTATTGTGAATAAATAGTTGAGATTTTCTAAAAATGCCTAATTTCATGAATTGACTAGATGATGGGGACGACGAGGGTGAGGTCTGTCTGTCGATATGCTACTAGATATTTATGCGGATGGATGAAATAAAGAATGTCATGGATTTCGTCGCCCACATTAAGTCGCCACTTGGTCGAAGGGTGCTGTTTTAGAGGACGTTCTACGTATTCCACATCCCTCCCGCACGGCCCGGGGTCTCATTGTCCCGTCCGAAATAGTGGCAGGCAGGCGAAGGAGAATAAGGATCCAGTGACCGGAACGATTTAAAACCGTTGATGGATGAGGTTCTCACTTAACTTTACTCACTTACCTCATGGACTAAGCGAGTTAAATCCGTTGTTTAGCCAACCAACCACCAGACCAGCAGACGTTTACTTGCCTAGATGCATAAATATTTGGCTGCATACATACTTTTGTTAGGGCTTTTAAATCCTTTAATCCTTTCATCAGACAGAGAAGAAGAAGAAGAAGTGCGGTTACGTAAATAAAGAATAAAGAATCGGGCAAAACCTAACCACTGACTGCACTACCCAGCCTACCAAATCGTACCTATTTGTCTCATTCTGCCTCCTGAGATCGGCTGGTGTGTGCATTTTAGTCGACTAAATCAGTCCCACAGTCAGTTGTGTTGGGATTAATGCTTATTGTTAAAAATATTTTGGGATTGAATCATCACTGACTTTTTTCAGTGAGAAATATTTATTATTTGTGTGTACATAGTGACCATCATCACTTTTGACCAGAGTCGGGGATGAGTTGGATGACCAGTGCAGTGTGTAGTTCGGTACCGTGCAGAGCGAATCTGACGCCACAGCAGGCCACGCCACGCCATGCCACCGACTTGATTTTATTGTGCAACATTTAATCAGCAGACATTGAACGGAAATGAGAATATTGTTCAAAAGTTGAGACATTATGTGTAAAATTGAGAATATTGTTCTGTTCTAATTACCCTTTGTCTCATTGCACAAACAAACTCAGGTTTTTGGTATGATTACGTTTTGCGAGTGAAATATTAATATGCAACTTTTTGTATTTGTTAAATTCAACATTATTGCATGAAAGTGGCTTGCGTTCAGTTTGTTTTGAGAGGTTCGTTGGTCAAGAATGCGAAGGAGCTAGAGGAGGCAATTGATACGTAAAATTGGAGGAAAATAAGTTTTGGAAATGAGAATCTTTTAGTTTCTTGGAAAAGATTGACATTTCCTTCAGTGGAAAACTGTAAAGGTAAGAAATTTATATTTTTAATGGATTATTGTGAAAACATTTTCTGAATTTTGAACAATTATTACAAAATTTTAGATATGAGGGGAAATTTGGTTTCGAATTATGTAATCAATGAGATTTTAAACAAAGTATGTGTAAAAAATCATCTTACTTTTGGTATCATGAAATCAGATAAAAATTTGCAAGTTTTTAGCCGATTTTGATAAGTATTTATTCCTGGCTCTCAATAAACCTCATATTACGTTTGGCATCATATTTGTATCAGGAAAAATGAGACAAAAATTGACCGATTTTGATAAGCGCTTATGCCTAGCTCTATAAATCACAGAATTGTTAACCTAAAGGATTTTAACACGTGGTTATCGTCATTGCAAAGATAATCATAGTTTAAAAGTCAGAATTAATTTTGATCTCGGACTGGATCACAAGTATGTAACCACCATAGTCGTTTACATCCTTTGATACCCCTGCTGGTAATAAATAATAGTAATAATAACTCAGTTTTTTGACGCCGCTTCAGAAACCCAGATCATCTTGAAATCTAGAAAATAACCTAGTGAATCCATGTCACCCATTTATTTCGACCATATGGCACCTTTATCACGCAATAATAACTACGCACCATACACACACACGAGCCCATTGTTGACACGGATTGTTATATTGTTGTCCAAATTATAAGGATTCGAGGTGTAAAATTGAGCAGGTATATTCACGAGGTGACCTAATCTTACTTAACACTGATTCCGGCTGTGAAAATTATATATTTCCGACGCGTAAATAAGTATCATGAGGGAGTCGACATTGAAAATCGTTTCCATTTGAGGCATGAACTTGGGAATAAATAAGTCATTAGGTTTACAATAGGGGTCCCCCAGCACATGCTCTCCGATTTTGACCGAATTAGCGTCAATCGATGATAAATTCTCCCAGTGCGCAGATTTGGCAGAGATAAGTATTTGCATCCGAAGAGGAGAAAACGCGGAGTAAATTTGCAAAATGTAAAGTTTTCAACTTTTAAGCCCGTCTTCTCCTCTTTGGATGCAAATACCTATCTCTGCAAAATATGAGATGGTGTCTTTTGCATATTTCATTCTAATCAAATTTATAATCGATTTATACTAGTTTGGCCAAAATCAGAGAGCATACGCTGGGAGACTTCCATTATTAGTTATTTTTACACCTTTTAATGGGCACTGTGTAGGGGAATAATAAAAATCACGAATTTTTGGGGTTTTTCAATTAACTTCAGAAATTAACACCCACAAAATCTTGTAAAATGGGTAAAAACTGTGGATCGTTTAGTACATTTATGTAAGGTGACGTTAACATCTGACCCCCTCAAATATTTAGAAACTACACCCTTTCTGCACCACCCTTTTAATAGGTATTTAGCACTTATCTCCAAGATAATCTAACCGTAATAATTCAACAAAGTTTATCTATTTATGAAATGCCTTGTGAGTTTTTTACGATAAAAAACTCTTCTTTTTTTATTTGGGATTTCTTGAGCCAATAAAACTACTAACATGGCTTCCACTTTTAGTTGCGTGAAGCTGTTCAAGTGTCATTTTCAAGTATTTTTTTCTCCCAGCTTGAGATTATTATTGGAGTCGTGTTCTTTATTAGTTGAGGAGTTAAGTGCTCACATAAAATCATACAGCGTAAATAGTTTCTTTTATGTGCGAGTAAAGTACTGAGAAATTTGATCGACTATTTTTAAATAGGACCCACATTTCCGTTGTGTTAAATACATACAATCAAATGTGTATCGTTATCTTAAATGTTATTTTGCTGGTGGGTGTGGATGGGGCGAGTGAGTAGGTAGGACTGTAAATAATAAGTATTTAGAGTCGATTTTTTTGAGTAGTTAATTACATAATTGCTCTTAAAATGAATAACTCTATTTTATTTTTTATTGATTGATTGATTGACTGATTTTTGACTTGCTCCTGTCTGTCAGATCGTAAATGCATATGCAAATGCAAGTTCTTTAAGTTATATAAGTTGGCAAATTTATTAGGTAAAGAAGGACCATACATAATGGGTGTAACTAATTGTAAGTACGCGAATTTGGAGGGTGTGAATAAATTGTCAGGATTCCTTCCACCATGTTTTGTGTGTTTTGCAATTTTTGTAACAAAATTGAGACAAATATCATACTGAAAAACCTTCTAAAGTAAATTTACTCATGGAAAAGGTGAATTTTCAAGTTCGACATGAACTTTTACACAGGCACATTCAGAATATTTTAATCAATTTTATACAGATCTGCGGATTAAGAATAAAAAAGATGTAAAATATATATATTTTTTTAAAGGCGTTTAGCAATCCCGAAAAGTAAAATCTGTCAAAAATCCAGGATATTCTTCTGCACAGCCCTTTTGAAAGAGACTAAAATGATAACCACTGTATAGAGCACATAACGGGACATGCTGTCAGTCAGTACACAGCAGATAAGTTCTTATCGATTAACAAAATCTCGCGAAGAGGAGAAGGACCTACATATTTACATACACGAAGTAAGAGCTATTAACCCTTCAAGAATCACACTTGCCATTTTCTAATCCATTTCTTACTAACCGGGTTGATCAACAAAATTGATTGACCAATTAACTTACAATACTAATTAAAATTAATTAATTACTTTAGGATGATGCATTTCTTTCTTCTCCTCATTGTTAATTCATATTTGTACTGATGATTCAATCCAATCGTCGCAATTAGTGTAAGAATAAAGTTCACCGTAATTTGGCATTCTTTTAAAACAAATTGCATGCCAATTAATTCCATATTTTTTAATCAGATCATTTCCTACAATTTATTATACTCGTTTAAAATCAAAGTTAAAAATGAACGGATTTCATGATTTCTTGTTCTCGTATTTGTAATGGTAACAGTTTCCATATTACGTGAAGAAGTATCGCTTCAGCGGTTCGCTTTATTGAATTGCAACAAGAACAAACAAAAAATTGGGATAACTGCAACTTAACTTTGGGAGCTGTGCGTAAAGGATGTGATCCATGCCAAGATTTCGTGAACCTTTTTCCTCGTTATTAAAAAAAGAACTGGAAAAACGGGGAAATGGCGAAAGTTATAAAATGGGAACATTAATTAATCCGTAAAAATTTGAAGATTTTTATTCTTTGTCATAAAAAGCGTAACTCGTAAAAAAATACCAAAAAATGGAATGCCGTTCAATCTACAATTTAACGAAACCTTTATTTTTATAACAACTCTTTAGTAAATAATTGCATTTTTTAACGGAATGCTTTCAATTGAGTTTTTTTCTCCTTTTACCAATTTTTCATTACTTGTCAGGCACGGTTAAATTTTCCCAATAATTTTCCCCCTGGGAATTCCCCCCTCACAATTTAAGGAAAATTGTCCCATTTTCTCTGCACAGCCCCTCACCTACCTGCCTCGCCTGCCAAGAGATTTGACCAAAACCATCATAAAAATTAGTAAGCATTGACCCTCACAAAAACCATACAGTTATTTATTTATTACCAAAAGCACAGCACTCTCATTATTTATTATTACACAACAATTTAATATATTATTAGGTATTTACTTTGTTTGTTGGTTATTAATTTTATGGAGGGGAATCGCGTTGTTTCGTTATTTTTTATTTGTAAACCTGCCCCATCAGAACAAAACGTCATTACATACACCTGTTAAAACACAGCAAAGCATGTCCAACAATGAAATGGATTTGATTAACAGCAAAAAAATAGATGTATAATGGAAAACAGTTACTTAAAAGTAAAGCAATGGTCATCATGATTTTAATTTCTTTTCATTTTTTTTAAACAAATAAAATAATATAAAAATTCTAAGATTTCTTTTATGAACAAGGTTTTTTAATTGTTTTGTTAGAGAAATATATAACATTTTTAGTATGACGTGTAAATTATGTAAATTTTATTCAGCGATGCTGAGGTGGTCGTGAGATTGTTCCGTTTATTTACATGTCACACCGGAAACGAAGGATTACGAGAGACAAAGAAATTGCTGAGAAAATGTGGACAACAGTTGGAAAACCACTGTCTCTCAAAAATTAATTGTTAGTCAAATGCTTGCCATCGTATAAAAAGAACATGTGTCGTTTTTGTTCCTGCAACGAAGTGCAATTGCACCCTATGAACTTTTAATTGTGTTTTTCAATGCGGTTGGTCTTGGGTGCAAAATGTTGTAACAGGAATTTTGAGAATAGGTCGTCTCTTTTGAAGTTGGAAAAAACGTGCAATTCTTTGAAGATAAAAAGTGTTCAGTGGAGAAAAGAAAATTTATAATACTTTTCAATTTCACTGAAAATCAGAGCCATTCAAAGTTTTGAAAGATGATAATATTCATTTCTTAAAAACGGTAATGGATTTTTTTTATTGTTCCTATTATGAAAAAAATAATTTTCAAAATTTAACTATCATAATGTCAAACGCGTGTATTAAGCCAGAGCAGGAATAGTATTTAGTTTTGTAAATGTTAGAAGCCATTTTATAAAAAAAAAAATAATAGAAGAAGGAATAAGTAAAATTTTATGTCCGCGTTATCAGAAATTGCAAAACTATCCAATGAATTAACTCAACTGATGTATGAACTTTAATACATGAGCCAACGTTATTTTTAAAGTGCGAAAATGTTGATTGAATTTCGTAGTGTGATTTTATCCAAATACTGTCATTTGTTATAAGGGTTCCAATTGTTCCACGATTGATTACATTAGCCGAATGAGCCGTTTAATTTATTCAATTTCGTATGATTTCGTATGAGTTCTACGCCAAAATAAAAATAGCTGGTGCTAAATAATAAAATAATTCGGCTCATTCGGCTAATCAATCGCGGATCACTTGGAACTCTTATAACAAATGGCACAGTCATTTAAGCCATGCCTTATGCAATCGTTGTATTTCGAAAATTGTAATGCGTTGACCGATTTTTACCAAATTTGGCAGAAACACTTATCTTTCTTTAACAACTGAATATAAAGCAGATCTTGAAATTTTTTCGGTCCACTTTTCAGAAATTCACTTAAAAAGCTGAAATTTGGAACAGAGAGATTCGTAATGGCATTTCATGAAACAATGACTTTCTAATCGATTGATCCATACCGATTTCTAAAATTGAAATTTAATTTGAAGGCTAATAATGATTTATGATAAAAGAATATAAGACTTGAATTTAAAATTTTTATAGAAGCGACCCCTACTGGTCCTTGGGGTCAAGGGAAACGTTTAGTACATCAAAATTTGTTTTTTTTGCCAATCGGCACTTCATCGCAACTCAGCAGGTGCCTCCTCTCGTCGCAATCGTTGGGTGTCATTTTCTCAAAAAGTGATGCGTAAAAACCCATATTATGCTAATGAATGTGTCGTCGTCACAAATCGTCAATTTGGTGCAAATCGATTGTGGTGACACAGTGATGACAGGTGTTGGTCAACTTTGTAGAAAATGATTTTCTAAATTTTGTCGCATTTCTCTTTCCTGATTACTACGGAAAGAAAGCAGATGTTAAGAAAGGAAATGGAATGAAATGCATCTTGCACACCTGCACCAAAATCAAGAATAGAAAAGCAACCAATCCTCGAAATAATCCATCCCCAACCCACTGGCACCATTTTTCCCCTTGAAACAAAGAATTAAATCAAGTCTGGTGGATTGTTTAACCTCACCGTTTAACTCGGCTATTTGCCTAAATAAAATAAGTTGACAATGTTACGTTTAACCGGTGCAGATGTTTGATTTGGAGACAGAAATAATTACATTTTAGTGGAGGACAACGGATGCAGTACAGAAAAATAATTATGTAAAATATATTCCTTTGTTTTTATTACGAAAAAAATTCAAACTAAAACCTAATTAACAGGGTAAATTAGAAAATTTAGAAAATTTATGTTTTAATTTTAAACAAAGAATCCGACTAATTAACAGATTAGATCGGGAAATATTTGGAAAACTTAGACAACTATGTAAAATATTTCTTTAAATTGACCAATTAATTGGGAAGTATTGAAAATTTAATTAAAAAATGATGGCCTAACTTATGGAAAAAAAGTTCGATTAATTAGCAGGTTAGATTGGGAAATATTTGAAAAAGTTAGATAATTATGTAAAATATTTTTTAAATTTTTATTATAAAAAAATCGATCAATTTACAGGTTAGATTGGAAAATATTTGGAAACTTTAGATAAAAAATTATGGTTAGACTTTTAGTCGATTGCATGCACACATGACAAAAATGTTTCATTTTTCTATTTTTTCTATCCACGTTCACTTGCTGGATGTGTATATGAAAGGTATAGTATGTCAGCAGACACTCCAATGTTAAATAAAAATGCTCGTGTGGCGAAACCTTACAAGATAGAAAGATAAGGTAAAAGAACTTTATGACCGTCTCCCAAATCTAGGTATAGGGCACGCATACCGTTTTTCGAAATTTTGAAACGTTTTTGAAATATGCACCAAAACGTTTTGTTTTACAAAATAACACTAAATACCACCGTAAATGATTTAGGCCAAAGATTAAAAAAAACCAGCGACAGGGTTATATCCACAGGTGGAATAGCTACAAATTTTAGTCGGAAATTTTTTTCATATCATGCCTCCTTTTGGCGCGAAAATTCAAAATGTCGATTTTCGGGTCGTGTCATTCTGACAAGGGTAGCATGAACAAGATTGACTTTTTGAAGATATTGCAACTAGATAATTATTCCTCAGAGCTATGTGGTATTTCCTCTCATAAACCATTTTTCGAAATGCAGCTTGTGTCTGGCGCTAAGTTCAAAGCTTTGAAAATTTTCGCAATTTCGGCTGCAAATTTCTTACCAATACTACAGCCAAGATGTTACATTCTAGCGACCGAAGCAAAGTGGGACCGTCTTTGGAATGGCCCACCTTAGATTTCTCCTATTTACAACTTATTCGAAATCGACCTGGTTTTTGAGCTATGGCGGGATATCCAAAATTCGACTTTTAATGGGCATAATCGTGGGATATAACGTACTTAGTGTTAAAAAATAGTTCTTTTCCGCGGTTTTACCGCATAACTTGTTCTCTCATGTTTTCTTAACCGTTGTTGATTGTTCATTGCACTATGCACACATTTGCACGGACTGCATATCTAGAGTAGCGCTCCTGCAGAAATTGTATACGACGTAATCTCTGACATATCTTCCTCCTCAATCTGTAATGACAACAATGCTGCCGTAGAAAAAAAATGTGTGTTATTATTAGTGTCATGTCGGGATTTGATTCTTATTACGAGAGGAGAGAGGAAAAGTCACGCTGAAACGATTCAAGTAACATATGCCACACATACTTAAATATAATTTGGCACAATATGTAATGGCCATAGATTTAACATTGTGAGTTAGTCGTATACATATAGATTTAGATATGTATCCACTTACAATGCAGGTCTCCAAGCGTATGCTCTCCGGTTTTTACCAAATTAATGTCAATCGATCACAACTTTGGTATTAAAATTGCAAAAGACACGATCCGCCAGTGGTCATGTTTGGCGGAGATATTTGAATTCCAAGAGGAGAAAACACTAAAGTTTTCAGAGCAACTCGACAGATATATTTGACAGATTTTACAATTTTGCAAATTTGCTTCTCGTTTTCTCCTCTTCGGATGCAAATATCTGCCAAATATTAGCATTGGGAGATCGTGTCAAATTTCATATTAATTAAATTTGTGATCAATTAACTAAGGTTGCTGCGGGTAGTTGCACTACCCGGCCAATATTTACCAATTACCCGGACCCGGCGGGTACCCTGCCGGGTAACCCAGCAGGGTACCCGCCCCGGCTTTTCAATATGGAATGGAAGAACTATATAGTTTTGACTTAAAATGTATGGTAAATCCTGGTCATTATGTTATGTAACAAATAATCAATTTATTCAGCACATTCATTCACGACATTAAGAAAATAATGTGAAGATTATTTTTTTTAAATAAACGTCCATCAAAAATAGGAACATACCGGCATGTTTTTAGTTAGTGTAAATTAATAAAATTATAAACTAGTTTACTATTAAGAGCTGCAATTTCTTCTATAAAGAAAGCCAAACATTTACCACATTATTATAGATTTAAGGAAACGCTTTAGTACTGATAGTTGATTATTGGCAGATTGTGTTTTAAGAAAAGTAGGGTTTCTGCATGATTAGGAGTCAGCTGCGTTCGGAGGTTATCATAGATCTGTCCAGCTTCAGAGAACATCCTTTCGCTGTAGACGCTGGTGGCAGGGGCTGATAAGAACTTTTTTGCATATTTTTGAAGCGTCGGAAATTTGTCCTTGTTAGTCTTCCACCATTTTAAGGGATCATTCAATCCAGTATCCGTCAAAGTAAGAGTCTTGCTTTTTATAGGAATTGGATCTGCTTTCCAATACGAATTAATTTCGGCGACAATTGAGGTCCGTTTAACTGCAGCGGCTTCAATATTTTCTTCTGACACCTCCGAAATTTCCATAGATTGCTTAATGGCTTCATCGTAACAGTTCCAGAAGGAGACATGCAACTGGTCCGCTAACGTTAAAGGACCTTCTAATTGACAAGGGGGGAGTTCGGGTTCAGATGTAAACAAGCCGGCTTGTTGAGGTTCGAGGGGAGAGGCAGGGTCAGGGATGCCCATCTCTTCTTGTAGGATAAAATTCTGTAATCTAGCCTTCACCAGGTCTCGAGTGTTGTCAGAGAAGAACATTTGTTTATACCGCGGGTCTAGACAAGTTGCAAATGCATATTCATCCACATCGGGTAGTTTCTCGAATCGTTTTTCAACATTCTTTAGAAACTCTTTTTTCAAAGTCTTCAATCCGGCATCTAGACCTTCAGTTTTTTTGAAGTATCGTAAGAGGGCTTCCACATTTGGTATCACTTCTGATACGATACTAGAGTTAAAGCTGACAAGCTTCGTAATTTCTTCCAAGGGCTTCAGAATAGCGATCACGCCTGGTAGAAGTGTCCACTCATTTGTGGTCAAATTGTCAAAATCAATTTCAGTTGATAAACTTGCTATGATTGCCTTTAGATCCTGAAGCCTTTCAAGCATATAGAACGTGCTGTTCCACCTTGTCGCGACATCTTGGATCAGTTTCTTTGGTGTCAGGCCCATATCTTTCTGCTTTTTAAGGAGAAGGGTTGAGTTCTTCTGGGACTGAGTAAACTTTGCGACTATTTTCCTAGATTTCGCAATTAAATTTTTGACGCTCACTGCTTTGACTGAATCATGGAATGCTAGCTGAATTGTGTGGGCGAAGCATCCGATGTTGCTCAGATTAGCATCATTTAAACCTTTGACTATATTGGCACCATTGTCACTGAAATTGAAATATAATGAGCTATTTAGGAAAAGATTCATAAAAAACAATCCGGCTTGTTGCTTTTGCGTTTCTTTTATTAAAATAAGATCTTACCGAACTAACGTGTGAACTTTGTTTGTAGGAATATCCCAACTTTTTAGCATATCAAGTATCACTTCAGAAATCTTCTGACCGCTGTGCTCACCGGAAAAATGTTTACATTGAAGAACAGCATGGCGATGTTTAAATATATCGTCAATCCAATGCCCAGTGAAACTTATAAATCCAAAGTTATTTTGCTCGCTTGTCCAAATGTCACTGGTGAACGAAATCCAGGTAGCGTCCTGTACTTGACTCCAAATTTTTTTCCGTGTCCTTTCATAAATTTTGGGAATAATTGTATCCGTCATGTAAGTTCGCCCTGGGACCTGAAACAAGTTTAGTTAAGGATCATCTATTTATTAATTTAACACGCCGGCGTGTTTATTGAGTGTATTTAGAATCAGCATACCGGATATTGCGGTTTCATAGCCGCTAATAATCTCCTGAATCCAATTTTCTCTACAAAGCTGTACGGTAGGACATCAACGGCTATCATCTCTCCTATTGTGTAATGTAGACTCTGTGCCCTTAAATCATCGATTTTCCATTTCTTTTTAGATTCAAGACTCTCGATTAGGGTTGGCTGGGTTAGTCGCATTTTCTTTGGAGTCGTGGAGCCGTAATTGTCGTCGTCACTTGAAACGGCGACCGCATCAGGATCATTTGAATACGCCTGCTGATAGTGAGTAGGATGCTTGGCCTCTAAATGTTTTTTTAGAGATGAAGTGCTACGGCTTTTTCCAATGCCACAAGCTATCTCACCATTACAAACAGTGCAGACTGCTTTAGATGGGTTGGTTGAATGATCTTTAAACCACAGCCAAGCCCCACTTGTCCGTCTCGTTCCTAGAATAGAAATTATTCTTTTGATTCCTGAAATAAAGCGAATTTATTAGCAAAATGGCTAAAATAGTTACCTTTTTGTGCTTCTTGTTTTAACGCCGAAGCTCTCGTTTTTTCTCTTGATCTCAGCAGACTTAACAAACCGGCTTGTTGATTCTGCTCGCCACCAAGGGAGTTTGAATTGACTTCGTCCTGGGAGCTTGAAGGCGAAGGTGCCTCGTGTGAGGACGACATTTTTGGAGATTTTTAGTGTTAGGTTAGCATGAGTTTATTAATTATTAGATAGAATTTGTAAATTTATATCCATGAAACAATTCGAGCAGGTGTGCACTGAATTATTGAGTCGAATGAAGAAACCGCACCAAAATCTGTCACAGTATGCCCCAGAAAACGAAAAATGGGAAAATAAAACTACCCGGCCGGGTAATTCTCAATACCCGGCTCAGCCGGGTACCCTGCTTTTTTAGATAAATTGGCCGGGTAGCAGGGTAGCCGGGTACCTACCCGGTACCCGCGGCAACCTTACAATTAACACTAGTTTGTCAAAATTGGAGAGCATACGCTCGGAGACCTGCATTGTTAGTAAGTTAGCAAGGCTGCTATTAAATGAGAGGCAAAATGAGACGACACATATTGGACACTCGACTGGAAAGTGTATCAAAATGCCCATCCCCTCGCCTCACCTTCTCTCTCTCACCATTGTCTCACTTCGCCTCCCCGTTACCCACTCTACTTCTTTTTTTCTACATACAAAACTGGACCTTTTTTCTTCCCATTTTACCGATTAGCTCAGATTACACCTCTTTATTTATATATTTACTTGATCGAATCTGCATCTGCATCACCCTCTTTTTATAAACGTTGAACAAAAAAAATCAAAATCCTTTACCAACCACACCACCCACCCAACCAACCAAACCGTCTTTGATTACGGTCATATTCATGCATTTCACATTTGTGTGTCCAACTAATCTGTAAAATGCATAATTGTTCTCTCCATCTGTCACTCTTTCCACCTGCTTGCCTACCATGTGCCAAATTTCCTACTCGTGTCGTAAATCCAAATCCAACCTGCACACAAGAAAAGAAAAAGAAACATTCGCGCATCTATTTGTTTAACAAGTCTCAGATACAGATACGCTTAACCTGTTTCATTCCTCGGCGTCGTCGTCATGATGAGAAAAAAAAACCGAGAAACAAAACACTTCATTCCCACAGATGAAAACCAAATCTGATTAGAAAAAAGCTATTATTCAATTCTTCAAGGAATTACTAGAACGTTAATAATATCTGGCGTATGTATGTACCGGCCTTGTCGTCACTACTGTCTTGGTGACACCATTATCATTATGACGATAGTGAGACTGGTTGAATGGGGACGCAGGCAGGCCGGGATTTACATGGCTTTTTTTTCTCTTTATACAGATGGTGATCATACTTCAGCAAACGTTGGAGGATGGGCAACGCTTCGTCTCGACGGTGATTGAGGGGGCGGGTGGCGGCGGCGGTGGCGGTGGGAACGCATCGTCCGAACACGATTCCTCCAACTTTTCGATGAACAGTCAACACTCGATCAGCGAACGGAGTGCAGTTTACAAGCAGAGGATCGACAGCCTCTTCGGACGTCCCAGTCTCACCGGGAGGAGTTCTAGGTTACTGAGAAGTCCACTGTTTAGTGGGGGTGGTGGAGGTGGTGGTGGAGGTGTTGTGCGTATTAATGGGGAAAATGTGACCAGATTTTCCAGCCACGAGGAGGAGGAAGACGACGACGACGACGATGACGAAGAGGAAGACGCCTATTCTCGCATTACGGATAAAACGTCGTCGTCTTCGAGGTCATCCATAATTACGGATTCTTTAAACCATCGCGCCATTAAGAACGCGTGTTCATCGTCTACTTCGATAAACGTGAGTAGTGTCCGGATAACGTGTGGGGACGAGTCCAGGTCGTCGGATTTGGGACAAAGTGTATCCGTCGTAAGTAGCAGCAGCAGCAGTAACAACAATAATAATAGTACGGCGTCCCCCGTGACGGTGAGTTACGTCAATACGACGCCACAAATTCAGCCGAGGAGCAGCAGCAGCATTAAGATTGGGAGCAGTACGACGGAGACGAATGCGAATAACATGTGGCGCAATGGGACTTATGGTGAGACTTGTTGTTCCGAGGGGGAGAAATCGCTGGGGTACGTGACAAGGGGAACGACCCCGCCGAGAAATAGTGGGGGAGGAGGAATGCTGCAGTTCTCGGTGGAATATTTAGGCTCCGTCCCGGTGGACGGGGCGACGACGTCGTTGCAGGATTTGCAAGGCCCGTTGAAAAACTTGTATGGGGATTTCCTCTCGAGGAAGAACGTGCTCACGGGTCAGCTGGCCATCACGGCGGAGGGGATCAGATTTGAGGCACCCAAGCTTCGATTGGTCAATCCCTTTTCGACCATTGCGGTCTGGGCGGCCATCAAGTTTGTGGCGAGAGGGGAGGAATGTGCGTTCATGCCGTTGATTAGTGATCCGGTAAGAGAAGGGGTTTCTTCTTTGTGGTGTGGCCTCTATGCTCACTACGAGTTTTTCAGCTTTGTAAAGTTGGCAAAGAGGTGGTTTCATCAGAAATTGTGCCAATTTAGAGACGCCTCGGTCAATCAACGTCTTTTAATTATGGTCAAGGTTTGTAAACTGCAAATTTTGTAAGATGTCGGATTTTTCCAAGCTCTTTAAACGTTGACCATCATTTAAAAGATACAGATTGATCGAAGCGTCGTTAAATGGGTGTCGTTTTTGTCTGTTAGCTGATGAAACCACGGAGCATATACACATCAAAATAAGTAAATGCTTTTACTCCAAAGTTTCTCTGGTAAATTATTTTCTCTCGCTGGAAATTTTGAAGGAAAAGTATTTACGAGTTATGTTTATCCATAAGGCCCCACATCTTTGCTAACTTTACAAAGGTTTATATTTGTAGCTGAAAAACTTGCAGTGTCTCATTTCTTGTTTTCCATGTTATTTTTAAACTGTTTGAACAATAATTGTGCTTGTCTATTAGGAGGGTCAAGATAAGAGCCGCCTCTTCGCCCCCATGGACCCCGATTTTGCCCGGATATACGTCACATGTCAGTCGAAGGGTGGCGGAGGTTTTAAGAATCCACCCCTTTTCGCCTGTGTCATGCGGGAGGCTTCCTTCTCCCTCGACTGTCACGCCTTCGCCTGCAAATGCGCGGAGGATGCGATCGTCGTGGCGGCGAATTTATACCAATCCCTCGTCGACAAGATGCGCTCTGGTCATAACAACCACAACTTGGAACACACCCACCACCACGCCACGAGCAAGGAGGGTGAATCCGGCTACGGCAGTTTGACGAGGACGTCCCCTTTACAAAGTAGTCCGAACAGTGGTGGTGGAAACCAAAATCGGTCGTCCTCTTCCTCCGCGGCGTCATCCCCGTTGGGAAACAGTGGCGGTGTTGGTGGTGGTGGGGACGGGGTAAATTTGGTCGGGGTGGAAAGTGGTCCTTCCTCCTCGTCTGGAATAGACGACCACAAAAATCATATCCATCTTAATTCGCGTTCCGTATTTTCCGACTCGGAATCCATCATTCCAATCCGACCTCCCCGAAGGAAGAAGAAATACTCTGAAATTCCAACGGGAAACTTGAAACGGTACAATTCTGAGGATTCCGTCCTTCTCAAGATTCCTCATAGGAGAAAATCCTTCAAACAACGACCCCCCTATGTCAACAACAAGGTGAAGAAACGCGTCCAAATTTCCACCCCGGACGAAACCTCTTCTGGCGATTCGATCCACAACGAATCCGCCATTGATCAAGTTCTGGACCGCATAATTAATCCAGGAGGAATGTCTTTCAACGATTTGAAGCCGTCGTATCAGGATTTAATTCTGAAAATCGCCCTCACTCTGACGCAAGATCAGTTGTACCAAAAGAGTAAACAAGCCATGAAGAAACAACAGCATTACTTGAGGAAGTCTAGTAAAGTCAGTTCGAAAAGGTGGGCATCTTCTGGAGGGGACGTTTCAGATGACAATTCACAATTTTTAAACCATTTGTTAAAGTCCTTTTCGAAAATTGGGTCAAAATCTGGGTCAAAACAGGAACAAAATATCAGATTTTCAAAAAATAATCCCGTCGCACCCGCCCCTAGGAAAGTCATCCTCAAAAAGCCCAAAGATATTCACGGTGATGACGCCGCATTCATGTCGTTCTGCAGTGGCTGCATTTGTGAGTCCTGCTCGGAAAAGTGTTATTGTTCCCTTCCCATAAAAAGTGGGGGTTTGCTGAGCAACAGTAAACTGCTTCTGAACGGAATCACCTTTCCCGTTTCGAATAATAAGAATCAAAAATGCATAAATGTTGGTGATCCGACGTGCGGCACGCCAACGACGGCGACGGCATCTTCCACCCCGTGTCCCATGGGGAAAGCCTGCACCGAAAAGAAGGACAAGAAACAACGCAAACTTTGCGGTTATGATTCCGAGAGTTGTGCCGAGAGTGAGAAATGCTACTGCGAAATTAACCAAATTAAGTCGAATGGGTTGAAAATTTATAATATCAATTTGGACACGGAAACGTCTGACACGGATACGAATTCTTACGATTTGGAGCCCTTCAATCAAGGTAAAGGGCGGCGGGATGAGGAGGATGGGAATTCGAGCAATAATGGAGGATCGAAGGCGGGGGGGACGAGATCTGTCGAAATTTTATCGTATCATCCAGCGAAAAGGTTGGCGTACAATTTGTCCCCCGGACAGCAAACGACCAATGCAATGGTGCATTTTGAGGACGGGGGGCATAGCTTTCAGGGCAGCACAAATTCCCAGGTTGGGGGCATGGTGTCACCATTTTGCAGTGTAAGTCGGCCATAGGGGTCACAAATTTTGGGTATTAACTTGCTCGAAATTTTTTATTGTGATTTTCTTGTAAAAAAATCAAATTAGAATTAAAATTGATTAATTGTTTTTTTGGTCTTGGAATTTATATTGGATCATACTTTTAACAAATTTTATCTAAAAAATAGTTAAAAATTTTGTTTCTTAATTTGCTTAAAGTTTTTTATCTAGGTTTCTTCTGATAAAAAATAATTTAGAATTGAAATTAATCAATTTTTTAAGTCTAATTGACATTTTGTGGTAACACTTTTTAAAACCTTTAAAATATATATTTACATCTTCAATCTCTCCAATTTTAGCCCAAGAAAATGGAGCAGGACTCAAAAAGGAAGAAATCCCAGCGCGACAAAGTGCTTCTAATTACAGGATCCAGTCACTCATCTCGATTAGTGTACAAGGACAAGTCCAACGGCAACGTGACGACGACGACGCCGACGTCGACAACGCCGTATCATCACAATCAGCACTCCTCCGGACCCTCTTCCTCTGACGGGAAGAAATCTCGGAATGGGATGCATCACAGGAATAATAATCTCCTCGACATTATGGAGGTTGAAATCAATGAGGACGACGATGACGATACGGATCATCGCCACAGATCCACGGACACCGACACCGGTGAAGATACCGGCAGCGGTGGTGGTGGTATCGCCCCCGAGAAAGTGCTGTCCATGAAAAAAACGGCGGAGATAGCGGCGATGTTTACAGATCTGAAATTGGACCAGACTACCAACGTGATTCCTGATTTGGGATCGAGCAACAATTTCGAATCTATGCAAAATCCGGATGATTCCACGGCATCGTTAGATTTTGAAGCGTCTCTTGGATATTTGCCGTGAAGTTTAATACATAAATTAGATAGTTTTATACAATTCACGCTATTTTTCATAGCTGGGTAAGCTGTGTAAAGTTTCCGAAAATCTGAAACCCCATAAACTGGACAATCAATTATTGCAATTAATTCCTTAATTTTGTCCCAGTTTGTGTACAAAATTTACACAATTTACATAAAAATCTAGTAGCGTACATGAATACTCTCAATTTGTAATTCTATAAAATTTAAAAGACCAAAATGACTCGACTGTTTTATAAATATTTATTTTATTCACAAGTAAAAAATAGAGGTTGTCTTTAATTTATTGACATTGAACCATAATTATTTTACCTTAAGATTGATTTGGTGTAATTAAGTATTGTTTACAAATTTCAGTTTTATATAAAAATGGTAACAAAATAAAGTACTTCTTAGTTTGACGAAAAATTTGGTTTTTAAGTTTGGAGGACTGATTGAATTTGGTATTTTTGAGATTGACAAAGGTACTTTTTTAAGCATCACAAAGTTGAATTATATTCTAAATTATTATTTCTTCTATGCTCTTCCTTTTGTATTGTGGAGTTTAGTCGCTGCTTTCACATCGCTTTTTCATACATTCTGCAAACAAACCTTGGACGGTGGCAATGTCCACGTCGTCGACGTTGTCTGATCTAAAAAATTAGGAAACATATCATATGCTTCATACTTCTCTCTTAATCAAGACCTGGTGATTAAGAGATAATTTAAATAAATGCTTGGGTCGACTTACTCAGGCGATACTTGATTTGCGGGGGGTCGAGGGGTGGGAGCAGAGGGTCCAGGGGCGGAAGCAGAGGCAGGAGGTTCACTAGCGGAGACTTTGGTGGCGAGGGTATTGGCGGCATTCTTATCCTCTTCCGCTTTCTTTGGCGTGGTCAGATCAATGTCTTTCAAATTAGAAACGCCAATTTCTAGCTCCGTTCTAAAGATCAAACAAGTAAGGGACAATAAAACGTTAAAATTGTGGTAAAAACTTCAAGGAAATAAATAATTCATGCTAATCTTTACAAAAATTTGTGAAGCTACGTAACCCTAAAAAACGGTACGCTGCCTATAAATTTTATTTCTATGAATTTACATCCTTTTTAATATCACTGCACAGTTCGTGCATCCAAGTCATAAAATTTACACCATTTACAAAGCTGGATACACTTGTCATTACGCAAAATTACGAAGTTATAAAAAATCGGACTTACCGAATCATAACATTGATTACGTCTTCAAGCAGGTCCTTCAATTCTGGCACCACCTCAGCCGTGTGGTACTCGCGTAGCACTTCGTACAACTTTAGTTTACGAAGAGCCTCGCGCGTCGATCTCATTGCGCACATCTATTGCGTATAAGAGATTAGTTTAGTTAAATTCATTGATATAAATCCAGATAAATGTCATTGTGAAATACTTGGTAGATAAATTCTATGACGTTCTTGCGCACGCCTGGGTTCGGATCGCGATCCACCACCTCATTAGACTTGATGGCGTAGAAGATCTCTTCGTCTTCCTGCTCTAAAATAATACTAGTAGTGCCGGCAATTGGGATGATTGCATACGTGATGATACCATACTCCCTGTTCAAAATGGTTTCGTGGCTTTCTGAAAAAAAATAAAAAATGAACTTATTTCTACTATTTATGTAAGAAAAAAAGTATGCTTCTGTTAATTCTGCAGGGTTGAACGTAATATGAAAAAATTTCGTTCTATGGTTTTTTAGTGTCTAATCAGCATTCGTCTAATACATTATTTATACAGTACGTCAAAGCGTGAGTTGGGTTCTATTTCTGTTTTATTTTTTTTTGGAAAACGTGGAAAATTCCCACGGCCCGTAAAAAAAACGGAGGCTATAAAAAGGGTCCTCTGCATTCCCGGCAAACGTGTTTCAACGTTTGTGCCACAAATCGAACCCACGGTCAAAATCTACTACATATTCAATCGAATCGTGATTAGAAGTTTTTCGATGCATACAATTTTTCAAATAATAATTGATTCTTGGGAATTAAGCTTTCGTAGAAAGTCCATAAACGGCACACTTTTGTATACACTTGAATATGAAGTTTCTATTAGTACATAAGTTAAACTTGTGATTATTAACTAAAACTACACTATAAACTATATATTTGTATATTTGTAATCATCATCTTTCTTCAATAATTGATCATACCTGGGTAGAAAGCCATGTTTTTCAGCATTCCGGTCACAGCGAGACGCACTTCGATTGGATTTTCTAGTTTTACTCCTTCGAGGAGATGGCTGATGAGAAGTTCTTCCTCGTACGGAAGGCTCATGGTAAGTAGATCTCTGAAATTTAAAAGTAGAATTAAGAACAATTTGGTACAGTTTCCATTATAACAATAAGAGTGAAAGTTCATTATTATTAAGCATATCATGCAACTCTATAACGCATAAATACTGTTATAGAGTTGGCTTAAAGAGTTGGAAACATGTAAATTTTGAGCTCGGTGATCAAAAACTAATTGACTGACGCTGATTTTTTCAACTATTAAAAGATTATACAGCAGCAATGCTATATGAAAAATTATGAACTTCCTTTCATTAAGGAAATCATTAAGTTGTACTTTTATAAAACTCGTCAAATTGACAATTTAAAAAAAGATTAGTACAAAAAATAACCAACTTGTTGGCCCTCTGGACCTGGCACAGATTTAGGATAATGGCAAGCAGCCCGGCGAATTGTGTCGAGTTGAAGGGGTATGAACGGCACCGCGCAATCAAGTCTGGCATGGAAAGAAGCCCTACGTCCAAGAAGTGCTCGGCACGTTCCACCTTCCACACCAGATTTTCCAGAGGAAAATAAGATAAGCGTCCAAACTCGTCGAAACTCCCTTCCTTCCAGATGGGGCCAAGAACAATGATCATTTCCGCATATTTCGTCACCGGAATGACGTCGATATCAGCTCCGACGAAATTGGAAATAGCACAAAATGCGAGGCGGATTGCGTCTTCGTTTGTCTTTAAAAATCTATACGTCTTGGCGACAGGTCGAGAAAGGAGGGAATTCTTCTTCTCGATGATACGATTTAGCACGGTGGCAGTGCTGTAGACTAAGAAGTCCCATAATTTTATGGCCAATTCTTTATCGCTACGAACAATCTTGAGAAATTCGCTCTCACGATCGTACGCGATACCTGTGGAAAATACAGTCTTTAATTTTCTGAATAAATTTTCAAATTCATTATCGTATGTAATTTGAGGAATATTTGAGGGATACACTAGTTCTAAAAAGCCAACAGCTTTATCATTACTTCATCTATGATCTAGGTCTACATCATATACATTTAAATTGTCACAGACGCAATAATTCTTAATAATCTTTGGTTTGTTTTTAAAATATTTAACCTGAATCCGCTTACGAGATGTTTGGGGAACTTTGCAAAGCATGGCGAAACTTAATTCCCTGATTTTTTAGCTCAACTAATTCTAAATAAATTTATGACGCAAGTAACTCACGCCCAATAACTTCCAAATGGGATACAAGTTCATTCCTGTCGAATTTTTTCTCAAATCCTTTTGGCAATTTACGCACAAGATCCATGAATTCGAGTACGAGGTTGTTCATCTGCTCATGGAATTCATATACGATACGATGTCCCTTTTCGAAATCACCTCCTCCCTCAGCACCAAGATCATCAGTCCGGAAAGTGGGCCGGTTATCGATACGGCCCGTCGTCTCGTCGCCGTCATCTTCACCGACAGCCCCTTCATTTTTCTCCACCTAGACAGACAGAAAGAAAAATACGTCAAAAAGAGAATGAGGATTTAAAAAATGCCATAAACTGTCCTTTCTTTTTCGCTTCCAGAAATTTGAAAACTGGTTTCTTGGAATTGTCGGTGTTATTTTAGTAAAAAGAAAACAAAACCTAACCGGCCCCCACCCCCAGTTGGATATTATATTATTTAACTTTGACAAAAATATAAAATATATGGGAAAAAATGCTACTCACCTCTCTCGCAACATCGCCTTCGCCCCCACCCGACACACCACCTTTACTAGAGCCTGGAACAGCAGCCATTTCTCAACCGCACCCTCTTTCGAAAAAGTAAAATAAAAGAAAGGCTGGAAGACTAGGAAATCTCAAATTGCATGTGAAAATCGAACGAAAGTGACACAGCACGGCTTAATCCAAAGAAACAATATAAATATAAACTATAAAATCACTAACTTTATAAAAAACTGAGTGGACATTTAATTTAGTTCGCAATTAAAATAGTTAATTACGATCGAGTTGAGCCGTATCCGTATCTTTCAGCACGTGTAAAACTTGACGGTTTGGCGCTTCTGGGGAATCTGTCCGAGACTGCACCCGAAAGAATTCAGCCCCGAAAAGTCTCTCCACTTTTCAGTCGTCTTTAATTAATTTTAGTTTAAAAATATAATTAACTCGTACCTTAAATAAATCGATAAGTCATAAGTGCTCAATCATCAGTCTTCCTATCTTCGTCGGGTCGACTTCTTCTAGTCCGTTCATCTTATCATTAGCGAGTGACTGAAGAATTAAAAATGGGCACCAGCACCGAAACTACTATGGATCCCGACGAGAGAGAAGAAAAAGATAAGCGTGTTGCAGAAGTGATAAGCATGGAGGAAGGAGAAGAAGGGAATATAAGTAGTGTATCTCCTCCTCCACCACCTACGTCGCCTCCTTCTCCAACACCTCCTCCTCCTCCGCCTGTCGAAAAAGGGGGCGAAGAATGGAACGTGTGTTCAACAAGCTCTTATTTTTCTTCGTCTTGTGAAGATGATGACGACGATGATGACGATGACGTCGACGAGGATGATCTCGAGGTCGGGTCGGGGGAGGAAGAGTCACGAGAAGGCCTTGAGTCACGGCCGGGTGAGGGAGAATCTGGTGATATTGGGGATGAAGAAATTGATGAGCTATTAGAAGAGGGTGAGTTTATTAATTACAAATTGATTAAATTTAGTTGTAATTTGTGGTGCATTTTTAATTCTATTTCCTTCATCAGGTTTGCCTAAAACTAAGCGAGTCGCACCGAAAAAGACTAAAAAGATGAGGACTGACGGCCACGGAGGTGAAAATGAATTTGATGAATTCAATGAAAAGAAGATCATCATTTTGGAAGGTAGTTCAAAAAATTAGTAACTATCTTAATTTCCAATCATGAGAATTTTTATAAAAATAAAATGTTGAACATTTTGTATATTAAATTTTAACCAAGTTTATTAAAACATATTTGTTGGTTACAGAATTTACACAAAATTCTTTAGAAGTTCTTCCAGCGGATTGGATCGAGGTTCGCCATTCGAGTGGGATGCCTCTCTATTTGCACCGGACGACCCGAGTCTGCACTTTAGCCAAACCTTACTTCCTTGGGAGTGGATCAGCTCGGGTAAGTAAAAATCTCTCTTCTCTTGAACGAGATATTTATTAGAGCTAATTTTTAAACGGAAATCAACTCGCTTTTTCTCTCTGATGTTGATGATGATGATATCGAGAGTGAGGTGGATGTTGCTTGATTGTGTTCTTTTCCCTTCAATCAGCGACATTCCATACCTCTCAGTGCCATCCCTTGCTTGGCTTATCGGCGTCAAAAGGAGCAAGAAGAAAGCAAGCTGGCCGGCGCTCCTCTGCTCAATGGGTTCGCTTTTGGAGGAGACGATACCCGCAGTTCAACACCAAACGGCGACATAACGACAGGACCTACTTTTCTTGCCGCGAAACGCAAAATTCCAACATGTACCAATCCCGATGAAACTTTGAAGAAGCTAAGGATTGAACAAGAGGACGAAACTGACACCACCGGATCAGGAAATGTTGTCACTTCTGGTAATAGTGGGGTCAATCTGGACGATGTAGTTATTCCGTCTCCAGATCGACAATCACTACTCATTTCGCGAGAAGAGACAACAAGCTCATCCCCAGATCCGACCTCCACTAGTTCCAGTATTCAGTCTGTAGAGACTGCGTCACCAGCTTGCGGTAGGACGCTCAAGGCGAAAATTTGCCCCATCGCGATCACCACTACGTCACCAAGTCCTACTGTGACGAAAGGTCTGCCCGTGGCCACGGTGGCGACAGCCAAGGAAAATCATGCCATGCACTCTTTAACGCCGGAAGGGGTCAGGGAATATTGCAAGGCGATTTTCAAATTTAAAGTCGTGACGAGCAAACGGTTCAAGTAAATATAATTTTTTTGAGATAATCGTTTTTTATTAATATTTTTACTCGTTTTTTATTACTATGTTGATTAACTTTTGGTTTTGTTCAGGTCATGGGGTGCGCGTCGTCGCTATACGAAAGAGCAGAAACGGATTCAACTTCAGAGACCATCCATGCCGGATGGAGTGAAGCTTATATCGTTCCCAATCCACAGTAGAGAAATTGACTATTTTTACTCAACTTATTATTACTATACTTAACTGAGTCGTCGATTACGATTAAATTTATAATTCACGCCAAGCTTTCTAACTGTGTAAACCTTATAAAGTTGTAAACAAGTTTGATAACATCTGATAGGACACAAATAGCGTACAGCCTAATTTATCCTAGTCTATACAATCCTCTACCAAATTTGCACAGTTTACAAAAGGCGACGTGAATACTGTTAGAAGGACTTAAAAGTTATTTTCTTCTAACTAGTGTCTGCTTATTTCAGATAACGGACCTAACGATGAGGGTAAAACTACTAAGGAATACATAATGAACCCCCAAGGGAAAAGTTCCGTGTGCATCCTCCACGAGTATGTACAACACGCATTGAGGAAGCAGCCCACCTACATTTTCCGTGAACTGGAGAACGCCGCCACTCCTTACTCTGCAACCGTCGTTATTAATGAAATGCAGTTCGGTACTGGGTACGGGTCGAGCAAGAAGCAGGCGAAGGCAGAAGCAGCCAAGACGGCCCTGGAAATCCTCATCCCCCAGATGAGGGAACAGCTCAATGGCGAAAAGAACGACCAGAGTGAAGATTTTGACTTTCACCAGGTTAGCGAATGATTTAAATCTATCAAATATTGTTACCTTGTATGAATTATTTTGTTTTCTGTAACCAAATTGTGTCCAAATGTTGGTAAAGATAATGATACTAAATTTCCTCCATGGGAAAATCTATAAAACTACCTATTTACTTGAGTGCCCTTTGTACCATATTAGGATAGAATGTATAAATTAAAAAAAGATTTGTAGCATTTTGTTCTGAAATAATATTGGAATTTTTTTAAAAATCAGGTATTCGAACCGTATGGATTGAAGCATACCGGAATTGCCAGTATGTGCAAAGGTTTCGGGCAACCTGCCCCCTACGGCCTCCTCCTCATCTGTCTTCAACGGTAATACAATTTATTAATCAATGTGTTTTGTTCAATTCATAGTTCAACATTTCAAGAATTAATTTGTGTTGGTAGCAACTTTGGCCAAGAAATGAGTAACAGCGTCAAGTTCGAAATGATATCGCCTGGCTCGCAATCCAACAAGTTTCGCCTGACCGTGGGCGCCCACTCTGTCGAAGTGCAGGCGGCAAACAAGAAGGAGGGGAAGCAAGTCGCATCTCAAGAACTGCTTTCGGTACGGAATTCATTAATTAAAATAATAACAATTCGTGTGGAGCGAACTTGCGTCTTATCAAACTATTTGTTTAAATTTATATGCATGTCTATTTATTTGACAAATATGTATTGTAAAGTAAACTTTGAAAACCGTTGTTTATTATTTAACGAACCTTTTATATTCTTAAATTTATATTTTCTTTGATTTTTCAGCTCCTACACCCCAACATTAACAACTTTGGCACGTTCTTGAAAATGTACGGAAACAATTCGATCAAAAGTGTCAAAGTGAAAAAGCAGGAGGAGCAGCAAATCACCGCTCTTCAAAGCAAAGCGTCTGCAAACTCTCCAAACTGGGAGATTCTCAAAAAATTGAAGACGGAAATGTTGAAACTGAAATTGGATCCTCTTCCTCCCTCAATACGACCATGGCCTTCCTGGGTGAAAGACAATAATGTATCCACCCACTTCCACTCGCAAACCAAAAGTGGTGATGGTTGTACTGATGGATCTTCGTCGTCTTCTACTTCTAAAGGAAAAGAATCAACGCCAGCCGTCTCCACCACAGCCACGACCACTTCGGGTGGACGAAATGGTGAAAAAAAGTCAAACAGAAATAATACGAAGAAGCAGAAGAACGATCATTCCACAAGGGATATTCCCATCAAAGAGCATTTATTAGGGACCACTAATTAATTAATTATGTTTTGAACATACAAAATGGAAGGAAAATGCAATGCTAAACCATCCTTACCCTTCCGCTACGTAAATATGCCATATGCATTTAATGAGTGATCCCTTAAGAAGAGGAAAATAAGCGGCTTAATATTCTAGTGATTTAATATTGCCTTCAAGTCATCCACTATTACTCTTGAGTCTTATTCATCTTAATGTTTTTTTAAGTTTTGTGGCCAGGTGGATAAATTATAATAAAATATAATGTGATAGTCTAGTTTAGTTATGGGCAGCGGAAGTAATCAATAGTTAAATATTTAATTATTTAGGAATGTTGCAATTGCAAAAGACAAGTTGGATGGTAATTGTTGTCAATCAGCAATTTCAGAAAGAGCTGGGAAATTATCTCGTAAAAAGTTTGAACAATATTAACAATAATATTATTATGTCTATTTCACATTCGCATCATGTATTTGTTACGATAATTCGTTTATAAACAAATTCCATTTGTTGCACAATTACTACTTATATTTAGATTCATTTGCACTAATAAATTTACAATCCAAATAAATTATTGCAAATGTTAAAATCTAAATAAATTGATACAAGAATCGTTTATCATTATTATCGTGAACCTTTAATGGTTTTGCATAAGTCGGGGCATGCAGAGTTTCACTTTGTCTGCGAGCCAGAGAATGTAAAAGATATGAAAGAGTTAAATTAATTCAGGAATTGTGAGATTTTAGAAAACAAATATTTTTAAAAAACTACGATTTTCTAGTCATCATCATGAGACGCGTAGTGGTGACGGGGCTTGGTCTCGTGACCCCGATGGGCGTCGGCGTACCGGTCGTTTGGGAACGTGTCATCTCCGGTCATTCCGGCATTCGTGGGCTGACCGGGCCTGAATATGCCAAACTTCCTTGTCGTGTGGCAGCCACGGTTCCCACGGACGGTGAAAAAGGTCAGGTCAGGTCAAATTGTAAATAATACAATCTTCCGTCCGTTAAGGTCAAATTATGTTAATGTTATGTCTCTCCACAGGCGGGGTAAATCTGAGCACCAAATTCACCGAGGCTGAACGTCGTTCTTGCTCGAAGGGAATTTTGTTTGCTCTGTTGGCGACGGAGGAGGCCCTTGCGAACAGTGCCCTCTTGACCACACCTGCTTTATCTCAAGAGGCCAAAGAGAGGATCGGAGTGGCCGTGGGGATGGGGATGCTCGACCTGCAGGACGTAATCGACACGGGAAAAACGTTAGAAGAAAAGGGCTACAGTCGAGTCTCTCCATATTTCATTCCGCGAATTTTACCCAACCTTTCGGCCGGTCAGATCAGTATCAAGTACGGATTTCAGGTCTTTTTCTTTCTTTCTCAAATTCTTTTTATTTAATACTTAGATAGTACTAATTAGTTAGTAAGTAATAAACAGTAAATTGTGTAAGCTGGATGAACAACCTGGAACGAAATTATGATTGATGGGGGGTAAACGGTGTCGTATTTGTAGCTTTCTTTTAGATTATCCCCTGATCCATGTATCAAGTCAGGTTTACACAATTACAAAACTTGCCATCTTCTTATTATAAATATTATCTTAATTTAACATAAATTAACTCATCTTCCTTTTCGTAAGATTAGAATAATTTATAACTTTGTGTTGTCGTCGTTTCAGGGCCCCAACCATTGCGTCTCCACCGCCTGTGCCACTGGGGCTCATGCTATCGGAGACGCCTTCAACTTCATTCGCCTCAATCACGCCGACGTTATGATTTGTGGTGGCGCAGAATCCTCCATAAATCCTCTCACAATCGCCACATTCGCCCGGTTACGCGCTCTGTCGACGAAATTCAACGATTCACCGCCAACCTCCTCCCGTCCTTTCGATTCTGACCGAGACGGCTTCGTGATGGGCGAGGGGGCCGGTGTTCTCGTCCTTGAAGCGTTGGATCACGCCAAGCAAAGAGGAGCCCCAATCCTAGGTGAGGTTTTGGGCTACGGTCTCTCCGGTGATGGACATCACATGACGGCGGCGAGGGAGGATGGCCACGGTGCGTTCAGAGCGATGAAAAATGCCATCAGTTCTTCCCAAGTTGACCCCAAGGATATTTCCTACGTTAACTGTCACGCCACATCAACACCAATCGGGGACAAAGCGGAGATTACAGCGCTGAGGAAATTATTTCAGGATAAAAATGTAATACTTTAATAAAATTTTGTCTTAGTTTCCGATTAAAATTTAAAAAATGTAATTCTTGCAGATTGGCCGAGCCCCGATTTCATCCACGAAAGGAAGTCACGGACATCTTCTCGGGGCAGCCGGTGCGGTAGAATCCGCCCTAACGATTCTCGCCCTACATTACAAACAACTACCACCGGCAACTAATATCGTAAATTTGGATAAAGAATTCTCTGGCATCAACATTGTTGGACAGGGACAAGAATCCAATCATCTTCTCGAGACTGACAACCCCAAGAAAAGATTTGTAGCTTTAAAAAACTCATTCGGTTTCGGTGGGACGAACGCGTCCCTATGCTTGGCCTCGTTTATTGAATAAAACAAAAAATTATGACAAAATTTAACAATAAAACAATTGCGTAAAATTTATTTCTCAAGTAAAAATAGAATAATGCAACAATTTATAGAAATGTAGATCGTCATTTTAATCAGAGTAATTATTGTAACTATTTTTTCCTTCCGCCACGTTTATTCTTGGGTGGTTTGAAGCCCTTTGATTTCTTGCCGGCATTGTTGCCCCTCGGAGCACCCTTTAGTTTTCGAAGGTCCTTCTTCATCCGGGGGTCAACCACTTTCATGGGACCTTTGACACCAGCAGGGCGTTTCATTCGCTTTCCACTGTTAAACTTTTTCGCTACGACATACGTTACTTCCTTCTTTTTAGTCTGTTTCGCCTTCTTGTATAATCTGGAAGCAGAAGTTGAAGTTTAGGAACGTTTTTTAAATATTTCATAACATTTGACAACTTACTGCTTAATCTGGCTCGCTTTTTCGTTATCGGTCAGTTCACCCTTTTCTAAAATAGATTCTGCTTTCTTTTTCGCCTTCTCCATCTTCTTCAAGGTGCGCTTCTTCTTTCGTGCTTTCGCCTCAACGACTTTCTTGATCGGACGGGCATTAATTTCCTGGAATTGATAAGCAAAATAAATATACATTATACAAATCATACCTAATAATAACTAATTTTAAGTATGTATTAAGGGGTAGAAATTTCCCATTGTAATTTGTAATAAATCAAAGGTTCGAACCTTTAAGCTGTTCTTGTACTCATCTACCAGCCCGGCTGGGACAGGTGCGGCTTTCTTCATGTGTTTCTTCTCATCCTCCAGGAACCACTCTGGCATTCCCTCGTCGTTGAAGGCGTATCGATTCCAACCGTCGTCGGCAAGCTCGCGACGCGTCTTTTTCGACTGAATCATCACTGAGGCTAAGGCGAGGCCAGCAACGTCCAGTTTCTTTTTCTTTTCTAAAAGTGCATAAAACAACATATTGAAGATAGTGTAAATTTGAGACGAGTGCAAAATCTGACAAAACTTGGAAACGTACTAGAAACTGGTCCCGTTGTTGTGGCATCATCAGCTCCTCCCAACAGACCCGCTACGTCCTCCGCTTTCCTCTTAGCCGTTGCCGCAGCTTTCTTTTTCGCTTCTTTCTTGGTCTCTTTCTCTTCTTTCTCTGCCTTCATATCCTTCTCGAATCCTGGGACTTTTGCCCCCTTCTTGATATACGATTCCGCCAACTTGTTCAACTCGACGTCTTCATCCTCATCGTAACCAATGCTTTTGAAAATGTCATTGTCAAACCAACGTTCCGCTTTTTTCAACCGTTTCACGCTCTTGTCTCTGGGATCAAGGTCGGTGAGCAGGGGAGGGGCGGCTTCGTCTTCGTCGTCCATGTCATCAATGTTGATATCCATCTTGTCTTCGTCATCATCCTCATTTCCACCGAGTCCGAGTCCCTTCTTCAAATCAATTTCTTCATCATCCGAGTCGTCAGAACCACCACCAGAATCGCCCGCGTCGTCCGTACTCTTATAAAATTTCCCACTCTTATCCAAAACTTGTTCATTTTTGGAATATCGAACGACCTTCTTTTTTCTCTTCTCCTCGTAGAATTCCATTTCTTCATTGTCATCCATTTCGGTAGACTCCATATCAGGCATTTGTGGATTTGAGGTCAATCTCTCCAAGTCGTCCATGGTCTTGACGCCTTTCAAATTGAACATGGAGTTTTCCATGGTGTCGGTGGGTCCAGCATCGCCTGGAATAATCATGTCGAGACTAGTCTTCTCCTGGATTTTCTTAATTTCTTTCAATAGTTTCTTCTTTTTGCGCTTTTCTTCCTTTCCTTGCTCTTCTTGAATGGTTTGAAGAGCTTCGGCAAGTTTGGTTTCCGTATCACTTTCATCGTTTGCTTCTTCAGGGATTGTTCCCACTTGGAGGGAGGTTTTAGAATCAGTTTTCAACTTTAGAAATTGGTCCCACTTGTCCCTGAATTTTCAAAAAATAAGAATTTGTTCAACACAAAGAGAAAAATTTTTACAATATAAATCACCATCTCACAATTTAGGAACCTTATTTCTAATTTTTTTAAATTTCGAGTTTCGAGACAAACTTTTGCAAAATTTAGCAACCCGACTGATCGAATTGTAAAATATGTACGCTTTGTGGGTATTAAACTTGTTTGGTATTTTACACAGTTAGTTAAGTTACACAAATTTGTACGAATTGTGTTATTTAAAAAATTCTCACTTACCGTAAATCCTTCCTCCATCCGACGAGCGCCTTGATCTCCTTCCTTCCCAGAACTTTGACATCTTTGCAATAATTTTTGATGTCCTCCGTCGTCTTTGGGTTGCTGGCGATCCATTCTTCATCGATTGTGATCTGTTATCATCCAAAATATAAGATAACATTTATGCCTCCATTAAATAACTGATTAACCACTCACCTCTGACGTACTCCCCAATAGTTCAATATGATCCGCACTTTTGATAAACTCGCTCGCGTTGATTGCTTTATAGAGAAGGATTTCTCCAGTGGGATATCCCTCTGGTTTCTTCTTTTTCCTGGAAATATGAAAAATATGATTAGTTGCAGTCATTATTATTAAATTCTGTCATCATGTCGATAGGATAGATCACTTATACTCACCCAACTTCTAGCAAGAGTTGTTGCAACTGTTTCTTATTCTGAGGTAAATCTACATCCTCAAATGCAAATTTTGGATCCAGGAATTTCGGATCGATCACCGCCGGGGCTAGAAATCCTTTACACACGACAAAGATTTCGGCCGACTCGTTCCTGGAAGCTGCTGGTTTTGTAGAGTATACGTTTCGGAAGAGTTGTTGGCACACCCAGATCAACGAGTTGTAGTCTTTGGATCTGAAAACCTTGGTCACAAAGAAACCGCCCGGTCTTAGAATATCCGTAGCTAGTTTTAGAGCACTCAGAGTGAGACAGTTCTGCTGATAAGCGTCGTGAATCCAATTTTGTCCCACGTTCGGAGCCCCGTCGTTCAAAACTATGTCTGCCTTCCACGTTTTTAACTCTTTTTTAATTAATTGGAGACATTTTGGGGTAGTGATGTCCTCCTGGATGCCGATGCAGCCGGTGACAGGCTTGATTGGGAATAAATCCACTCCTACAATTAGTAGTAAATAGTTAACTTGACATTAATGGCTAGTTCCTGATTAAGATCCATTACCAATCACTAAGCTGGATACGGGCATGTTCTGTACCGCGACTTGCATCCATCCTCCCGGTGCGGCGCAAAGGTCGACTAAAACTCGAGATTTTTGTAAGAATTCAAATTTTCTGTTCAACTGGAGCAGCTTGAAGGCAGCTCGGGAACGGTAGCCTGGACGGAAATGATGATTCTTAGTTCACTCTTCAGTAATTAATTATTATGTAATTATTTAACGAACGACTTACCTGTTTCTTTAGCCAAATGGTAAAACTTATCTTTACGCTGTTTTCCAATTTTAGTCTTTTTCCCCATCTTGTCGAATCTTTAATCGCACCCCGAGCAGGGTGGATAAGGAACAGAGTAAAATTTTATAAAGATGTCGAAGGAAATTAAAAATTTCTGGAGGAAATGGAAACACAATTTCATTCACGACATACACATGAACCACGCTGGTTGAGTGAGGTTTATTCACGTGTTGAGGCTGAACATTCCGGGCAGATGGAGGGGCACGTGAGACTCCACTCGGCCTGAAAATGGTTTCTCACTTTGTAAACTTTGTAAAATTACGAAGCATTAAAAATACAATTTCTTGCAGGAAATTTATTTTTAATCTTTTTTAGTTCCATTTCATTTCGTAATATAAATAAACTTCACTGAATTGATAGCAATTTTTTTACAAATCTGAATGCGAATGAATGCAATTGCAATTATTGAACTACAATTAATTGGAAACTATTTATGCTTTCATTATTTAAACATTTTTATTGAACGTTCTCTAAACTGACTAACAAACAGCGACAATAAATATATATGAATTAAATGACATCGTCGTCCACGAGCTGCGTAATAAAGCAAGAAGTAAATTATGCATTTCATTCAAGTTGAGAAATTTATGAATTTTAATAGACCTTGACAAAAATCTCATCTTGCTGTTCTTCCAACTTACCCAAAGAACTCAATTTTTAAATTTTCCAAATTTTGCAATGTACAAAATTTGAAAAAATTTCCGTGTGCACTACTCGGGCTTGCAACTCAGTCCCCCCATTAACTGCCTAGCAGGTGTGCCGGTTTTAATACATGGCGCAAATGGTTGCATAACTATTTATCCCTGTATGCATCACGCAATTAAGAAACCTCATACATTAGCTAGCAATGTATAGTACAAAACAAATTCAAAAACTTTGCAAATTAGGGCCATTTCTAAAACTGATTGTAAACTTGATGATTTTAACAAAGTTTACAAATGTTTGGCACCTTTTACAAACATTACATTCAAAGGTTATTTTTTCAAAACTTCGAAAAAAACGTTTTCGTGTAGAAAAAAGTTCTTGTCGAAATTTTGTCCTTCGTAAAAGCTAATGTTTGAACCGGCACACCTCGTCCACAAGGGGACACCCATCAGGATGATTAGCATTATAGAAGCACTCGTACGACTTGACGTTCTTTCCTCCTACTACCGCGCCTTTCTTGGTCACATCATCGATAACCGGTCGTCGGAGGTGGACGCAACCATTCCTAATGCGGAAAATCTGGTGGTGATTCTTCATAAGGGTTTGCAGCCCCTTTCCCTGATTCTGGATGAGGTCCCTCTCCTCTCGTGTGAGAAGAAGGGCAGCTTCCGCCAGGGTAAAATCTCTCCTGCCTCCATTCCATGGTTTCGCGTAGGTCGGATGACTAATTATCCCCTCTTCGGAAGTGAGTAACGAGTCGAAAATCCGCTGTACAATCCTCCTCACGACAGTGCGGTCGACTTGGGTCAAATTGTTGATCTTTTCTACCGGAGATCGAGGTTTGAAGACTTTGATATCTGAGATTGAGTTGTCTGTGGTAGGAAATTCGGAGACTTTGGAGACCGCGTAGTCCCTTGCAAGTTGCAATGCGGTTATGTTTTCTGGACAATCTGGCTCCAGTGTGGTCCCAATAATGCAGATGCGTTTTGTCGATGGGATTCTCAATTTATCAATGCGGATAGAGTAGCCACATCTCTCTCCGACTTGGGCAATATAATGGATATAGTTTTGGTACAGGGAGTCCGCATCGCAAGAGTTTTTAGCTTTGCGCTGAAATTTCCCGTGGAAATCGAAGAGGCAGCAGGGGATGACGATAAAGCCCGCTGTGTTGAATCTTCTGGCCATAACGGATATCCAGGGGGTGAGTTCGTCGGCGTGGTTCCCGATCAACCACTGGTTTTCGCGAGGAGGGATGTCGTCACAGAATGGGTTGAAACTTTGGACCTGGGGAAATATTTTATAGTGAATTCATAAAAATTATAATTAAAGTATAATTAATGTGTATGTGTATCTACTACTAAGATTTACCCTTAAATCTGTCATGACACCAACGTGGGGAAAAACGTCCCATAGTTTTCTCGACCGAATATCAAATCCGAAGCCGGTAGCACCGTAAGCGGTCAAGGCGAAAGTGAGGACGCCGTTGCCACACCCCATATCGACGAAGGAGAATGATGGAGAGGAGGAGTTGGTAGAAATATAAGTCTTGATATAGGTCGCAATCCCCATCTCTTCAGATATGAATTTTACGGGGTCCGTCGTCTCAGTCCATAACTGGCAAATAAAAGTGACAATGTGCATTAAATTATTTTTTATTAGTTAATTGATCAGCATTTTGATACTTCTTTTAAAGATTCCGAAAATGACAGATTTTAAACACCATTTTGTGTTGTGTTGTAAAAATTGAAATAAAAAACATGCATAAAAAGCAGTAACAGTTTAACCAAGTTTTTTTATGAATTTAAACACCTACCGACTGCAATTTCGTAAAGTAAGCCTCTTTAAGTCCTTTGTACTGCTCATAATAAACTTTGACTGGGACGTATTTCAACGAAGTGGACGGCACACCTGGCGCCGTGTTGGGATATTTGCCATCCTGACCGAAACTATTGTTGGAGGAGGCCCACTTGATTATTTTGGGGATGACTTTGTCCTTGTAGAACTTTATCGACTGTTGCATCAAACGAGACGACGACGTGTCTCTATTTCGGTTATGCACCTCGATCTTCATCACATAGTCGTCCACCGAAGCTTTAACGAGAGAGCAGACGAATCGGAGGGGAGGGAGTTCCTTGTTCGGGACTAAGTCTTGACTCTCGATGACGACGACGCAGTCCTCCAGGTCTGAATGAGGAAGTAACAAAGAAAGAGAAGAGTTAGCAAACCATTTCCTAAGGTTTCAAACTGTATAAACTTGTAAATTTATCGCATTAATTTAAATAAGTTTAATTTTGACAGAGTCTTGAAGATTTTATGTTTAACTTGATATTTTTACGATCATTTTATACCTTCAAAGACAAAACTCAATTCGCCTTTCTGTTTACAATTTTACTAAATAGACACACTAACAATCTACTCACCCCAAATTTCTCGACATACGTATTCCCTCAAGGTGTGTCCAATTAGATGTCTCTCCAAGGTAAACCTATGCACGCCCAAGTCTCTCAACTCGTCAATTACGGACTTTAAATATGGCTCTTTCAACCCCTCTATTAAATCTTGGGGGACGTCGTCAACCTCGCAAAGTTCGTTGTGTTTCATGGTGTAGAATTTTGGCTGTTGCCCTTCTGATGCCAACTCTGCCTCAAGAACGAGTTCGGCCCCTTTGATGTTTCTGTTGAGAATGTGCGGCCTCGTTGTGAAGACAGAGAGGGCGTAGAAAAATTCGAATTCAGATGCGACCGGGCCACTCAAAGAGAATTCGTGGAGCACAGAGTCAGTAACGTCCATTGCTTCATTATCACTAATGGGAGGAGGAGGAACGGGACGAGAGGAACTACTGTCCATTGAACTACTTTGTTGGTGATTGGCCGCTTCCATTATCACATATTTTGTACTGTGGAGGACAATATCAAAAATCAGTCAAAATGTGTATTAAATAAGACCATTCATTTATTAACTACGAGAGAGAATGACAATGACAATGACAATCAATCGTGGATGGTTCAAAGAGTTGCATTTGTATAACGATTAATAAATGTAAAACGGTATTACGATCAGACAAAGCAATTCGTAATTTTGGAGCTAATTAAGCAGCATCCAAAATAGTTGGCACTTGAAGAGTACTGCAAATAAAATCATGGCTTGAATTTGCTGCACTACAGGAGATGAATTTTTTTTAAACTTCAAACTGCGACAAAATTATTTAAAACAAATGCTAAACTTTGCAGCTTACATCATTTAAAGTTTTGGGATACAGATGCAAAAAGAACCTCGTTGAAAATACAGTTTACTATAACTTTAAATACCTTCTTTAGGACCCACTGCCAATCTTTGACAGCTTGTTTAATAATGTGATTAATTCGTTCGGGATCAGATTCGTCTGCGTGTTGGATATAGCTCTAATTTACAAAACAAAAATCAAGTTAGGCAGCCGTCATGCTTATCACGTTACAATGATTACCCACCTGTCGGATATGATGTCTATAATACTTCTGCAATTCAGGATTAGGAATTCGGGCACACTGTCGATACAAATATTTGTAGAGACCTTTCGCCGATAACGTCGCACTGCTGCTAGAAGAACTGCTGCTGCTACGATTAAGTAAAGAACTGCGAACCAAAGACAGCATTCCACAGCCTAAAGAAATATCCCATATAAAACATACATTTTATTTTAATTGCTCATTTGTTAATTAATTAGAGTCAAATCATTTACTAAATTAATAACTTATTCAAAAAATGTTATTTGTTTAATGGTTGAATTGAAATCTTGCCTGGAACTTTGACCTCTTGACGTTACAGTGACGGAAGGTCAGTTAAGGTCAGACCAGTGGGTGAAGTTTGAAGAAACGTCAATTAATTAATTGCAATTAATTAAATTTCTCCATCCATCCAGTTCCAGTCCAGCTTGTGGATTTTGCGAGATGGGGTGGCTGAGATTGCTTCGGCCAACTTGCCGCCAATGCAACGTTCACCGGTTCAACTAACGTGTGCTCAGGACAATGAGTTTTAAAGTAAAATAATTAAAAGTTGTACAAATTTAATAACTTGGTGCCACTCTTGGTAAATTTATGAGGAGAGTGTGTACTACAGTCTGACTGAACTTGTCTGTACGACGGATAAGTTGCTGCTTATCATTTACTTGTTCAAACTCGACCTACACACACTACACAGGATTGGAGATAAATTGATAGATTCGCTCGTCTGTCCCCACTGGGCGCCATGTCGACGTTATATCCCACTACGGGGATCGCACCCCCTGCGAGACCTCCAGAAGTGGATAAGAGACCGCTTCTCAGCGGCAAATATGCCACCGTAAGTTCACATTCAATAACCGTTGTCATTCATTAAGGTGAAACAAATTGTTTAGAAACTATTCATCCCAGAAATGATATCCATTTTACGCCCAAAAGTCAATCAATTCACGTGTTTTACTTTTTTATAACCAGTTCTCTATAAATTTAAACCGTGGTTTTGACATGCACAAATGAATGACAATAATGATAAGTCTCTTTTTCCTCCTTAGATTTTGATATCTCGCGTGGTGCAAGCTTCTTTTATCATCTGTTTAGTCCACATCTTTGCCCTCATCTGGGTTCGTGGATTCGAAAAGATTTTCAACTTTGGTAGCGGCGATGACGACCTCAGCGATAAATCTAATTCAAGACCATCTCAGGGCATGACATTATTCTCCTTGTTCAACTTCTTGCCAATGTTTATACAATTTGTTGCCGGGGTTTTGAACCCTGCCACATTTTGGATCCTGCTTTCCTCAATCATCCAAGTTTGTGTCGTATCTAGTATTGCGAAAGGTAAGGGAAAATTTTACCTTAATGTGCACAAGTTATTATAAATTGTTTGGTTTGTATTTTTCAAGTCTGTCCCTCGTTTCCGACGACTCGACAAGAATCGGTGGTCGGGCTTTTATGTGGAAAATTTTCAGGGGGTATACTCGCTACGATTTTGATTGGACTCACCAACGCCATCATCACCCACAGCTATTTGAGTGTGGCTACTGGTGAGATTGAACTTTTGGTGAGTGACGGAAAATCGAATGGAGGAGAGTTGAAGGAGTGCCCCGGACTTGGGTAAGTTCTTATCGTAAGAAGAGGTTCATTAGGTAAGAAATAAATATGAAACTTTGATTCTATAGTGGGCCCAGTGTTCTCTGCTGGACGGACCAACGCAACACCATTATCCTGCTGTCCGCGTTATACTCGACCTACGTCTTTTTCAAACAATACGTTACAGTAAACTTTGTGATGGCATTCCCAACAATCGATCTGCAGATGGGAGACCGGTTTCGCTGTTCCGTCTCCAAAGCATGGAACGATTGCAAACAGTATGTCACCTTTTTCGCCACATTTGACCTCGTCCTGGTCGGATTAAACAGTAAGAAATTAAGATTACTAATTGGCATTATAATTATGAGAAATAATAATTATAAGGTTATGAGAAAAATTGGATTTTATTTTATTTAGCATTACTATTCATCGTTTCTAAATCCTACCTCCACAATTTACTCGAGTTTGGAATCCTGTTCAACTTTCGGTTCTTTCTCCATATTCTCATTTGGCCAAGTGTCGTCCTTTTTTCTACGAAATTGGTGTGGCGCATTGTCGAAATCGTTATGACTGAGGTAATATAATTGAATTGATGTTATTGAATCTCAATTTTGTTTATATCTTAAAGACTTTATCTAAATTGTATCTTTTTTTGTTGGGATAGAAGTTGAATATTCCACTCGAGTCCAAATATCCCTCTTCCACGGGGATAATCCTTCTGAGGGATGCCATGCAGTGGGGCCCCCTTCCAATGAAATTCTTGGCCTTTTTCGAGTTTAACATGATGGCTTGCATGCCCACCAACCAGAAAGTGATGGAAAACTTTTTTACCCTCAGTCATCCAGGTACTAAGGTCTAATTAATTTTACCCCAATTACTAATATAACTTCGCGAAACTGGTAATCAACAAGCTAAATTTTTATGTCAAGCCAGGTCAAGTAATTTCCATGTATCTATAATTATCAGTTTATATTAAAAAAATCAAAATTCGAAATTTAATTTGACACGACCATTGAACGTATATGCCGGCAAAATATTGACATATGTGATGAATCCAGTTAGCCACTAATACTTTTATCCAGGTAAACTTAATTCCACTTATGAAAGCTTGTATTTATATAAATTCAATTGCACGAATGAAATGTTTTATCTGCTTGTAATACAACAACAAAATTTTTTCTGCATACAATTTATTTTTGCAATCATTTAATGAAAACTTTCACACGCACAATTTATTTTACCTGAATAAACACTTTCATACGTGCAGCTAATTTTACCTGAATAAAAGTGCATGCTTTTATTAGTGGCTAACTGGATTCATCACATATGAATATATGACTCTTGAATGGTTTATCAACTTGGTTTCTGTAATTTACAGGTTACCACGCGCGAAACTGGACTGGCGTTATGGACGCCGTGCTGAGCGAATGCACTGATTTAATCCAACGTTTGGACACCTACTCAAAGAAAAAAGAGACAAGTTCTTGGTGCCCTGCCAAGACCAGCACTCCCGTCACGGTGCCAAAATTCTTCGCTTTGGTCGAAGAAAGAGAAGACATTAAACTCAATCCGAGCGCGTATCGCCGTAAAACCTTGGACATTCGGGATTTGAAAACGTAATATCAAGTTAAGGGCCGTGTATAAATAAGTAGATATTTGTTTTTAACAATCCATTACGATAGGAAAACCAGTGATAAATCGGGGTGCCACAATTATTGATAATTAATTATGATATAAAATCGGGGTATCACGCTATCCTAATGTAATCGATTACACCCTTTATACACGGCCTGCAGTACTAAGCGAGTACCAAGAAAGATAGTTTATATCGCTCTAATTTTTACTTTGCAGACCAACAAGCCTAGTGAGCAAGCCCTCAGCGCGAAATGCTTTCCAAGCTGCGCCACAAATTTTTAAAAAGAGTTTTTCCAACTTATGGACACGTTTTTGGAACTATCAGGTTAATTGGGATACATTCAATTCAAAATTTAATTGTCAAGTATTAATTCAGTTAATAATTTATACTGTAAATTAAATAAGGTTGGCTCTGTCACTACCCGGGTTAAGTCGTTTGCCCAGGAGAAGAACTCTGCCATGGAGTTCGCCAATATCCTCTCCACCGGACAGCCTGTTGTCATCTGGGGGATGAACGGCCTCGTAGAAATTGCCACGCACTCCTTCGTGTACGACCAGTACGGCGCTATGCAGCGTGACGTGAATCAAATTATTTCCGTCCTTCTCACCCTGTACCAGGTAAAAATATACTAATTATTCTAGTCAAGTCAAGTAATCCTTTATTAACATGTCAACAAATATCAGTTAATATAAACTGGTTAATATAATCAGTTAATATTCTTTAATTATTCTAGTACTAAATGTAGTAATTCATTCATGTGACTTCGTTTTCCAGACGTTAGACGAAGCGACGGCAACAATGGTCAGGAAGGTTGAGAAGGTCTCGACCTCAAAGCCGAACAATGATAAGGTAGCCGTGTCCCTGACTTCCTCTCGACAACTAGTCACCAGCATCCTCTTTTCACTAACTCGACTCCATGGATCCTTCCATCTGTATTACAAGTGCGTCTTATAAATATTATACAAACTTAATTAACAATATAATAACTAAATTACTCTTAATTTTTTCCTATTTAGTACCCTCGGAATTCCTGCTTCTCAACAGGAAATGCTTTATACCTTGTCCGATATGACGAAACCCCAACTGCAGAAGAGCCGATCTTCTCATGATGACAGTTACTCCGCTTTCATCCCTACTGATTAAGGATCTCTACTATTTACATAGTTAATTCATAACATTAAACACGTTAGTTTTAAGTTGATATATTAACAATTGGTAATATTATGACGACAGAGGACTTATACGTTATACATCTAGTACTTTATACATATGTACATACTTATATTGCAAGCATTATACATGCAATAATACCCTTAATGTGGATTCCAATTGTGGACAAACCAACTCATAACTAATTAGAGAGATGCCATGTAAAACTTGTATTATTATTCGCAACGGAGATAATATAGATAAAGATAAATAACTAAATATGATATGCGCTGAATAAATATTTTACATTTTTGCACATTTTCAAGTAAAAAAATAAGACTGACTAGTTCGCATGACGTTTTTCCTTCATTGCATGTTGATGAGATTATGATTTGTTGTCTGCTGTTATCCATCTACTCGTTCATCATCATATATTGTTACTCTCATTCTCACCCCATTAATTGTTACTGTTTTGCGCTTATTGTTAGAATAACAATTCTAAACTCCGTTTCACGTTACGTGAGTTCATCAAATTCCGAATTATTTTATTATTTGACACCGGTTATTTTTAGTTTGACGTTTAAATTATTCAATTTCGTATGATTTTTACGCCAAAATCAAAACAACGAGTGCCAAATAATAAAATAATTTGGCTAATGTACTCAATGTGTCACGTAACGTGAAACGGAGTTTAAAACTTGTGAGACGGAAAGTGAAGATGAAATGGTGGTTTGGGGACAAACTAAATGACGGCATTTTGTATGTATGAATTGCTATCTGCATAATAATGCATGAGAATCGTACATACCATCAAGTAATTCGACTGAACAGAATATTTTGAGATGGAATGCTCACGATAAGAAAATGAATGACCATTCATCAGTTATTGAGGTCTGCGTATCATAATTATGTATATGCAAACTGAGATTTCCTGCAGAAGTATTGAGACACCTTCGTCCGTTTGGATATGCAGCCCAGCATGGATTACATGTCATTTTGCATAATGCATTTTACATGCAAAATTAACCTCTCCTACTGCATTTAACCTAAAGAGTCATTTTGCAAACCACTGCTTTGCATACATGTACTCGTTCTCTCCTCTTCTTTATCTCTATCCATAACACACTCTAAAACACCATTAAATTTTAAATATTAAATATTTACCAGTAATAATGCCCCGGATTTATTAAAGATTTAAAAATTACTAGAAGTGCCAAAAATAATGGTTGCTTTTGATGGATGTATTTTAATTTTTGAAAAGAATTGTGTTCATGGGAGTGCTGAATACTACATACGCGTGGAGGTAAAGAGGTTGCACTGGAAGAATGATATAATATTGTAGACAGAAATAAATGTGGCGAAATTTTACAGGCAGAGCAAATACGTTAAAATAAATTTATGTGAGACTGAATATCAGATTAATGAATTTCATTGAAACGTTACAGTCGACACGTTGCAATATTCGTGAGCAATTTCGTATTGTCTACAGGATTTTGGTTCACATTAATCAGAAATTATTCCTTTTTATAATTTATGTGAAAATGTATTATAGAAAGTGGTTGCTTATGCTATGTGATTTTATGGAATACAAATTCTGCAATATAACCGTTATGGAAAAGGGAGTATGAAAAGTGACCGCACACGCCCAGTATGAGCCCTGCGCCCTGCACGGTTTACTAATAAATGTACAGACATCTGACCTTTCTTCTCGTCATTATGAAATAGTCGTCACTAGTCAAGCGTCGCATTTATGTCGGCACACGGAAAAAAAGGAGGAAAAGCGATTCAAGGTTTTATATTTAAAATGACTTTACTAATAAAAACCGCTCTGATAAAAAAAGTAACATAACAAATATCGTGTCATGTTTACAGAGTAATAATTCAATTATGCTATTTCTATCAGTCGTATGAAAATAATTATCTTGCCATGAACCAGGAAGATATAAATGTAGAGTATGGAAAACATATTTTTCAGTTGATGGGACGTTCTTTGGCAGGAGAAGGATGAAATTCTTTGGGGTGAAACTTCATCAAATGCGTTCCAAGGTTGGTTTTATGTTTGAATGTATTCCCACAGTGAGGGCAGCGGTACCGGATTATTTTGACATGAACACCGTTCAGATGGTGTACCAGGTGATCCTTCGTGCTGAACCTCTTGGGGCACTGGGGGCAGGTGACCTCCTTCACCTTCCGGTGAACTGTTTTGACCAGGTTTTGCTTTGGAGTGAGACCTAGCTGGCATTCATCCCGCTTGAAGGGATCGAATTTTCGTTTAGAACTGTGAATGCGCTTGTGTAATTTTAGATGACTAATTTGAGTGTAGGGCTTTTCCTTGGTTTGTCCGAGAGTGACACCGGATTGATGTTTGACTGGAGTACTGCAGAAGTTGCAGTCGTCTCGCCATCGCTGCCTCACTTCCGCTTGCTCCTCTCTGCTCAAAAAGAGGAAGAGATGACCGATAGCAGTTATTTTCTGGGTGAACTTCTCTTCACAAACAGGGCAACCGTCGTTCTTCTGACCTTCGTGCGCATTGGGTGTTGTTGGCTGTGGTTGGAGGGAGTGGGTCTGCTGAGCAGGAAGTCGTCCATTCTCTTGACCACTTTCACCTGTGTCAACTTTCTCTGCTGGAACGACGAGCAAATTCTGGTGCGTCTGGTTGACCTCCGCCTCCATTCTGTCCAAGGTGAACGTCGCATTCTGCTGGTCAGTCCCCTCGCTAGCAACTATCGATTCCTTTCTCTGCGCACAATATTATTTATTAAGGGTTGAACAACTTATCCTGAGTTTATATGAAAATCAAGAGTGCAATCTTACCAAAGGCTTGATCTTAAAACTTTGGTCTGATGCATGTGTTCGGGATGCAGTCGGTTCGGGAGTAATTTCCAAGCGACGTTCAATTTGTCCAGCATTCTTTACTTTGCGTCGTTCCGCTCTCTTTTTCTCGTAGTTTTGAAAGGCTGTGGGAAAGTTGGTTGCGTCCATCGCGGCCTGGAGTTCAGCCATGGACTGCTCAAGAGTGGCGTCGTTTCTCACCGAATAATCATCTTCCTCCATCTGCACAAAATTGAGTAGGTACAATGATGAGCTTAAAATAACATGTAACTTTGATCAGAATATCACCGAAATAATGGACCACGTAGGGGTCACAATGCTCGAGACGGTGTCGTCGATGACGTTGGCTAAAGTGTCGCTGCAAGGAGCTAAGGCTTCTCGGCCTGGAGTGAAGCCAGCGCGTTGGTGCTGCACCCACTTTTGAATTCTCGTCATTGGATTCGCCTACATGGAAAATTGAATAAATTATTACGATAAAGCGACACGTAACATTTCCACTCACCATCGCGTCGTCCTTCACGTCGTGGTCACTAGGGCAGACCTCGAGCTCTTTGTCCGTCCTCTTCTCCTTCGCCGTCACCGCGATGAGGGAGGAACTCGTCGCCCCTTCCAAAGCAACGGACACTGCCAAACCGTCCGCAAAGCCGGCATAGGTCTCCATTCGGTTGTTGTGAAGGTCACTTATCTCTGCGACGGGGTGGTCGCGGTGGGGTCTTCTGCTGTATCCCGCTCCTGCCACCACCGGAGAAATACCGTAGAAATAGAGAACCCTCACCGCGCATGGAGATTAAGGCGCACAGGCGTTGTGGCATCTTTATAACTTCTGGCGAGACTAACTTGTTGGAAAAATCGGAAATCTACCAAACAATGTAAACTCGGTGGAAGGAAATCAAATTTAGAGATGGCAAGTGAGCTTTTGTTTGAAGGGGAGCTTGTATTGGTCTCTATCTCCCTCCGATTAAGAGATGGCTTGGCTTATCTGCGTATCCCACCAACAGTCAAATCTCTAGCTGACTTAACCTCGTAGTCAGTACCTTTACCAAAACAGAAACAAAATGCGGAATATTTCTCTGTGTGGAATTAAGCAACAAAATCGTGGCACAAGCAATAAGACGGTGGTGATCATTCATTAATTATTCAATGCAAATTGAGTCGGTTGTCCACCTCTGGAAGAAATATGCATGCGTCCACAATCCACACTCTCTCAAATTTGGTTATGAATCAGGATTCCTTTCTTCCGTTCTTATGCCCGTGCTATCTTTCTACCTTTCCATGCAGATTAGAATTATGTGACAGTTTCATTAACATTTGAACCTGAATATGAAGAAAATCTCTAGAAAAGGACCTCTAGATACGATCGAACCCACCATTCGTCATTATGTATTTGCACAGTGCAGAAGGCAGAGTCAAGTCAGTGGAAAATTGTAAAAAAGATAGCCCCGTTTACAAAGTAGTAGCAATTAAATAGTGCATTAAAATCTAATAAGTAGTAATGCAGATAGTATAAATCTAAATAATAATACCGATTAGATAATAATGAAATAAACGCCAATCCGAAAACCCAGAATAATAAAAACTAAGCGTGAGAACAGAAAAATAAAAAGATAACTACGAAGAACGGATCGCCAGTGGACGTGACCTTGTTTGGCAGGAGAAGAAGGACGAAATTCTGAGGGAAGGACCCTTTCCACATGACCCCAGCATTTGCTCTGCTCGTGAATGTCGGACCGCAGTGGGGGCAGGGATGCCGGATTTTGAGATGAATGCGGTTCAGGTGGCGCACCAGGTTACATCTTTGTGTCAAAATTCTTGGAACACTGAGGGCAGGGGATGTCTTTCAGCTCCCGGTTAACTGTGTTCTTGTTGGTGACGTGACTTTGTTTTTCAGTGAAAGCTTGGTCGCATTCGTCGCATCTGAAAAGTTTTTCCTTCGTGTGAGGCACCAAGTGAGAATTATAGCTGGAATTCTGTGGGGAGACTTTCTAGGGGCAAGACAGACACACTTGACTCCAACCTTGGTCAACTAGTGCGGCTTTCTCGTCATCGTTGAGATAGGTGAAATGATGATCGGTCAGAGCTGCTTTGGAGGAGAACGTTTTTCGACAAACGTGGCATCTTCCGCCCACTTTGTCCATGATTTCGCCCAAAAGATAAGTCAGACCAGATGGGCTTTTGAACCGGTTGTTGCAGAAGAAGGAGTCGTGTCGCCAGCCCTCTTTCACCTCCGCTTGCTCCGCTGGGCTCAAATGGACGAAGAGATGACCGGTCAAGTGTGCTTGCTGGATGAATTTTTGTTCGCAAACGGGGCAGTCGTGGGTCTTCCTAAGTACGTTCGTGTGGATTGACGTGGTCGGTAAAGAGTTGACAGTTGAAGAATACTTTAGTCACATCGCATGGAAAGTGCAGGCCCGCTCCAGCGATTTGAGGTGAGTGTGGATGCGATAAGTGTCGTTGTTGTGGGGGAATATATTGTGGCAAAATGAGCACCCTCAACTTAAACCCTTCTGCTAATAATTTTTTCTATTTTCTGCGTAGGCGGACCCAATGATGAGAATTTAAAAGTGGGTGCAGCACCAACGCGCGTCCTTATTCGACCCAGCCTTCGCTCCTGACAGAAACACTCGCCACCTTTACCTCCTCAAGCATCGTGGCGTCCATTATCCATTATCCATTGTCCATTATCTCGTAAGATTTAAATATTCCGTTTCGTGTAACATACATAGAAGACATTTTGAACTCACACGAAATTTTGTGCAGACTGATCTTTTGCTGAGTCCAACCTTGAGCAATCTATGGCTGAATTTGAAAACCTGAAATGTAGGATTCGACAAGGAAGGATTTTTTACTCTCGAACACACGCCTCACTCCCAAATTTTAAGAACGATGGTAAGATTGCGGTCTTAACTTTCTTATAAAATCTGTTGTTCCACTCAATATGCTGACCTAATAATATTGTGTGTAGATAAAGAGACCAGACAATGTTACTAGTGGAAACTGACCGGCAGAAAGGGCAGTCATCGTGGTCGTCGCGTCGTGGATAAAATCTACCCATGCAAAATACGCCTCCGTCCCTTCACCAACAAAACCAGTCCTCACCTCCACGCCCACACCCACCTCAACAGCGACGAATTGAAGCAGACTTCAATTTCCCATCCGCAGTGTCCCCACTGCCAAAAACTTTTCCTCAATCGTCAGCACTTTCTCGACCACATCAATCCCCACGAAGGTCGGAAGAGTCATTATTTACAAAAAGAAGTTTTCCCAGAAAACAAGTCTGATCCACTATCACTTCGTCAATTTGAACCTAGGGGAGCAAGCGGAGGATGAAGCAGGGATGGCGATGCGACCGCTCCTTCTGCAAAAAACGATCCAAAAGTCCATCTAGTCTCACTTATCTTGTGGGCCAAACCATGGAGAAAGTGGACAGGAGAGGCCACCTTTCTCGAAGAACTTCTCCCCAAACAAGTCCGAACCAATCATTGTTCCATCCGTCTCTGCGAAGATGAAAGAGCCGCACGGGTTGAGCAGGATTTGGGCCAAGTCTGCCTATTTTGTCACAAGATATTCGCCAACAACCCCACTTATCGGTCTCACCTGGTCGCCCACACGCAGGAAAATCCTTTCAAATGCGACGAATATGACGAAGCCTTCACTAAAAACAGTCTCTCGTCACCCACAAGAAAACTGTTCATCGGATGCTGAAAGACATCCCTTTGCCCCCAGTGCTCCAAGAAGGTTGGCACGAAGAGTGACATGATGCCACGCCTGAACAGTTTTCGTCACAAAATCCGGCATCACTCCCCCCATTGCAAACTGACATCCACGGGCAAATCAAGTAGGTGGGGTCATGTCTGGAGGGTTGATCCCTCAGAATCTCGTCCTCCTTATCCGGCCGAACAACGTCGCATCAACTGGGGAAATGTTTTTCACACCTTATACTTTTATTTTTCTGGTTTCAATCTTATTGTTTACTGTTGTGAATTTTTTGGTTGGCTGTTATTTCATTATTGTTTAGTTGATAGTATTATTGAGATTTGTATTATTTGTATTGTTACTCATTCGATTTTAATTCATTGTTTTATCGATGTTGTTTTGAGAAGCTCGTTATGTTTTTACCATTTTCCATTTGACTCTGCCTTCTGCATTATGCGAATAAATATAATAACAAATAATACGCGTTGTCTTCTTGCATACAAAATATTGTGGGGAGGGAGATGATACTGGGGAGAAAGTTTATTGCTTGTTCTCATCCATATTAAAAAAGAGTGCATGAAAATTTTCATTTTTTTCACATCCACACTTTCCTTTCACTTATTAAATATATTATTCACAGCACAATTAAAAATCCAATTATGCGTCACATCTAAAGAATGTCATCATCCATTCATAATTAATTTCCCCTTTGACACATCATTTTCTGGTGAAGAGTGTTTCACTCAAAGACAAAAGCATGTTACACATCGTCCTCGACGGTAGACTCGACGGTAGACTCATATCCTCCCGTCTCCTTTTACTCACATATTCATCTAAATGTATAATTGTCCAGGAATTGATCCTTATCAAGATAAGTACTCATCTTCTCGGAAGTCTGAGAGACCAATTGTTAAGAATAAATCAGAAATCACATCCACGCTACAAATTCCCCCATTCAAAAAATGGTCTGCTTATAGTATTTAATATTTATTATGCAAACTGGGATTTCTTACAGAATTATCTATTCACCTTTGTCCCATTTGTTTGGATATGCAACCCGCAACGTGAGCCCTGTACGATTTAAATGTGATGGACAAATGAACAACTTTTCTCATAACGATAAAACAATCGTCGCTATTCAAGCGTTGCATTTATGTACACGGAAAAATAGGAGATAAACTCCGTTTCACGTTATGTTAGTTCATCACATTGAATACATTAGCTAAATGAGCCGAATTATTTTATTATTTGACACCAGTTATTTTTATTTTGGCGTAAAATTCATACGAAATTGAATAATTTGAACGCCAAAATACAAATAACTGGTGTCAAATAATAAAATAATTCGGCTAATAATGTATTCCATATGATGAACTCAACGTGAAACGGAGTTTAGAATCGAGCAGAGTTTTATATAACACAGAATAACTTTACTAAACAAAACTCATCGTGATAAAAAGTAACAAAAATTGTCATGTTTACAACTTAATAATTTAATTATGCCATTTCCGTCAGTCGTGTGAGAGTAATTATTTTGTCCTAAATAGTAAAATCAGAAATATAAAAATATAACATATGTAAAACATGTCAGTTGGTGTGGCGTGGTTTGGCAGGAGAAGGACTTCATTCTTTGTTTGATGAGAAGCTTGTTGGTCTCTGTCTCCCTCCGACTGAGAAATGGCTTGGCTTGGCTTATCTGCATATCCCACCAACAATCAAATCTCTGACTTAACCTCGTAGTAAGTACCTTTACCAAAAAGGCAACAAAATGCAAAATAATTTATGTGTGGAAAATTAAGCAAGAAAATCCTGATAAGCAAAACGGTGGGGATGATTGTCAGTGATCAGTCATTAATTATTCAATGCAAATTGAGTCGGTTGTCCACCTCTGGAAGAAATATGCGTGCGTCCACAATCTCTCAAATTTGGTTATGAATCAGTACATTTCCTCCGTTCGTATGTCAGAGGTATCTTTTTTCCTTTGCATACATTCATTCCAAGGTCCTGAATTTTACTTACAATTAGTTACGTGTCTACATAAGGTTAACCCGTTAAGGACCAACTACACATATTTGTGTAGTTTTTTGCTTTCCCTTGGGGACCAAGTACACAAATATATGTACTTTTTTGGTTTCCGTTAAGGACCAAGTACACACATTTGTGTACTATTTTGTAGTTACGTTGGGGACCAACTACACACATTTGTGTAGTTTTTTCTTTCCGTAAAGGACCAAGTACACATATTTGTGTACTAATTCCCCGTTACGTTGGGGACCAACTACACACATTTGTGTACTGCGGAAAAATTTTCAAGAAGACCAAATACACACATGCATACAAGTCAAAATTTTATTTTACAAAATTTTAATACGGATCATTTATTTATGCACATTACCAAAAATTATATATCTGCAAAAACTACAACTGTAGTTCGCTGCAATGCATTGTAGGACTAATTTTAAATTGTTCACGCTCAGAAATAAGCGTATTTTGGCGTTTTCCAGAATAGGTATGTTTTCGCCCGTGACGGAATTAAAAAAAAATGAATTTTTAAAGACGCAAAAACGATAATTTTTTGGAAATTAAAAGTTTTTAGCCCGAGTCAGGGCTTATGGAACCGTCATGTCCGTCCGTCCGTCCGTCCGTCTGTCCGGCACGATAGAGCCAAAACGGCTGAACCGATTGACTTGAAATTTTTACCATATGCATATTGGACAAAGTTAGGAAACGAGTTCGAAGATGGGCGAAATCGGTCAAGTGGTTGACCAGTGGGGATCATCGGAGTGGGTGGGGGCTATAAGTGAGCAAATTTTGTCTAGAGTGTGACCCATACAATTTTTTAATTTTAATTTTTTTCATCTGAAATTTGGTACGAAGGCTAAAAACCACTTCTTGATAGCAAATATAGCTTTAGAAGTTCAAAATGGTAATATTATGTCGGTCACTTCGGAGAAAAATTTAGAAACAGCTAGGACTCACGGAGTCAGGGACTCTGTCCCTGACTTGGGCTATATGGAGTCTGCACTGTAGGTTATTATATTTTCAGGGTAGTAATTCTGAACAAAAATTGTGCTTAATTTTTGAAATCGGATTAAAATTCGAAAAGTTAGTTATTCGAAATTCGTTTTAAAAATCCTGATTTGGGCTGATTTTTTAAATTCCGTCACGGGTGAAAACATGTCCATTTTAGAAAACGAAAAAATACGGGTCCGCTTATTTCTGAGCATGAACAATTAAAAACTAAGTCCGGTCAAGATCAGTGAAAACCACTTGGACCTAGCTAAACTATCAAAATGTATGAATCAATAACTTAATATTATTGTAATGAACTGCAGATAATTTTTACTAATATGCATAAATAAATGCTTAGTGTTAAATAAAATCATCAAAAGTTGCCGAAATAAATTCGGTCCTGTATGGTTTGCACACCCACTGTGAAATCGGTGACGTAACTACGCTTACTTTAAAATCATTTTGGTGACGTAGCTACACTATTGGTAAAATTAAATTGGTTATGTAGCAACAACTAACTGATAAAATTCTGGTCTCCAAAGGAAAGCAAATTTCAATTATTTCGGCCACAAAGGGGTTAACTCACTTGATGGTAAATTTTGTGACCGAGAGCTTGGGACCAAGATTGCTTGACAATTTATCATAATACAAGGTTACGACAGTTGCTTCGATAGCCTCAAAAACCTCCATTTTTGAAGTGCTAATTATTTGGGCCGTCGCTAAAGGTAATTAAAGCACAAAAATTTCTGCCAGAACGCCGAAGAGAATTTTGTCAACTTCTAATTCATACTACAATTCATACTACAAATACAAAACCCAGCCTTATATTTGTAGCTTTGTATATTTGTAGCCTTATATTTGTAGATTTTGTGTTATTTTAACATAATTAAGAATGTGCCCCTTCCCATGATGTCGCAATCGAAAAACTGACCTCAGATTCGAAATCAGCGACCAAAAACCTATAAGAATCGACATTGACCCAATGCTAACGACGTCGAAATAATTAATTGAATTATTCGTAACAATTGTAAACATTTGAGATAGGCCGCTATAAAATATGTAGGCAATGTAGGTATACATATATAGTAGTTATATAGTATATAGCACAACTTCCACCTGTATACCTGTGTATAGCTATGTATAACATATGTGTATGTATATAACTACTAAATAATAAATATATATATACATAGTATATATGTGATATATAGCTATACACAGCTGTATACCTATAGCACGCGTGTGCTATATACTATATAAATAACTACTATATATGTAATTATAATATAATTACTAACACGGAACATGTGAGGCTGCTTATCTCAGGTGCTATTAATATACATACGTAGTCTCTATTTATAACAGAACTTTCACCGGGTGCTATTTATAGCACAACTTTCACCGGGTCTATTTATAGCAGAACTTTCACCGCCCTCCAGAGGGTATAAAAGGAGCTGCACCAGAATTTTTTGTCAGTCTGCGGGAGGAGCTCGTGGGGGACGGACATGTCCCTGGGTGAGCTCCCCATTGCAGCTGCGCCCTTGGGCCGCCCTGCCTCTCTGGGGAGTCGGGTCCACCCGTGGTTTGTCCCACAGTCCCGACTCTCTTCCCGTTGGAGGGGTGGTCCGGGGGAGCAACGCTGCAAGGGGAGAGCCTTACGGGAAGGTCCCCCCTCCAATGCTCCTCCCACCAAGCAGGCTCACCGGGTGGGGAGCCGGCGGGGCTTGCCAAAAGTGCGGGTGGCGCTTGGCAAGTGAGAGGGGCTCTCTACCTCCAACCCTTGGGTGACGCCGCTCTTTAGCGATACCTCCCCTTGGGGCCGACCGGGTTCCCGAGTTCGAAGCCTTAATGGGGGCCGATTTACGGGTGCGCTCCCACCTCGTAAGGCGAGGGTCAGACGGGCCCCCTAGGGGAACGCGGTTGCAGAGGCGGTGACGTGGGCAGGGCTTTCCCGGTCGGTGGAGGTAGACGTCCGCGGACGCATTCGGGCGTCCATGGGGGCCGACCCGCGTGGAGCACGAGGGAGCGACGTCCTCGTCGTGTGCTCTGGAAACGCCCTTCTCAGGGCGGCCAACAGCTCCCCCCACTTATAAATGCATGGCATGGCGACAACCTTTGTCGCCATGCCATAATTTCACCATTTCTCGTCCGATTTGCATGAAATTTCGACAGAGACTTCTTTTTGGTGTTATCGACATGTCGCAAGGTCCGACCCGCCGCCACCCCCTTGTTTTCGCCAAATATCGTCGCCATGCCATAATTTCGCCATTTCTCGTCCGATTCCCATCTAATTTCGACAGAGACTTCTTATTGGTGTAGTCGACATGTCGCAATGCTCCACCTACCGCCACCACGTTGTTTTCGCCAAATTTCGTCGCCATGCCATAATTTCGCCATTTCTCGTCCGATTCCCATCTAATTTCGACAGAGACTTCTTATTGGTGTAGTCGACATGTCGCAATGCTCCACCTACCGCCACCACCTTGTTTACGCCAAATTTCGTCGCCATGCCATAACTTCGCCATATCTCTTCCAATTTCCATCGAACTTCGACAGAGACTTCTTTTTGATGTTATCGACATGTCGCAAGGTCCCACCCGTCGCCACCCCCTTGTTTTCGCCAAATTTCGTCGCCATGCCATAACTTCGCCATTTTTCGTCCGATTTCCATCAAACTTCGACAGAGACTTCTTTTTGGTGTTATCGACATGTCGCAAGGTCCGACCCGCCGCCACCCCCTTGTTTTCGCCAAATATCGTCGCCATGCCATAATTTCGCCATTGCTCGTCCGATTTCCATCATATTGAGCACAATGCTTCTAGTTGGTGTTGTCGACATGTCGCAAGGTCCCACCCGCCCCTACCCCCTTGTTTTCGCCAAATTTCGTCGCCAAGCCATAATTTCGCCATTTCTCGGCCGATTTGCATCATATTGAGCACAATGCTTCTAGTTGGTGTTGTCGACATGTCGCAAGGTCCCACCCGCCGCCACCCCCTTGTTTTCGCCAAATTTCGTCGCCATGCCATAATTTTGCCATTTCTCGGCCGATTTGCATCAAATTGAGCACAATGCTTCTAATTGGTGTTGTCGACATGTCGGAAGGTCCCACCCGTCGCCACCCCCTTGTTTTCGCCAAATTTCGTCGCCATGCCATAATTTCGCCATTTCTCGGCCGATTTGCATCAAATTGAGCACAATGCTTCTAATTGGTGTCTTAACCTGCTCAAGAAATAATCAATTTTCCCCACCACCACCACCGGAAATCATCAAATTTGCATTAAAAATTTCCTTAACTTCACGTAACAACAAATTTTTCCCCCAAAATAATCCCAAACTCGTCCCAAGCTCTCGGTCACAAAATTTACCATCAAGTGAGTTAACCTTATGTAGACCCGTAACTAAGTAAAATTCGAGACCTTGATTCATTCTTATTAGAATTATGTGAAACTTTCATGAAAATGAACCATTTAAACGGAAGTCGGAACATGAAGGAAAGCTCTGGCAAAGGAATTCCAAAATGAGGCTGGATTTCTTAATTTTTCTAGTAAAATGTTATGTATGTATATTTAATTAACGGAAATGAGTTCCTTGACCAATAATTTAATTACATATCTTATGCGATGTAAATTGACCACTCCTGGACGAAATATGTATGCACGCAGAATCTCACGAGTTTAGTACGTTTGTTGTCCGTTTATCATCTTTAAGGTCCATTCTTGATTTCTTATGTATGTTACAAGTACAACTAAAGGAATAGAAAATTACTGTATTACTGAAAAAATACAAGTTTTGGAAATCCTCGTCGTTTCCCATCATTTAGAAATAAGAAATATTTAGTGCGGGTCACGCTGTTTGGTTCCCCCGGACAAAAGCAAAACGCTTTTAATTTAATCATATTCTTAAATTTTACGTCTAGTTATGCGAGCTACAAATGTATTTTTATGGCGTGTGAGAATTTTGTGTGTACACAATCCTCCCAAAACCAGAAGCATGTCTCACTCCATGCACTTTTCGAAGTTGGCCAGCGTGCTTTCTCCCGTTACGACTTTCTCTCATCAAGGCCCCCAGCCATGCGATGTAAAAGCACATAAACCACTCACACACACACGGAGTCCATCCAGTTTCCACATTTGTGTCCCAATCAGTGGCCGCGGAAATGAGGGGCAATGTCCCCACGGTTATTTGATGTCCCCATCATCTATGCCCATGTTATATGACCCCCGCCCTCCCCCATCCTACAATGTTAATGTTCCAGATATCCACACGGCTTCCGCGGTCACTGCTGCTAATGCACTATAGCATCTCAATCATCTCGATGGACTGGAAATGAAATTATTCGCGATCTGTATCTATCTCCTCATTTTTGCAACTGAGGAGTGTGTATTCCAGCTGTGCCTTATGACCCCATTCACTCCACTCCATTATTAACGAGTGGTGAAAGTGAAGGGTAGTTTTTGCGATCGATTAGTCCGTCCGTCCCCACGATAACTTTCGAACGAATCAAGTTCGTATATCGAAATCTAACTTTTAAAGTACTTAAGAAGGAATTCCTTAACTGATTTTGTAGGTCAAAAGTTCTATGCGCCACAGTGATGAGGTCAAAGGTTAAAATGTGTAATTTTTGTTTTGACGGTTTTAGACGGCATTTATTTAGAACGGGGATTTAAAAATCAATATCATTTTGAGGTACAACTGCCCCATGAGGTCAGAATCAAAAACATTGAATTTTTAGTTTATATCGTTTTTTCGACGTGTTTGAGTTCAGAAATCACCATCTGTGCAACATAGGTCGACGTGGTGACCGTGTTAACGAGGTCTAAGGTCATAAAATGCAAAACCGTCAAAAATGTAAAAATTTTCAAGCAAATGATGTACCTCGAATCCCCATCACAATTCGTTCTGTTTCCGCCAGTTTATTACTTCTCTTGCTGGACTTAATTCTGGACACAAAGTCGCACTTTTCCAGACCGCACGGAACAGTTATAACAATTACTTTCACCACAGGCAACATGCTGACCGGGTAACTAACAAGTCGAGTCGCTTTAATGGCTTCGTCATTGGTTACGTCAGTGAATACATGCATACGGGTCAAATCTGTGTCATGCATGCATCGAATTAATATGTAATATTATGCGTGTAGGCCATGCAGCAAGGAAACCTTACGTGCATGCCAAACCCAACTAAATAGTGTACGTACGTACGTAGTAACAGATTCATTACTTATTCCGATAAATCCAGCCACATTTTCTTGTCGTTGTTGGCCAAGCATATTTTAATGTGACCTCGTAGAACGGGCCAAAATTCGTGACACGTCCTTCCTGCGAGGCCTCAAGACAGAGTCCCAGCTTTGCCACCTTCTGCCAATTATTTAGCTTCCTCTCGTAATAATTGGCAATCGGGTTGGAGAGCGTGGACGGAGAGGATGACAACTAATTAGCAAGTCTCTACTCGACTCCTTTAGTCCCGTTGCAAATTGTCACGAAATTGATTTAGACTACATTTAAATTAAACTTGTAGGAAATGAAACAATTTGTTTGAAATTTCTTGTAATTTTCTCATCACAGAGTTTTATTTTGTTGTTGAAATCGTCTCAATTTCTGGGAAATTGAAATTGGCAAACTTTTCAAGAGCTAATTGCAACCGTTATCTCGAGAAAGTTAAAGTGAATTTCCGCCTCCAGAAAATAAGGTCCAGGTCACTCCGATGATATTATTTAAGCGAGTTGGAAGGTTTCTCGAATAATGACCAATTAAGTAAGTTGTCTCGTAATTTGACACCCGGATCGTAATTGATACTCGTTTTTGGGAAACATTGTCTACACATTTTGGCATGCCCTTGATGAGACTCGGACTGTAATGCAATCACTCAAACATGTATGTGACCTTGATTCCGATTTTCTGATGACCAACCAACCAGCATATACGTACACAAGTCCAAAAACAAGTACGATTAGATGTAGATTAATTAATTCTGAGAATGTCGGGGGAAATTGGACATAAAATCCCATTAATCTATTCCATTAGAGTCTCAAACATGCCCAAAAACAGGCTTTCGTTTCGGGTGAAAGTAACACCACTTGCAAGAAATAATGGCAAGCAAGTAGTTTTTTGCTGGTATTTTGACCTGCAAAAAATGCAAGGCGCAAGAAATGAGGCCGCGCCGCTATACACATGGCGCACATTTTGCGCTTCTAACTTCCAAGAAATGTAGCAGACCCGCAAAAAACGAAACACATACAGGGATTCAAAACCCCAAGAAACTTTCCATGTTTAAAATAAAATCCGGAATTAATACGATGCAAACATGTAATACGACCCATCGTTTACAAAGTGAAAGCAGTGAAAAGTTAAAAGTTAAAAAAAGTCTCAAAACTGTCCAAGTTACAAGAATGAAAATGTGTGCCTTTTTCCCTCCGAGTTTGAGACCAGAGTTACTGGACTGGATCAGAGTTAAAAGTTGGTTTTGGTTTTATGGTGGTTTCGATGGTCGTACATCGCCATCATCATGCCCACTGCAGTGTTGTACACTCAAAAAGCAGGCATATGATGATGATGTCGAGTGGTGGTGGTGGTGGAGAAAGTGAGCAGGTTTCCAGTGGTACGTATACTTTCGCCTGTTGCACACACAAAATTTTCTCTTTTCCCCTACAAATAGATGAGCCCAGCGAGACGAGGTTTCAGTCGGTGGCAGGAAATCGGGCGATGCGGGTCGACACGAAACTTTCTCCTCAAACTCTCATCCAACCAACTTTCGTGGTGAGCAACTGACTGACATGGACCTCGAGATCCGCTACGAATCGTATCGCTAAACCCACTCCTCGCAGAACCAGGTACGTATTTTTGAACACAATTTGTCTCCCTTTGTGAAGGGTCACCTTCCTATTTTATGCTGTTTGACGTCGTGATAGGTCACGAAATTTAGAGAAAAATCAGTTCCATCCATTATGCATGGGCCACATGATTCTTGACCTCTCTTGACTTGGGCACTCTTCTTTCCTCGAAAGGCTAACCACCCACAAGTAAAAAAAAAGTAGTTACTCATCAGACCCGAGTGAAAGCCAGATTGGGAGCATTTTGTGTCACCCACTTAGCAAAGAAAAAATGGTCCATCCATTTTCCCGCAGAGACAAAGCTGTTGATTATTTCTTATCGCGTATGTAATTCGTTGCGGTTGGTTGTGTCGTGGTTAATTGAAAGGCGACAAGGCAATGTTCGTTGTGCGAGGCATGTGCATCTGTTGGAGGTTAAACGTCCACTTGTTAAATATTTTTTGAGCGAGACGGTGTCTCTCTTTTTTTCCTTTCTTCTTTTCTTCGTGAAATGATAACTTTCTCCATTTTTTATCAGGTGGACAAAGAAAACAGGGGAAGCACAAGTTCTTTCTTTTGGCTTCTTGGTTCGAAATGGTTGAGGTTTTTCTTCTCTGTGTACATGCATTTAGAAAGTTGTGTCACGGTCGTCGTCGTCGTCGTGGTGGTGGTAAAGATTTGGTAGTCAACCAAGCCAAACCACCCACCCGACTTGGGCCGTGCAGGGAAAATGTGATGGTTTTTTTGGCAGATAAGCAAGATAAGCATGATAAATACGTGTGCACACCCTTTTTGCACGGCCCTGGAAGTCAGAATTGTATTTTTTTCTTGTCACGACGACCAATTGTGTGTCCCCCGTTCTTCTGGGCGTTTTGTATGTTTACTTTTTGTGAGTTGGCATACTTGTCTGTGTCTCCTGGTTGATTGTGTCGTCTGGATGGTGGAAAATATATGTAGGTGGGTTTATTGTTTTGTTACGTATGTACATAGAAATAGATTTCGTCATGATAGGCAGATACGCAGGCAGCAGGAGTAGGGGGCGAGTTTCGTTTTATTCGGGATATCCATACATATGATCAAATATTAATATTTATGTGTGGGCTGATTAGCATTAATTGCCACTTTTTCTGCGAAACAGTCACCACTCGTCATCCTCTCTCATAAAATAAATGGGTGCTGCTGCCTCTATAATCTACATATGCGTATGAAATGCATACGTGCGTACGCACCAAGAATTCATGCCACGCAGACTGGAAAAATCTATCTCGAATTTCATATCATACTTTGATAAGAAAAATGTGGTGGCTTGGCGTCGATATCTGGTTTCATGTTGCTCACAGTTTGATGGTTAACTTTATTGACGGCAAAAAGCGGGGGGAACAGGGTGATATTGTACCCTAAGGAATTCAGCAAAATCTTAAGAAATCCCTCCTTCTCCAATCCTAATATGTATGTCCCCATATGTCCCCCCCCCAATTTCCCCCGTCACAGGTCACCCCGCATGAATTTCAAATGGTATCTCAAACTCACTTATTCGTCTCACTTTCACCTTGACTTTCCCATGGTTAAGGTTTCCCTTCTATTGTTAGCATAATAATGTAACATGTAATAATAAGCAAATAAAATTCGTACAAATTTTGGCATAAGTTTGCACATCGCAAAAAAACCTTGAGTTCGTTTGCTGAATGTAAGTGAGAAGGGATGTGTGTGTGGAAATAAATGTGTCAGTTTTGCGGTTTTGGTCGTGTTCCTCCTGCTGCTCTTGCTAAAACCACGTTGAGCAACAAGTCGTTTATTTCATTCCAATAATAATAATCATGTCTCTGCCAGCATTCGTTTTTTTTCTCTGAGTCAGTCTTTTTTTTACTCGTTAGTGAATGAGTCGCAAATTTGTGTGCGAAATGTGTGCGAAATCTTTCCCATTCAGAATTGCAATTTCATTCCTTTTAAATCCTCCCCAATGTGGAGATTGATCTCGACGGGTACATAAGTAGAACGTCTTCACGTACGTGGGTGTGGATTGGAATGGAGAGTTTGATTTGGTGAGTTTTTCAGCATTTCTGATGGGAAAGGAAGGGGCGAATCGGCGTGGGTCTGTCTGACCGAGTTTGCTTCACTGATTAGAAAATATTTCTTCAAAAGTTGCCCAGACCGAGTGAAAACATCACTCGCTCGTTCATTCATGACATGGCAGCCGTATGTGTGTCCGTCTCTCTGGCCGACGGAATATAAGGTAAGAGATATGAGATATGTACATATGCAGAGATGTAGATTACGTAGACAAAGGCTCGTGAAACTATTCGGATGTAAATTATTTCAAGGTTGCGGAATCCTCCCAAAAATTGTTGCATTTCAAAATGTTAATCAATAAATGGGTACAACGAGTGTAACGAAGGGGTGAAACCTGCATTTCAGCCTGATCATATGCAATTGTGTTGTCCGTGAGCGTTTCAACTGCTCTGAACGTTTTTAGTCATATGTAAGCGTTTTAGAGGAAGATGAAAAATATGCAGTATATTTGTGTTCTTAATTAACACTGAAATCTTGACACGATGAGTCAAGTCTCTATGTCATTCCGTTCGAGAGTTGTCTCACCAACGGATGGACGGACGGACATAACGATCTTATCAAGGGGCTTCACCCCTTAATAAGCTAAATATGGAAAGAATTTGCTAGTGATACATACATATATGTACATAAGTTACGTACGTACATATATGGATCTGTCCGTCTTTTATGACCTTGATTTCAATCAACCTCTCTACAAAATACATGGTTTATGTAACACACTATTTTCTACGTGACTCTGTGATTATTTCCCCGTCAAGAAAATATGTAGCCATTTTTTCCATTAATAATTACACATTAATTAAATATGTCCATTTTTTAGGAACTTTTACCTGCGTCACGAGTGACTAGGGACACACGTATATATTTCATTCCGATTATGCAACACGTAGATAAATCCATATGTTTAATGGTGCAGTAGTCACCCAACGAGCATCCTTGAGGGGAAAGAGCGTATCGTGGAATCAATTCAAGTCTGAATGGTATTTTGGCCCATTTTGTGAGTCGTGTCAGTTGCAGATCGACCAAGTTTAGTTTCATTCGTTGTGAGGTTGGCGTTTCCAAAAACCGATTTTCGAGGTGTTACATATGCGAGTAAAAGTATAAGTTGGAGTCACAATGAGCATAATTCTGCTTCTTCTTCTTCTTGTTGCGGTGGTGGAGAAAGTGTAAATTGAATAGGCGGCTGTCATACGGACATGTCAAGTTATTGGCATGTGGCAATATTTCTTGTTACTTTTTTCCTCTCCCCTTCCTCTTCCACGGATCGATTCTACGAATGTATGTACATAAGTCTATTTCCGTCATTTTGGTCTGTGACAATTTTGGAGGACGTGGAGTTTGCGAAAAAATTATGGGGTGAAAAAGAAAAAATGAATTTGGAATGACGAATTTAGCAAATTTTAACAGAATAAGTTCTGTAATCATAATTTTACAGGGTTTCGAGTGCAAGTAACGACTTGCACTCAATAACGGAAGGAAAGTGGTTTCTTGCAGCTATTTTGACCTGCAAGAAATGCAAGGTGCAAGAAACTAAGCCCTGTCGCTATACTTCAAACGGCGCGTGGCTAGATTGTGCATATTTCTTGCAATCTCTTGCAGTTTCTTGCACCTCGGATTTCTTGTATTTCTTGCTTTGCTGTGCAAAAATATGACAAGAGAAAAGAACAAGAAAAGAACTTTCACTATCGCTAAGCATCTCACATTAACCACTACGCCCACAATATGTAATCACAATTTTCTCACAGTTTGAAACAAAGACAAAGTAAGAAAAAGTGCAATTTATCACACTGAAAAAGTTGAGCCCCTTGCAAATATCTCTCCAAAATGTAGGAGGATGATATCATTTCCTTCCGGAGGAAACTTGTCACAAAAAAATGTCTCCTTCCCCAGTGGCTGCGGAAGCATGGGGACAATATCCCCCCGGTTATTCGGTGTCCCATCCCTCCCTCCCTTATTCTACAGAGTAAATGTCCCCACAGCTCCCGCAGCCCCTGCTTCCCCCTCCCCCCACCTCGAAGTGGTTCTGACGTGGAAGGAAAGTGGACACAGAATCTCATGTCACGGTTCATCAGTCATCATCCATCCAAGTAGGCGAGCTGGAGCGAGGAGGAGAAAGCAGCCTGACGGAGTAGGTTACTTACATTCACATAGCTGCGATTATCCTCCCTCCAAGAGGCAATAATCCCCACATTTTTTTTACACTGCAAACCCCACATTCAAAAAAGAGATGACTTCTTACTTTTCTATGCTCACATCCGAGAAGAAAGAGAAAGGATTGAGGACATAAACAATGTCACGTTGCATCCTCCATACATGTGTATCAGTCGTCGTCGTCAGGCTGTCTGGTGCGCACTGTGTATACTTACATAGCTGGAGAAAGAGAAAGAGAGAGGGAGAGAGACACCATTAAATTTGAAGTGGATGGCTTGTGTCACTATTGAATTGCTGAGGAGGAGGTGAGCTATAATACCAGAGACGTATGACATACATATCCGTCCAACTTGTTGTTGTTCTCGTTTCCGTTGGTACACAAGCACACATGTGAAAGCAGGCAGGGTTTCAAAAAATAAATCTGTGACACTGATTTGAAGGATGACATGGACAAAATGATTATCGGATCGGAGAAAGTTTTGAATGACCTGAGATTATGAAGGCAGTGGCTGCGGAAGCTTGAGGGGACAGAGGGACAATGTCCTCAAGGTTATTCATTCGATGTCCCCATCATCCGCCCATGTTATATACACTCCTCGCTCCCTTATTCTACAATGTTAACGTCCTCACGGTTTCCGCGGCCACTGTGTGACATTCAAGAAAAATAGAGAAGATAAAATATTAACGAGACAGGAAAATCGTAGAAAATATGAATGCTTAAATATTTCAGGTAAAAAAACTCACTGTACAGCAGGGAAAAATGTACATATATAAAATTTTGTAAAAATTGTATAAAAATTGTAAAAATAATCTCACAGAAAAAAAATATGGATAAAAACCCTGGTCAAAAAAACTAAGCTAAAAGTAATCCACTCACTATGAGACTGGTTTAGTAGGAGTTGTTCTTCTGGTCCCCAGTTGATCTCGCTCCCATTCCTTCGTTACAGTGCGAGTCTATTATTTCACGTTCATGTCGTGAATGGCAAAACGAATGGTTTTCCTCCTTCTGCTTCTCATGTTCCGATAAAATAACGATGTCACGTTCCGCTCGTGCATAATTTTCCAGGCACCACGAACCAACGAGGGCAAAAGGGGAGGAATTAAGTTTCAATTAGTGTGTGAAAATGGTGGAATCAACTTCCACCATTGCCTTCTTCTTTGACCAGAAGTACACTTTTTTTTAGAACGGCCTTCGTCATCACTCACCCGGAAAGTAAGGTTAAAAAAATGTGGGATTTTTTTTTCATGTGACTCCGTAAGTTTCCGAGTAGGATGAGATGTTTCATTATTCAGGATAACCATGATTATGAAAGGGGTCGTGCGGGATGTGAGGGCGGATTGTTGATCGATCTTGACCTCGTGTCGAGTTTAGTGTGGGACCTTTGACGAAGAGGTGGTCACCCTAAAAAACAGGTCGCATGGTTGAATTCACAACCCGAAAAATGTGAAACCAGTGTTTCGTTTCTTACATTTCTTGCACTGCAAAGAAAGAAATGCAAGAAATACGAGATGAATAAAAGTGCTAGAAATATGCTCAATCTAAACTCCGTTTCACATTTCGTGAGTTCATCACATTGAGTACATTAGCCGCATGAGCCGAATTATTTTATTATTTGGCACCAGTTATTTTTATTTTGGCGTAAAAATTATTCACTTTCGTATGATTTTAACGCCAAAATAAAAATAACTGGTGTCAAATAATAAAATAATTCGGCTAATGTACTTCATGGGATAAACTCACGTAACGTGAAATGGAGTTTAGCCACGCGTCGTATGAAGTATAACAAGTCAAGTCAAGTCAACCTTTATTCGAGTGTTAATGGATATCAGTTTACAAAACTGGTTCGAAAACCATGACACATTGAGGATATAAGATCTGTAAAAGCTAATTAACAAACAATAAGCGGCTGGCTGGGCGTAGTTTCTTTCGCCTTGAATTTCTTGCAGGTCAAACTAGCTTCAAAATACCACTTTCTTGCCGTTATTTCTTGCAAGTGGTTACTTGCACCCGGAACACTGCATGAATCATTGTTGAGCCGGCCTTAAAATCCTGAAACTTTACTTCCTCCTACTTTATCTTGCTCAGGAGGAAATAAGTATGATGTGGGCTGCGTTGCGTTATGCGGGACAATCGGGATCATGATGAATTCCGGAGGGATATGCATGAATTATATAACTTCCATATATGTAACGTGTCTTGTCTATCTATGTTCGTGTAAGGCCTTCATTTGCGCCATGTGTTAAAGATGGGTCAATTTACCTGAAGCTAGCTGTGCATGGACTCCAGAAAAAAATCGAGATTTTGTGTTACACAATTTGTTGTCCTTCGTTGGTTGGTAAATTGGAGGAGAAAGTGAAGCGAATAGTTTTCTGAATTATGGATCTACTTTTGTGTGAGTTTGCAATTTGTTATACTCGTTTTTCATAATGAAACTCAATTTTTGACTCGTGGAAACATGGCAAGTTACATATTTATTTAGTTGCTGGTGTGATTTGGTACGATTTCTTGGCGAAGTTCGGATGTGATTTTTGTTATGTAATCATCCACCTATAAGAGCAACCAGGAGTTGGAGAATAATCGGTTTAAAAATCCACCACGCCTTTTATATCCGGCTTCCTTGTTGACATCCATGCAGTATAAACCTGGCAAATTGTGACTTTGATGTTCAAACTTTTTACTCCAAAATGAAGTATTGTTTGTTTGTGTAAAAACTTTTCAAAAAATGATTAAATTTTATTCGTCATAAAGTAAATATGATGCATTTTCTGATTTCCAGATCCCGTCGCGAGTAAATAATACGGTTTACTCTACGAGAATGTTTTACGTTTTATTATTAAACTCAAATTTCGAACCTTGCCAAGTTTTTCGGGGTATAAACCTTTCTTCTTGCCAAAATAAAGTATCGTCGAATAAGTGAAATTAAGTGAAAATAACAATTATTTACCATGATAAGAATCAGTGCGCAAGAAAAAAATGTTCTGAGAACGAGTAACGTGACCCTGATGCTACAAAAACCACGACATAAAAACTATGCAGAAAGTACCCGGGCGAAAAAACCTTGAACCGATAAACACAATTATTTCCACAGACTGCACAAATCTGGAGGACAAAATTTTGGGGAAAATAATTTATTTTTAGTTTGGGTGAAAGTATATCAAGTTTCTGCATGCCGTTGCATGAAATGGACTTCTCTTCTTCTTCCACGCGTCGAAATGGACAACTCGCGGACACGATTCCCACGAGATTTTCATCCTCCTTCTCCCAGTGGAAATAGCTCCAGGTTTACTCCGGCGACAAGCAAAATGTCCTCGTCCTCGTCGTCCCCGTCTCACTCGGATTTTGGGCTGAGAGGCCCCAAGACGCCCTGGGTGTGTCCCAACGACAGGCAGCTCGCCCTCAGAGCTAAGTAAGTAGCACGACCACCACTTTTAAAGTGTCACGCGCACTTAGCGGTGTGATTGGCAAGGTATTTATTATCGTTTGCCAATAACAATGGAGGTCTCCCAGCGTATGCTCGCCGATTTTGATCAAATTAGTGTCAATCGATCACAAATTTAATTTGTGTGAAATTTGCAAAAGACAGGATCACCCAATGCGCAGTTTTCGCAGAAATATTTGCATCCGATGAGGAGAAAGCAAATTTGGAAAGCGTAAAGTTCATGTCAATTTTTGAGCCTGCTTTCTCCTCTTCGGATGCAAATATTTCTGCGAAAACTGCGCATTGGGTGATCCTGTCTTTCGCAAAATTTCATACTAATTAAGTTTGTGATCGATTGAAGCTAATTTGGTCAAAATCTTGGAGCATACGCTGGGAGACCTCCATTGTCAATGCTCCATGTAAGTTTTTAACGCCAAAGGTCAATCAATCGAACAATATACTATTCCTCCTAGGATGAGGTTAACGAAATCAGAAAATTTAACCACAAATTTTTCCAAAGCCATTATTAAATGTTTTTAAATTCAGATTCATTTTGAATTTTAATCTTTAACCAAGGAAAAAGAAGTAAAGTATCATAATGTTTATTAATGTTTCCTCTTAGGCTGCGGACCGGTTGGTCAGTGAAGACGAGTCAGTTCAACACGTACCCGAAGCCGCAACCGTTGACGGAATCGGAACAGCAGATGATCATTTCTGTCGTGAAGAAGGCGGAAGAGTTGGATCTCAATGAGCAGAAGAGGGTCGGGTAAGCGAGTCCCAAAATTGGGATGGAATTTCCTTTCGCAATTTCTGTTTCACTTTGGACACTTATTTATTGTCTGGCATGCCGTGGGAGGGAACGATGTACCGTTGTGGTCACGCAGACCGTGCTATCTACTTGTCATGCATCCCATCCAGCCCACGCTGGTGTCACGAAACACTTAAAATTTAAGATTGAAAGAGTAACGATGGATCGATGTGGGACGTGATCTCCGTTCCCACGATTTTCCCACTAGATTATGCACATTGAGAAGCCGGAAGTTACTCTCTTCTCATTGACGACCTGACCTGACCTTTCAACCCAGAGTGCAAAGTTAACGTAGGACTGGATGACTCATCGTTAAAATCAGCACACCTTTAATCATTTCTCCACTCTGGGAATTTATTTTAGAATCCTGCATGACAAATTTATAGAGCCGATCGTTGCAAATTTAAAAACAAATTTGCACTACAAATTTTCACGCTGTTTGAGTTCACCACATTGAGTACATTAGCCGAATTATTTTATTATTTTACACCAGTTATTTTTATTTTGGGGTAAAATTCATAATATATCATATTCGAAATTGAATAATTTAAACGCCAAAATAAAAATAACTGGTGTCAAATAATAAATTCGGCTAATGTACTCAATGTGGTGAACTCAAATAGCGTGAAACTGAGTTTAACTTACTGACTAAAATTTTATTGTCCAGAATTTAAAATAAATTCCCATTACTAAAAAAGTGCTGATATTGGTGATACGTTATCGAGTCCTACGTTAATTAGTGTGAAAGGGCCGTGCAAAACCAGTTTGATATTTCTGCTTGTTGGGGTCAAACATTGGTCACATCTTTTATCCACGTTCCCCAGCACTGGATACGTACACACGAAATTAGTTGGAGACACTCCTTCCGTATTATCGGGACGATACGTATTTGGCTAATGCCACGCACGCAGCTCGATCCCCTGCATGTATCGGAATGACCAAGTAATGATTCCCCAACGAAACTATCCCGAGACACACAAAGTTCCAGTTTGTGCTCGTTTCTGGCAGAAAGTAAACCCCACCGGGCTAATTCGATCCGATCCTGCTGCCTCCCTTCTCCATTCCTGAATTCAAATTCATTCCCGTGCCAGGTTCGTTAGTGAGGAGAATTTAAAACAAATCGTTCCATCCGTGCGGCAGATAGATAATAGATTTTAATAACGCGGGTGGCTGATCCGACAACAAAACAAACAGCTCCATATTCCATATTCCACCTTTCATACGTTCCTTCGTGGGCATCACTCTTGTGAAATAGTGAAAGTAATGGAAGTCTGCATGAGTGGATACATTTACGTCTGGATATTTTTGATCCTGTTCAGGTTGCTTATTTTGGCAATTTTGCAATGCTTTCTCCCAACTTTTCACGTCCCGTTAGGGTTCCGATGAAAGGGTGGTGGCTGTTTCGACAAAAGTATCTTTTATATTTTAGGCCAAACCGATCAATTCACGTCGTTTAATTTTGTGCACAAAATTTGCCTAATGAATAGTGTTCCTAGTAAAAATGTGTAATCCTAGTGTCTTACAAGTCTTTCATTTACATATGAAGATTGACAGGGATGGGCAAAATACTTTGTCAAAATAGGGTATTTTGAGCTCTTTTCTTTCCAGGGTTCGGATTTCCAGGGCTGTTACACTCACAAAATGACCACAATCTACGTGGAAAATAAATACACGAAAATACAGCTTTTGTGAAGAAATTAGCATTTCATCACTGTCAAAGTACATTGCTTTCACTGTTTGCTTAAGAGTATTTTGACAACGATAAAAGGTCAATTTCTTCACAAAACATTTAGTTTCGTATGACCTTTGCCTTCTCCATGAAGATTCTCGCCTTTTCGTGGGTTTAACAGCCCTGGAAGTTTAACCCTGGGAATATCGTAGCTCAAGTACTATATTTTGCCAAAGTATTTTGCCCACCTCTGAAGATTAGTTGGTATTTAAGGTTAAATTTTCTAAATAATGCGTGTTTTAACGTCGTCCCCAAATTGATGGGTCACCTAAATACAATAACTAACTTATTGGCCAATAACAAATTTCACCTCATACTTAAAACTCACTAAAAGCCTTTCCCCTCCTGCAACCCTGGCTTTCACTCTCCTGCCAATATTGCTGATATTAAATCGCATCATCAGAACTCGCTACCTTTCTCCCCGTCCGCGTGTGAGGCGTGCAATAAAGAATTTTTTAACGTCTACTTTCTCTCTCTCTCGTGTAAAAAATATGACTTTCACCTCCTCAAGGTGGTCCTGCATACGCAATGTGACGGATTCCGGGTTGATTTTTTTGACAGGTTGTGCAGCCTGATCAGCCCCGCACATCCCTCAAGATTGAGTTTGAGGGTTTTTGTTGTTGTTTTATTCTACTTTATGCCTCTCCTCCGGTACATTTGCATCATCCAGTAAAAGTCTATGGAATGAGATAAAGAGGGAAAAATGCAAAAAGTTGATTAATTTTTTCTTCTCCTCCTCCTCCTCCTCCTCCTCGCGTTATAGTTTCTGCTGACTAAAATCATAAAATGGAATGAGAGATGAAAGTCAGTGAGTAAACAATGGGATCATGAGAGAGTGCTCCTAAATATTCAACATGGTTTCAGTTCAGCAGATCAGCAGAGTTGGTTGGCAGGCAGGAGGCAGATTTTCCACCCATCTGGCTCCTTTCTGAGAATGGAAAAGGTCTACTTACAAAAGACAAAGGCCCGATGTAGAGATGTGGCTTGGAAAAGTGGGAGTGGTGGAAATGATAGGGAGAAATTTGGGTTTAGAAAATGTATAAAATCTCTCATTTTTTAGTTTGGAATTGATTTGTTTAAAATTTCAAAAACCTAAATTTTGTAGGACTTTTAGGACCTACATTTTCATGAATTTTGTTAAATATCAAACTTTGGGTTTCGATAAGGTCGAGAAATTACGTAGTCTTGTTTTTAATGTTTGTAGCGTCAAATTTCTCAAGGGTTAAATTTTTTGAGGACTGTTTTTTAGGACTCAAGAAGTTTTTATGAAATTATGTAAAATATCAAAAAAGCTTGTCACATCAAAAAAATTATAAGCTTACGCAGTCTTATTTTTTAATGTTTCAAGGTCACAATTTGTTTTAAATTAGGCAACTCCTAAAATTTTAGCACATTTTTTGCGAGGTTCTGAGACCAGTTTAAATCTCCTTAAATCCGGCCCTGCGAGGAGAAAGTACGAGGATCGGATAATAATACGTAAAGGTTGGAGTTTGAGAGTTAGAGGTGAAATTGGACCGAGTACAACTTATACATTTAAGTTCACTCCAGCAGACACGAAACGTAAGAGTAATAATATCAAAGTAGTCGAATAACTAACAACTTTCTCTTTCTGTTTCTCTCTCCTGAGGGCCCTGCAAAAGGGATGGCGAGGAGCTTTGACCCTCTCATGAGCTCTGCGTGAACTTGTGCAGGGTGATCAGTGCTTTGGACGTCCAAAAGTTTTTTAGACACTGCCCATTCCTAAAATGACCAAAAGTGTCCAATATTGGAAAGTGGGGCAAAATGTTACAGTTCTTTATTCATGACTTTTTTTGCCAATTTATGCACAGATATGCAATCTCCCATTGATTTTGAGCATTTTAATGTGTGTACTACCACGAAATTTGGAAAAAAATTTTAACATGTTTTGTATGAGAAATTGAGAAATTTTCTAAACCATGCCACATTGCAGACCAAAATGTACGATGATTACATATACGTCAACGGATTATCGAAAGATTCAATAATGGCTAACTTGTAAAATTGTGCCCCATTTTCTAGTTTGGACACTTTTGAACATTTCCGACATAAAAAATTGGTGTCCAAAACCTGTTAAAACCGATTAAACTCCCTTTCACATTTGGTGAGGTCGTCACATTGAGTACATTCGCCGAATGAGCTGAACTATTTTATTATTTGGCACCAGTTATTTTGATTTTGGCGTAAAAATCATACGAAAATGAAAATTTTAAACGCCAAAATAAAAATATCTGACGTAAAATAATAAAATAATTCGGCTAATGTACTCCATGTGGTGAACTAAATTAACGTGAAACGGAGTTTAAGGACGACTGTTTTGACAGTGGTTAAAACCACAGCGAAACACTGAATGCGATCCCAGAAACCGGTAAAGCGGTCACATCCCGTCCGCACGACTGCCAAATGTATCTCTCCTGTTGCTGCTTCTGCTGCTGCACGGTTGGATAAAGCTAAACACGGTTGATTACTAAATTATCTATTAGACGTGTCTTCTTCTTCTGTAATTTGCATACGGTTTAGTTTATGTTATGTAAGTAAGTATTATTTTTGGCGTGCATTGAACAAATTGTCAAATTTAATGGGACTAATGGCCGTACGAACAGTTTCTTTGTTCTCTCGACTCTTTCACTGTTAAAGAAAGTGGAATAATTTTGTGGTGGCGAAAGTGAGGAAAATGACGCACTTTTTATTTACCAAACTTATCATTTCCAGAAGTTAGACCATTTTAGGATAAAAGTGCATAATTTTGTACGAACTTAGAAAAAAGTTGGTTTTTTGCAAACAAAACGTCTTACTCATAAAATACTTGACCCACGTTTTCTACTGAGGATATGCAAAATTTGCGATAAATTTTGCACGCACAAGCGGAAATTTGCAAAAATTTTGCTTATTGTGCTTATGCACTGCAGATTGAAGTGTAATCAAAGACACGTTGGAGTGATACACAGGATTAAGTTCCTTATTGTTAAATACTTGGCCCACGTTTTTTATTGAGGATATGCTAAATTTGCACAAAATTTTGCACACACAACAAATATGCTACGGAAATTTGCAAAGTGTGTGCACTCGAGATTGAAGTGTGGATCCGGAACAATCAAGGACACATTGGAGTGACAGGACTGGGTTCCTTATGAGTGCAAGAAGAAAATTGGAAGTGAATTTGTCGCAGAGATTTAACCCGGAGGAGAAGGGAGAGGAAATTATTGTAGTTAACATGTAACATTTATTTTACAAGGGAATGAATGAATCCGGGAGAAAGGAGAGAATTGGATTTCGGATATTGCACTCGGATCCCACTTCCTTGAATTGTATGGCATCTCGCATCGCGTCCTGAGGTCTGTCTGCTTGCCTTTACATGTAGCGGATTGGATTGGATTGGATTGTGGACTTTAGCCAGATCTGATCTCACTCACTCGCCAACAGTGTTTCGACTCCTCCAAATCTTAAGTTTGAGCCAGTTTATCCTCCAGGGGAAAGAATTCTCGGGCTTCGTCCTCCTCCGGGGAAAGGAAGGGGGCGAAAGGAGACTTCCTGCGTCCGAGGTCACCAGGGAGGGTCACACCCAAAGCAGGAATGAAATCCGTTTCGTGCCCTGCTTCGAAAAATAAGAAGAATTTATGAAATATGCGAAAGGCACGGGTGGGTCCCGTTTTTAACGCACATCGTCCACCAAAAAGTGTGCAAGAAAAAACAAACATGAAACGAAACACTGTGCGAGTCGCGGAGGGTTTATTAACAAGATTGCAACATCGTATAGCCATCAATCCATCCGGATCTGGACTACTGTGTCACGGTGACGAGAGAATTCGTCTGCCTGTAGGGCAGATGCGAATCCGTAATAACCTAACCAACCCCCCTCCTTGTCTGTCAACTACACGGCGATGTGTATCTTCAACTATCTAGCCTAGCACTCTGTGAATTGTATTGATCTACCAAGATTTATTTGTAACTGGATGGATGGATGGATAGCACTCCATTAAAATGAGGTCCAGATTCACTGAATCTATATTGTTGGTAGGGGCGCCCAGGGTTTCGATGTGGTTTTAACCACTGGTCGTCCAAAAGCGTCCAAAACCGGCAAAAGTGTCCAAAAACAGAAAATAGGATAAAATGTAGCAAGTTCTTCAGTATTGAATATTTCAACAGTCCGTTGACATATATGTTTGTAATCTCCCATTAATTTTAAGCATTTTTTGTGTGAAATGCGGCATGGTTTAGAAAATTTCTTAAATTTTCATAAGAAAACATGTTAAAACAAAAGTTTTTCCAAATTTCGTAGTATTAAAAAACAACCAAAATGCTCAAAATTAATGGGAAATTACATATCTGTACATAGTTTGGCAAAAAACGTTAATAAAGAACTTGTAACATTTTGTCCCATTTCCCAATGTTGAACGTTTTAGACGTCCAAAATTTCTTTGCACAGTTTTGGACGGTGTCCAGTCCAAACGTAGTTTTGCACGTCTAAAACTAAACACTTACGTTACTCACCTTCCTTCCAATATATATTTCTTACGTATTTTCACTTATTTCATCCTCTGACGAAAATGGGATTTAAATGCACATTCAGTGAATTAGAATCGCCTCTTGAATACGGCGACGATTCCATTTCCATAAGTTTGGCCACGCCGTGGTGATCCATTCCCCACCTGGGAATGGAAATGGATCACTTTGATGAAATAAATTGTAGCCACGCCACGCCACACAGTCGACGAGGCAGTATTTATTGAATGACAGTGGTTACTTACTATGTAGCAACTAAATAATGTGTCAATACTATTACTTTTACTATGCACCACCACGGATATATATTTACATATGTGCACGAGCGAGATATTGGATGGAATTGTCACATTGACAATTCCACTTGACAGATTAAATGTGTCAATTAATGTGAAAATCTCGTATTTATTTATTCCCAACCTCTCCCTCGAGCGACATGGGAAAGACATTTAATTTGAGAAAGGTAATCAGAACGAGAGGAGGAAAATCAAGTAAATTTTATTACGCAGATTGGCAAATACATAGTTTGCAAAAATAAATTGCAATGAATACTGCAACAACTTTTTAATGGAAGCACGACAAAGTTAATTACCTAGTTAAATTAATTTGCATAATGATGAATACACTTTTGAAAATATGTTTTGCAAACTTTTGCAAGTTTTTTAACTACTAGAAGGTCAAAATGCATGGATGTCATGCCATTTTCTGTGTAACGTGTGTAACCTATAACTCCCCAAAGATAAGGCGACCTTATCTCTCCTTCGATGCACGTGCAGCAAAAAAATCGTAATCTTCCCGACCCACGCACCCACCCAAAAATAAACTCGGCATGTTTCCCCCGTTTACGCAATTATTTGTATTTGTTCTTCTTAACGAAGTGGTGTCACACCGGAACGAATTGAAATTTTTCTCTCTTTGCTTGCACCCACAGGAAGTTGGTGGACCGTTTGGAGTCCTTGAAGAGGTTGGCGAGCGGGAATGGTGTCACGGAGTGCATCCTGTGCGGAGACTCGTTCGGCCTCTCCGTCTTCGGCAGGTCCAACTATCGATGCTTCGACTGCAAAAAGGTAACTTTACTGTTTTTATTTTGTTTCCGATTTCACAATTGTCGTCGTCGTGCATTCGAAATATTGACAAATATAGAACCAGTCGAGGTTGTGTTGGATTTTTGGTGATCTTCTGCGCCACAAATAGATATCACATCTCTCTTGCAAAACCCTTAATAAAAATGACATTTTTACTTTACTTTTCTGATATCGTAAGTTTAAGGAGAAGGAAGAAAAACAGTAGGGTTTCGGTTCTTGCGGGTTTGTTATGTTTCTTGCACTGGAAAGCAAGGAACGTAAGAAATGCGAGGTGCAAGAAACTCGGAGAAAGAAATATGCGCCATTACTCGCCGTATGAAGTGGGACGTAGTTTCTTGCGACTTGCAATTTTTGCAGGTCAAGATATCTGCAGAAAACCACTTTCTTCCCGTTATTTCGTGCAAGTGGTTACTTGCACCCGAAACACTGAAAAAGAGAGAAAGTACAAATCTCAGCCTGAAGCCTGCTCGGTAGCGAAAAGAGTTTCCAAGTTTTCCCTGTGTTACGAAGAATTGAATTAAATTGGGACTTTGTCGTTATTTCGGCTCTCTCCTGGTTTGATAACCTTGACGACCCACACGTGGCGTGGCGTCGTTGAGCAGATGGATAACTTTCACTCGTATAATTTTCCACCCATCAACACAAAATTCGATGATGGCTGTTATAATGGACCGACAAATTCTGTGCATACATCAGAAACACAAATGTGACCAGAAAGAGGGCACCGAGGCGAGTGCAATGCAAAGCTATTAAAAAACCTTAATTACCCACCACAGGAAAACATAAACATTACGAGCACATCTCCAAAATGTCGAAATTCCGATGTGCATACGTAGAAGAAGAAGAAGACAATGTTTGCCGCAGGTTTGGATTATATGTCGCATAAAATAAACCAAGTTAAAATAAACTTGCCCATGCGTCTCCATTTTCATCTTGTGGTCGGTCCTTTTTACGAACCAATAGTAATAATAACAAGGGTACTTCGCATGCATATGGATGTACAGGTTGGGTGGCACCAGGGGCCGCGGAAGCGTGGGGACAGAGGGACAATGTCCCCACGAATGTCCCCATCATCTGCCCATCCTTCCCTCCCCTATCCTACAATTTAAATGTGCCCACATGTCCCCACGGCTTCCGCGGCCACTGGGTTGGGACGTATACTCGTTAGTTTTTCGGTTAGCCAAGTATAAAACCATTCCCATTTTCTTGCCAGGTTTTTACGATCATTTTATCCTGCTCCCTCGGTCTCCTTTGTTGTGTCGTTTATCATTTTAACGAGGACTGAACAAGACGTCTCATTAGCGGAGGAGTAAGACAGGCAGTTATTCCTCCTGAGGAAAACATTCTTCTTGGTCCAAAGAGTCAAGTGGCGGTTATCATCGGCGCCACAAAGCAAACCGCTTCGGACCTGTTGTTATCGAGGTGGATAGTGTTCTCACCCTTCGTGGTTGGTAAATTGGGGGGTTGTATAATCAGTGGGCGGATATGGATTTATTTTCAAGTTTTCATTTGATGACGACCGAAGGTCAAACTTTGTGGGTGTCTTCGCTAACTCGTATAGATTTGCAAAAATTTCAAAATGTTTTTACATATTGTTACATATTTCTAGGTTTTCAGATATCAAATTTCGGCCATTATTTGAAAAATACGTAAATATTTTGGTGTTTTTAAATGCATATATTTTGTAAATATTTTAAGAATTTGAGAGGAATTTTTTTTCCTCGAAGAAATCGGATCTGAAAAAAAATTCGGAAATACAAATTTTGCGAATTTTTTTAAACAATTTTTTATACACATAGCGTAAATATTTTGGTGTTTTTCATAAATACATATTTTTTGGATATTTTGTAAATACATATCCGCCCTTTGCTATGGTCGAATTTGGTAATTCAACCCATTTGATTAATGTCGAATAGTTTTGCCATGCTTTGATTTTTATGGCAAAGACGCAAAAATGCATCTTCATTCACGGTGGCGACAAGTAGGGACGGTTGACCCCCTTTTTTGTTGCCAAAACGAAACACTGGCTGTCATGTTATCTTTTCCTTATTGGCAGTGGCCGCGGAAGAAAACCTTATCCATTTTCAAGCTCAAGAATTTGTTTGGAAAAAACTGTGTAGTATATGAAGGAGTAGGCTGGGAGCATATACAAAAAACTATGTTGGGTATGATAAGCAGTAATCTAAAGGTTAAAAAATGCAAATTTTCTAGGAAATTTTAAAAAATTGGCGACTGAACGACTTGTTCAAAGTGAATTGCATATTTAAATGGCTCTATTTGTAAATGCAATCAATTATATTCAAATTGGATTGGAAAAGCAACATTATTTCCGTACTGCCAAACGACCTTTGTTTTTATACTTCAGTCCCAGGTGACAAATGCATTGCATGTCCCCATTTCCGTGAAGACATTGTCCCCATGCTTCCACGCTTCCGCAGCCACTGCGTATTGGCATTGAGAGATGTGACATTTTGTCCATATTTCATCCTTGAGTGGCGTGTTTCTCTATCGCGAGTGATTGCGTGCGTAGATAAACGAGCGAGCGAGCGAGTAGTTTGCAGCTAGTTAGTTACGATGCGATGATACTTTGATAACAACGTATAATGAGAGATTTAAAAAAGTTTTGGAAAAGTTTAGTTTCCTCTTCCTCTCGTGGAAACAAATTTGCGATCATAATCCCAACAAAGGGAACGGGATGTATTACTCACTCACTCGGAGAGAGTGTCAGTCACTCGTGAATTTTGCGAGGAGAAAGCATTCGATAATAAGCCTATTAGTTGCTGAGAAATGGAGCCAGTATTAGATTTCTTTACAAATGAACAAATACATGACAAGGATGCTGCTCAAGTATTACGATTTGTAACAAGTTTGTGTCGAGATTAGTTCGATTTTGATGTAAAATAAGTGGACTTTGATTTTTGTGTGATGGTATTAAAACGTGATACGCCTTGATGGGGACGGTCTATAAGTTTAGCAAGTTTTTAATATGGCACAACTTTTCCAATCAGGAAATTGAGGATAATATCAGGCGAAAAATTAAGGCTAACTCATTTAACGGGGAATTTAAATGTGTCGAACATTTCCGGTCAAGGGAGCTATGAAAACAGCGTTTCGAGTATGGTGTCATTTTTACAGATATGATTATTCAACTGTTTAAAATAAAATATTTGAGTTAACTTTGAACTTGGTGATCAAATATGAGAATAGAATTTCTGAAAACGATACGATCCAGTCAATACGTAGAAAAATTTGTAATTCTAGTCACAATGTATGCTCTCCGACTTAGAGCAAACTAGTATCAATTAATGACGAATTTAATTAGTATGACATTTGCAAAAGACTCGATCTCCCAATGGTTACGTTTGGCAGAGATATTTGCATCCGAAGAGGAGAAAGTGCGGAGAAAGTGTAGAATTATAATTCTATACTTTCCAAACTTACTCCGCGCTTCCTCCTCTTTGCATGCAAATATCTCTGCTAAACGTAACCATTGGAAGATCGTGTCTTCCGCAAATGTCATACTACTTAAATTTGTGATTGATTAACACTAATTTGGTCAGAATCTGAGAGACCTCCATTGTCAGGGTCACCGCATGAAATTGCCATACTTAAATACATCTAAACTACACGTCTACCTACGAAAAGTTGCATAATTTTACGCATGCACACATTTAGCTGATACCATTTTTTCTTGTTGCAGGCCGTCTGCCGGAAATGCGTGGTTGAGTTATCCACTTCTTGCGGTATCGGTAATGCCGGTGGTGGAAGTCCAGGTCCAGGTTCTTCAAAAGACGGGATGGTTCGCCTGTGCAAAATTTGTTCGGAGAATCGAGAACTGATCAAGCGAAGTGGAGCTTGGTTTTACAAGGTAAAAAAAGAGAGAGATTTCTTTGAACATTTATTTTCACCGGGACACAAAAAAAAGTCCCCCCACGAACGAAACCCCCTCGCTCATCCTTTCTTCTCCGCCTTCTGTCTTGTCGTCCTGATCTCCCGAACAGTGGCCGCGGAAGCATGGGAACAGAGGGACCATGTCCCAAGGTCATTCAATATCCCACAATTTTGCCACGTTATGCAAACTCCACCCATGTAAATGTCCCCAGATGTCCCCACAACTCCGCGACCACTGCTCCCGAAAGTAGAAAAAAAGTTGGAAAGTGGGTGACAAACAATAAGCGTTATGTTACGAAACGGATGTACGTCCTGGCAAAGAAATCATTTCGTGCCTGCGAGTCCTTTGATTTCGTGTTGTTCTCAAATCTCAGATCAATGGGAGGATCATTTTAGGTGGAAAGAGTAGAAGAAACAGGGTGCAAGAAATTGGCACTGCATTTCGTGTATCGAGGACATTTCTTTGTGCGAAGTTGTATGTATGTACTGCTGGTCCGATTCATGTACGTACGTATTGTCCTCTTTGTCGTCCTATTTACAAAGAGGCCAATAAACCTTTTGGAGAAATGAAAGGAAGGAAAAGGTCCCCTAAGTTTTACTCGATTTGTAATTTAAGACCATCAATCAATTCGTCTAAATTGCATAGAATTGAGTACTCAAGTGGCATTATTTAACGAATGACCTTCAATTATTCCAAATCGGATCTAATTTACTTACAAAAACTGTTTTTCCGCCATAGTTCCTGTATATTAAGTAGATCCCACGTGTCGTTCCTTTGTTCACAAAGAAAGGAGGATGGTACACTAGCCAACCGTTTAGAAAGTGCGGTAAACGTTATATAAACGGATGGAGTGAACTTACGAGCCATCTAAATTGTTGATTAGTCCATTTCATCCAGCCTAAAATTTTGTTAATTTTCCGTAACTTTCTACTTCAGTAACGCTCACTCTGTTTTATGCAATTTCCTAGAGTTCCAACCCATTGACATTAAAATATATTAAGTTTTCAACTAATTTTCTCTCTCCAAACCAGGGCGTTCCAAAGTACATCCTCCCCGAGAAGAAGAACCACATGTACCGAAACAACTACGAGATGTCGTCCTCCTCCTCCACGATGGCGAACTCGGGGGACGAGCAACGCTACATGTCCCGCTACCTGAACTCGTACCATGCCATCAACAACTCGACCGGAAGTACGAACGCTACCACGACGAGCAGCAGCAGTGCGGGTAGTGGTAGCAGTAAAAGAATGGGCGTCCTCTGGTCACGCAGTCTTCGGTCGCAGTCCGAATGTGAGAATGACTCCTCCTCGGGAGATGAGACGATCAAAGGGCAGAATGAAACCGGGGGTCGAGTTCCTTCCAGCAGTAGCAAATTTACATTTCGGCGATTCAACAATTCCACGGATAAACTTGGCGGAGGTGGTGGTGGTGGCGGTGGATCTACGAATTCAGCCTCCACCCCGTCCCCCTCGCCCCTTTTGGGATCGAATAATGGGTCGAAATCCCCCTCGCAAAAGTTCCACCCAAGTCCAGGGAGTGGAAATGGGAACGGCGGTGGGAATGGTGGTGGTGATCTCCTCTTTGAAAATGCGTCCGACGCCTCGACCTCGAACAGTGATGGCGGCGGTGGCGGTGACAGTGGCGGACGTCAAAGAAATCGCTGCTCCTCGTTTTCCGAACGATTCCTTGCGACGGACCCGATCCCATTTTCTTCCTCCTCCTGCTCAACTAATCAAATGGATCAAACGACGACAGGTTGTGACAATACGTCTCCACGGTCATTTACCGAATCTGGGACGGGGTGTGCTTTAATAAATAATGGGGGTGGAAACGGTGGTGAAGTCATGAGCAGCCAAAGTGACCCTGAAGGTCAAGGTATTTACGGAAGTTTGCAGATTACTCTCTTGTACGATGATACTCATCAAGCTTTGCACTGCACGGTGCATGATGCAAAGGTGACTAATTTTCAGGGGTGGGCAAAGTAGTTGTCAAAGTACAGTAGATGTTTTGGTCTCGGTTCTTCTCAGGGTTTGGATTTCAAGGGTTATAAAAAACTCCGTTTCACGTTACTTGAGGTCATCATATTGAGTACATTAGCCGAATGAGTCGAATTATTTTATTATTTGGCACCAGTTATTTTTATTTTGGCGTTCAAATTATTCAATATTATTCAATATTCAAAAAATCATACGAAATTGAAAAATTTAAACGCCAAAATAAAAATAAATGGTGTCAAATAATAAAATAATTCGGTTCACTCGGCTAATGTACTCAATGTGATGAACTCAAACGTAACGTCAAACGGAGTTTACACTCACAAAAAGACGAGAATCTACGTGGAGAATACAAGTCGCAATTTTTTGTGGAGAAATTAACTTCTTATCACTATGAAACTACTTTATTTAAAAATCATCGTAAAGACAATGTAGTTTGGCAGCGATAAAAAAGTTAATTTCTTTACAAAACGCGGATTTTCGTGTGACTTATATTCTCCACGCAGATTTCTCTTTGTGGGTGTAACACCTCTGGAAATCCAAGCATTAGGGAGAATTGAGCTCAAAATGCTGTAGTTTGACAAAGTATTTTGCCTACCTCTGCTAGTTTTCTAGTCTGGTTTGCACATAGATCAGAAACATATTAAAATCTCGTCTTAATTCCGACAGGGCCTCACCCCGATGGACATTGACGACTTGGCGGATGCATATTGCCTCCTGAAATTGATTCCTGCCCGATTCCAGGTTATTATACTTTCCACAATCTCGCCTTAATATTTTTTATTAACACAAAACAAACATTCTTCTTAATCCGGGATCGATTCTCATGGCGTCGTCGACCTTGTCTTTTTTCTTCCTCACGAAGAAACGCAAAACATCGCATTAAATTTGCTCCCTCGTAATAAAATCCGAGCCTGAAGCAAGTGTGCAAAAGTAATCATTATCATCGTTGCCGACTTTGGTTATGATTTGGCATGAGCAAATCAACAAGCTCCTCGAGTATGAAATTGCATTTCATCGCGTAACAAAAAGGGTGGATTTATACTGGTCATGTAATAAATAATCCGGTTACTTGAAACAAGGGAGGTCCATGCACTACTTTTACATGGGAGAGGACCTCCCAAAATCATGGTTTCTCGTCGTGCAGGGCCCCAAATTCACTAAATACGTATTTAATACCCACCATGATCACAAAAGTGGTATAATGGATACACTCGAATTCAGAGATCTATACGAATGTATGTACTCGTAAGTAGATTATGACGGCACGAGGCGGATTGTTATGTTGTTAAGGATCAATTTCTTCATTTGCATTCATAACAGGATGACGAAGGTTTATTAAGAGGAGGAGGAAAACGGGATAATAAAATAAATCGGATATTATGAATCGCTACCTCGGAATCTGACGATGAGTGAAAGCGACGTGTGCTCACGTCAACAAATGTATGTGCATATTTATCAGTTCTCCGATGGTGAAATGTGGCAACAAATTATCAAACGGGTATCAAATTAGGAATTAAACTTGTTACACAAATAATAAGCATAAATGTTCATAATTCAATACACAAAAATTCGGGAAATTGTGAAATTGTTGGGAATTTTTAGGCCAATTTTTGCAAAATTTGTGTAATGAAGATAATTACTTGGTGAACTGGTTAAAAACAATTTGCGGGTCATACAATTCACAAAAATTCTTTACATTTTTGGGATTTTTTGCTAAGTCCGTAATGGAGCTAATTTCAAATTGAATTTCAGTCAGGCTCTAATGTTAAGCAAATTCGGGGACGTGATTTCAGCTACCCTAGAAATTCCGGCCGCACCACTTGTGAAATGCAGTTAAGGCACAACTTGTTAGTGAACCTGGCATCGTATCCGACTCATTTTGCGGAGAAAGCTCGATCTCGTTGGCAATCTGTCCTTTCTTCCCTGATGAGTCTGGTTCGGTCGAATTTCATGCGTTCTTCAGTTTCACTCTTTCATATAATTTCCCGTATAATTTCCTTTGTTAAATTGAACCAAACCCTGTGGACATTTCAACAAACTAAAACTTATTGAATGTGCTGCTGCTGCTTAACTTATCTGCGTGTGCATAACTACCACCAGATACACATAATAATGTTCGGTATAATAAATACGTGCTAAATATACAACACGTACATAAATACGACCAACCAAAAAAATCTCGTGGTATTGTTTTGCATCTCTGTCGATGGAAACATATTGTGTTGCATGGCATCTGTTGTTGTGTAATGGACTTCTGTATGCGGATGCGAACACGTAACAACTTTTGTACAAATGAGAGTTATTAATACGGAGATAGTGGAAGTGGAGGCATACGAAGTGACGTTAGTTGACATAGCCGAGCTTCAGGCGTTGATAAGAATTTCTTGGAATTTCTTGTTTGCAGGGAGGACACCATCGAACGAAAACGGTTCATAAAACGCTCAACCCAATATTTAATGAGACTGTTACGTTCTACGGCCTTCCCCTCAACCAGTTGGCGTGGCAAACCTTACAAATTAATGTCATTGGTGAGTTTACTATTACTTTTAATATTTACATACCTTCTCACTACGTCAAACTTGTTGCGGAATAATTTGCGATATTTTTAGATTGAAAGGGGATAGAGAAATACTGTCAGTAATATTATTTTTTTGCATAAATTCTATTTTTATGATAACAACTTTTCTTTAATAAGGACAAAAACGTACATTTTCAACTTGACTTTCTCCAGGTTGAAAGAAATTCTGTTGATTTGCTCTTTTCGCTAGCAGTGTGCCGTTTTGCACTTCCAAAGCCACTTTTAGATCTGCCATTGTCCAAAACTATCCAAAATAATTTTAGGCGTCCAAGATGTTCAAAAGCTTCCAACATTGCAAAATTTGGCAAAATGTTGCAAGTTCTTTATTAACGATTTTTTGCAAATCTATGCAGAAATATGTGATTTCCCATTGATTTTGAGCATTCTGGTGTGGCGTAATACTACGAAATTTGAAAAAATTGTTTTAACATGTTTTCCTATGAGAACTTAAGAAATTTCCTAAATCATGGCGTATTACAGACAAAGATGCTCAAAATTAATGGGGGATTACATATAGGTCCATGGATTATCGAAGAATGCAAAACTTGTAACATTTTGCCCCACTTTCTATTTTGGACATTTTTAGACATTTTGTACGTCAAAAATTCGGTATTCAAAACTGGTTAAAACCCGTTTTAGTCGGCTATTTTGGACAGTGTGGCTAAAACCAGAGCGAAACCCTGCCCACTAGTAACCTTATCAAGTCGAGAACTTATGAGAAATATCTTTTGTTCTACCCTGCACTTGCTGGCAGTATTAATTACGTGGAAAGTCGTCTTGGTGGTGGTGGTGAAAGTGAGTGAAGCTATGTTTGCGGGATGCCGTACGACGCTGGAGATGAAAATGAAGAACATCCGGTCTCCAAGAACAACAAAGAAATCAATCACGACTACCTAACCCAACTTCTCCACATCTAATTTAATAAGGCCCTAATTAATAAGTGTCAGCCCAATGAAAACAACAACATGACGATGACACGACGACTGGAAGGCTGGATTTCTCCGCATTCCAACACGACTTATTAGTTAGTTAGTTAGTTAGTTAGTTAGCTTTATCCTGCTGGGCTGGATGGGGGATTGGCTGGATGTTGAGATTGAATGTTTTTCCGAGAAATGAGAAGAAGGCAAAGATACATAATTATGATTACGTACGAGGACGAGGAGAATATGATATGACGACCTTGGCCAATAACTAACCAACCCACACAGTTTTCTGAAGAGAAAAGGACGTATACTTTTAATTCGCTGTTCAAGGTTTCTACCAACGATATCACAAGTGGCCGCGGAAGCGTGGGGACAAAGGGACAATGTCCCCATAATCAGATAAACCCCTCCCTCCTATATTCTACAATGTTAATTCCTCAGATGTCCCCACAGCTTCCGCGGCCACTGGATATCACTGTTTTTATACTAATTTTGCCACAGTTTTTTAATTCCACCGAAAAATATGGTTTTGAAAGCAAAAATTGCAGGGATTTAAATTTATCTTGATTTTTGAACGTATCTAATATAGAAGTAAGCCTTATTTAAAAATAGGATGGGAAATGTATAGTTTATTGCTAAAACAAACAGCACATTTTACAAACCCTGTCCTACCCGACCTTGCTTTCTCCCAGACTTTATTGTCCTCTCTTGTATACATATCCCAAATAAACAATGCGATTTTTTAAAGCAAAAATTACGAGGTAAATCTAACTCGGTTTTTGAACATATCTAGCAAAATAGGATGATGCCAAATATATAGCTTATTGCTAAAAAACGAGGGTTTCACCAACCCTCTCCTAGTCGACCTTGCCTTGTCGCTTTCTCCCAGCTTTCTCCCAGACTTTGACTCTTGTGTACAAATCCCACGCGATTTTTGAAGGCAAAAACTGCAATTTAAATTTAACTGGTTTTTTCAAGGTATCTAACAAGTTGTAAAAATAGGATGATGCCAAATATGTAGGCCATTTCTAAAAAAACAGCAATTTTACGTACAAACCCTGTCCTCGTCGACCTTGCTGCTTTCTCCCAGACTTTGTTGCCCACTGTTGTGTACAAATATCTACAACCTGGGAAAGCATGGAAAGTCGAAAATACATGTCCAGATCCAACCTGGAGACATGAGAGCACGTCGAGGAGGACAGGAATAAAAATCAATTCCTCTTTTATTGCCGGAGAGGAGGCAGAAAGTAGATTTGATTTGAGCTGATCTGCACATACTTTGTCCCTCATTGAAATAAAATCTATTGTTCTCGGCTCCATTATTTCGAGATGAGGCGAGACCAGACCTTGTCCTCTGCTACATAATTCTGTCTCTCTCTCTCACAGACGATGACAGATGGGCGAGAGATTGTTTGGGATTTGCTTCAATCCCTCTGCACCGAATTAGGCCTCAGCAGACCCGCTCCTTCAACCTTCTTCTGGAGAGTGGAAAACTGATCTCGGTAAGCAACCCGACCTTGTTACATACGTACACACCTACCACGAGCTGAAATCAGACCGATATCATCTTATCTTACCCCGTGTCAGTTGGTCGTCCAGCAGGAGGTGAATTGTCACCTAATAATAAATATCTAAGTGACCGTGCAGACTGGATGTAATGATCTCACCTCCCCCGCATAGCTTCCAATTTCAGTGTCCATTTGTCCACCCACTCAAAAAAAATATGTCCACTTTCCACCCTGATTTGTCCACTTAAAAATTAGCATGTCCATTCTACTCTCTCTACGTCCAGTGTCCAACGACTTTTTTTCTGTCCAACAGTGGGCAGGAAAAATGTATGCCCACGTGGACATTTGTCCATGGTAGCCATGCTCCCCCGCAGGTAAATGAGCTAACGTTTGTTTATTATCACGTGCAGACCGAGGACAAGGAGTGGGGACGACTGCTCTTGTCGCTGAGCTACCTCAGTGAGAAAAACACCCTCTGCGTGGGCCTCGTCCAGGCGACGGACCTTCCCACGTGGCGGAATCTCAATAGTTCCTCCTCCCCCCGTGGCAGTGGTGGCGGCAGTGACCCCTTCGTCAAAGTGTAAGCTAGTTTATCCATCCATTTAGTCGTGTAAACTTTACTAATGAGTAAATGCGATGGGTCAGATATCTCGAATTAATCAAGGGTTGCATTTGCGCCACATGTTAAACGCTGATGGGTACAGAACGTACCCGAGTTTTATACGAATGCACAAGAAACTTGATAACTTATTTGTAAATAAAATTGAGAAATTACATAACGTAACGAATAATATAATCCTTAAATGTGGCTTTTTAAGGGTATGTACCTACGTTTGTAAATGTGTTTTTCTCTGCGATGTGAGATATGCACGAGAAGTTGTTGACGTGAATTAGAGGATTTCGCAAACTCTGGCTAGAAAAGGATTATATTTTTTATTTGCAACTTAAATACATATGTGCACATAACATATCCCGACTCAAGGGCACCTTCTTATTTTTTGCAAAAAATATGTTATTGCGTTGTGTAGAAGAATTATATCGACCTTGTTGACGTGCATGCATATGTATGTGCTTACGTACGTACGTCCATCCATTGTTGTTCTGCTGGTCCAGGTTTAAGTGCCTCTGTGAAAGAATGGGTGGATTTTATCATTAAATCTTTTTCTTTCTCTGCAAACCTGGTTGGATGGATGGATGGATGGATAACTGAGATTTGAGGATAAGTAGATTTGAAAAGGGATCTGGACCGAAAATTCTGCTCCTCGTTTCGCTCAAAATTAAGCCAGGCCAGGATTGCGCGAGTAGTGCTCAGATGGTGGAGAGACGATATTCGGACGCGTCGTCTCCAGCTTTTGGATACAGCTATGTACATATTCATGTACATAGCCACGTTCGAACAATTAGAGAGAGAGATGGATAAAAAAGTTCGTGTCAATTCAATCAAGACGACATTATGTGCATATGCTCGACTTACAATGGAGGTCTGCTAGCGTATGCTATCCGATTTTGACCAAAGTAGTGTCAGTCGATCACGAATTTAATTAGTATGAAATTTGCAAAAGAGACGATCGGCCAATGCGCAGGTTTAGGGGAGATATTTGCATCCAAAGAGGAGAAAGTGCGCCTTAAAGTTGATTAATTCTACACTTCCCAAATTTACTGTGCGTTTTCTCCTCTTCGAATGCAAATATCTGAGCCAAACGTGACTATTTGGAGATCGTGCCTTTTGCAAATTTCATACCAGTTAAATTTGTGATCGATTGACATTAGTTTACCCAAAATCGGAGAGCATTCTCTGAGAGACCTCCATTTGTTTCTGAGATTTCTTATAGGAATGGTTGCCACGAGATTTTGTCCTCCTTTCCCGTCTAGATTAACCCAAGATATCTGGATTCAATTGACCCAAAGAACAACGAGTAGTGCTCAAGTGACTGGATACTAGTTTTAAAGCTCAACTTCCGCATAACAAGGCCTACTTTCACCTGATATTGCATATTTTTCTCTGCGCCCTGCTTTCACCAGTTCTTCTTATACACCTTTTCCTAGTTGGACATCAAAGCGAAAAGTTTGTTACACGGGGAAACTACTGGTTGCTTCGGTGCTCGCTGGCTTATTATTTATTTATTTATTTACAACGCTCCCCAGCAGCTCCATGATTTCTCTCCTGCACCAGTTGAACCTTCTCGGGCAGGAAGATCATTTCAGTTTTATTTTAGGAGGCCTCTCCTTCTCCTAATGCACAACTTTCTTCTTCTCTCCTCCGCAGGGGAGAAAGTTGGTGGGTTTGCTTATGTATTTTGAAGGTGAAAACTGAAAAGCGAGATGATGATGGTCAGTGGGTAGGTGTTTACTGCTTGATATCTATCAAGCAAGTATCATCATCAACGTCAACAACAACAACAACATCACTTTCCGGAGTAATCCGTCAATTGGCTGGCATCCTGAATGGGCTCGTACGTACTTACGTGCGTGCGTACATAGTCTGCTTTCTCTCCACCTCCACCTCTGCATTTCTCTCTCTCGGATATGGTCCAGGTTTTTCAGGAAGGTTTTCTCGACACGCTTCGACCATTTCATGATGACACAGTCCTAACAAACAGAATAGTAAGAGATGGTGCAATAGTGGTATTCATGGCATGGGTGAAAATCGACATGAATTTTCGAAATTTTGAAAAAAATCGGGCTTGCAAAGCATGACATTTTTAGTAGGAATGTCGAACATATTATTTTTTATACGGCTTACTTCTCTTTATACGTGGGAGATAAATTGATATAAAATTGTAAATATTGTACGAAATTTTTCCGAGTTTTGCCAGCCTTGCCAAAATTTATTTGCATATCTTGGAAGCTATAAATTTCCAAAATCTTGTTACCACTGTGAATGAGTACACCCAGGTTGGAACTTGGTGAAAGTTAAACGGTGTACGGTTTGATGATCAGGTTTCGCTGGTGGTTGTGCTGTATCAAGTGATATAATATGCAGCCAGTAGACATGCTTTCCCCGTCGAGTAAAGTGTCCAAGAGTAGAGTCGTGTATTTGTAGGGGTAGGTCGCTTGCCTGGTTGGTGGGTATATCTATTTGCCCAGTGTTTGCATTATTAATAAGAAAGGATTTTGCCACTCACTCCGACAAACTCGACTAAACGAAGCAAACCACCGAATGCCCGAAATGAATCATGTTAGTTAGTGACTGATCATCATGATCATCATCTCCTCGTCAAGTATACACTTTCCTCTCGGCGAGATCATTACGTTGCGATGACGAGACGACGGGATATTTACGTACATAAAACTGAAACCTTGACGAGGAGCAACTCATCGTCGAGGGCTGGAATTACTAGACTAACAGTTTTCCCTTCTTCTCTCTCTCTCTCCTTTTGCAGTATCACTTTCCCTCCGGGAATCCAGTTAGGTTGGTTGAGGGGCTGTGCATGGGAGGGAAGGTTGTGACTCGCTTATCATCACGGGTCAAAAGGGAAGGTCGGCGCGTGACGGTGTGGCGAAAAAAGTTATGACACACGCTTTACGCACAGCCCCAAAGTTTACTTAATGAATATGACGCAAAACTGGGAAAATGTATTAGTTAGTGATGCCTTATGTGACAATACTTGTAAAAAATCTGTTTGACTTTCACTTTTGGTCTCTTTGTGTGTGTAGAAGGCTTGTTCATGACACGAATCTCGGCCAAGTTTCGGCCTCCTTCAACCCGTCGAGTCGCAAGTACAAGGCAGCCGTCAAGTGGTCACACCCCGACCATCTTTTGGACGACTTTAACTTCAAAGTCTCTATCCTGGACCTGCCTCGTTTGGCCCTCGTCATCTCAATGTGGGACGGGAAACAGGGCGAGTACTTGGGTAAGCTCGTACATACTGGAAGCAGTGTTTCGGGTGGAAGTAACCACTTGCAAGAAATAACGGCAAGAAAGTAGTTTCCTGCAGCTATTTATGTTGACCTGTAAGACATGCAAGGCGCAAGAAACTACGCCCCATCGCTATACTTAATATGTCGTGTGGCTGGAGGACGCGTATTTCTTGCACTTTCTTGCCCTTCTTGCTTTGCAGTGCAAGAAATGTGGTAAACCCACATGCAAGAAACGAAACACTGACTAAAATATGTGCAAAAATTGGAAGCTGGCTAATTTGAGCCTGTTTTGAACAGTTTTCTCTAATTATTATCCCAATTTAATTGGATTGATAAGATTTTTGACACTAATTCTGCCCTTTTGCGAAGGTGGTCTCGTCCTGAGTTACTCGTCGAAAGGTGACCGCCTCAAACACTGGTCGGACATGCTGCACCTACCCAACACGAAGCACACCCAGTGGCACGCCCTCAGCCCCCTCCAAATCCCAGCCGCCGCCATGTGAATGAGGAATGGATGGAAATTAAAACCAAATGTGATAAGTACAACGGAGAGAAGAAACAGATTGGATACCTGATATTAATTCGATAGAGATGACCCTTGACCTCCCATAATAATTCGTGATATGATTCTGTATTATTATACTCGCTCGAGAAATTAAATAGTTTTACTCAAAACTTATGTAAATTGACCCTTGACTTGGAGGGAAGAAGACATCAATTTAATTCTTACGTACATAAAAAAGGACGATAAAAAAGTGTAATTGTTATAAATGTATGTATTCCGTTCGTGGAGACATTCAGTATTTTTTGCTTAACTTCTTGAATTCCACTTGTATGCCTGAGTAAAAAAAACAGATTATCTGGAAACGTCGACTTGTTTGTCGTTCGATGAGAGAGAGAAAGACAGAATATTACATAATGAATAAATAAAATAAATATTGATGCTGATTACTTGTCCATCTCGTTTGTAAAACTTTCTCCATTTTTAGTATCCCAATATATTACCGATAACAATTAGAGTCGACGGTGATGGCAGAATAAAATTTAGCGTCGCTTTTGCTTGTCGGCCTTTTTTCCACTTCTGCAAATTCATTGAGTTCCATGATTCAATCTGTGGGGATGAATTTCCATTTGATTTTATGTATGCCATTCTTCCGTTTTTCGGCAATTTGTTGATATTTTTCCAGTCATACGAATACTTATGCTTACATGTTTGCGATAAGTAGGTTGTGGCGTTTATGGTGACTTGGCCAAACGAAAAAATGATGGATTTTAGCACCATTTTCAGTTTTAATGGGATTGTAAGTTGAAAAATGCATATGCATTTCATACATATTTCCCAAAAGTAGAAAAATGAGCATTTACAAATTTACACTACTAAAGGGAGGGCAGCCTGGTGGATACGAATTTGGCCTTGAATAACCCCGGAACGGTTTGTCGTAGCGGGTCAAAATTTTGAACAGAAGAGCATGTTATCCTCAGATAGTTGTGTGCAAAAATTCAACTCTCTACTTTCAAAAATGCCTCCCCCACAGCCCCCAGAAGTTGAGACACTCGTTTCAACTTTTTCCAAACTCCGTCTAAAAAATTCGGTCCCCACAGAAAGATTTTCTTTTCATCTATCCGAACTCAAACAAGTCGATTTGACTTATATCAGGGGATTGTATAGGTATTTCACTATTCCAAATGATTTTTATCCCCAATCTAGGTTCAAGGTCATTTGCATAATCTTGGGTCAACTTTGCCGTCTGGGAGGACGCTCCGTCATGATGAAAAATCACCTTAATTATTATTTTACCGTGCAAATTAGGAAAATTGTATTCTAAAAGTGGTTTCAGTACAAGGTCCACATAATACTTCGAAGATTCCTTCACTTTTTGGGGGACTTTGATAAGTGGGAGGACACCACGACAGGACATTGCACCCACGACCATCAACTGTTTAAAAAAGTTCTCCTCACTGAAAAGCACCAAATTTCTTGAATTTTTTTTCGGCATTTGTCGTGTAGTAAGCTCTTCGAACCCAATTAGTAACTTGTAGGGAAAATAGTTCTTCGTCAATTGTCACCAATAGCTCACTTCTATTCCTCAACAGAATATTCAAATAAAATTTTTTGCAAACACGGGCGAGATTTTTTCTGGAACTATTTGAAATGACTGTCTCAGCTTCTGGGGGCTGTGGGGCAGGCATTTTTCAAAGTAGAAGGCTGAAATTTTGCACACAACTATCTGAGGATAACATGCTCGTCTGTTCAAAATTTTGACCCGCTACGACAAACCGTTCCGGGGTTATTCAAGGTCAAATTCGTATCCACCAGGCCGCCCTCCCTTTGGTAATCTCATAATCATTCATTCAAAAATTCAGAAGCGCTTTTACCTTACTGCTGCTATGCACTAATCAAATTATTTATGTGAATGTTTACTAAATTTGTGTACAAAAAAGTGGACCCTATTTACTTCTTGCACATACCTTCTAGAAGGACTTATCAAATTATGACTAAATATGAAAATTGCATGGCAAGTAGTTTAATCTCTTAAACTACTTAACATGTTAAGTTTGCAACTCTTTAATCGGCACTTTTTCTTGCCGGATAATAACACACAAAAATTCATTTTCATATCTTTCGTGATTTGTTCATTGACTTTACCATAATCTGACTTAACTTGGTATGAAGTTAACTTCTCTAAAAAATTGGTATCAGTGAACAATTTTCTCTAAATTTTGATGCACATGTCAAACTCTACTCATATTTTTCCATGTGCCAACATAAATGCGACGCTTGAAGAGTGACGACTATTTCATCATGACAAGAATAAAGACAAATTTGTCCAGCACACTGACATCTTACAGGGCTCATAATTGGTAATTACACGTGACGATTTAGTAAGAATGCATCGGAACTATTCGGAACACATACAATTCATGCAAGATCATTGAGCACAAATTCATGGAACTAATGCACCTATACATCATAATCTTAGCTATACATATACATCCTATATAATTCCTATACATCCATGCGTGCACTTAGCGCAGATGGACGGACGGAGAACCAATGGAGATCACATGCCGAGAAGAGAAATGCTGAAAATCCAAAAGAAAATAATTAAATACGGGAAACCAATTAACTACCCAAATAAATCATAAATATTTAATAGTATTTTATATTTTACGTTACACGGTGTAACTTACACCATAAAATCGACAAAAGTTAAAAGCTCGCCGTCATTGCTATTATCTTCAAAAGTTGTGCTCTGGTTTAGTTTAGGTAAATAAATATTTGTCAGTATAATAATTAACTAATTGTTTACCGTTTCATCATTTTGCATTTTATTAATTAAGAATGAGGTGTTGTGTTAATGTCATATTTTGTGCTTATTATTTCTAATTGTAGGAACGGAGGACGACACACTCACTCGACAATATGGCGAGAGTTCCGGATATTACTGATAAAAATCGGGACCAAATAATGTTGCGGCGGCCAGCTTTTTCACCAAAGGGGAGGAGTTTTAAGGGTTTTAGTAAATGCTGCAACCTTTATTTTTGTCGTAAAAATAAGTTTTCTTTATTATTTAGGAGAGATATTCATTTTTGTATTCACTCTGTTTCATTCCAGACTTAAAAAAAGGGCTTGTTGACACCAACGCCGCCAGGTCTAGAGCCTTGAAGAATCCGTTGGTTAGTTTATTTCTTTTCAAACCTCTAATAGTTCATTGATCCGCTTAATCCAATTTTGAATTTGTACCAGGTACTCGACCTTATCTTCGGCAATCTCGGCCTCCCCGACCTGAAAACGTCCCGTCTAGTTTGTCGTGAGTGGGCCGACGTCGGCGCTATTGTATTAGGAAAACGGGCTTTTCTCCAGGTCAACCAGCTTTTTTCCTGTGAATGGTTCAAACCAGTCGAGATGGCCCCTGTCAACGACAAGCTGATCCGACGCGTCCTCATCTCAGACAAATTCGACTCGTCCATTCCGACATATATGAAGACTGGCGTTATTACAATAGCTCTCACCCAAGTAGCTAAATTATCCCAATTAACTCGTGAAATTAAATTCCTCGTCAGCCAGAAAGAATTTGTCCCAGCTTTCCTTGAAGGAATAAGGATATTGGGGTCCACAAAAATCCAACACGTTGGCATCTTCAGCGCCTGGAAACGAGATATAGCTAGCACAATTCCAGCCGAGGCATGTCAAAACCTCCCCCCTCAACCTAGCTTGACCTCCCTCAAGTTTGAAGCTCTCTCACACTTGCAACATGACCTCATCACCGGCTGCAACGAATTTCAACCCCTGATCCAAGTCTGGCTCGATGCTGCCCCCAATTTGACCAGTTTGGACGTCGTGACATCTTTCTATCCAAACTTGGAGGCGTGCACAAGTCTAAGAGTTCTGAAATTTAAGTTAATAATGTGTTGCAATGAGCATTATCCTCACCTCAATTTGGCTAATGTGACCAAGATGCTGGCACAAGTTAAGGATTCCTTAGTCAAGCTGGAATTGTGTCATCGTGTGAATGACTATGATTCCATGCAGCAGGTACAGATTTAATATAAGCATTTTACAATGGACGTGCTCACTATAACGTTTTCTTTAGCGTCACAAGCAACTCATGTAAAATTTACTAAGCTCAAAAAATTTGCGTTGTGAGGGGGTCTACAAAATATGATTTCGCAAATCTATGCAAACTGATGTGCTATCTTGTTTTAATTTAGTTTCCAAGGATTTCTATAATTTATATCGTTTATGATGTAGACAATGAGTTTAGTAAGTAATTTTTTTATAAAATAAAAAACAGGTCCAAAGTAAGCTGGGTAAAGTTTTGATAAATTTAGCAACAATTTGCGAGATACTTGTGATGGTTGTCATGAGTCGGCCCAATATTTGATATTGCGGATCACTCACATCAGTACTAAATATTTTTTGTATACATCGCAGATCCAAAGTGCTGAGGAGGTTCCCGTGATGTCGAAACTTACCTCGTTCGCCATCGATGCCGGAGAGGTTTACCAAGTTCGTGACTTCTACAATGAGGAGCACTTCCCAAAATTAAGATCCTTCTCTGTCCAAAAGGGATTAAAGTTGTTCTCGCATCTAAATTTGTGGAGCAGACACAGAGGAGTTCACTCTCTCGTGTTGATCATAGATTACGTTTCGGAGGAGCAGGAATTCGTGGGAAAAATGGTCGATTTATTTCCCGCCGTTAAGGAATTCGATTTGAGGTTGGATCTGACCGTTTTAACTTTCACTGGCGACATGACGACGACGATGTTCTATTATGAACCTTCGTGGACGTCTGCCGCCATCCATCAGTTTATGAAACCGTTCCAAATGTGGGATTTGGAACGGGTCAACGTTTCTGTGGAAGTACAGGAATCCGCCTTGTTGATTGATGCCCTCCAAGCTATTTCCGTTTTGAAAGGTAGAAGTCAAGTTAAAATCACCCCGTAAATAATTATTTTCAATTCTACTAATTGATTAAAATATTAATAATGGATCGTAATAATTTCAGGAGTTAAACGCGTCCAGTTCTGCTTCCCTTGCAAAGACAACACGATGGATAACTTTTCTGCCACCTTTCAAGATGTCATCTTGCACTGTAGAACATTTAAAAGCGTAGAAATTACGAGGAGTGAATTCCGAGTGGTAAGTCGCTCAGTAAAATAATTTGCACATAAATTGTTCCTATATTCAATTTTCTAATAATTTAGGAACCGGAAATTGTGGAACAAATGCAACTCATGATTGAAGCCAGTGGGTGCGCCCATCTATTTTATCGAAAGAAGTGAATGAGAATTAAACGAGATATATTATTATATCATAATTACTAATTATTTTTAAGGTTTAAATACTAAAATTATAATTTTTCTACTATCACAATATGCAAAAATGTTTCTATCGCCTGAAAACAATGAGACAGCTTCTAAGTTCCTAAATGGATGGTAATGAGATTCTAATTTATTGAAGAACTGATAATAATGTCATAATTAGGTAATTAGATTATTAAGTTGTAAGCATTACACAATTTTTGTTATCTGTTTTGATCACGACAATTTTTATTTAGTAAACTCATTCTGTTTATATAAAACCCTGCTCGCTTCTCGCTCCTGTTTTTCCATGGACAACATAAATTCAACACCTGAATAATGACGATTATTTCATAATAACGAGAAGAAAGATCCATTTGTCCATCACACTCGACTCGATGAATCACTGCCAAAATTATCAAAAAAATCACATTTTTAAACATCTCTCTGCTCTGGGAATTTATTTTAAAATTCTGGACTACAAACTTGTAGAGCAGGTTGGTGTCACTTTGTAAAAATGTACACTCCAGATTTTGACAATTTTTGAAGAAGCCTTCAGAAAAATTGGAACTCTTCGAAACTAGCTTAACAACTCACTGCCATTCTTTTAATGAACTTATATCGGCTACAAATTTATCTCCCATAATTTTAAAATAAATTCCCAGAGCAGCTAAAAATGGTAAAATTCAATGATAAAATTGTAACATTTCTGGTTAGTTTGGATTATCAAACTTGAATTTAGTAAAATAATTCTGACTCCATGAACTTCGATTAGGGACGATTATGCATATCTCTGGCACCTGGTATTTATAAGGATAACGCATATGTAAACCTCACCGAAGTTATTATTCAATGAAATCACCCCGGCATGAATTATGTAAAATAAAATAAAATTGTATCAGCACTCTAAATATTTTTTTCAATCATATTTTCATGTGGCCCCCTCTCACTGCAATGACTTTTCATATACAAACTTGCAATTTGAAAGTATTATTTTCTCTTAAAGTTACACAAATTATTATACTTGTCTTCATGTTATCAATAACTGTGAATAAGAATAGCGATTATACATAAAGTGAACGAGTTATGTACTGTGCGGGTGGAGCTTAAACCTACGGCCTCCTGAAGTACCTTGTGCTGAGACTAGGGTTTCTCGTGAGTTTAGCTCCATTCGCACAGCACATAACTAACTCACTTCAAGTATAATTTTGTCCCGATTTGCTAAATATCTCAGTCCGCCTCCGCCTGTTTATCTTTTTTATGTGACTAATTTGCATAATTATTCTTAAATCATTGTCGCATATTGCATCACTAGCATTAATTACGATCTTTAAAAAATTACATCAAAGTTAATCATTTTAATTTACATTTTACAAAACACCAGGAAAAGAGTGGATGAACTCGAATGACCTCACAGTTCATTTCTCCGTCTCTGCCTGCCTCTTTTCTCCACAAGCCAGCTCATCCACTTTTCACAACTCGCATCGTCCTCATTCGCTTCACTCTTCTGCCTTGGACGGACGTATTTTGTTCCTGACGCCACGACGACATCAGTGTCGACAAATCCAGTTGTACCAGAGGTAAAAATAATTAAGAGTGTTTGAAAGAGTTTCTATTGCTTTGGGAGAATTTTAAAACGCTGAGCACGAAGTTTTTTGGAGGTGATTTGAAAATATTGAATTATACGTAGTTTTCCAGAATGCAGAAGTAATATATATTTAATATCTTTTTGATTTCCAGGTATTACAATGGGTAGGAAACGTGGTCATCGTCAAAAGCCGAGGGGGCCCTCTTCAATCAGGTCGCAGGACGATTCATTCTCAAAGTTGGATGAGTGTAGTGACACCGAAGAGAAGAGCAGCAGCTTGTCCCTTTGCGACAGCCCCATTCTCACGCAGGCATTCCGAACAACGAGAAGCACTGCGAGAAGAAATGCGGCCCTAGCAATGGGGCTCAAAGACTCTAGCATGGGGTCAAGTCCACCCAGAAAAATGAGTAAAGATAATGGTGAGAAAAATATATATGAATATTTTAATACGAGAGGTCATTGAACCTAGTTTTCATTAGTTTTGTTTAACTATTTTAATTGTAATAATACATAATCTAAATAAAAATTCAGATTTGAAGGGATTTCAAGGGGAGCCAATGTATGTCAAGTTTGAAACGGACAAAACTAATGAAGACGGTGACAACAAAAAAAAATATCGTGCTCAACTTCAAAATCTTGTGGACAAATTTGTATTTGTCAAGAAATCCTTTATTTCAAAATATGTTAAGGATAACGGTAGTTCGTTGGAGGATAAAGACTTTTTCTTTTTTTCGGAAAGCGACGATGACGAAGATGATGAATTTGCCGATTGTTCTCCACTGGTAAGATATCTAGATATATATTAATTGATTATGTTATGCTATGCTAACTTGTATAATGTTCAGGATTATCTTGGAAAACGTCGCGACACTGGCCCGTTTGTCCAACTGCAAGTTGACCATTCCGTTACACTATCCTTTGACTCGGGGTTACTGAATGTTTTCGAGTCAATGTATCACTCGCATTGTCAGGTGGGTAAAAACTAAAAAAACAAGTTGGTTGCCAAATTGTTTTCACAAAACTTTTACACAATGTTTATTTTGTACGTAGATGATTTTGACTCACGTTGAAAAGTTTGATCCAAGACTAATCTATAATGAGTGGAAGCTATTTTGGCGAAACAAGCCTCACAGTACACATGAGGAAGTTGGGGCTGTCCATTATAAGAGTCTCATGTCCAAGTATGTCACATAATGTCAAAACCTACTAAAACGTCTTTAAAAACCTTTTTACTCTTTCCATTCTTACAGATCTACTCTATTCAAAATATGCTCACTGGAATCTGTCCAACAATACATCATGTCCATGGATCTGTTCACGTACCAGTACGCCATCGATATTTTATATCCATGCTTGTCGAAAGGAATGCCTAGTAAGATACACATTGGTTAAACTTGTATTCTTGTTACCTCGCATATTAGCAACTAACAAGTTTATAATTTACAGTCTCAATGGTCAACACCGTGCGATCTTTCATTAAGGAGGGTCTGTACCTCTTTAACAAAATCTTGGAAGACTATCCCAAATTGATGGTCAGTATCAAGATACGCTGTTTCCAAACGTTGCTCGTCATGTTGGATGATTACTCAAACTTGAACAGGATGTTAAAGTCGGCCGTGTCCACTATTCGAAATGTGGACAATATACAAGCCATGCATTCAGAACTTTGTCGTTCCATTAACTTTGAGAACATGGAGAAACAAGTAGCTCTATTCAAGAAGCAGAGTGCACTTCTCGTTCAAAATAATCTAATTCTTGAATTCAGACAGAACTTGGATCAACACCAGAATTACTCGATAAAATGTTGGGTTCACTGGGGGGAAATGGTTGCTCAAAGATTAGTTGAGGAAAGCAATCGTCAGGTTGCAGAAGGAGAAGTCACAAAACAAATGGAATGCCCGTTTTCTATTTGGAAAAATGCAAGGTATGCATACATATGTAAACCGGCTTCAAATATAACGCTAAATGAATTTACTAAAAGTCATTTAATATTTTTGCTTTTGATTATGTAGCGATCGCATGTTGGGAGCCATTGTAAAAGATAATGCTGTCAGTTTTGAGGTTTTTAAAGGATTCCTGCAATGGTGTGATAACATAATCCAACACATTACAAAGTTGACCATTGCGCGCTCCGAGGGCTACACTCTTCCCATCTTTTACTACGAAACGATTCTAAGGGTTAATATTTATTTGGAAACCACATCATCCTTTATAAGTAATTCTATTTAACCGTCATTTATTTATATTTATTTTCTTTAGGAACGTGATCAAACGTGGCGAGAAAATACCAAAATTTACAAATCCATGGCTCTCGCTCAACAACAAAATCGTGATCAACCAGGAGGGAGTCGTAATGTCCATGCGGGCGCTGAGGAAATTTTAGGACCTGCACATCACTTCATTCTGAATGACAATAGCAATAGCAACGATCCACTCTCAAATTGTGAGTGGATTATGCAAATATACTTATAATAAATTATCATTTTAAACACTAATATAATTCCTCTCTTTTATAGATAATCCTCCCATCAGTCCAGATTACCGAAAGCCTACCGTAACATATTTCAATCCAATGTCATTAACAAACGGACAAACTATGTCGTTCGCCACAAATGCGCCGGGACCCTCTACGTCATCGTCGGATCACACCGTCCCTGACAACGTCTACCACAACTAAGATTTACAGTTTGAGAATATCAGAAGATCAATCACCCAATCATGTTTTTAATCAAATATTTGAAGAATTTTTATCTTGTTAATTCAGAGATTGCTATCTTACCATTGTCATATTATTATGCTACCTACTTTTATTTAATTATTATTACTTATTATGCCTTTAACATGTATTTTATCTTGTTCCATACATACTGATTGTTTCCAAATTCTAGCCTAATTTGTGATGATACAATTATCTTGCCTGATATAAACTGCATAAACTTGTATGTAAAAAAAACTTTTGATCTGATTTACTTATTTCATATCCCCTTCTAAATATTAGTACATACATATCTGTACATACTTTACATATTTAAAAAATATTGTTTATGCAGCAGGGTGTGGAGTGCTTATTAACATCATCCATCAACTTTTAAAGGTTCGGTTCGAAATTGTCCGTGGTAACTTTCGGTCACTCTTTGGTGACTTCACTTTGGTTTTACTTTGGGTGTGCATTTTATTGTGCACCTTAAAATCGTAACCGATAAATGCAGGACTCGATGACTCTACACCAAAATAGCCAAAAACCACATATTTAAATCATTTTTCGGCTATGGAAATTTATTTTATAATTCTGGACGACAAATCTGCAATCAGTAAGTTAATTGGTGGTAGTATTTTTTTAAAATTAAGGTTAGCCAGTTTCCATGAGAAACTGTTCTTCAAAATTTTAAAGCAAATTCCCAGAAATGATTAAATATGTGCTGCCTTTGAAGATTTTGGCGTCGTCGAGTCCTGCATTAAATAATTTGTTTCTATTTCACAGTTCTCTCAAATAATTGAATGTCTTTAATTGTTTTCAGTAGGGGCAAGCGCGAACGCTGTGCCCCGTGGAAAAAATTTTGCGCCCGAGTTATCCACGTTTGGGATAATCGCAAGCGTCAACCTCACCGAAGTGCAATGGAGGGTCTCAGCCTGGGGCAAGCACCTTGTGGATCGTGCTATGCCCTACGCCAGGTAAGTGAAGATCACTCTGTCCTCACCCACCACATTCTTTGGCCTGTGCAACCACTACGTATCCCCTGATTTTCCGCATCCCACACTCTCCCCCGTACCCTTCCCCACGGGGATAAGTAGCTTTATGTATGCTGGAATTTGTCAGCTTTATGTTAGTGCATTTATAACTTCTATATGTTGAGTGGATCGGGAGATATGGGCAGTTTAGTGCTATCAAGGAAATTTCAATGCATTTGTGGTGTTTTTTTGTGAAATTACTTATTTTAGTTGGAATTTTCTCAAATTTACTACATACTTCGATACAGTCGACCATCAAGGTTATCTTATACCCATCTTATCATTTTATTTTAATTTTAAAGTGGAGAAAGCAGAGAAAGGGATTTTGGACTTGTTCGTGAGACGAATTCAGAGACGAGAGGCGGTTAATCCAAGTTTACTGAGAATCAGATCGGGCGAACTTATTCGCAGCAGTTGGACGGCTTATCTTTGACCGTGGGTCAATTTTGTGGACAATTTTTGAAACAGGAGGAAGACACCAAGGACAAGGTCGGTAGAACAGGTAGGTTTTCATTAGATATTTGTAAAATATATATCAAACGTTGCATTAAATCTACCAAATTAATTAACAACTTTAGATTTTGTGGCTAATCTTTTGTATTTGAATTTAGATAACCATCGTCGTCGTCATGCTGCGTAGCATCCTAAGTCGCGGAACTGGTCTCCGCCTCCCACTCTACACTGCGAGCCATTCGCCTGTTTGCAAAGCATCCTCCTCTTCGGAATGGGGTGGGCAGGAGAAGGGCTACAAATACGTAAACCCCGATAAGGAACTGACCATGTCGGAAATTACGGACAACGTTGCAACCACCATTTTCTGGACGGAGCTGTTCAGAGGTCATTTACCTAACTGCTGGACCATTATTTACGACCCTTTGGCTTATTTGTCTTATTTATTTTAGGCGCTGGAGTCACAATGGCGCACATCTTTAAGGAGCCAGCCACGATCAATTATCCCTTTGAGAAGGGGCCACTCAGCCCGAGGTTCCGTGGGGAGCATGCCCTCCGCCGCTACCCGTCCGGGGAAGAGAGGTGCATCGCGTGCAAACTTTGTGAAGCCATCTGTCCCGCACAGGCCATCACGATCGAGGCAGAAGCCAGAGCTGATGGGAGTCGAAGAACTACCAGATACGACATTGACATGACAAAGTGTATCTACTGCGGGTTCTGTCAAGAGGCTTGTCCCGTGGATGCAATTGTTGAGGTTAGTTTATCAAATAGAACGTGTCACTCTACTTTTTTGTAATCGTGTAAATTTTGAATTTGCATAGTCATAAATTGTGTCTCTCAGTTTTTTCAAAGAATGATTAGCGTGAAATTGTCTCATTATTAATTATTCCAAAAGTGCACATAATAATATGTTATCCAATTTTGTCCAGGGTCCCAACTTCGAATTCTCCACCGAAACGCACGAAGAGCTCCTCTACAATAAGGAAAAACTGTTAAACAACGGTGACAAGTGGGAACCTGAGATCGCTGCAAATATTCAAGCTGACCATTTGTACCGTTAGTTAGTAAAAAAAACCCTGGTCAGCAAACATGTAGTGTTCTGTTCGCTTATATAAGTAAGACAAAACTATAAATTGGACATGCAATCGTGTAGATAATAAGTTATATGATTATGGCGTAATTATTATTGTGAATTGTAAAGTAATAGTCAACTCAATTTTATTATAATAAAATTACTAAAACAACAACACGGTTTCTTATTTTACTTTATTTTTTGTATAATATCCTAAATAACTAGTTAAATAACCAGATCATAAAGTTGCTCATGAAATTTCCGTCACAAAGTGACCCACCAAAAACCAATAACACATAAATAAGGCAAACTTACAAAAATATGCCTGCAAATGTATCACAAGTGCTACAAATCTATATCTACTGTGATCACACAACTATTTAGTTCAGTCGTGGTTTGAGTGGTTGTGGAGCTGGGTTTGGTTTAAAAAGTTCAAGGATAAGGTTGGTGGACGACTCTTTGTGTACATGTTTGTATTTCAAAATTGTTCTTATATTAGTTTCACTTTAGCAGAGTAGTTAAATACGTAATCCTAGTTAGAAGATAGATAAACAGATAATCATCATATAGAGAAGGAAATGACGGGATAATATTGATTGTTATCACGCCACCTTTGTAAACTGAGGAAATTTTGTGCAATTAAAATAACCGAATTGCGAAAAAGTACAGAAAATTATTACAGATTAGTCGAACTGTGTAAAACGGGTACCATGAAGTGAAGGGCGTTGAAAGTTTTGTAACAACATTAACAAGTGATGTATTGGAATACTTGGAAAGAGTGATGTGAAGTGAATTGTTTCAATATTTTACATGACATTTTTGACACGATGTGATTCTAATATTTTCAAGCATTTTTCTTAACCTAGTCAGTCAAGCATCTACACTTTGTTGCAGCAATCGCATTCACATAACATATAGCAAACATATATACTTTCACTTACAGCAAGAACGATGTACTTAACAAACACGTCTACGTAAAATATATCACTTGAATTTGAATCAACTAACAACTAAAGAGTAGCATTTTAAGAGGAATGGTGTGGTACTTTTAAGATAGATACTGACTGAGACATGATGACTTCTTAGCGTTTAACCTTAGTTACTGCCTAATTATCATAATATTAGTAGCCTTATTTTAGTTAATAATATAAATATTGTTGCTGACTCGGATACAACGATTGGATGATGATTTTTTATAACGGATCGACATATTTTTTTTGCTTGTAAAAATATGTTGATATTGATGAATGTTGAATCACGTGCTGTATTGAATTTTGTTCTTAGGAATCTGTATCATCTCAAGATTTGTGCTTTACTTTCTCCCTGCAGATGCGCTTGTGGTAAGCTTGAGCCATGGAATTGACGATGGAAATTACAAAGTAGATCACGACTAGCATGACGACTTTGTCCAGGACGTACGCAATGTGTCCAGGTTCCTGGGGAATATGTTAATAGCAAATTAGTAATTAATAAATGTAGATGTTTGTTCGAGGGGCAACGAGATTTAGGTTTTATCAAAATCTCTAAAGAAAACAATACAAATTCATGGGAATTTTTTAACGTTTTAAATAATAGGTTGCAGATATGAAATTTTTCTTTGGGCAAGTCAACAAGGAAAAAAAATATTTGTATAAACTTACGCCTGACGCATTAGTCTTATTGTGAAGGTTGGCCTTTTGATGAGAAATATACTCAACGAACGGATCACTTATCTGAGAGCCGTACTGCGGAACGGTACGAATGAGAGTGACGACTCTGCAAAACGGAAAGTTCAAATTAATAAGATACGATATATTTCGCCGCCATGCTTTACTACTGCCACCCAGATTTGGGAAAGGTTTTTTTAAACACTTTACAGAGGTAAAATGTATTTGGAATTTGTGTGTATTGATTTTACTCACCGATCCAGTAGGTCTTGGTTGAAGGCCAAGATGACGAAGGCCATTTGGAGGTGAGCCTTAATGATGGCTTTCCCAATTACCGTGGCACCAAAGAAGGTCGTGAATGGCACTAGGAAATGGCCACAGGTTATCCCGGCCAGGTCAAAGAGCGGGTTTGGAATAGAGGCGCAGGCTAAGATTCCCCAGAACCCGACTTTCTCGACGAGATCCTCCATAAAGAGTTTTCCTCGTTCAATGATACTCTGTAAAGTAGACCATTCGTTAACTTTTGATGCTTCAAGATCAACTAGTTTCACCTTTGTTGACTTACCAAGCTCTTCGGATCTCCTCGCTTTTTACGTTGCAACAATTCCGCAAATTTTTCAAGATCCTCATCATCCACCATTCCTGAGACTCTGGCTGCCCGTGCCATGAAAAATGGAGGCAGTTCTCCCAACGCGGTTCCAAACCCCCACATGAGCGACTCCCAGCGGACTTTGCAAATAATGTCGTAGACGGAAACGATCCCACGGGTAAAGTCTGGATCTTCCGGACACATTACTCTATTTATTTTTTTAAAAGTTTATAATTTAACACGAAAAAATGGGTATATGAATTTTTATTCGGCTTACTGATCAGGATATGGGGGCTTGGGAAAGTCCAAGGTTCCACATTCATCCGCAGCTAATGCAACTTTGGCTGGAAGAATAAATACATTACCAAAAAATTATCATAATGAATGAATAAACATAAATAATAATTATTCGAATTATTAGCTAGTCACTCTTTGACTCGTGGAATGACTGATGTATTTGTATTCAAAGTTTGTAACGTGATTTTTAATTAATCTTAACTCACCAATAAATGGTCCGAGATAGAGAACAAATGTGTGCAGCCCTGTCCCAAGTCCGACAGAAGATAAGATTCCGAGAATTATCCAATAACCGTACCAATACACGTTTTCACGAGCCTAGAAAGTTAATTAGATAGTTATTATAGTTTGCAAAACTAAGCAATCATTGAGAATATAATGTGACGAATAGTTAAATTAAAAATATACTACTCACCTTAATCGACTGAGGTTCATCCCTCCCAAAAATGAAATGTAGTCCGTACAAAATCGCCGCAATAGTCATAAAGAGGACGATTTTTCTACTTAGCGGTATAGTCCGCTTTTTCGAATCGTATAGCGAAAATATGAACCTGGCCATAAGAAAGTATAATAACAATTAGACAAAATTGCTCATAAAACCAACCCCAAATTTGACCTCGTACCGTTTCCCCGCATCGTTCACAGCACAAGGAATTTCTCGAAAAAAGTAGTGAATCGTTTGTAATGGACGCCGCCAGAGTACGATTTGAAACCGGTCCTGTAAATCGGCCATCCCTTGCGCTGTCGCTCCTCCCGATCCATGTCGTACCTTGGCACCCCCATTGTTCTTGGGAATACTGCCCGACCCGTTAGACGCTGTCGACGTCTTCCTATTCTTGGCATTATTGGCTTGCATATTACGTACTTTCTCCTCTTCCAGCTTCACATTCGCTAGTTTCTTCTCCTGTAAAAATATTAAACCGAATTTATTTATAAAAATCATCCAAAATAGGTGCTTTTTAAAAAAACAATCTTTCGAAAAAACAAAATTAAATGAATTAAATTAAACCTCGAGCTCAAAATAAAGGACAAATTAGGATAACGTGGAAAATTGTGAGGTAAACAAATACAAAAAATTAAGTAACGATTACAACACATCACGTTAAACTTGTGGGCTTCACGTTGCGATATATGTATGTACAACACTGCTCGTTAGTTAGTCCAGTAGTAAGTAGTTTTCTGTGCAAAGCCAGCCCGGCTAATTCTTTTCATTCATAACGGCAAATAGCAAAAAGCAAATTAAATTAAAAAACCAAACTTAATAACAAAACTATAGTGGTGAGATTGACATGCGTTGATGTGAATCAAACTGAAATAAATAAGAGAGTAGAAAAGTAGGGGTAAAACTTGACCATTTGTTGAATCGTTCCCGTTGGACGAATCCCCCTTTTGCGAAGGGCCCACTGCAAACTTTCCAACTGCATGTTGGAGTTCCTTTTCGCCTTTTTCGGTGGCATGACGATGTTTTTCGTGACGACGACGTCTTCTCTTCGACTAAACTAACGTTCCGGTGATGAAAATGACGACAATATGAGGATGAGTTTGGTCCTCCTGCTGGTGTGAAGAAAATGTCCTAACAGAGTTCAGGCATGCACCAAAGCAATCATGGGATTATTATTATTTACATAAATTGAGTTATCATTTCCCCATCCATTGTAAAATCAAAAAATAAATTCATAAATGTAACAAGAAATAGGTAAATTGCATATAAATATTAATTTTAAAATCTTATTAATAATTCTAGTAAATTTTAGAATGGGAGGAAATGGTAAAGGATTAAATTAGCAATAAATATAAATATATATTTAAATATAATGACAGCAAGCAACCCTGCAGCCTGGTTTGGTTGTAAGGATAAGGATTTAGGAATTTTGGTTTGATTATATACTTTGTAGCCCTATTTTTAGCTTTTAAATTGTTCCCCAGCATACAAACTAAACGAAACGAAAGAGAAGAACCAAGAAAATATAATTACGTTTCCTTTTGGTCACTACGATTAATATCAAGGTCGAAGATTATTATGAGAAAAAATTAATATAAAAAATACCTTCTTATTGTGTGTCAACTATGAAAATATATAAATTTCTACACACACACACTTTTCACCTAGTTAAGTTAACCACTTGGGTAACTACTTATAAATTTCGCAATTTTTGGACCCACCCGAAAAAATTGTTTGAACTAGAACCATACAATTCAATCAATATCCAATCTAATTAATTAACGAGGGGACGAAGGATGACGTGACACAATTGAGAAGAATAACTAACTAACTAACTATCCAATGGGACCCTGGAACTCACCTTAACTCATCCCTTGGTCGCAGGGAGCAAATTTTTTGGGCGGCGACTCCTCCTCCACAACCTTTTGACCTCACTTTCTCTGAAATTGACTCGGAGACTGTCCGCCGACTGGGAGCTTTTCCTTTTAAGCCAACTCAGTTTTTCGGAAGAAATTGAACTTTAATTTTTGCGCGTGGCCCACGTCACGCACTTTTCCTCAGTAAAAACCACAGTCTCGTTGGGCAGGGGAACTCAGAAACGAGGTCCAATTCGCACTAAATTGGCAGTGAAATTAGCACTAAAATGACTTGCTTCCTCTTCAATTGACTCCTCGTCACTGTGTAGTTAGATAAGAACAACACGTGAGGTCACAAGGTCAACTAACATGTCATCGTCGTCGTCATGTTGTTTGTTTTGTTCATTTATTTGAAAGAATGGGCTGCCAAGAGGAAGAGGAAAATGGGGAGGGCTGTGCGGAAAGGATGGGGGTTGGATTTTAGGTTAGTAGTGATATGTCAAGATAAGGTCAGACTGGGGTCATTGTGGGGTCGTGACCTTTAAAAAGATTAACCTAAATTAGCCTCACCCTTTATGCAAGGTCTCCGCAGAGATTTGAGACGAGGTGAGACGAGATTTTTTGAGACGAATAATGAGACGATGCTGAAAAGTGCATGATTTTCTTTCTACGTGTTATCATCGGAGTGCTCAGACGCAATTTAGAGTTTCGTGTTGCGTTGCTAATTGCGATGGAGGGGAGCAATATCCGATAAGTGATGAGAGATGGGCGTTCCGATTAAAGTTTGAGAGTCGCATTTTATTTGTTTAGTTGGTCGTGGCTTTTATTGTTTCTTTTATTGCTAAACGCCCCCGTAATTAAAAAAACTGTTTAATTAAAGCATTAAAAATTATAACGGGATTCTCTCTAGACTTTAAAAAAAGTATGTTAATAGTTAATATTTATATTAGTATAAAGATTAATATGATAGGATTTTTAACACCTCATAAATATATGCGATTTGGATGTATGTATTCATAATTTGCATAATGCAAAAAAGTGACATTACCAGACAAGTAATTGTACACACTTTTATTTTACTTAATATCAATTACGGAAGGTACAGATTTTGTTTATTACACAAAAATATGATGCCAAGTGTAAATAAATTCTGCATATAATAAGTAAAATGTGGACAAATCAGGTTGACAACTTTTCTATCGACTTGTGTTTGCGTGTTTATGATGCCTCCTGAATTCGAGTCGAGATTGTGACTATGAGACTTTTCGAATTGTTGAGACTTACGTGTAGGCCTTGCGGAAAGGATGTGACAAATGTTTTAGAAGGTTTTGTCCTCCTTCGTGACCCAAGGTTAACATTAAACTTTATTTCGAATCATTGCGGTCTTCGACCTCTTCAACACCGACCTGAATCCTTTATGCTCAGCCCCTTAAGAGCTAGACTACTAACGACTTTTGATTATTTTTTTTACATTTCATGAAATATGTCGTCCCATGCCCACACACACTTAATCAGGTAAATTGTGCATAATACTGTCATTATAACCGGTTAATTGAGGTTCAATGTAATTTATGAGGGTCACTTTCAGCTGTCAAGTAGACCCCATTATGCTCATCATTTTTAGTTGCACTTTTAACTTCGAAATAATACGCTCATTTCCCTTCCCCACGAAACCCCTGTCCTGTTCAAAAATAAATAATGTCTCAAAATATAAATAAATTCTTCTTCTTATCCGTCGTCGTCACGTTTATCTTGTTACAATTTCTATTTGTGGAAATCACCTCGAGAAAAGTGTGTGGTCCGAACGCATTCCGTTGTCGGGACGGGAAAGGATGTGTCGCGGGTGAGTGTCATGCTTAATGCAAAGCAAGGTCAAATTTACTTGACCTCTGACCTTTCGTTAATTTATTGTGTGATAAGCCTTGGACGTTTGCGATGGCGAGTCCCACTGCCTCAAAGACAGCTCTGACGAGAACGTGCACTTTTGTTCGGGAAACTACACGGGGCTCACGAAGCAGTTGATCGACGAGTGTGCCGCGGGGATGTACCGGTGTCGTTTTGGAGGTTGTATCAACGCGCAGCATTTGTGTAACGGGGTTATCGACTGCTACGACGGGTCTGATGAGACGTATGACATTTGCAGGAAAAACAGGTAATCGCTTATCAAATTGGGTGTACGGAATATGGTTCCTATAATTTAATCCATACTTTACTTGGTAGGTGTTCCAAAAATAAGTTTAGATGTGATTACGGGGCCTGTATTAAGGGATCCTTAAGTTGCAATGGGAAGGTAATTGGAATGCGATGATGCCAGCAGTCTCGCCCGATCTTGATGAAACCACAATAATTATGATTAGCATTATGAAAAATCCTGAAGCATCGATTTAATTATTTATGCAAGGCTACATAATTATTGTGGTTTCGTCAAAATCGAAGCGAGATCGCTGGCGTTATCTAATTATTAGTTGTCATTATTGATTTAACGCTTATTAAACTGTACAAAATTCACTCGTTTATGCGTAAGTTGCATAATATTACTTGCCATTTTACACCACCTTTAATCTGTGTTTTCTGTGAGAATTTGTCCTGATTAGTTGTTGCACGTCTGATAAAATTTCGAAGTTGAGATTTCTATAAATTGTGAACAAGTTGAAAACATTTCAATTTTCTTTAGCCAAATTGTCCCGATGGTTCCGACGAGACTCGAACTCTCTGTGAGGATCATGTCTGCCAAATCAATAGTTTCAAATGCAATTACGGAGCATGCATTCCAGACTCTAAAGTAAGTAATATGTAAATTAAGTGAAAACAATTTAATTTGCAATTGTATTTACATTATGCATATTTTCCCATGCAGGTGTGCGACAAGAAGCCTGACTGTCTTGACAAGAGTGACGAATTCCAAACCGCGTGCGAAGGCGACTTTAACGGGACAGACATTACACCAGACATTCTCTAATTTTTTGATAAACGTATCTATTTATTTTCATGTCTTTCAGAAAAATGTACTACAATAATGAAGTGCAATAAATTTGATACCATAAATATTAAAATATTTGATAAAAAAGAAATACAAGGAAAATTGAGTTATTTTAATTAATTGATGTATTTTTTACGCCAACAAATCCTCCCGATCGGCAATGAAAGCCTCGGCATTCTCAATGGAAGAGAAATTAAGGTAGTGAGCGGGTCGATGGACTTCGTGATAAAATTCTTTCGGGTTGGACAGCACTATGTCGTACTTCATGTTGGGGTCATGACGTACGCCCATGAAGTTATAGTTCCAAGACCCTTGAGCAGGAACCATGAAATAGCCCAAGAACCGGTCACTCAACAACATTTGGACTTTCTCGTAGTGAGAGGGCAGATATCCTTTGGGGTTGTTGCCACGGTCAGTGTTCTGGCGACCCCAGTCGTAACCGCTGCAGAAAAATACAAAGTAAAAATTAGTCAAGACTTATTTCTAACAAAAATCAAGGTTTAGTAATTTGCTCACCTTGGAGTTAATTTATACGCAGTCAAAGAACAAGACCCGGGAGTGAAGCTGCACGTGATGATGACCGTTTTCTCGCCATCCCATTCTGGGTTCTCCGCCATGATTCTAGCATGACAAGTGATGTCCTGTGGTGACAGTTGGGGCAGCTCGTTTGGCTGGGTGTGAATCCATCCCAGTGGTTCCAAGGCTAATAAAAATAAACAAAATCATTGTTAATGGAAAAAATATCACGGGGAAATTTATTTTATCAAAATAGTTGTACGAGTAACTTACTCTTAAGTAGCTCATGGTTCGGGAGCAGTGTAGGCAAATGCACCGTTTGATGCGTTCCCCATTGTGGCGGCATAACGACGCATCGAATCTCCTTCACTTGCGGGTTATCCGGTGGACTCACGCCATACATATAACCGGCAATCTGCGCCCTGTATAAAATGAACACAAAACACGTATACTACCAAAACAGTTATTTTACAATATACACAAAACTGTGTAAACCTCGTAAGGTTGTCAAAAATCATAATTTTGACAGTTTGTGCATCCATACTTACACAGGTTTATCATTGTTTTAAACTCGAAACTTTTACTCACCTCAAGTCCGAAATTATCACAAACTTCCTCAACAAATTTTTGGGTAGGATGTAAGTAAAGCCAGTTTCTTTAATGTCATCGGATGACACGTAAATATGGTTCGTTCGCAGATGTAGATTCGTCGCGGAAATGGCCCTCACCCTCCACTCGGTTCGCGAAGAAAATGTCTGGGTCTCATAATTCGACGTCGTGCTCGTAATGATCTCATCACCGTGCTTGTTAACGGTCCGTGTCGTTGTTGCTGTTAATTGGGATTGCTCCTTGCTCTGTTTCTCAATTTCCGCAATCTGCTGGCGCTGTTGGGAAGGCGCCGAGATTTCCATACCAAGCAAAATATCTCGAATTTCAGACTGCGTCAACGATGCCACGTTGACATTGTTCTTCTTCCCGTAATCTGCCAAGATCAAATCCTTTAGTTGAACTTCAACCTTTATCCATTCGTCATCCGAGAGCGTGGGCCAAATGTGGTGAGACTCTGTGATCGTAGTCTTGTCCGGTTTTAGAATCACCTTCGTCCGTTCATTGTTGACGTGGAGGGCTCGCAAGATGAGAATTAATCTTGAAAACGCGGTGTAAGAAGAGATCGACTTTAACCAGTCGTCATACAAGTTGAAGAGGACCATTTGTGGTTCAGTCGCTTTCAAAATAAGATCACCAAACTTTTCTACTTTGAGACAAGCCTGGAATGGGAGTTGAAGTTCGGACCCTTTGATCACAATGTTGGGGAAATCGAGCAAGTGAACCTCGAGTGGATCCAACATTCCTTTTCGTGTTACAATGATCTGCTTCGGCTGTTCTTCTACGGGCAGGGAGCGAATAAGGGCAGCCACTTCTTCTGCTGTTTTCCACTTGGCGAGTTGTCCCAAACGCTTCTGTCCAGCCCAGACGGAAGTATGGATTATCTTCAAGAAGAGTTGACCTGTGCGTGGATTGAAAATGAAGATTGCACCGTTGATCGGCTTCGTGGTCAAGTTCCCTTCGAACTGAAAGAGGGAAAGAGTAGAAATTAGAAATTTACATACCAACTCGACATAATTTTGTGCCACTTTTAGGACAAATTTTCCTGTATAATTAACCTTGTAAACTGTGTAAATTTTGTGATAAGTGCAAACTTTCTTAACGGAATCTTACACAGCTTACAAGGTTCATTTCACCTACCGTTTTATGAATCGTAACTCGGTAGACGTTTGTGTCGTCGACGAACCAGATGATCTGGTTGGAGAAGAGCTCTCCATAATTTTGGGAGGAGAGGTAGGGTTCCGTCGGCTCAGAAGAGTAAAGTTGGAGCGCCTTTCGGATTCTTTCCCGAAGTACGTAGAGGGCCGGGTTGGCCTTCATAATTTTAGCCATTGCTTGCTGAATAAGTGGCTTACATCCAGGGAACCAATTTCCGTACGCGCTATGCAAGTTATATGCTAAATCGATAGATATCAGCACTCCGGTCGGAGATGGGTAGATGGACATGTTATCCGTCGTGTAGTCCAAAAACTTGGCTCTCGCGTATCGCTCAATATCATGAGAATCATAATCACCCCAACGAAGTTGAACGTCCAGCCAGTACTTTTGCGTCGTAGTGGAGTCCATGGTATCCTTAGAGTCAGCAAGGAGTGAGGGGCGCGACACGTTCCACTTGTAGGCGGCAAAGAGCAGAATGTCGGCACAGGAGGAATTCATCTTGTATGATTTTCGGGGATGGATCGTTTCCTTTTGGACGGTCTCGATCTCCAGTGCGTCCAATTCTGGAATACAAAAAAATAAGTAATACTATTAATATTAGCGACCATATTCAAATCATATGGTGACCATTTTTTTAAGCATTGTCAAAATCTATCCAAAAAATCTTCTTCAGTCAACAAATTTGACAGTTTACAAAAGTTTACCTTGATCGAAAACCTGGCACAAGTCCATGATAACAGACTCGTGAATCTTCTGCCACAAGTGAGCGCGGAAAATCTGGATGAGCGAGATCTTCAAGGTGGGAATCTTCCCGTGCATGAAAATTCCTGTGAGATCCAGCTGCACCTGGAAACCTACGTACACGTTCGCCCTGTTGATCGTGGGCGACCACCACAGAGTAAAGCGCCGATTGGGAATCTGGTTCAACCCAGACCTCTGCGCATTCGTCAACTTCTTATACTTCATCGACTCCTCGAAACCGGATGCCTTCTCCCAAAAGAGACCCTCCCAAGTGGGGAAGTATGTTCCCTTGAAGAGTGTGTGCTCCAAGATACCTTCCACCCCGCCCAACGCTTGAATCATGTCGGTACGATAGTTGTTCAAGTTCCAGAGTTTTCCATCGTGACGTTGGTGCGTCCACCAGAAGGGATTCTGCTTCAGGACTTGATAGGCCTTAAACTCTGTCCGCACTCTCCATCCCTTGTCATACGCGAGGGTGTGACGATCTTTTTGGAAGAGGGTGTTGATCCGAGGGATTCCTCTGTCCCAAGAGTCCTCCAAGTCTTCAAGGGTCAGGCGACGGTTTTGTGCATTCGCGTCCTGACGCTTAAGAGCATACTCGGCCCAGACGCGTTGAGAGTCAATAAACTCAGCCTCCCAAGGTTGAATGTATCTGAGAAAGAAGAATAAATAAAATTAGCAATGGTGCAGAAAAATTGTTAACCTCACTTCTCTGTCGAATCTGTGAACACACGACAAAAGAAAATGCTTACCTGTACAAATTGGGAATCAGTTGATCCTCATCGTGGCTCATGCCTGATCTGAAATGAGTAATCCCCACGTCCGTCTGCTTGCTCCACCTTAGATCGGACTGTGGAATGAGGACGTGACCCATCGACAACATGCCCAGCCCTCCCAACTCCTTTGGTGTATAGAAAACGACGGGTGGGAAACGGGACGGCATTTTAGAGTTGAGCCCGATCTTGATTCGAGTCTGAATCTTATTCTCACACTTGACCAGCAGATCAAGCAATTCTTGTGTGTTTACGACAGCCTCGCGGAAATAGGTCATTAAACCGATGAGGGCAGTATTCCACTTGTTCACGATCTTGGTGAAGGTCGTGGAGCCGGATGCCATGAGGATTTGACGGACCCGGTTGTGGAATCGGGACATGGATTCGTCATCCACACGAAGGAAGCACTGGGCTGTTCGCTCCTTGGTAATGTCGTTCTGAAGATTCCACACGCCATCGCGATGGGTAAATTCTTCATGCGTGGTGCGACATTTAGGGAGAATTCTGCACTCGAAACCGCACATGTTAAAGAGCAAGTTGGGATTATCCTTGGAATATGCGCTGACGAAGCTGTTCTCCCACTCGACCGTGGTCACAGATCTGGGCAGTCGATTCTTAATATCCCAGAAGACGGCACGACCCAGATTCACGTCATGTTTCATCAGCCGCATCCTGGCGTCGCGAGGCCAACACTTTTTGTTGTTATATCCTACAATGTTCTCATTGTTGGGGTCGGGATGTTCCGTCAAGTAACGCTGGATAAGATCTCGAGACTCGTCCGCACTGAAGCGGAAAAGAATGTGGACCCTGTCAATGTAGCGGGTGTAGAGTCGAATAGGATGTGCCGTCTCCGTCGCACAGTCCTGATACGTCGTAAAGTCATTCGGACTCTGTGGAGGGCCGGACATTTCAGAGGCTCGCTGCAAACCCAGAACGAGCAGATCGAGGACCAGCCCGTAATACTGAACAATGAAGGAAGCGAACTGCAATCCTCGGATGATCCCGTAACTGTTGGTATGGTTCATGTCCTTGTAATTGATGACAACGTTGTTCTTGGCCGTCATGTAATCAGCAATGTTATGATCCACGATGAGGCGGAGGAGCCGATTGAGCAGGGTCAAGTCCATCTTTTCGTAAATCTTTTCATAAGAGGATTCCAGGAGGACGTTGCACTCTCCTTCGCTCGTGTCCCAAATATCTTGCAGATTGTTGATCCCCTGACAGAACTTGTAGAGGAGAAGAGGTGGTGGTTCAGAGTCAGCGGGTTTGACCCAGTGTGGAAACAGGCGCCGCTTGTCGGCCTCATACCACAAATACTGGTCTAGATAGGCGTCTGTTATCTTTTCCAGAGGTTCCACATCATAGACGGGGATCAGGTGGGAGTACAGGTCCATGAATTCAATCCCTGTCTCTTTGAAGGCTCGCTGGGTGAGCAAGTGACGCTTGATTCGAGACAAGGCTTCGTGTGGATTATCGTACGCTTGTTCTATCAGGCCGAGCTCTTCTCGCTGGTTCTGGTTCAGGCGAGACTTGACGCTGTAAGCTTCCTTGAGCCTCTCCAATGCCAAGATTAGCAACTTGGTGTCATGCTTGTACGACAAGGGAGGGAAGGGAATTGGGGAAAATCGCCGAGACTCGAGCCAATGCACGGTCGTTGTGTAGATAGCGATCGCCTCCTCAGGAGAAATATACGGCCCGTCCTTCAAATAGTTGTGTTGCCGCTCCTGCTCCGACTTGAGGTAAAGCCGAGTCAAACGACCCAGATTCTTCTTACACACGGTCTTGTCGACCGTGGCACCACGACGGATTCGCTCTCTGTTGTAATGAGCTGTGTTCGTCCACCAATCGGATTTCATTTTGACGAATCGCAGAATCATATTTTCAACTGGGGTCGGCAGTCCGGGTACTTTCCAAGGAATGTTGGCCTTCCAACAGCGCCAGGCTTCCGATAAGTGCTGAAGAATCGTTTTCGCCTTGTTGGCCTTGATCCCTTCTGGCATCATGTCGACAATGTCGTGCATTACGGATGCTCTCAACTCAAGATCGAAATGACTCTCGACCCTCTGCTTCGTAACAGTCTTTGCAACTCCCTTAGAATGACGTCCCTCAAATTGACGAGAAAGCAAATTGCCCAACCATCTTTCCAATAATGGAGTGATTCCTCGCATGAAGAAGAGCCAAACTCGCCAGCCAGGAGCCCAGAAACCACAACCTGGCCCCTTCCCAACTGGACCCTGCAAATAAAATAAAAAAACAATCTCAAATTAAAACAGCTTAACAAAATTATACACTAAAAAAATTACAGCAACAGTGAGGCTATTCACATCATTTTTGTAAACCGCATCAGTTATACGTACAGGATACACAAGCTGTTTGAAACGGTTGCAAAAATATGGTTTCTTAAGGTGAGGACAATGGTTTCTGTGCTGAGGCTCAGAATCAGGTTCTTGTTTGTCACCTTTTGACCAACTTCGCACAATTACAAATACATAATCTTACTCTTTTGCAACCCTTTACAAACTAGCAATGTTTTACCACGGATATCTAATTAAACTTTTTCGTTTTGAAAATAAAATTCTTCACAGGTAGTTACGACCAAATCACGCGTACGGAATGGAATTCATAGTACACAATTTTACAATGACGGTTAAATAATGAATTACTTACGGTGTTGAATCTGTAGTAGATGAGATGCTTTAAATCCTTGCACATCCTGATCTGTCTCATCAGCTTGTACTTGTAGCGGTACATCCCCGTGAGTTGTCCCACGTGGGCGAAAATATATTGCATCCCATCCGCGAGTTGAAACGCGTCCACGTTGTTAAGACGATATTGAACGTGTGAGTCGACGATAAGCTTCATCAATCGAAGGATTTCTCGACACAAATGGAAAGCGTTTCCGAACCTGGATTTTTTTCGCTCCTTCGTCGTCAATGTTTTCACGGGCTTCAGATTGAAGTTGTAATCCAAGTGGAGATAGTTCAGATTTTTGCGATGGATGAGGAGATTCAACATATTATACCCTTGACGGCACACCTGAAAAGGAAACAAATAATAAAAGAATTAAATATACATTAATTAAGCACTACAATTTGCTAACTCAAATCCAAGCTTATCTCTCTTTAAATTTTTGACTAAATCTTCCACAAAAAAAATAACTCACCTGCAACCCTGCCTCTACCCAGTCGAGTTTCGTACACTGGAAAAACTTTGTAGCCTTAAATGACCTGAACAAGTATCTCTTTTTCTGCGGTTTTGGTGGTCGATGTTTCAACGCGTTAAGAACGTAGTACTTCAAGAGCTTCTGGTATGAGACGCGAACTTTGACAGGCTGACTCGGTGGACAATGTTCCTGTATAAATTTGTAAAAGAAATTCAATCAAACACGGCAAAACAGCAACACATTTTTTAAATTAACTTGTTTACATAAGTTAAATAATTTAGTGGCTGTGCTAAAAGGATATAATTATTCTTTTGATATGCAAATTTTATGCTCATCGCCATCGGACCACTTCAAAAGTAGATCACATCACATCATTTAAGCACTGCCACTTTACCACTCTCACCTTGTACCACGTCTTCACGAGCGGAATATCCACCGCTCGCCGAGTCCGACCGGATCTCATATTGAAGGGACGCGGAGCCCAGAGGAGCGCAATCCCGTTCGCCGTGTGGTCATTGTAAAGGGGCAAATGGTTCAAGAATGGCTCGACAAAGTCCAACTCGAACTCGTCATTTTCATCAAAATCCTCCACCATTGACTGAAAAAGGAAGAGTTCAAAATAAACAAACAAAACTATATAATTTAATCAACAATTGTAACGAACCTTCACTGCATGTCGATGAGAAATTGGGTTGATCAATGGATCAAAGTAAAAGGCTGGCAAGTCTGGATCTTCCGTCTTGATGAAGACCACGTTGGGCGTGTGATACCTAAAGAAAGAAAGAAAAGACTTTCAAAACACAAAAAAATAAGAAATATGTCCGAGGAAGGTGAGGAATCAGACCCCGCAATGTAGGTACGCACGGGCGAAAAAGAGCACTCCCATTACTAAAGGGTGGACACTTTAACGCCATTTGTGCTTTTGCAATTTAGCACAAAATATTCCCTTAGTGTTCGTGTTTCTAGTAGGTCACACAAAATATTTGATTCGTGTACCCAAAACTTAACACGTTCGTAAAGCAATAATTGAAATAATTTATTTATGTTGTATTATTTTTACTCACCACGAGAGATGCACAAAGTTGGGCATGTTATTGTACAGAAAGGGGAACGCGATTCGATACTCAGTACGGATCGGTTGGCGGATAATGATCTTGTTAATGTCGTTAAATTCGTTCCAGTCCTCATCTCTGAAATAAATTTTAGAAGAAACTTTGTATTGATGTTAAACAATTCATGCCAAGAAGCTATGAAAACTGTGTAAACTTTGTAAAGTTGAGAGAAGTTTACAACTATTTGAATTCGTCCACGTATCTCGCAAAATTTACACAAAAAGTAGAGCAAATAAAATAAATAAAATTTTACTCACAACTGGCTCGCATCTTTAATCAAAGGTTCAAACTTGGGCCCTCCAGGGATCGCCATGTTCAATGCTTTCGCTGTGAAGAAGGACTTTAAGTCAAACAAGTAAAAGTAATTGGCGTCGACTAGATCGGTCAGCAGCTGGTTGGCGAGACGGTAGAGGGTCGCCATGATTGGCAGGGTCAAGTGCCACGTTCGGTAGGACGGGCCATTCACCAGTTTCGAGTCTGAGAGGGGATTGTGGTCGTAGAACCAGTCCAGAACTGCGCTGTCCTCGTCAGAATCCATGTCCATCTGGATGGCTTCGAGGGGCTCGACGTCCAGTACGTTGTCAGCATAGTCGAGAGGAGGCTCCTCGTCGTCAAAGGGAGGGAAACGCATCCTCTTGAAGTGACGACGGTCTCGTTTCTCTCTCCGCATCATGATCCACATCGATCTGGACAAAAAATAATACTCCTTCATTAACTTGATTAGCAAAACTTGAGTTATTACATAATTCAATCTTTTTATAAGTGAAAGTTTGTTAGAAAGTTATCAAATTAAACAACAACCATTTTACATACAAGATTCGCTTCTTTTAAACGTTGATACATTTCTATTTCACAAAACTAACACGATTTGTAAAGTTATAAAGTGTCACAAATTGTATAATTGTTAATAATTTTTGCCCAAATTTAATTTGATAATTAACTCACCCCCACTGAGCAATATAGACTGGTTCGATGACCCAAGGAATCTCATTCACGAACGTAATCGCTCCCGTGATGTGGTACAGGACGCTGACGTCTCGAATCTGCTCCCACGGCATGGGCATGTTCTCCAATAGTTTTAAAACCGCGTGTGGCATGTATTTCAACGCTCCAAGGTAGACCCGCTTGTCGTGACGGTACTTTCTCGAGCTCATGTCTCCATGATCGCGAATAATTTTGCGAACATGTTCCGGCGGCATGTCCTCCTTCATGGGGTCCACGAAACCAAACTTTCTCTTCTCCTCGTACCTCTTCATCTGGATCTGTTGCCATTTGAGGGCTGCAAGTAATCAAAATGAGAACTAAATTAATCTCTTTATAAAGACATATTAACCTTGCTTTTAGAAAACTCTGTAACCATTTCGTGGGTGCGAAAAACCCTGCAAACGCGCGAACGCGTTCGCCGGGATAGACGGGGAGCAGGACCTTTTTTTTTTTTTAGGGACCTTTTCCCATAAGGCCCATGTTAAAATTTCCGGGATTTTGTCCCCCCTTTGCCGGGATGAAACCGGAAATCGCACCCACGAACCATTTCATAAATTTTGCTATTTAATGAAATAAGTCTGACAAGTCTTACAAAATTTACAAAAAGAGTCTCGTTTTCAAACTTAATTTACCACATGACAGATTTATCAAATCTTTTTTTACACAATTTCAAAGGCTAAAATACAATAAAATTTATTCTCACCCTTCTCGTGTTTCTGTTCATCGGTGAGTTGCGCTCTTCCATCGTCATACTCATTGTAAGAGCTGGAGCCGGGTGGCATTTCGCCTAAATTGTAGCCAGGGGGTGGGGGCATCATCTGCAACAATGAAAACAAAATTATGCTCTATATTACTTACAATATCCTCAATTATTTACACCAACCCGGCGAAAAGTTATTACTAAATTTACCTGCTGAGGGGGAGGGATTTGCTGTGTGGGAATCATCCAGGGGTGTGGGGGAGGCATCCCGAGTGGGACCATGAACGGTGGTAGCGCCATGGTCGCCAACTACACTAATTATTTAACAAACTTGGAATTTAGTAACGTTTTTGTGTTATTTCGCCGTGACAAGGGAACTGAAAGCGAAAGAGTCGCATTTAACGAGTGGGAACGAAGCGGACTTTAACTTGCCCGGCTGGGCTGCCCCGTTGCGAGTTCGGCTGCCGAGATGGCGAAGGCTGGCCCATCGTGATGATTCGACTTGGTGAAAAACCAGTCAAGTCCTCACTCATCACAAAATGGTTAAAATCAACACATTTCTAATCATTGCTCGACTCTGGGAATTTATTTTAAAATTCTGAACGACAAATTTGTAGTCAGTAAGTTGATCAATGCGCCAGTTTCAATGAGTTACAATTTTCTGAAGGCTTCTTAACGTTGAGACCTCTTCCTTCAAAAACTGTCAAAATCTGGAGTGCATATTTTCAAAAAAATTGGCAATGACCCGCTCTACAAATTTGTCATCCAGAATTTTAAATAAATTCCTAAAGCATAGGATTTAAAATGTGATGATTTTGACGATTTTGGCCATGAGTCATCAAGTCGTACGTGAAAATGAAAAGCAGTGATCACCTCTTTCTCAAAACTGGAAAGTCTCGAAATTCATTTTTGGGTCTTATTTTTCCCGTCCATGAGAAAATAGTATTCAGACTTGCGAGAGGATACAAATAGTCGAGCAATTCGACAGGGTCACCAATTCTGTATTATGCAATGATGATTATTGATGTCCTTTAATCCTTTTTGTCATGTTCAGCCCTGAATCTCGAATTGTGTAAAGTATAATATTTGTCATCATGATGAAAAATAAATTGTGTAAAATTTACTCAAGGTTGGGTAAAATAGAGGATGAGACACAACAATTTGGTCAAATTTATCCAACGTTGTGTAAAGTTTATCAAACGGTTAGATATTTGACTTGTTAAATTTTTATTTAAATGTCAGGATCCTAAACATCTATTGGCTCATCTAATAATATTGTATTTTACATATTTCGTTATTCGACGTTAAGCAACAAAAAAACGTTTTGCATCCAATACAAATAATATTAATTACGAAAAATCTGTTATCCAAATAGATTTCGAAAATGAAAGTAGACTGAGAAAATGAGGAAATTTATGAACTCAAAAATTACAGGTAAATATCCGCGCCTGATAACATTAAGAGTACAATTCATTTACTAAAAACTATATAGTTGCAAATTTTCCAAACGGTAGAATAAAATAAATACTTATTCAAAAACTAATCGAAAACATATTTTTTAATGCATGAAATTTTTAATTTGTTTCCGATTTTTAATTATGCTAAATATATTGGGTTAATTAATTAGAAAATTAAGTTTAAGACTATGTCGAAAATCGAGCTGTACTTCCAAAATAATAATTTATTTTCTCAGTTGCTTGTTTTTTAATTTTATTTATCTCGTTCCAAAGTTGCAAAAGTTGAATTTTTATCGTCGACTTTAACCAAACCAGTATCAAATCCCATACGCCCATATAAATTATAACTAATTTATGCCCAATCAATTCAACAATCCCCTCAAAATTGAGTCAAAATTGACGAAGTTGTCGGAATGCTTCTGTTATATTTTATACTTTCACAATATCTTATTTTCGACGAAATGCAAAAATGCAAAAATGCCTGTCTTAATAATGAATGGCAGATAACATACCATTCGAAATATTAACAAAATAAAAAATTTCCTCGTTTTCCACTAAAACTTCCGTGTAATCCAAATTATGTATAAAAATAATTCTTCATATCGATACAAAAACCATTCTATTTCGACGATTTAAATTCCTCAAAACTTTGAAACGAATTCCATGAAAATTCTGTTCCATACATACATTTTTGTTTCTAACCAAGACCTCGTACTTGATCGATAATACGCCGGAGCGAATCGATGCTTATACACAGGGCTGAACTGTACGTATGCATACAGCGACTCGGTCCACGACCAATGCCCGGGTAGATTTTGAAGCGTTTATTTGTCTCCCTATTTTTCAGTCCACTTCAGAACTCGGGGAGAGAAGAAGTCAAGTTTTTCTTTGTGGTAGAATAGTCACAGTTTCTGAGTCAGCGTGACCCCCACCAGCACAAGGTAAGTGACCTTTTCGAGGCTTAAATCCATTTTCAAAACGTAATCAACAAGTAAATACATACGAAAAGCTGTTGGTATTTATCTCATAAACTGAAAATGCATACTCGTAACAATAAAAGTAATGTGTCTCAGCTCAGTCTTACGCATTTCCTCGCAGTTAACTAACATGTCAGTTAAAAAAGATTGGGGTTTTTTTACTGGGATGCAGATTACTCTGCAGAGTAGACGTGGGGCTTATGTGGACGACGACGCTTCTTCTTGTGCGACATAATAGCAGCAGTTATGCAACATGAGAGTAAAGTAAGGTCGAGATGTAGCTATGTAGAAGAGACACTTATTTGAGAGGGTTCAGTTTTCTGGTGGATGCCATCCCATCGTGATCATGTTAGTTTAGAAGTAATATTATGTAAGTTAAGTGAAGAAGAATGTCAGTCTTGATCTGGCGTGGATTTAATATTGGTGTGTGCATGTTGTCATGTTGTTGTTGTCGTCGGGTTATTTGTAAATAGATGGATACAGAACTGTGTCGGTGGTGGTACGTGGTGTGACTGACAAAGTATTGTTTTATTTTTTAAGCATTCCGAGTGTTCCGTTAGCCGAGTTTTAAATTTGCAATCTGATTTCATGAAGAAGATTCGCACGGTTTGTTGAGACGGTTTTGTTTGGAGTGGAGCACGTGGAGTGGGGATTGGACTTTTTGGAGAGGAGAAGTTACGGAAAAATGGTAAATTTTAACGGATCATCTCAAAGAAAGTGAGACTGTGTGTGTATAGATAGATTTTGTGTAAAGGATTTAATGAATGGGGTGTGGAGGCTCGAAATCTTGTCGGAACACGTGTTCTCTCTTTGTATGCATACATACATACCACACCGGGTTTTGTTAGTTAGTTTAAGTATGAAATGGTAATTGTGAATGTGAAACTGAATGGGTTCTCCTTCTTGTGAGCCAATTAGTCTCATTTTTCCGTGATTTTGAATACGCACAATTCTCCGAGTATTCAACGAATAAAGGAAAACTTGGAGCAGCAGAAGAAGTCAGATCAAATCTCGTCTTCTCGTCCAATTTCAAAATGCTGAGCATTCCTTAAAGAAACAAATTGCATTTTTACATTTCTGGGCAGAAATTCTTCGCATGTTTTCCCCTAATTTTTCACTGAAAGAAAAACTTTAGGGCTTGCTTAATAATTTCCATGTAGTCTAACCAGTTTACTTGAACTAGATATTTTCCATGACGTATTCACATATATTGTTCATGTATACCACCCAACGCGTAAAGGGAGGAAATTGTTTTGTCATAATTTCTTATCTTTTTTAAATGCCAAAAAGTGGTGGAAGTCGTGGTGTGGAACAGTGGCGAGTTGAAGCTTCCGGTTTCTGCATGTATCTTCTTCACATAATGAATATACACGCGTATCTCGTCTAGTAATAAAACAATGCAATTTCTCCTCGATATCAGCACGAGACGCTCAGACAAAGTTTTGTTGGCTGCGTGCATCATTCATTCATTTTCTTGTCGTGACTTTACTTGTTCTTGCGGACTGGAAAAGTGGACTGGAATAGTGAACAAGTATCAAGAATCGATTCTTTCCAGTCTGGCCCACTTGGTCAACAAAACTTGATTCCAGTCCATACATACATTTCGCTGGCTGGCGACTAATAAGCCAGGAAAGTAGGCCAAGAACCGACCGAATATACCCGTCTCAACCAGTAAAGTATGTACGTATTTACACATGTCGTTGTTGTGTTATTTGGCTTCTGCAAGATTTAATGAGACCAATTCCACCGCGTTATCAAAGTAATCAGGTTTTGGTATTGTTGTATTTAGTAATACAGTGTCGGACAGATGTCTACGTCCACATAGTCGCGTCAATTTCATTTTCAAATTGTCACTGAACTACTGAACCAATTTTCATCATTGATATATCAAATTCTCACAAATTTAACGTAATTTCATAAAATATATGAGTTATTTCTGAAAATTCTGGGAAAACTGAGAATCATAGTGCAGAGCGAGAGAGGATGAAATTTGAGCGGACAAAAGTCTACGTCCACTTCACTTTAATTGTCAACAACAAAAATCTCTCCAATTTATAAAATCAGGTAACTTAATAAATCTATCAATAACATATGCCGCATTAATTTTTAAATAATTTTCTTCCAGAAAAATATGATGGCGTCGACACGCAAGGAAATTCCTATCGCTATTCGAGATCTTGTCATTCAGGACTGGAAGGGTGGACAAAAAGGGGGCTGTCGCAGAGACAAATATGGACCAAGTATAAATTAGCAAGGACAACCATCCAGACAATCATTAAGAACTTTAAAGCTAATGGTTCAGTCCAAAACAAGGTCAGAAGTGGTCGAAAACCCATTTTGGCTCACCGAGAAGTACGCCACGTGCTCAACAAAGCCAACGTTACACCCTCACTTAGTGCTCCAAAGCTATCTACCGAGATCAAGGAGATATTCGACAAACAAGTTAGTCCTAGGACCATCCAAAGAACACTGAACAAGGGAAATTTGAAATCCCACAGAGCAGTCCGGAAGCCTCTTATTGTACCGAGGAATGCAACCAAACGAGTGAAGTTTGCCAGAGACCACATTTCCAAGCCACAAACATTCTGGGACATATTTTATGGACTGACGAGTCAAAGTTCAATGTCTGTGGGTCAGATGGGCGTCGTAGAGTGTGGAGGTATCCAAAAGAAGCTTTGAATCCAAAAAATCTCAACCCCACAGTTAAGCACGGCGGCGGGTCGGTAATGGTGTGGGGATGCATGGCTTCAAGTGGGGCAGGAAAAATGGAATTTGTTGACGGAATTATGGACCAATACAGGTACCAGGGAATACTTGACCGTAATATCCAGGAATCTGTTCGAAAACTTGGACTTGGACGACGATTTGTCTTCCAACAAGACAACGATCCGAAACACTCTGCCACGTACACCATGGAATACTTCAAGAAAAAAAAATTTCGAAGCTAGAATGGCCTCCCCAATCTCCAGACTTGAATCCCATTGAGCATCTGTGGGACCACATTGAAAGAGAAATAAGAAAACAATCTTTTTCAGGAATTCCGGGCCTTAAATCCAGAATTCGTGAAGTTTGGGAAACCATTTCTGAAGATGTGACCAAGAATTTGGTAAACTCTATGACTCGACGCCTTGAAGCCGTCCTTAAAGCGAACGGAGGCCCAACCAAATATTAAAAATTAATTGTTATAACATTCCTTATAAATTACAGTTTTTTTTGTATGTTTTCTCTTACTGGACGTTGACTTTTGTCCATCCAATTGTTTTCATTTTGAATTAAAATACATCTCTGGCCTAAAATAAATTTTTTAGCGGAAAACTAATAATGTGCTATGAAATTACGTTAAATTTGTGAGAATTTGATATATCAATGATGAAAATTGGTTCAGTAGTTCAGTGACAATTTGAAAATGAAATTGACGCGACTATGTGGACGTAGACATCTGTCCGACACTGTAATTTCATATTTTTTTCACCCTTTCTTTTCTCCATGTCTGGAATGTATATTAAGAATTTGAACCAGTATTTAGACGCGGACCATTAGATTTGTGCAATTTTGGAGACTTATCTCTCAAAACCTGGATAAGTCGTACTTATTACACTGAGAAAAACGGCCTTTTTTACGTAATAACGGGTGAGACAAGAAGTACGTCGACGTGCATTCGAGCAAGTAATAAATCTCGGCAGAGAGGAAGACAGAAAGTTATCAGGGAAAAAATCCAGCCAAACTAAGTGACAACTCAACATCTCAATTTGTCTCACGATATTATTATGGCATCTTCTACTCCACTTTTTTGGTTGGTCCAACCGATTCGGTATCAATTCTCACCCATCAATTCTGTCCTACTCCTCATTAATTACCGACTCACCTGACGCAGCCACTTTAAGGGGTTTCGGCTATGCTGATTATTGGCCCATGAAATTTTGGCACTGATAAAATGATAAAATCTCAACCTGGTTGTAACCAGTCATCAGCCAGAAAGCTTCACCCTCGTGTCCCGTTTTAGGTTCAGGTCATAGTGCATAGCTCGGCATTCTAGTGAGTGGATTGGATTGGATTTGGAGTTGATTGGATTTCGTGCCACCGTGGACATAATGCATTTTTATTTTACTTTACGTTCTCTCATGGAGAAGGAGAAGATTAGGCTGAAGCGTTTGTTACTTGCCTACTGTCCAATGGAATTATTATCCAAGAAAGACTTCCTGTCTTCCTGGTAGTAAATACATAGCTGAGAAGTTAACCAGAGTGCATGGATGGCAGTTAGTTATACGTCGTAAGTAAGGAAGAAGTCCGTAGGAGTGCATCTATTTCTTCCTTGTTGTTATTATGTTCGTCGAGGCGATCAGAGAAATATATAACTTGGTCTTCTTCTCTCCTTCCTTCCTTGTCGACAGGGTTCCGATCAGTGTTTCGGGTGACAAAAGTACCCACTTGGAAGAAATAAAGCGGTTTCTTGCAGGTATTTTGACCAGCAAGAAATGCAAGGTGCAAGAAACTACGGCCCACCGATATATTTCATACGACACGTAGCTAGATTTCATGCATTTCTTGTTTCTTATTTTGCAGTGCAAGAAATGTAGCAAACCCGCAAGAAACGAAACACTGGTTCTGATGAGACGTTTTTGGGCATGGAATACATATCCTTATCGTCTCAATTATGTTACCAATTACGCATATGTTACCAATTTCTTGCATTGTTGGAGTAAGATTATGTACTCGAAATCAGTATTTCCTAAAACTGTAGGATTTTCAGAACCCTGCTCGTTCGTCAGGAGCTCTTTCAACAGTCCATTATTCTTCCCCCACCAACAACCCTCCTCCTCCACAAGTAAAAGACGCTCTGTTTTCCCGTCTGCCTTATTATTATTATCGAATTCTGTCTCGTACACATAGTCGAAAGCAGTGTGCACATCTTTAATATGCACTTACAAATCATTTTCCTCTCCCTTGAATGGGAAAAGTTTCTGGTTTCCTAAGAAAGAGTCGGAATACATAAAAACTGGGAATGTGAGTAACATTAGCCAATTTGTAGGCGGAGGGGGAGGGGATGACTTAGCAAAACTCTTTTCTGAGCAGAAAGGAAGTTGGATCGTCTCAAAAAGTTATCGTCTTCGGAAACCGTTTGTTTGTTATAAAGAAGAAATTAAGTAAGGACAAAGTTTGGGAGATGGGTAAATTATCCGAGATGGCAAACAAATGAGTCTCATTTTATGATGGAATACTTTTACTTTATAAATTTTCACCTATAACTCAAACATCCGATTTCCTCGTTCTCGGAGTGATTTGTGGATGAAAGAAACTGCGTGAGCCTTAATTTAGCAGAGGACCCGATTTGTAAAGGCAATGCTACACACCTGGAAACACCACCACAACCCTAATAATCTCCTCTATTTACTAACTACCTAATCTCTCCCCTCACTTGTTTCCTCCTTCCTTACACGCTGCCGTTTCAGACCGGATGTAGACGCATAATTCAACTATTATGACGAGACGTGGACGTGATGGGTTTTGGGATGGGTGGATCTCAATCCCTTCGCATTGTTCCGTCCGTACGAGAAACTGAAACCATTGCTCGCCTGTTTAGTGTCACGTTATGTTTGACTCTTCGCAGTTACTTATAGGCGGATAAGGTATAAACATACACACAAACGTGTCCAGGAATACGAAAGGGTCGATAAGTCATGGGCAGGCTGAATGGGAGTAAAAGTGAGACAGGACATGGCACGTTAGAAATTTACGAGATACACATTTTTTTACAATGTCACGTCATACAACACTTATCCAAAATACTCCATAGCCGGCAGGGATTAGGTGCGCGATTTATTAGTGCACTATAATAATAACTTAGCAATCCTAAGCAGGTCCAGATTTGGCTGGAAGGCTAGAAAAATCCTGAATTTATTATCCCACAAATTATGACCACTATACTTGTTATTCGCAATTAGTGCGAAATTAAGTAGACAAAATTATTGCTAATCTTTCTCTCTCTCCGTTCTGATTACAGGGGTGAATAAGAAGACTAATTCATCACGAGCTGACTGCCCCGGTGAGAAAATGGATTACCTGTGCACCAACAAAGAACAACGATACCCATGAAACTAACCTGACGATGATGATGATGAAGTATTCTTCCTCCCCGGACGACAAAAAATGGGTTCAAGGGCTAATTCCGCAAGTAGAAAATATAGCTGCGAACCGTATCTGCAACATCATCATCCACACCCCAAAAAAAAGTTTGCCGTAGTACCACCAGCAACAATGCCAGCACTGCCACTGCCAGTCTCAACTTGGGCGAGGATGGGAGCAGAAGAATAGGCCAAATTCTGAACCTTTCATCCAATAAAAGTTATGGTTATGTTTGCAAATAAAAATGCACGAAGCACGGCAGCAGCAGAGTAGTTGCAGACATTAACAAAAACGAACGTGTAAATAGTAGTGAGTGGTTCGCTTGGTGGTCGTGGTCGTTACTCTCGCAGTGATACGAGTTTGGGGAAATAATGGATATTTTACCAAAATCTGGGCAACATTTACTCCCCACGAAACGCTGTACTCATTATCCGATCAAGATCTGTGACAGTTATGAAAATGCGGTGCTTATCTGTTGTTCCAAGAAAGGTTCCAAAACCACCTTGGGACAAGAATTTAGGACAATGAGGAATCCCGTTGTGAATACTAAAATCGTGTCAAACTATAACTTAAATTTGGAAGTGAGGAAAGGCCGGCATAAAAAAGAGATGAAAGTTATCTCGTCGTCATCTTCTCGTCTAGTCATTCTCGCCCTCGTCGTCACGACCCTGCTCCTCGTGATGGATAACATTCCATGGATTTCCTCCGCCCCTGTCGTCAGGTCGGGCGCCACGCCGCCAAAGTACTTTTCGACCAGTTCCGTGGTAAGTGGTCGTAATTTCCGGGCCCATTTTTACCATGAAATTAAATGATGAGCACCACATTCGCATATCAAGAAGACAGACTTATACGAGTAATAAACTGCAGCATTATTAATGACTCGATTAAATTGGCAATTTCATTCCGTATCGTATCGTACCCTCTCTGTTCTGTTCGCTTATTAATGGGTTCAAATACGTACACAGTCCAATCCTGCATTTCATTTTGGAGAATGATAATAATCATGTGAGACTGCCTTCATCTGTTCGACAGACAACTTGCAAAGTAAACCACGAAACGAACCAGGGAAAAAAAGGGTGAATGGAAAAACTAGAATATTATTGAGGTAGCAATTTATACCATAAAGCTGACTCACTCATGCAATCAGTGGCCGCGGAAGGCGTGTTGGGGGGCATTATCATTGCAGAATAGGAAGAGGGAGGGGTTTGTATATGTAAGTTAGGGACATCGAACAACCATGGGGACATTGTCCCTTTGTCCACACCCTTCCGTCCGCGGCCACTGCATGCAATTACTTGAAATGTAGTTGGGGATTTCGTCGAATCTATTTTTTTTGCTGATGCACTCCGGGTTTTTCAGTGAGACGCCCGAATAGTGGACTAGATTTTTTTTGTACGTCTGGCAGTGTCGTACCGGATACTGGACGTCCTTCTGGGAATGAGAGGTACTGCATTTGGTGCATTAAATCTGTCGGGGAAAAAATGTGGCGACGGATCTGTGCGTATTATTGGCGAGTGGATGGATACATGCATGCATAGACTTTTCTACCCGAGTTGTGTACTTCCGGATGCCAGCCATGTGTTCTTGGGAATGGTCCAATATTCTGGGAAATGGCGACGGGTAGTATTTAGTGGTTGGTTGGTGTTGGTGAGATGAGTCACCTAACTAAAGTGGCATCATCTGCACTTCGTCAGTCAGATGAGAGGGAAAGTTTTTGTGGGGAGAGGAGAGGAAAAAGTGCAAGTAAAAAGTGCAGTTTGAGGCTATTTTTGCATTCTTGAGAATCATACGAATGAACGAGATTCTTTGTTCTTTAAGAAGTGTGTGGTATGTACGTGTGCATATGCAAATAATGCAAATATCCATAGTATACATGGGGATGGATGAACTTTAGTTTTACACACTGAACGAAAATTTCATTAAGGAAATCCATTTCATAATTTTTAATTTCAAAACCTTGCCGAATTTACTTTTACATCCCAACTACAAATGTGACACTAATTCTTGTCCAACCGAATCTTTGAAAAATCATGAAAAAACTGTATGTTCCCTAATTCAATAATCCCCTAAATCTCATCACGACACAAATGTTTCCGGTCGTTAGAGTTTTAATTTGTAATCTCGACTCCCACGACCCAAACACTTCTTTTTTCTTAAAGTAAATACTTATTTTCCGATCCAATACCCACGAGAATTTGTTTTTACTGTTTATAAAAATCCGTGAGAACAAGTCGAAAAAATTGGACGTAAAGAAAGCGCGTTTACTTTCATGTGGATGTTTGATCAAAACGCATCATCCAGTTGTATGCATTCCGCGTGTGTGTGTACATGTCGATGTCAATCACTGCACGAGGAGGGAAATGCAGTGTTTACACTTATGTATTTCGTTTAAGCGGAAGCAGGAGCAGGAGCCAATAAAAAAAGTCGGAATTATTATTAACAAGTTGCATTGATCTCGTGGTTCTGCTTGCCTTATTTTTTTCCTCTGGAAGTGAGTGACACGTACAGATAAACAAGACAGACTTTGCCTGCTTGTGTTGTGTGTGGGGCTGAGGAGACGTATGTACGAGTTTCGTTATATGTACAATTATTAATTGAGATGGACATTCGCATTCGTGTGGAAAAGGATGAATGAGGAGATCTCAATTAGATGAAGATGAAAGGATTAGTTTTGCTACTGGGATGGATGATGAATGGACGAGAAGGCGGAAACTTGCTCATAAAAATCCAGCTAGGAAATGCATACGTCGGGATGAATTACTTAAATGGAGAATTTTTTTACATGGAAGGATTTTGTTCCCGTGCAATTTTTGCGATGCGATTTTTCTTTGTAAACTTGGCTAAAAAAGTAAATGCTGAAAAAGTATGGATTGGCTGGGAAATAAGACATTTTGCAAGTTGGAAAGGTCAATTTTTCCCTGGACGGGATCGGATCGGATAGGTCACACTTTATTGAAAAAGGTCGAGCTAAATAACTCTATTATTTTTACTGCGTTGCATCACCGAATCGGTTATTGAAAGCCGTAAAAATCCCGAAATGTCAAGTCACGATGCACAGAATGTGTATACTCTGGATTCCAGAGTTTGAGAGAGGAAGGAAGACAAGTTATCTCGTGGAATTGGCATAAATATTATTTGGGGTGGGGCTTATCGAGCCGTCCTTATCACCACTTAATTATTGTATCTAACAATTCGAGGAATTTTGATGAGCTCCGAAACCTTATTATCCAAGTTTAATTGTCTAATTTTTAGTCGCTTGCATTTCTTTTTTTAATTTCACACTTTCCTCCTAATTAAGACGTGGTGGGTGTGTGTTTGAGTGATTCATGGCGTTTTCTCCACCTCCTCCTCCTCCTTCATACCGACAATTCTCTAGTATTCAATTTTTAAGCGACCTTTGCCCCTGTCAGGTCATGAAAGATGAATCTCCTGCCATGCCGAACTTTTGTCTCAACTTTTCCATGTATGCATTTCTCCAACCACGACTAATGATTTATTTGTAGCATGGAAAAACACACACGCAAAATAATATTTCATTTCTTAAACGAAAACCAATTCATGGTCATTTTCGTTCTGTTTTGTCCGTGACATTCAACATCTCACGTTGTCACGCACGAACGACTGACGATGAGACTCTGCCACCACCACCACAATTTGTTTAGAGACAATTCCTCCATAGATAAAAACATCGGCATAAGACATAAGAAATCTCGGCTGGATGAGAACTTATCTGTTTCTTATTTACACTAAAAAATCCATCAATTCGAGACGTTAAGAGGCATTCATTCTCACTTTACGTCAGTTCAGTACGTACATAATTGTATTAAGAGTTATGTATAAGCTTTGACTGATGAATGGGGAACGTTATCATATTTATGTACATACATTCTTCAAAAGTTGTGATGAATGCGAGGCTGTGCTTCTTCTCTTCCTTGACTTTCTTGTCTGGTGTGAATTTTATCTTTTCTCTCAAACAGTAAAAAAGTAGAGCTCTTAACTTATTTCATCGTACAAATTACTTATGAAATGAATTTCTTTTCGTGGCGTCCTGGCGTCAGTTGGGCGTCGGGAGTTGCATGGAATCAATGATGTGGATGATAATAATAAGTAATTTATTTGGAGATAATGATGCTGAATAAATATACATACATAGGTTTCGTACTTTGGTTAGTGGGGGCAGTTTACTTTTAGGGAGAGACAAAATTCAATGATATGTATGTAGTTTTTAAAAATACTTGTTTTGTACTAAAACCCAGTGTATGAAAATTTAGAAAATTTTCGGAATGGAGAATGACACGATTTTTCCTGACAGCATAAATAATGTATCTCAAGTATGTACCTCTTTATCATTCATTACATACACAAATTGTCGTTAAAAATTTCGAAACGTGGCTATTTTTCAAGAAACATTACTAAATATAAAAGATTTAAATAGCTTTTAGTGAGTAGGAAGGAGAACTCGCAAGCAATTGCATTACATAATCTGCAATTATGGCACCATACTCGTCACAAATGTGCTCCTAAGGTCGCTTTGGGGTTATGCTTGATGAAGGTCGTAAAATTAAAGTATGTCACAAATAAATATTTAGGAATACAATTTCCTCGCATGCATTTATCAAGCTGAAAGTTGCATGCAGTTGGTTCTTGTATTATTGTGTCACTTAATTTCCTTGCCACAATACATAGATAAATACTTACATAATTTCACGATAACCGACACCCTCTCCATGATATTCATTATTACCCACTTTATTTCGTGGTTTGGTTAGGGATTATCAAGTAGTAAATAACAAATCTGAACTCTAGGTCAGCAGAAGAGTAAATAAAAATGCAGAGATTTTGATAAGACATATGAAATGATTATTTACTCCTTGACTGAGACGATATTATTAATCGTAGTAGACAAAACTTACCATTTGAGAAGTCAGATTTTGAGAAGGTGTCGATTTTTAATATTTTGTATGCAGACAGACACAACACCAAAATTCCACAGTAGGAGCTAATCAGCCAATCATTAATATTTAGTAGTGAACTTATCTCACCAATGGAAGATAATATCTTAACAATTCTTCTTCAAATCCAATCCACCATCTTGTTAGGATGATTGTGTCATTTGTAACAATGACCCTTCTCCTTCGTCACATGCATTGTTGTGTGTCGCATGAAATATCAGGGCTGGGAAAATTATACAAGTTTTAAAAATACAAAATGAAAAATAATGTCCGTCCTAAAGAAGTATCACAAAAAATTGGTTTTAAATGTACAAATGTCGTGAAAACAAAAAATAACTGTGGCATAATTTATTGCAATAAGCTACCAACACACAAACTTTAATTAATTTCAAGTCTTGTGACAATAATAAACGGGGCCCTAATACAAGGTTATCAATCTATTATGGGATATTTAATATATAAAATTGAGTTTGGACACTTTGTCATTTAATTAAATCTAACAAAAATGTATTATATATATATAGTAAAAGACAAAAAAGAAGAAACTTAACCACGATACCAACAAATTAAACACACAGTAGAGCAGGATTAAGTATAGATAAGGTACCTTCGTACACTATAAAAGAAAATAACCATCAATCTTCAACTAGTAAAACATTAGATGAGACTGTTAGAAAAAAACCTTGAGTCAGTTATTTGAATTTGAATTTGAATTCAGTCGTCCAAGAAATGGGTACTCAAGTACTTCATCATCCTAAATTAAAACAAAACATATTTATTAGTGCATGGATCACATCATTCATTATTATGTAAATGTCCGGCTAACTTACCCAAAAATTTTGAACCGTTTCACTCTAAAAACGGCAAGCAGATCCTCATTGCAAATAGCAAACTGTTTGTTTTTTGGATCAAACAACTGCTTCTCCTTAATGATGACCCACATCTTCTTGACCACTTCGTGACGAGCCATGTTCTCTTCCCCCATGACCTTAGCCAACTTGGAACTCAATCTATATTTCTTTGCGTATCCTCCCTTCAAATTTCCAGCAGGCTTCTTCTCCGTCTTGGGTTCTTCCTCAGAATCGTCAATGACGATTGACGATGATGATTCGTCAATGACGAGTGACGATGATGATTCGTCAATGACGAGTGACGATGATGATTCGTCATCATCATCAGATGCCTTCTTCCCCCTCTTTTTCTTGGGCGTGTCTTCCTTCTCAGATTCAGATTCATCTTTTGTTTTACGTTTTGACCCTTTGTCGTCTCCTGTGCCGTTTAGGATGTCTTCCAAAATTTCCAAGACCAAGTTTTCAATTTGTTTTTTCTTTTCAGATAAATCTTCGCCAAGTTTGGTTTCCAATTCTTGTCGAACTTTCCTTGTAGTGATGGAGTTGAGATTAGCAGTTTTCAGAATTTCTGCAATCAGTTTCCTCAATTGCGCAGTGTTAGCCATGTTTTTTAATGTTGTACTAGAATATGAAACAGTTAGATAGAATCGGAATTTGTGTGGATGAAGATTGTTTAAGATGCAATTATAAAGGAAATTACTTGAAAGTGCTTTGCTTTCACGCAGTTACGGATAAAAAATAACTATATTTAACCCCCACGTTCCCAGGGGTGGTCCGACTATCCAAAGTTGTGAGGACTACTACGATCAAAACAGCGTAATATTTATTGCTTTTGTAACGTTTTTTAGAGTTACAAAAAGTAAATTTGGCTCTACTGGGATTTGAACCAAGCGCCAGAAGGCGGCGCCGATCCTCCGTGCGCCACGAAAACTCAGTTTTTTAGCCCAAAATTTTATCTCCCATTCGACATCGGAAACCAACTTTCATACTATTTGAATAAGGAGATAAAATTAATTTATTCTAAATTTTAACAATTACAAATACAAGCACAAAATGCAAAGCAAGGAAGGGTTTGCATTCCCGCATTCATCGAGAACCTTTTCCGAGTGGGGAATGGTACCGGGGAGGGTGAGAGATGCAGTAAAACTGGGCATACGTGGTGGTCGCACGTCTCAAACAACCTGGTCGCCGAACGACCAAAATGAAATTAATCTTAGCTAACGTCGGGTATAAGCACGATCCACAAGGTGCTTGCCCCAGGCTGAGACCCTCCATTGCACTTCGGAGGGGTGGACGCCTGCGATTATCCTTCGTGGATAAGTCGGGCGTGGCAATTTTTTCCATTGGGGCATGCCCTTCCTCTTCCGCATGCCCCTACTGAAAACAATCTAAAGACATTAAACTGTGAAGTTGCACTGAATATTCGGGCTGAATTTCCTGAAAATAATTAGTGTAGATCAGGACGTGGAAATAAATTAATAGCACATGAAACATAGCTATTTAGCAAAAGTAGTAAAGCAGATCAATGTACTAAAATTGCTTACTTAATTTATTGGATTACACACGAGTTTTGATGGAAAAACGAGGAAAAAGTTAACTTTATTTGTCAATATGTCGAATGCTATCTGCAATTCATGATCAAGACGTGATATTTATGGGTTTGCATTTTTAAATATATTTTGAAATGTATATTGTATATTTAAAACACATCGGTGTCGACTCGACACTGCAGTTTTTTGCCCACCTCTGTAAAATATGAATGACTCAAATTGTGTCAGTTTGTCGTGTTGCATTGTAAAAAAATCCCGTTAAGGACTTTACACAGTATTTATTTCCTTACTTCATTGTTATGATAAATAAGGTAAAAAAAATTGCGAAATCGTTCACAACCGGCCGGACCACCTGCCCAGTTGATGACAAATGTTGACCATCAATATGCATAGAAATAAATTGGTAACGCAGTATTCTATGTGCATATGCACATTCGACAGGGCAAATATGGAGAGAAATTGCATAGTTGTTGGCCAAAATAAAATGCAAAGGTAAAAAAGCATCACGTTCTTCATGGCCAAGAAACCTTGGATTGTGTAGAAAGGAGTAGAAGCTCTGGCTGAATATCAATTACCAGTTAATCCTTAATTATGTAAGTCTTAAAGACAATCGAATTCCGAGTTTGGTCAATCAATCGCAAACAAATTATTTAATAAGCGACATTTTAAAATGCACAATAAAATGCACACCACATTAATTATCGTCTTCAGAGCTGATTGACCTTTAATTCCCATAAAATGTGGTGAACCTCACATCGCTTTACATTTGTATGTAGCATCGTGACATTTATTGCTGGATTATGTCTGCTACTACTCAACGGTGTGTCTGCAGAGTTCTTAAATACATATGCTTATTTACTTATGTTCTGGTTAATAACAAGATTTTTGTGTTATTATCCGTTAAGAAAAAGTGCCGATTAAAGAGTCACTTTTTTCCTAAAGATTTGTAAAGTTAACGCAGTTAAACTACTTGCCATGCAATTTTCATGTCTATGCATAATTCGATAACGCATCCTTCTAGACGGAAGATGCACTTGAAATCTGTATGAAAGACCACGAAATAAGCAGGATTCATTTTTTTTGTACACAAATTTAGTAAACATTCGCATAATTTGGTTAGTGCATAACAGCAGCAGCAAGTAAGTAAAAGTGCTCCTGAATTTTTGAATGAATGATTATGTACGAGATTAGTTTAAATGCTCATTTTTATACTCTTCGTAAATAGTATGAAATGCACCACTATTTTTCAACTTCCAATCCCATTAAGACTGAAATGATGCTTAAATCCATCATTTTTTCGTCTGGTCGAGACGCTATAAACGACGCCACAATTTATTGTAAATATGTGACCATACATATCCGTATGGCTGTAAAAATATGAAAAAATTGCCGAAAAAGAGAAGAATGGCGTGCATAAAATCCAATGGAAATCGTCCCCCGCAGATTGAATCATGGGACTGAATGAATTTTCAGAAGTGGAAAAAAGGGCTGAGAAGCAAAAGTGACGCTAAATTTTATTGTGCCATCACCGTGGGCTCTAATTGTTATTGTTATTGGGATGCTGCGCGTGGTTTTGTGGTCGTGGTGTCGGCAAATTAAATTGGATGAAATATTTAACGGCGTCGAGGACACAATAAAAAGTTGGTCTCATTATTCTCCAGTCAGACACACCCTGTGATGCGATATGCGATGCGACATAATATGAGATGAGATCGTGACGGGTCAGGAGAGAAATTATGGCTGGATGGCTTTGTGTCGCTTACATAAGTGAGAGAGAAATATTTGTAAAGACTTGTCCGCTGAAGTGGAGAGAAGTCGTAAATTTTTGGAAAAATGACAAAAATTCAGTCACGGAAATTACTTGGTTCATTGCAATTCAAGTCAGTCAATCAGTCACGGATAAATAAGCGGAAATATACCAGAAGTGTTGCATGGATGGATGGATGGATGGATTAAAAAAGGGGGATTAACGGATTATCGTGATGGAAGAACAAAATGACATGACTTGAGTGAAAGCCAAATTGCTGTGGACTTATTTCCGATAAATTCTCGTCCAAAATAAATACAGGGTTCGAATTTATTCGTATTTTTCTAATATTTTGTGTGGAACTTTATAAAATTGACAAGTGTCAGTTTTGGCAGGAAATACCGTAACTTAGTTGTTTCGTAATCTCCATTAAATGCCAGAGTTGTAATTGAGTTGTTTACGTGGAAATATAGAAATATAAAGTCAAAATTTTATAAGGCATGGACAGGATGAAATTTTTTTTGATTGATTGATTGAAGCTTTATTCGAGTGTCTAACAAGTTCACCGTTACAAACAATGCTCTTCCACAAGTGACACATACAATAAACAATTTATAACACATTACAAAATAAAAACTCTGTTTACACAAAATCATGATTTTCCACAAATGACACGTATATCATAGATCAGCTATAGAGTAACCATCTCATAACACCAACAGTTAATATCTATTATATTCCAAATCAAAACCGATAAAACGAGTCAATTAATAAATTACAAATTATCCAATACCGAAGTTATCAAAAAGTTTGTTAAATGAAACTTGAATTTCCATAAGAAAGGTGGTAATATCCAGCTTAAAGGTATCTTGATAACATAAGTGGTTCAATATTCTCACTAATTTCAATAATAGCTTGTCATAATTTATAGTTACCACATCAACTTTTCGCTTAATTACAAATGAAGGCACACATCTCGGACAAGTCCAATTTTTAGAAAGTAAAATATTGAGATATGATTGATTGGAAATGGAAATGTTACACTTATTTTTGTGGTAAAAATTTAAACAATGTACGCATTGAAGGGCACATTTATTCGTGTCATCCAAGTTAAAATGGTCCTTGAGGAAAATAGAGTAAGTTGTTCCTTTATTTATAAGCGAATCCGTGATGTCCTCAATGATTTCTTCGCATAGATAGCAGACTGGACCGAGTGATTCATCGTCATCCCAATTTATGTAATCTAACTTGAAATAGACCGTACGGTATTTTTGTTGATCTAATTTCCCGTCCAGAATTATTACATTTGTCTCGGGCTCGGCTTGAAGAATGAAATCCTCGACTGACATGGGTGGGGCCGTCATTTCCATTAGAAGATGAATTCTTGATATTCAAATGTGTTTCATATTGCATGGTTCCAGGTCGACATGTTACATACAGAGGAAAAGTTACACGAGATTAACCAGAATATTGAAAATAACAACAATATTTATAGGGTCAAAAGTGTAAGGTCGTAAACTTGCCGCGTTCGGCACTTTATAGTGCAAAAGAGAGGAGTACCCTCAGAGCGCGTCTTAAAGGGTCCAACTCCCCCCAGACGAAAAGTTAGAGAGGGAGAGATCCTGGCAGGAAGCGGATATTTAGATCCGGATCAGTCTATTTCGGCAGGCACAGGGGAGTCCAGTTGTATGAAGAAAAATGACACATCTCCAAACACGGTCACACGGTCGAGTAGAGGTCCTTCATCTACCACTTCCCAAGTGGGAATGATTAGGAGGGGTTGACACAATTTGTGTAGTTGGGGGTGTCAAAAAACTTCCAAAAAATTAAAAACAAGAAATAATCAAGAGAGAGCGAATGAGCACACGTCCAGCTGCTGCTGCAAATTTAATTGCGTTTCAGTTTCAAAATTGTCATGATTAAATGAACACGTAAAAATTTCCACGAATATTTTCTATTTCACATAATACTGACATTTCCAACTCGTATGAACACGCAGTCGATACGGATTACCGACCGATATGCATTATCTTTGTCCGTGCTGTCTAGAAATGTTGGACATATCACTCCACCTTGCACCGAGTGCATTTAATTCGCCCCCTATCAGCGTCACGGTCAATGTCATGTCGTTAAGATTGACTGACATACCATAATTACGGCGTTTTTGGTGAAACCGTACTTTTTCTTTTTATTTACTACCCTCCCCATTTATTCTGGAGGAATCAATACTTATCTTCGAATGTGGACGCATGCACATGTACGCACGTACCTCATATTCTGTTATCATATTTTAATACTCACATGTCACGATCGACCAGGGTCAAGAAGGTGCCACAAAATGTTTCAACTTGTTTCAAACTTAGAACTGAGGTCTCCCAGCGTATACTGTCCGATTTTGGACAAACTAGTGTGAATCGATAACAAATTTAAATAGTATAGAATTTGCAAATGACACGATCTCCCAATGGTCACTTTTGGCAGAGATATTTGCATCCGAAGAGAACAAAACGCGCAGTAAATTTGGAAAGTGTAAAATTTGTCAACTTTTGGGTTAGTTTTCTCCTCTTTGGATGCAAATATCTCTGCCAAATGTGACCAGATCGTGCCTTTTGTAAATGTCATATTAACAAAATTTGCCATCGATTGACACTAATTTCGTCAAAATCGGCGAGTATACGCTTGGAGACCCCCATATTGTTAGTGTAAATATTTGCCATAAAAAAGAGTAATAAAAACTAACATTTTTCATTTCTTTTCTCTCACAGCAACATTACCTCCTCAAGTTTGGCTACCTACCTCAGTCTGGGTTTGAAATTCGGGATCAGATAAGCGAACGAAGAATGGAGGAAGGAATTCGAGAATTGCAAGTAAGTCGGTCGGTATTACGATGCCATGCCACTATTTATTTTTTGCACAACTTTTTTTAAATATGTTTCCGGATCCGGATTCATATTTCTGAACGAAGTAAACTCTGATGTGTCACACACACACAAACTTTCCATTAATTTGCATAATGTAAAAAATAACACGCCTTTCGTACGTATTACCACCGGAACGAAACGAACGATAATTCATGGTTGGTGGTTTCGTTTTCGTGCTCATAGATTGAAAAACGTACGGAAAACAGGCAAATTAGGAGCGTATAGTTTGAACCATAAAATTTGTTGTGCCTTAGAAATTTGGATGGACAAACATCTGGACGAAAGTCATTTTTCATTTTTATTTTCATACTTATTTACAATCTAGAGAATTTACATAGACATAAAAACCGACTTTATTTCCAGACTGGAATTGGAAAGTTGGCATAAAATCTATGGAAAACATTCGGCAACAAGCATTTCAAGCTTTTATTTACAATCGTAGACCACCTTTTCCTTCCGTCCTCATCGTGCAGTAAGAATTTTACGCGAGGGTTAAATAAATTGAATGCATTCTGAAATTTCTTATAGTACCGATGCATGTACGTACTCACGTCAAATCTCACAAATTCAAGTACGAAGAATAGCGTCAAACTCTTTCCAGTGGGATACGATTCTTATTCATAAAATGACAAACATTTCATTTTGATATCTTTTTGTTCTGATGAGAAATAAGCAGGGTTTCGCCGTGGTTTTAACCACTGTCCAAAATAGGTTTTAACAAGTTCTGAATACCGAATTTTATCCAAAATGTCCAAAAGTGGTCAAAATAGAAAATGGACAAAAAGTTCTTCAGTATTGAATTTTTCGATTATCCGTTAACGCATATGTAATCTCCCATTAATTTTGAGCATTTTTCTGTATAATTCGACATGGTTTAGAAAATTTCTTATAAGAAAGCATGTGAGAACAAAAGTTTTTCCCAATTTCGTGATATTACAGACTAATCAAAATGCGCAAAATTAATGGGAGATTACACATCTGCGGATAGGCTTGCAAAGAAGGCGAACTTGTCGAAAAAGAAGTCAAACTAAAGAACTTGTACCGCTTTGTCACATTTTCCAATGTTTGACGCTTTAGGACATTTTGTACAGTTTTGAACGCTTTTAGACGGTAAAACGATCTCGTTTGTGTGACTAAACAAAATCCGCAATGTGTCCATTTTTCTCATGAATTTAGAAATCTGTGATATCATCGCAGCTTAATTTTTAGCCATGTATTTACAAGTAAAGATTTGGGAACAGGGTAGTTATTTCGATTTACTTTTTGTACAGGAATCTGAATCATGTCGAAATTTTGCTACTCAACCGAGTTGCATTTCTTTAAATTTTATAATTACTAAACTTTTTTAAATTCTACAAGTATACGAAAACGAAATAAAAGGTAGCTTGCCCTCGGAAATGAGACTGTCAACGTGAGCACGCCCATTATCTTCATTCATTCTCCTCTCTCCTCACAAAATTGCCACGTTATTACATATTTAATGTTGCAACACTTTCCGAGAATAGCGAGTGGGGGGATTGAAATGAGACAAAAAACGAGAATAACAGAACAGATGACGGAAAACAGATGAAATGTCGGAGCCTTCAGCAGTCACTACAAATACGGCACTGTGTATTTCTCCTCCAAAATTTCGCAACTATTTTTGAACCTAATCATAAATTTTGAAAGGTCGTCTCACTCTCCTCGTCAACTTGAGAAATGGTCCCGGCTGCCAAAAATGTACCCTATTTTCACCCCCATCCATTCAACAATCAATTATCCTTTTAAACCCGCACAAAATAACTTTTCACTCCAAATTCCCAACTAAATTTCTTGTTTACAGGCTTTTGCCAACTTGATAGTGACCGGAGTGATTGATGAAGCGACTCGGCGTCTCATTCAGCGACCGAGGTGCGGCGTGCCTGACATTCTGAGCGGCCAATTCATGTCGGAAAGTCAGGAGGAGCAATTTGGCCGTCGTCCTGATGGAAGGAGGAGGCAGAAGAGATTTATCATCCAGGGCCAGAAGTGGCCAACGACGAGTCTCACTTGGAGGTAAGAGGAAGGACATTGTCAAATTTATTCAAAAACAGAAACAATGGACTTTTCCGACGTGACACGACCCAATTCTGACCCGACTGAGATTGACGAGGCGACGACGAATGTACAACTTTCACTGGGGAAAAGTGTCATGAAATTTGCATAAATGAGAAGTGAGACAAGTTTCACAACTTGTGTGGGGCGTAGTAAGAGAGAGCTACTTGATCATTATTCCGACTGCTTTGAAGCGCTCCATATCGGCAACTCTGGCAACTTTGTGTTTCCAGTTCCAGCGGTGGAGCGATGCTGTGTGTCGGCTTTCTGGAAGGGGAAAAAGTTTCTTCTCAACTTTTCTCCTCAATTTTATGTACGAGATCAAGTCGATAATTTCAACTTTTTAGAAATTCTCTGCAACAAAGTTAGTTAATCAATTCTGCCATATGATTAAACCTTTTGATTTGATTTGACTTGATTTGGGTGGCCGTGCCGTGTTATTTTGTATATTAAGATGGTTACTTTTTGGTCCAAATTTAGCCACATTTTGGCATCTGTGTATCTAAATTTTGGGGGCAGGAAGTTTGCAAATTTCCTCCTCCATCCATCCGGAAGTTGGGTGTATTTTTGTGTGTCTACTTTTGCTCTGATGTGTGCACACTTTCACTTTCATCCAGCAGCAAACCAGACCACCAACCAATCAGCAGTAATGAACTTGTATAAAGAAAGAAAGGAGGCGAGGGGGATAAAAGGAAGAAAAAGACCTTGTCGTCGTCGCTTCTACCACTTTTACTTGTTAGTTACTTACTTACTTTTGTGCTGGTGTGCCACTTACTTTTTCTTTTTCTTCACTTCTTCTTCCGTATTGCACTTTAGTAAGTGGCGTCGGCCGCTTATTGCGATCGTTTTGTCCGTCCATCCCGAACTTCTCAAGATACTCAAACGCTGCTTTCGCCATTGTAGTTCTAATTTTTAGTACTTGGTCGATTTCGATAATGGGGTCAATCGGACCACCTCGCACAGCGCGAGGGGGTGTGGTCTAACATTAAATTTGACCTCAATTTTCATATAGGGTGTCATTTTAAGGAAATTTCACCACGAAATCAATGTTGTTGACCTCATAACCAACCTCATGACCGTGAGGACGAGGTCAAAGGTCATGAATAACATAAGTTTCATGTGGTATCATTTTACATTTTACTGTATGACATGACGCCACTTTTTTGTATTCGTTTGAGACGGCTATATGTGCTACAACTTTCTTTCTCCAGTAGTCAATCAGCCAGTCATTCAATTCCTTGGTCACAAAATAATATGAAAATTGAATCAAAGTGACGATTTCCTAAGTCTCGAGATTCCTGTGAAAGGAATTGGATTGGAAATTGTTTTTGGGGAGGGGACCACATCAGCCGAACCATTTTTCTCTCTTTTTTCCTTCTCTACACTTTTCATTCGTTGGATTGACGATTTACTTTTTTTAATGGAAAGAATCCCACCGAAATATGATTCCTGATTTCATTTTCTTGATCAGAATAGGTTTTTTTAATAGTGGGACGAACCCGTAATGATGCAAAACATAATGACGGTAGAAACTTTGATGGACAAGAAATCACACAAATCGTAATCTTGTTGAGAGAGAAAAAACGCAAATTTCTCCCAATCTCTTTTGTGTAATTTGTTATAATGATTTCTCATTTTCCAGAGAAAGAGAGACATACTTAATGAAAAAGTATAATTTAACGTCATAATAAAAGAGTTAGTAAGCCGGTTATATTGGTAATTGAGAAATTACATATACAAGTCGTATCATTTTTTTGGCCTCAATTTTGCCTACACAAACTTTGATACATATTTAATTAACTTGAGTTGAATAATATCTGTTATTTGAGCGATAAGTTTCCTGAACGAACAAAAATCATACCTTTTTTTGGCCTGACTTTTATCGCAAACTTTGTTGTTCATAAAAAAGGAGTTTATCTTTCTCCACTCTTTTAAAGAATGTACGTATAAATTGTGTACGACGTTGTTGGTGGTGGTGGTGGTTCTGACATGATTTTCCGTAGGTCGACCCCTTCCTCCTCCTCCCATCCATCCATCTCTCCATCCTTTCTTCACCACATTGTTTGCCCTTTCCTTTTGCGGATTGTAAGTAATTTATTTCTTCGTCTCCATTATTATATATCCGCTCCACTGGCGGAATGAATGGCAGGTTTTGTACTCCTCGCCTCATCATTCACCACGACCAAATGTTATCGTCGTCTTGGAAGATGGAGGAGGAGGAAATCATCCCACTTCACAATTCAATACGAACCCGGCCATGAAACCAATCTGCCTAGAGAAACGTATACATGCAAAGATATAGAGACCCTTGAAAATAGCAGGCATTCATACTCCAACCAAGCTACAAAATGAGACACATAATGAGTAAGCCAATTCATGAAATGAAGTCGATACATATACTTTTCATGGTAATAATATTCATGAAACGGCACGTTATTATTGTATACTTAAGAATCTGCATCTGTATGTAGCAGGATGTCGTCAAGTGTCAAAAAACCAAGAAAATAAGCATTCCGTCCGGGAACATATCACATCCTGTAAACATACCCAAGTTTTAATCTGGCCAGTTCAGCCAGACTATGGTGTCACAAATATTATTGACCATTTTATCCTATCACTGCTGCTCCTTTTCCATCCGACGACGCCATTATGGAGAACTATTCTCTTTCTGTGTTGTCATCCAAACCACAATTTGATCCACATATTTCTCGGGAATGGAAATAAATCTCAAAATCCTTCTCAAAATCTCTTCTTCTTACTTATTGCATACATCCACATGGCAGAAGGAGGAGGAGATAGATTGTAAATATGTAACCGTGTGGATCCAGCACTTGAAACAATTCCATTATTCTTCCCATTAAACAGACCACTGTTTACTCAGTTACTTGCAAATCTTTGAGTAAACATGGAAAATGGAAAGTTGTCATTGCATTGATTCCATTTTTAAACCCATTGTTTTACAAGGACTTGAACCAATCGGATTACTTTTTCTGGAGACGGAGGATCCACTCCTCTTCGTTACCTAACCTACGACCTGCCCACCTACGTGACATTTTCGCAAGTATGTGGGCTCCCAGTATCTCTGCGTCCCTCTGATTATTTTAGTATTTCAAATTCTAAGGCTCTTGTTTGTGTAGGATTTATTTATCGGAGAGAGACCATTTTGCACACCACTTTACTTACTTATTTGAACCCGTCACGAGGACAGACAGACAGCCCCGAGTTTAATGGACATGTTTCGAGTTGACTTTGTTATTTGCATTATGTGCGGAATGGGCAATTTAAATGTGGAGGATGGAGGTTGGTGAAGGAGGATGGAGGATGGATGGATGGAGAGAAGAAGGAGTTGTCTTCTTGTGACATTTCAGATTTGAATGAGCCCATCAGACCGTGTCCTTAATCGATGTGTCTGACATTTACTAAACTGCCCTTAAATCCTCTCGCTCCCCAAAAGAAGACGAACCCAAGCTGGGGATGAGATTGGTGGAGAGAAAGCTGGAGCTGCTGTCTCCCGATTTGTTTCCCAGGCTTATTTTTCATACTACCAACCACATACGGTCGGTAATAATGCAAAAGGGAACATTATGTATGGTTTCCGGGGAACAAGTAAAATTCGCTCGGATTTAGACATGTTCTTCTCACATGGAGAAATGAATATGCAAACAGTATGTGCAATTTTGAGGAACAAAATGGCAATATTTTTCACTTAAAATGATGGAAATTATGTACGTCACCGGGAAAAGTTGGATGGACGTGTGCAGAATTTTGTTGTGGGATTATTTTCTTTTATTTTATGTGAGAATTATTAGATTTGAAATTCGCATGTTTTTCTACATGGGCAAAGTTTCACTGCAAGGTTTGTGCAAAAAGTGAGAAATTTGAGGTTAAACAAGACTAAAATTGTGACACTTTTTGACACCGAATTTCTCATTTTAGTCGATATGCATATGTAAATGGACGCAGTGCAATGAATAGCGGCCGAATTCATGCTTTTCATGAGCCTGGCCTCCTATTTATCATGTATGACATAATTTTGCAACAACGATAACCACTCATCCATCCAAGAGGAGTGACGCTTTCACTAAAATACTTACTGCACACATATGTACATACAGATGTAGGCGGGTATGTATGTTCAGTTCATCCATATAGTCATCAAAGTACGTGCATACATGTGACAATAATTAATTAGCAGTGAAGTAGAGCAAAGAGTAACTAACTAATTAAGAGAGATGATGATGCAGATCGATGCGATGTGTGGACATGCTTGGCGACAAAGTTGCTCCTCTTTCTCTCATGAGTACATACACGATAGACAACAATTTGTGTAGAAAATTCTCCAGGAAAAAAGTCGACCTTTGACATTCTGCCCTTTTCCACGTACGTACGTGTAAAGAGAATATGTAATCTTAAAGATGAGATGGTTCGCTGGCTGGCTGGATGCACATTAAAGGTTGCTGCTGCATATCTTAAGAGCGTGTCTTCTTCATTAGCTGGCTAGTTGGTCATAGCAGTGTCACTTTGATGTGTCGTGGTGATGGTGTTATACGAACGTGGTGGATGAAGTCACTAAATGCTAAATGGTCAACTGCGGACTGTCCTTTTACTCAGATCATAAAATCCAGGAGCAGAAGTAGCAGTTTCGTTGGTTGCTTAAGCTGGCAAAGTATTAAAACTGAAAGCCGTTGAACAAATAAACATCTCTCATCGTCTGGTTTGGTTTCCGTTTGGCCGGGTCCGCTTGGAATGAAATATGTCTTTCGGGCCGACGACTACGTAAACTTTACCTTGTCAAAATTCCCACAAATGCAAAAATGTATGGATGAATGTCCATACTTTATGTATGTAGGACTTGATGACTCATAGCTAAAATGGTCAAAATAAGGCCATTTTAAGTCATTTCTCTGGTCTTGTGGAATTTAATTCAAAATTCTGGACGAAAAATTTGTAGAGCATGTCGGCACCATTAAAAATATACAGATTTTGACAGTTTTTTAAAATTGTAACTCATTGAAACTGGCTTAAAAGCCTCACAGCCATTCTATTAATCAACTTATAGAGTACAAATTAGTCGTCCAGAATTTTAAAATAAATTCCCAGAGGGGAGAAATGATTAAAAATGTGTAGATTTTGACGACTTTGGTGATGAGTCATCCAGTCCTACGTCGAAGTCGAGTCTGGCCCTGACAAAATGAATAAAAGTTCTCTTTTTTTGCAGTAATAAAATTGTAGTGTGAAGAAGAAAGGCGATATAATAAATGGACACCTTTGACAAAAACGTGTAGGCTCAGTCAGCCTTTGATTGCGAGTCATCATCATTTCGCTTCTTCTGCTATGCAGATGTATCAGTACTCACAATGAATGTAAGTCGTGCAGAATGTTGTGATACACAGTTTGCCTTTTTGAGACGGAGAGAGAAAGAGGAAAGTGCTGTTGCGAAGGAGGAAGAAGGGAAAAGTTGAAAGCAAAACTATAATGCATTATAAGCACTCTTTGCATTTCAAATGTCAGCGAGGAGCTGGTGGTGGGTTGATGGGTGAAATTAGGGTTCGAAAACGAGCAGGGTTTCATTAGTAACACTTCAGGATTTTAATTGATAAATTCAGAGACAAGAATTTCGAAAATTGTTGGTTTTTTATTATCAAAAAGCGAAAAATCGAAGTACTTTTTTTTACCTCGGGGGACGGAAGTGTTAACCTTATCGTAGCAGAAGAATTTGCACATATGTCGAGAAACAACATCCGCATGTACATTTTCTATTTCGATTTTGGGAAAAAACATCCCAAAACCTGGATTTATTTAATGGATCAAAAAAACCTAAAGCCCTGCCGGGTTTAAAATACCCTGATTCGTATTTACCTACTTACATAGGTACACACGTACATTAGGCTCTGCTCGCATCGGACTTTGTCGCCCGAAATGAACACTGAGAGCGAGAAGTCGTGTCAAATCACATCGCCGATGGGGGATTTACTACTTAGTTGCTTTATACGTTTAGCCTCGTAAAGAGAATTGCACATACATCACATCAAACAGAGAGAGAGAGACCATGCATTTTAATTCGGACACTTTTTAAGCCACTCCAAGAGTAAACCTTTGAAAGGGATAGAATGTCGTGGTTTTCCGTTTTGGTCGTCGTCGTGGTGGTGCTGTGTCCATCAAAGCCCAGTCGATGGACAGGGCTGACCTTTCCTGTGTATAGCATCGCATCGCTATCTCTTATCAGTGACCGCGGACGGAAGCGTGGGGACAGAGGGACCATGTCCCTACGGTTGTTCGATGTCCCCATCATCTGCCCATGTTATATGAACCCCGCCCTCCCCCATCCTACCATGTTAATGTCCCCACAGCTTCCACGCCCCTTGTCTCTTATATAAATGCATCCCCACCAACCCACCAACCAACCTGGACTTGAATCATACATACTTTTTTTAAAGTAATCAAAGTTCTCCTCTTCTCTAAAGTAATTCGAATCGTGTCCAAGTGAGAGGCACGCAGTTCTGAGATAAGTACTGCACAAGAAGAAGAAGGCGGAGTGGAATTAGCGTGCGTGCTTTCCCCCTCATCTCGAGACTTAATGGTGCGACCATGTTACAAATATTGGAGAGTTGAATACACACACGAAAATCTTACACCATCCGAGATGTCACCTTGACGATATTGTGTTCCCTTTCTCGCAGGGAATTTGGGAAGTAAACTTAAACTTGAGATTGTCACATGCACGCAGAGCCATATCCTCGTTTCCCTGATGATGGCGATGATGATGATTCGGGGAGAAAAGTGGGACAGACTTTCTAATTTCTGAAAGTATTCAAACAAATTTTATGAAAAGAAAGTAAATGAAGGGAAACAAACTGTAGGAGGGAAAAGTTGGAATGACTTTTCGCCCAGAAGAAACTAAACTAAAGTTCAATATCTGGAAGCAATCTCAATCTCGTACGTATGTCGTCCCAGATCTGCAAATCTCTCGTGATGCTGATGCTCTTTCATTTAGCCGGTGGCCTGGCCTGCCAGCAGCTCCGGCTTGTTGTGGATACATATGTGCATACAGAATTGCGGAAAATCCCCTCCCCCCAATAGCCTCCCCCCAATGGCCTCCCAGTAATAACCTCCGACCAATAGCCTCCTGAGGAAATTGGCCTCCCCTACCAATCGCTTCCCACCCAATATCCACCCATGATAAATACACGCATTGTTTTTAATACTTAACTCATCCAAATCTTAATTGTGTCATCATCACTATTTAATCATCAGCGAGAGAGCGTTACTCATCAATATGTAAAAGCACATATTTATTCGTCAATCATTTCGTCATTGCTTAAATTACATATTTGCGGTTACCATCATCCAATATTCATCATTTTACCTTACGCATGCAAACCAGTTTTAAAATCTAAAAAAAATTTAAAAGAAGAGAAAAAAAATTAAAGGAGTAAAAATCGCCAGTTTCTCTTCTTTATTTTGATCACTAATATGTAAAAGCACACGTACATATTTATTTGTATTTACCATCCAACATTCATCATTTTTACTTACACGCATGCAAACGATACTGTACTTTTACTCTCGTTTGAATATAGAGTATCAATATATACTTTTACATATTAGTGATGAGAACAAAGAAACTGGAGATTTTAAAACTCGTTTGCATGCGTAAGATAAAATGATGAATATTGGATGATGGTAACCGCAAATATGTAATTTTTCGCAAATAAAGGACATTTGAGGGGTTGGCTGTTTTAAAGATATCTTTCTCAATGTTAACCGTCTCACGACTAACTTGGAATATCACAGGGAATTTAGTGTTCTTGTACAAGTTTTGTTGATAACCTACACTGGCAGGGCTGCCTGCGTGAAACGATGTGTTTTCTGAAGTCTTTAAATGATCAGGGTCGACGTAGGTCTCGTCATCATTGATCATAATTTTTAATCACATTTGTCGGCACATTTTTTTGCAACTTTTTTACATGCTACTTTTTTGGGGCTAAACATTTTTTGGGAGACTTTATTTAATTTTTTCCATAATGCCCAGTTTACGAACTTCAACAGTGATGATGACACAATTAAGATTTGGATAAGTTAAGTATTAAAAACAATGCGTGTATTTATCATGGGAGGATATTGAGTGGGAGGCGATTGGCCTGGGAGGAGATTGGTTGGGAGGATATTGGTTGGGAGGCCATTGGTAAGGGAGGCCAATTTCCTCAGGAGGCTATTGGTCGGAGGTTATTACTGGGAGGCCATTGGGGGGAGGCCATGATCCGTAAGCCGTGCATACAGGCATTCACGTCGTATAGGTTCACATTTTCGCATCACGCTAATAGAAAATGGGGAAAGGTGTGGTCCTTGTGACTGACTCGCAGGTAAAGTGATGAAGAGGAAAAAAGGTGTGAGGCTGATAATGCATCCTTTCTCCTGACGCTGCTGGGGGCAGTAGAAAGGAAAAGTAAAAGTACAGATGGGACGATGGAGGTCTCCCAGCGTATGCTCGCAGAGTGTGAGCAAACTATTAATAGTGTCAATCAGTCACAAATTTAAGTAATATGAAATTTGCAAAAAGAAACGAGCTCCCAATGGTCACGTTTGGCAGAGATGTTGTGCTTTCTCCTATTCGGATGCAAATATCTCCCCCAAACCTACGCATTGGGAGATCTTTTCTTTTGCAAGTTCCGTATTACTTAAATTTGTGATTGCTTGACACTAGTTTGCTCAAACTCTGAGAGCATACGCTGGGTGACCTCCATTGCGAGAGAAGAAAACCCCACTTTAAGTGTTGTGTATCGAATTTAAGTCTACTTTTTGGTCTTGGTTTTACTCGAGATTTCGTTTTCTCATGCCGTGATTTCAAACGAATTTCTCTCCACGAAATAAAGTGAGAAAGGATAAGAGATCAATCGCATAATCGACAATCTCCTGCCACACACACACATACGAATCTACGCTCTCCTGCTGCCATTAATCATCCCGAGCTAAACTGAACTGGATCTCGAAACTGGACAAGTTTTCCTACTTTTTAGATCTGATCACCAAACTTTGCCTTCCTTCCTTCATTCACGTAACGACCATATCGACGTCCATACATAGAACGCTGCCCATGACCAATTTGCACCACCATTCGTTCGAGATTTACTGGGCAATTTCTCTTTAAAATGATAAAATCTACCAGTCGTATCATCACCACCAGCCCCATTCCTGAGAAGAGTGACTAATTTGATTTTGTTTGTTGGGAGAAAACTACAAATTCGAGCCTCACTCTCGCCACAAATTTATATTGGATTTCATACACCGAGCTCGCTTATCGGGCCTTCTTTATTCTCGGCTATTATTTTAATATCGGGACGATACGATGATGATACTGCATTCCCATTCTGCTGCTCCTAGCTGCCTTTCATGAAGAAATTCTCCATGTTCATAAATGTGAAATACGAGACCGCGGCGAAAATTGGAAACAGGATATTTTTCAGAAATTACAGAGGCGTATTTACACCATGAACATGGATTCGCTTCGCCTCCAATCTGATATGCGAGGCAGGCAGGATGCCAACCAACAACGAACCCACTTTTGTTTCAAACTATAGAGAACAACCAACAAATATCTGTATGTACATGGTCAAATTCATATGGACGTAAATACATATTATTTTGCTACTCGAATTCAGATGACGATGCATATCTGGGCATGTACTGACTGATACGTGAAAAAATGAACAAGTGTCTCGTTACACGTAATCTTTGAAGGTGGTTGCGATGTGATGATGAGATGACTAATACAACAAATTCATATGTATCGATGGATGGAATTGCTTCAGTTTTGATTTTGATCTGCGATACGTATATCTACGTGTTTACAGAGAATTGAAATATTAATACACTTACGGTGCCAGAGACGAGGGATCATTTTACTTGGAACCTCCTCTTCAAATTTCTGTGCACACATACGTGGCGAATATCTATCTAGATTGTTATACCGTGTCGTCGTGGCACCGCGATAAATAATAAGTGTTTCCTTCGTCGAATAATGGTATTGTACTTACAAACACATAATTTTGATCCATCTCTCACTCAAAAGTTCCAGTGAAACGTAATCCATTCGATTCGAGGCGACTTCTTTGGAGAAGAACGGTTGCTTGGTCATTTAGTAAATTGTGTGTGTTTGTGTTTAAATTGATTCTTAGAATTTCTGGTAAATAAGTAAGTTAGTTAGTTAGTGAGTGAGTGAGTGAATATATTGGTATTCAGCCACGGATGGGATGCGTGGATGTATGTATTGTGCTTATATTTATTTATGTAAACCTTTTGAAGTTTAAGATCGAAGGGGAAAATAGGACGAAATTATTATTATTATTATTATTATCATTATAGGAAAGGCCGAGGTTATGTAAATGTTGTTATTCTCGTCACAATTTTGGAGTCTCTCTCTCTCTCATGTGTCTCATTTAATAATAATCCTTCCCTGTCTGCCTCCCTTCCTTCCTTTGAAACACTACATATTTACTAGTTTCGTAGGTAAATTGGTTTTACAAAGGAAACTGAGAGAGAGAGGGAGAAAATTATATAAGCCAGTTTTAACAAATGTGTGTACATGATATGCTTGTGGTACATACCAATACGTGTAAGTTTTAGGCTTTGTAAATGGGATCATAAATGAAATAAAATAAAGTAAAACAATGCGAGATACATAGATGTGTCCTTTTGGAGGACAAGAAATCATTGTTTTTCACAGATATTTCTCGACCCAAAGTGAAACAGTAACGGTCAAAGATTTTAGAGATGAAGTAGCAGAGGTGGTGGTGGTCTGGTCATACGTAAAATAATGGAGTCGATATATTCTGGTCATTCGCATATTTATTTTATTTTATTTCGGACATCGTCGTCCACGTCTCCTCCATTCAAAAACACTTTTGGACATTTTGAGAAGAAGGTCGCGATTGTTTCTACATTTCTGAAGAATCAGATCCATACTTCTCTTATCTCCTTTTTGTGCCTGACTCTGCTCTCTCTCGTCCGTCGGTCGGTCGGTCGTGGTGACGGTGAATTCCTACTTTTCTGGTGGAATTGTTATCTATTTTGCTTCCCGTCTCTCTCTCTAAAAGTAGTCCATACATACAAAGCTGATTCGATGGATAAATGGATGGACAAAGAGAAGGTTTGATGATAAAGCTTTGCCTTATCCGATCCCCTCTCCTCTTCCTCGTGAATAATGGAAACGCCAAAAATCTCGCCAGTCTCTCTCTCTCTCTCTGGTAAGAGCATTAGTCGAAATGAAAAGTTTTTCAAAAGTTCATCCATCCATCCCCCTCGAAAACGTCCGTCTTTCAAGACATGTTTAATTATAAATGGAATACCAATACAATTTCTGCGCGGATTACACAGTGAATAGATTTATTAAATTTCTACTCTTGTGGTTTGGAGAAGAAGAAGAGTCGGATTGAATTTTAGGCTGGAAAGATAATGGTCTCTCGACTCTATTAGATGCACATTACGCTTATACAACTACACACATAGCCAGAGAATGGATAAGATTCTTCTTATACTTTATTTGGGAGGAGGAGGGTGGACTAGGCAAATTCAGGCGTCAATATCCGTCGCATTTCTTGACATGGTGCTGTATAGACTCTTCTCTCTTCTAAGCAAATTATCTCCTCGGACTGCGTGCTAGAGTTCATCCGACTACTAAAAATGTATTTAGTAATCCATCCATCGAGTGGAGTGTATGAGATTTCCAATCATTTTTGGATGGGAGGTTTTCCTAACCAATTCACCAACCACCATTACCAGAGCCCACATATAAAATACCTCGATCTCCCGAGCTGCCTGGGAGACGCGGGCCGGACTGCGACGAGGCAACTACTTTTGCCGTGCTCGCAAGAATACATATTTCCTCCAGCATATAAAACGAGACGAGATTCGTCTCAAGTGTTCAGTCGGAGGTTGGAGGTGGGAGAGAGAGGAGTGACATGTGCGCATCATTTCTGGGAAACATTCGCATTTTGACCCTATTTTTCCTCGGAGGAAATACAGGACGGCTCAATGGAGACTCACTCAACTTGGTGGTGATGGAATTTTTCCGCCTCGTCACAACCTCCTTGAGTGAGTCATTCAAGAGCTTGCGTTTCGTCAAAGTGCCACCCACCCACCCACCGTCGAGAAAAAAGAGTGGTCTTTATTCAACTCGTGGGAGGAGGAGGACGAGAGGACGACAGTTAATCATCTTTTTCGGGGCGCCGCGGAATAAAAGAGTACTTGAGGATTGGTAGGTATGTCGTTTTTTCAAGGGTCACTTGGACAAGAAGTGCTTATTTGGGATTGTTCCGAATTCATTCTCGCACGCCTTCCTCCTCTTCTCGGGCTTTTTCTTGCTTTGATTGTATTTTCTCTCGTCGTCGTAATATTCAATCTGCCTCGGCATCAATGGATGGAAATCCTCATCCGCTTTCAAGTTCCGCGTTTCTCTCTTCGTAATCTAATGTGGGGCGCCGCCCTGACAAGAATGGTGGTGGTTTGGTTTGCAGAAAGAGGAAATTTAGATTTGGAATAGTTTTGTTCTTTTCTCTCCCGATGTGAATGCAAACCACGTATGGTTAGGTTTAGTGACATTTTGTCTGAGGGGAAAAAATGGGCCAGGACACAAAACTTGAATTTGATGACAGCACCAACGAACCGACTTTCTCTGACATTTTCAAACATTTTTCTTCCCCATTGCATCATTGCGTGACGACGTGAATGTAATTTTTTCAGTGTGAAACGCGCTTCTCCAGCCCATGATGAGAACGACATTGTTGCCGAGCTGAGCCGCGCCATTGCCGTTTGGTCGAGGTCGACACCGCTCCGGTTTTCGCGACTTACGCCGGATCGCGCGGACGATGCGGACATTCGGATCGTGTTCTCTAAGTAAATGGGATAAAATAAGTGGGTGGTTGGGGAGAGAGAGAGGGGAATTTGAGACGGGTATTTTTTTTAACAGAGGATACCACGAGGATGGTTACCCTTTCGATGGGAAAGGTTCCATCCTGGCGCACGCCTTCTTTCCAGGTGCGGGTCAAGGTGGGGACGCTCATTTTGATGATGACGAGGTGACCTGACCTTTTCTAAATTGTAGTAGAAAAAATTTGGGAGCATGATTGGTATGTTTTTTTTACTCTTTGCATGGTGATTTACAGATTTGGATAATTAATGGCAAATCGCAAGCTGGAGAAGGTCAGTCTCCCCTTCTGGACATTATTTTATTTTGTTTTTTTTATAAATTATTTGGTGGGTGTAGATGTACATGTAAATTGGGAGAGGAGCAGGTTATATACGTATTTAGAAATGTGGTGTCTTCCATTTCCTTATCTTTTGATGATGATTTGAATTTGAATTGCTTTTGATAATATGGCTCATTTGGTTACTTACTTATTTCCTGTTGTCGTTGTATCCTCCTTCTCCTCCTCATAATAACAATTTGTACTTTGTCGTATCCCAATTTGTGTCATGATTCCAGTCTGCCTTCATATCAATCTCGAGAGGAAATGCATTCTATTGAAATCACAACCACCACCAACACCAGAAACATACAAACTAATTCAAAGGGAACAGAAATAATGTAATGAATAATGTAAAGATAAGTCTTAATTTAGTTCCATATCAAGTAATGTGTGTGCTTATGATGATATTATTGTTGTTCTGGATGATAAGGTTTTGGTAAGGAATTGGTAAAAGAGAGATAAGTTTCTTTCCTTCAAATTTGAATACTGTGTTCATCAATCACATCATTTTCAACAAGGCATCATTATTATTTATTAGTGAGCTCGGTTCAAAAGGTATCAAAATTACAGGAGGAGGGCCTTGTTAGTTTGCATAGTTAGTTAGTGGGTGGGTGGTGGTTGTGGCTGTAGGAAGTGTACACATTTATGTATGTAGGTCGTAGGTGGGTGGGTGGATGGGTGGGTGGGATGAGACTCTGATGATGAGAAATTTGATAGCACGACTTGAAGTCATCCATCCATCCAGAAACTGAAACGAGGAGGGCACTGACTGACATGATTGGAGTTTCAGTTTCTCAATCAACATTGTTGATTGAACATGACAAATAATACGGGAAATAATAAGATTTCTCCGTGAAATGATGATCAAGATGATGACGGCGACGACGATGAAGATGATGCTGATGATGATAACTTATTGTAAAACGGGAAGAATAAGATGGCATACTTACCACATATTCCAATACATACGTTCAGCCGAAAAAAAACAGAAGTACGGAAAATTGGGTTTATGATGATGCCAGCCAAGCTTCTCCTGGCCCAGGACAGGAGGAGGAGGAGGATAGGATGGCATTTAGCTTAGGAGCCATGGCACATCGCACACTATTCCGAATTAGTTCATATATAACTCCTAAGAAATGGGAAGATGAGGCGTAAATAAAAAAAGTAGAGAAATGGGGAAATGATTCGCTTAGTTTGGTTGGAATAAAGGTCGTAAAAGGAGTAAATTTGTGGTTTTATTGCTTCTCTTGCCTCTCAGGGACGAGACTTTTCGCCGTGGCAGCCCACGAATTTGGCCACTCGCTCGGCCTGTCCCACTCGGACGTCGAGGGTGCCCTGATGTACCCCTGGTATCAAAACTTCGACTACGACCTACGCCTCACCAAAGATGATGAGCTCGGAATTCAGCGCATCTACGGTGAGCGAGTCTTTAAAGAAATACATGCATTGATAAAGCACATCAAGCTTTATAACCGTGTAAACTTTGAAGTTGTTGGAGAAAAGATCTAAAAGGCAGCAACAGACACAAATGTTGCACATTTTACGCCCCAGCAATCAATTTATAGCTATTAATTTTGTCCCAGTTTGTCAGTAATCTCATAAAATTTACACGGTTACAAAGGTGGTGTTAATCCGAGTTTTTTGAGAATTTTTGTTGTTTCTTGTCCAGGCTCCACTCCGATGTGGGCTCCGAACCCGTACGCCCCCAACTACAATCCGTCTGACACTGACCATGAGACCCCCCGACCTCGCGTCACCACTCCGACCCGACGGGGCAAGCCGTACCACCCTTTCGACGGTCGTCCCAACACGTGCGACTCCTCCTACGACGCGATATCTCTCATCCGGGACGAGCTTTTTATCTTTAAGGGGCGTCATTTTTGGAGGGTCAACTCAAAACCGAACGCTCCCAATGACAACCGCCTCCTCAAAGGGTATCCCTCCCTCATCACAAACATGTGGCAACAACTTCCCCCCAATTTGACCCATGTCGACGCCGTCTATGAGCACGACGAGGTTGAGATCGTCTTCTTTATTGGTGAGATTTTACATTTAATAAATGGCAAATCTGGTGAAATGCTAATAAAAATCTGTAATTTTGTAGGACGATACTACTGGCGATTCAGAGGAACCAATTTGCAAGCCGGGTATCCAAAACCGCTCACGTCGATGGGAATCTCTCCGGATGTTGAGAAGATTGACGGAGCCATGATTTGGGGGCATAATAAGAAAACTTATCTCTTCTCAGGGACACAATACTGGAGGTGAGTTGGAGTTGGACGCCGCTTTTGTAACAACTGTTGGTACGATGATAAGGTTTGAGAATCTTGTGCTGTGCCTCACAGATTTTTACACCGTTTAGACAGTTATAAAGATTGGCATGAATTAAATATCACAATATTAATCTGATTGTTTTCCAGGTTGCAAGACGTCAACCCGCACGTGTTCCACATTGAGCCTGACTACCCCCGCAACATGTTTGTGTGGCAAGGCGTGCCAACGAATATCGACTCCGTCCTGCGCTGGAAGGACGGCCACACGTACTTCTTCAAGGGAAAAGTCTTCTGGAAGTTTAACGATAAGCACATGAGAGTGGACTCGGACGCCACGCTGTCCGCCCCCTTTTGGATGGGCTGCACCTCCACCCCGCTCGTCCCCACGGAGAAAAATCCTCACGGAGAGGATGACGAGACCAGTTCTGCTGCCGGAGTATCGTCACCAATCATGACTGTCATTGTCGTCAGTCTCTTGACCTGGTTCTCCCGTGGCGTGGGTGACATATTTGGTCAAAAATTGCTCGCCTTATAATAACCCAGCCCATAAGGCATCCATGCAGAAAGAAATGAGACAACTTTGCGAATAACTCGCTCAGGAATTCACTACGCACACATACCACCGTCACTATTAAGACTACTACTCACTGCCATGTCTTCACAAACGTTCCTATATCTACCAGAAAAGAAGCATTGCCAGCTCAGGGGCATGGTTGCTAAAATTTGTGGTTTTCATATTGAGAAATTCCATTTTCCCAGGCTTTTAAGGAGTAGGATCTTGCAAAAACCGGGCTAGTTTCCTCCTCAAGAAGACGGTTTTGTTGGTTTGTTGGAACCCTCTCCGAAATTCGGTGGTGGGTGGAGGAGGAGAAAGTAAACATAAAGTATAATCCCGTCTCGCCAAGAAGCTTCCATCCAAGTATTAAAGTCAGGCAGTCATCCATATGGAAGTGGAGGAGAAAGTTGCTCATCCTTTGATAGCTTTCTCGCCATCCATCCATCCATCCTCATCTCTGTTCAAATTTTGTGTGTCATGACCTGAAAATTTGTTCCTCTTCTTTTATGTACTTCAATCGCGATGGGGATCCAATCTAGTGGTTCTGGTCACTCAATTTTGAATTAAATTTCCAAAATCTCGATTTAGCTCGCCTTTCATGACTTGCTCAGCCAAGGAGACACACATTCAATGCAAGCAGGATTTCATAATAAGTTGAATGCGTAGTTTGATTTATATAAGATTTCTCCCCCAGGCTGGGCTGAGGACAATTTCCGAGTGTCCACACCACACCAGGGTTCCTCAAAGGGGGATCGTTCCTTAAAGAATTTCAAGCTTATTTAGTAGTGAATGTTTGCACACTGTGAACAAGTCCTTTCAAATGTGTCAAAAAATACACATTTAGCAGATGTAAATCGTATATACCCTGTTTTTAAAGCATGCAGAATCAGTGTTACCGTGTTCCTGCGGGTTTGTCACATTTCTTGAACCGCAAAGCAAGAAACGCAGGAAATACAAGGTGTAAGAAACTTGGAGAAAGTGCAAGAAATATGGCCTATCTAGCCATGCGCCTTATGAAGTATAACGACACGTCGTAGTTTCTTACGCCTTGCATTTCTTGCAGGTCAAAATAGCTTAAAAAACCACTTGCACCCGAAACACTGCAGAATTTTTACCCTGTTTTCATGCATGCATACAAACAACGACTGTCAACTACGTTAAAGTATGTCAAAAAATCCCCCACATTCTTTTGGAAACCCTGCCTTCGACTTTGGTGACGCTAAAAGCTTTAATTATCTCTCTCACTGCCATCCATCAGTGGAAGCAACTCAAATAAATTCACTCAATCTGTCTCCTGACAAGAATTCCAAAGAGAGACTTATTTACCGTGTCCTATTTTGTAAACCAAGGCACACACGCGGATACATAACACAAAGCTACATATACTTTACGGCTTTACTGGACGAGAACGAGTACGAAATATATAAATAATAAATTTTCGCCAGAGGACAATTAACCAAGTAAATAATTTGTGGTGGGTTTATGAATTTTGAAAACTCGCTGGTTGGTTAGTCACAGAGATATGCAAATTTATTCAACATTCCTCTCATTTTCCGTCAAGCAAGAGTCAACTTGTCGGATGGATAGACTCGAATTGTTAATTAATTAAATTTCAGCCAAGGTTTTACTATGTAAATAGTACAGTTGTTTAAGTAGGATTGTTTATATGGTGCCATATTCTTAAGTATGTGACTGATCGAGTATATATGTATATCTAAGACTTTAATTATAATTTAAGTTTGTTTATAATTATTGCCACAATTAAATTTGCTACTGGAGAAGAATTGTGAATTAGAATGATACTCGAGGCGCATATTTAAATAAGTAATACATAAGATTTCGCTGTAATTTTGCGAATATGCAAATGCAACCACTTTCACTCAAAACACGCTTTCGTAAAAGTAAATGTTGTGAAAGATTTTGAGCTTTCGCTTTCATTACGTGACACGACTATAGAAGAAGAAGATAGAAATTAAGCCTGGCAAAATATGGGGTTGTTGTTTTATAAATAAATAAATAAATAATGGGAAAAGATGTACTGTGATGATGATGAACAACAATTAAGTAAACTGTTTATATTTAATAATGACTTATGGGTTAATTTTATACAGGAACATGTTAAAAACTATGCTGTGCTTTTAATTCATTAATTACTTTGTAGATACATAGTTGTCACCGAATTAAATAATTATAGTTATATACTATTTTAATTTTTCTTAAATAAGTCGAATTTTCTATTATTTGTCGTCGTGATTAAAATTGAAATATAAATACAATATTTAGAGTTATATTTATTCTTTACTTAGAAACTAATAAGAAATGTGATTCTGTAAAGAAAGAAAGAGTTTTAAGGGAGAAGAATGAAAATAAAGTTGTATCACGAGTAAAAGTTATCCAATAATTTTGGCGATTTTATTGAAGAGAGAGTCAGAGTTAGAGTTAATTGCGCGAGGGAGTTCCACTGGGGGTGCACGGTTGTATTGTTGGTAGTCGTTCCACTGGGGCTGGGGGCGTGCCTGGGGTGGATAATAGTAACCAGAGTGTTTTCCCTGCCCGTGGTAATCGTAGTAGATCGGGAGGACTGGAGACTGTACGACGGGTTGATCTCTGTTGTCATCGTAGGAAGTAATTTCCTCTGTCAGGGGGATTTTGACCTCTGGAAGAGGAATCGGTGGCGACGAGTCGGATGCGGTAGGGTCATCGCCTTAAAAGAGTCAAAATATTAGATAATTGAACTCAATTTATGGAATTTCTTATACAATTTCAGGAAATTTCAGGCATCATGAAAACATTTTCATGCAAAACTGGATAAACGACCGCCTATAAATGTAAGCTTTTCTATCACCCCGAAATAAAGCATTAATTGTCCAAATGTAAACTAAAACAATGCAAAAATAACAAAGAACTGGAAATTAAATATTAAATGAAAGTGAATGAAAAAGAGAAAGTTATTAGTATTATTATGCATTATTTATAAATAAATCGTGACAAACCACTTGTCAACGTATAAAAAAAAACATGACAATCCCACCACCCATCATGCCACCCTTGATAACATAAATTGCTTATCAAAACATCACCATCATCATAATTAAAGACTAGTGAAAGTTGGAGAAAGTTCCAGCCAGGCGAAAGACGACTAAACCCTGCCCTCATTTAAAACCGGTCGAGCGGACGTGAAGACAAGCAGAAATCGAGTCGAGTGCAACAAGTTGGCAAGGCAGCGAAGAAACCAAGTCACTCGTGGTCCAGGAGCCGAAGGAATAACAGCGTCGTTTTTTTGCCTCGTCATCCTCTCGTCAAATTTGATTCCTTACCTTCTCGACAACACTGCGCCAATCCCCCCGGACACGGCTGCCCCTCTTCCAACCTCCAGTCCATCAGATCTCCCCTGCCACATTGTGTTCTCGGTAAGCAAACGCAGGTTTTTTGTCCATTTTTTTCTTCCTCTTCTTCTTCGTCGTGTCGACGAGAGGAGACGTCTTGCGCCGTGAAAGTTTCTTTTGCACCCACTTCCGGCTCGCAGCACCTGGTCGTATTGAAGGGGCAGTTGGTCACCTGGTAGCGAAGGTCTAGATATTTTTGAGGGCATGAATCAAAATGTTTGCACCGGCATTGCATATTTGGTCGGAGGGTGCTGGAGCTGGAGCTGAATTCTTCCAAAGAATCGAAGGGTAGTAAGGGTTCGGTTTGAAGGATGGGGACTATGCGATGGTTGGGGGGCGTGTCAGTCTTATCAATGGGGACATAATCCGGGTCAGAGTCATCTAGGGATAATAAATCGTCATCGTTTTCTTCCTCATCGTCTCTATTGTTCATGGGGGAGGTGGGGTCGAGAAGTTGGTCGGAATAGGAGGTAATGACCGAGTGAAAACTTCGGCTATTTTCTTCCCCAGCATCACTAGAGTTTGGTAGCAAGGATGAGGAGAAGGCCGGCTCCTGTCTCCCGGAGCAACAGTAGAGTTCATTGGGTTGGCATGGTATTTCCTGAGTGAGAAAAGTGGTGGCATTTCATTATTTATTACTAGTGACCACCACCTCCGCCATTGCATGACTTGCATAAAATTTCTAAAAAAATTGTCACTTACCAACACGGTAGATTTGGCGATTCCGATACCACACTCACTCTTGTCATCGCGACAAGTGCATGTGCTCAGCTCTATTTCAAGCAGGAAGTTGGGTTGTTGTGGGTGCAACCTGGCTTCCGCAGGGGAGGAGTCGTTTTCAAAGACTTCAAGGATTTCAAATCTAACATGAAAAATCATGATGATTTTTACTGGTACAATATTTAAGAAAAATCATGAGTTATGTATTTCTTACCCATGACTATGCACAGCATTGTACGATGAGAAGAGTAAAACTAGAACGAGAATTAGTAAATTTCTAACAATTTGAGTAAATACTACAGATATCATTTTGTAAGTAAAATAAATAGCTCCTAAAAACTGGACTGTCTCGTATTAAATGCAAATCACAACTACTTCATATTCTTCCCGAACCTTCAAAACATCAAGACATGTATACTAATTTTAGACTGGAATATTGGGTCGTTGGTTTTTTAATGTCGCATACATAATGGAACACCTGCAACATTACAAGTTTACAAAGGAAAAAGACTTTATTTTTTCCACTTTGGTTTCCCCGAATGAATGCATTGTGCTTAAAAGGGTTGGAAATTTTTCGAGGTGCAATGAACTAATTGCTGCATGTTTGTTGCGGTGACGGATTAAAAAAGAGAGCAAAGTCGATCCTCACTTGTCGGATTGACTTTGGATAAAAAGGGTTTTATTTTATGTACAAATCAGGTGTCAAATTGTGGCACTTAATTCACACATGTCGGTGAACATAGGCATATGTAGCATATCGTTATAGTTTTAGTACTGAACACTGGCGAACACTTTGCATTTCTGCAGCTAACCATAAATGTTCAAACTTACTCGATATTTGTTCCATAGTGTCCACTGTCGCATAATATGTTTACGAAGTCGTGAATGCATTACTTAATTGCAGAGTTGATCTCTTGTTCGAAATGGCGAGGAGAGGAAAGAAGACTGCGGCGCAGAAAAGGGCCGAGCAGGCCACCCGTCGTCGTCGGGAGTCACTGTTGAACCAAGCTGAGAAAGCTGACGACTCGGGGGAAGAAAAGGCTCCCCCTCTTCGCCCGGTGCTGCTGAACGGACGTAAGGGTCCCGGTCAACCCCGGAACGTGCGAAAGGGACGAAAAGGCTCGATTTCGAAGACGGATCCAAGTTGGGCGTGGCGTACTGTCTTCACATGGGTAGTCTTTGCCAGTCTGGGAATGTGGCTCTATTCGTTGGAAATGAAAGACCTGCATGATACGGTGATCTCTGTTGCTGATAAGTTGCCTCTATCTGTGAAAAATTGGTTGGAGTCCTTCCATGCTCCTGCCCCGAAAGACCAGGAAAATCAGGATGAGTCGATCAGCATTCCCCATGACTGGCACCTTGGACCTGACCTCACAAAGAAGTTGTACTCTCTCGACGAAATTAAGTATAAGCAGGATGGTCCATTGCTCCTGGTTCTAATTGGGCATGTTTTTGATGTGACTGGTGCTGATTATTATCAGCCAGGAAGTGGATATCACGCATTCATAGGTAAATAATTAATATTGAAATGAAAATAAATGGACAATAGTTTATGTAGGAAATTTTACATTTTCCTTATCTTATAGGGCAAGACGCATCCCGATCCTACGTGACTGGCAACTTCACCGCCGAGGGTGTAACGGATGATGTGGAGGGTCTCCAGGCTACCGACTATATCGGACTCGAAAGTTGGTTAAAATTTTACCTGGAACATGGATCTTACAAATTTGTTGGTATGTATGTAATTTAGAGTTCCGAGTATAGTGTAAATTAGAAAAATTATAAAAACATGCACTTATTTATTTAGGTTACCTTGATGGAAAGTACTTTGACTCTAACGGTCACGAAACTGCGGCTATGAAGAAGTTTAGGTCTTTGCTTTCTTGGGCCAAGGAAGAAATTGAAAAAGAGGGCGATTTGCTGCAATTATTTCCTTCATGCAATGTTGATTGGAAGGCCGAGACAGGGTCAACCCTCTGGTGCAGTGCAAAAAGGTACAAATTTCATCCTGTTCATGTCGTAAATCAAAATATTCCAAAATTGTTATTATTTCTTAGTGGCGGAGTCGACAGGGATTGGGTTGGCTTCCCCCGAAAATTCTTCGAGAAACCGGACAAGTCCCCGAGATGTGCCTGTGTCCATCCAAATTACTTGGCTGACCCTCGCGTCAAGGAATACCTATCGTGTCCATCCACTTCATTGTCATGCAAACTGCTTGAAACTGACAAGTAGCTCACTATTAGTCTTATATAAAAAAGTCAATATTACAAATTACATACAGTACTTGCCATTGCGTACTTAAACTAAAAACTTACACACCGTGATAATAAGCATATTAAACTAAAAATGAAACCTAGCTTTTAGATAAGTCAACCGTTAAATTGAAATTTTACCATTTTCCACTTCCTGTATCTGATTAACTTTAAAATTTTTAGTCATGTCATGTTTGTCTACCAAAATAAACCACTGCAGTATAAAGTTTTAATATTTATTAAATATCTCCATATGCCTACAGCAAGTATATGGGTTTTAATGTAAACCAGATTTGGTAACAATGTTATTAAATATGAAATATTTTGTTATATCTGAAAAAAATATGGAGATGTCTTTAGTTTAAATTATTTATTACTTCAAGGCAATCACGAAAAATGATGACCTAACATACAACAAAATGCAGTAATACACAAACCGAAGATTACATACATACATACTCAATTACATTCAAAAGTACAAATATCATCATAATTATAACACACTCCTCCATCCAATACTTATCAAATATCCTCCCCCCCCCTTAAATTAGACATACATACATACAGGCGACAATATTCTGGTTTCTGGAAGTTAAAATCCTTCTATTCCCCTCACAAAAATTTAGACAATTTGATTTGTTTTTTTTTGCAAATGTTCAGTTCATTGAAAATTAATTATCATAATCAGATTTGATAAATACGTGTACGAGCTAGTATTTTACTTTAATTTGGTTTGATTTGAGGCATTAGAAGACAAGTAATAACACATTTCTTCTTCTTCTGGAGATGGACTGGACTACACGACTCGTCGGACTTCAAAGAACCTTTTGAGATAGTAAACCTGACCGACAGTCATTGCTACGAGGACGATGGCTTCAAAAAATGACCACATGACGACACGAGAGTTTGTAGACTCGTTAATTTTTCGATGAATCTTGTCTCTCACTTCCATATATTCCTGTTCATGCTTCACTCCCACCAACGCGGTAGACAATTCCTTGATCATTTCACCCAATTTGTTGGGATGAGCTTGAAAACGACAAGATATAAATTTAGACTTAATCATTCATTTCATACTAAGAATTAGTAACTTCTTAATTATAGTGCTACCTTCCCCGTCAGCACCGCCCGCAGCAGCTGCCTGAGCTTCTGCAATGTCCATGGAGAACATGACACCTTTCGGAGTCATGGTGGACATTTTGTTACTAAAACAGTACGTGTAAGCTCCCATCTTGGCCGCGGCGAAGGTGATTTTCCCATTGCTTTCCCTTTCTCTCGAGATAATCTCTTCATGGTCGGGACCCGTGACGCGCACGTCAATGTCGAGAAAGCCGCCCTCAATCACTTCAAATGTCAACCCTGCCAAAGAAAAAAATCAATCATTCTCAGTCCCTGACATTTCACATTTATTGAAATAGTTATTTCCACCACTTACCCAGTTTCGTCCCATTTTGCACCTTGTCGAAAAAGCACTCTTCCGCGTGAGCATCTACCGTGATGAAGTATGGAAGCGTCGAGTGGAGCAAGGAGAGCAAGACTAGGACTCCTAATTCGACAAAGAAGCCCTTCATCCTTAAAAAATTGCCTACAACCTGCAGCCGGAAAGGTGAAGGTCAGAAAGAGCGAGATTTATTACTGGGCGGTAATAATCTCCCTATTTTTAAAAGGTGACGATAAGATAACTGGTGGATATCAGCAACGAATAATTGGTTGAGAGTCCGGGTGAGAAAAATTGCAAACTGTCTATGCTGCGGTAATGGAGCAGATTGTTGGCAAAGTCGAGTTTGGATCAAGCGCCGGGTTGACGTGTACAAAGTTGGGAGAAGATCAGACTTTCAGAAACCTCGACCTGCCCCCTCACTCTGCACAAAATCAAGTTTTTGTGCATTTCTTTTGTCCCATTTTAAATGGTCATTTATGCAAATTTTAAAGATTAGCTAAATGGTGACACTTTTTACCCTTTTGAGTCTATGTAACAATCTTAATTATAATTTATGCGTGCATGTATGATTCAAAGTTAATGAAATCGATGAAATGAAGAATTATCTTTAAACATTTTTCGCATTTTTGTAACAACATTTTTACATACTTTACACAAACAATTAGTTAATCTGCACTTTAATTAATAAATGGTTTACCACAATTTCATCATGCAATTTTCATGTATCAAATAAATCAGAAAAGCAAGCAGTAGCATACGCATAAAGTTAAACCAGCAAAATATTGCCAAAATTCTCTTCCACATTTATCCCACTCTGAATTTTCATTATTTAACTAAATCTCATCTCATCCAAAAAAGAGGCCTTTTTAACAAACTTGTCATTTTCAACGACAACATCTTATCCGTGGCGAAATTGGCGGCTCTTGGTGGTTGGTATCCAATTGGGGCGTGTGTTCTCGTCGTCGTTGTCGTCGTGGTGGTGGTGGGTACGTGGTGGGTAGGATTTTGCATTCTTTTCTACTCCAAATTGCGTGCAACAGTCACATCGCAGCTGATGCCCTCAAAACAACTGCTACCAGCTAAAAACTGTCCTCATCATCACATCATTCTTCGCAATAATATATAATTTGCTGGCACGTTATCATCTATAACAAAGGAGAATAGACCTTCATTCACCCAGCGCGTATGTAATAATATCATCAACACCAACCAGCAGCCAGCCAAACCACCAAACAAAACTTACCACCACCACTTTAATTATTTACTTAATATTATACATTACTACTAATCCTAAGCTAGTTAGTAACCACCAAGCAGCATTACTTGGTCCAGGCAAAACTAAAAACTATCTTTGTTCCGATATTTAACCCTTAATTACTTGTGATCGACGTATTTTTTTAAGGAGAAAAGTTAACAAACTTTGTTGAAGATAACGAGGAATCATGGATAAGTAATGATATTATATAATAGGTTTAAAATTATGACGAAATTAATTAATTTTGCTATTTTTTTCTAGAAACGAGTCCAAGGGGGGTAAGAAGAGCGCCTCCCCCACTAAAAAGGGAGCAGCTCCCCAAGCCAAAAAAGGTCAGCCAAGCAGCCCATCTAAACAAAGTTCAGTAGATGGGGGTGAAAAGGGGACAGAAATTGGGGACGTTGTTCCCCCAGTAAAATCGTCGTCTTCAACTTCATCACCAACCACCACCACCCCCACAACTGTTACACCCACCACCACCACCGAGGAGAAGAAGGTCGAAGTTGCTGATGAAAATGCTGAGGATGCAGGTAATAAAACAATTAAGGCTATAAAATCGTCATAAAACGTCATCCGTCATCATCGCGATAAATAAACACATGTCATAAATGACGAGACGAACGTGCTTCGACAACATAACAAATAATTGAAATAATAATAACTAATAGTTGCTGAGTTAGTAAACTTTGGGCTGTTGGACTACATGACATGTGACGACATAGTATGATTTTTTAGCGTCATTAAGTAAACAACAGATTATTGGATATACATAGAATATTATGTAGTATTATGTATATCTCAACTTTATGTTTTATGTTTTATTCTAAAGTGCTAAGTACTAAACGAAATTTAATTGTGAATTAAACAATAATATTTATTTTTGATGCAGGTGCCACGGGTGAAAGTTGGTCTGGATGGTTTAGCAGCACGATTAATTCTGCAAAGGAAAAATCGAATGAAATGTAATCCGTTTAGATAGTTTACCGTTTTGTAAAATTTGCCAAATTATTATAACTTACTAATATGTATCTATTATATGTGACAGGCTGCAATATTTGAAACAAGACCTGTCCGAGTTTACTGAAACGGTATCCGAGGCTGGAAGAGATCTGAAGGACAAGTTGAAAATTGAGGAGAATGCGATGCAGGCTGTGAATGTGGTCGGAGAAAAATTCAACGTCGCTCTGGAACAAATGTCAACAATTTTTGGAGTTGGACCAGACGATGAAGGTACGATTTTTAAGAATTACCTGTTTAGTAATGATTGAATACAAATTCTTAATTATACTTTAATATTACTCAATCTTTAATACTCATACCTTAATCTCAATCAAGTGTAATAGCAACGTAGTACTGTATCAAGTTCTGATTTTTGCTGTTGTTGTCGTTTAGATGAAGAAGTAATTGTTGGTGGAAATCCAGGACGCGTCGTGGTTGATCGGGTACAGGTTAGTCTAAACAATAGCGTATGAAACTTTGTCCTTCGACCTGTTAACTGAGAAAATATTATGCGCTTACCAGGCAAAAATATATTCCTTGGCTTTGGACGATGCCGTATTTTTGAACGATCCTGAAGACATGGACGCCTATGAAAAATGGCTAGCTCATTTCGATCTGGAAGTAAAGAATGACGAGATTGCGGAACTCCTCACTACCAACCCCCACCTTCAACTCCACTACTCTCAGCTCGTCCCGGACAAAGTGTCACACCTCGTGTTCTGGCATAGGTTCTACTATCGCGTTCAGCTCATCTTTGACGAGGAGACGAAACACAAGGAAGCCGCAGAAATGGAGAAGGAACGAAACAAAAGTCCACAACAAAGTTCGGAGCAGCAAAATAAAACGTCTGGAAATTCGTCTGGAAATGATTCCCCTGTTGGTGATATGGGTCCTGGTAAGATTTTTTAACAAACAAATATATATCCATAGAATAAAACACTTAGGAAGTAAAGCCGATGTTGGAATTTGGAAAATTCCCGATTTAGAGAGGTGCACAAAATCTTAATTGCTTATTAACCGAAACTTTGGCAGATTTATTTGAACTTTACAAAATGTATGTAAAGATTGCCCTGAATTGACTATTTGATTATTGTTACCACATTTATCTTATTTTTATGAAAACCTTATCTTTGTTCAGGTGGTGATCAAAGTATGGTAGAAATATCCGAAGAAGACCAAAAACGATTGCTGGCCGAGTACGAGGAAGAATTAAATAAGGGAGATGAATCAGGAAAACATTCTCGACGATCTAGCGGAACCCAAATGTCATCCTCGTCATCTGGCAGCTTTGCATTTGTAACGGTGAGTAATAATTAAAAGAAAGCTTTTCATTTAAAACTCTTGATTGATTGATTCCGTACTAAAATTGTACAATTCTACTTTTTGTAGAGAGATCCGGATACTAACGAACTTAAAGTGGATTAGAAACGTCAAATCAAAATTATTCTAAAATCTAAGCTAAGGAAACTCTTCTTCATCTCCGTTAAAATCAAAAGTGATCGTTCAAAATTAAAAGTACATAAATATCTAATTGGATTGTAATTATATATTTAGCGTAATTTGTATTAATTAGTCAAATTACTATCACTAACTACAAAATTCCGGTGACTTCGTCCTCCTCCTCCTCCTCCTCAAGAAATTCACGGATCCTTTCTTATTTTATATATTCGAAATCGAAAACACGTCATCCGACCATATAATTTTTTGTTTCGTTTCGCAAATAAATTTATGTAAATCATCGTAATCAAATCAAAGTCTCCACTCTGTACCAATCATAATTTTGTTTCGTGTTTCGTTTAATTTTTCATTATATTATTGATATAATCCTAATTACTAGAATTACGTGGTGTGTAGAACTTCTTTTGTATTTTTAGTTACAAACAGAGTGCCTTCAACCGGAACCGTTGAATAATTTTATACATTCTAAGTCAAAAAAAGAGTAAGGATAATGAAATTAAGCCGTTTTTTTCGTGAATAAATATATCTTGGTAAATAAATACATACATAAATCTGTTATGGCGTCATATCGATGATGTCGCCACACCACACCGTACATAATTTTTTTTGGATGCGATTCTTCAACCGAACAGCGATTTCTTGGGTGACGACGATACGATACGAAACCTGTAACGTAATAAACTTGGGGTCGCAATTCATCATAAGGTTCGCTGGGTCGCATTGTTCCTAGAAAAAGTAGCTCACACGTTCGAAGGAAAGCGTTGTGTTTGAAATTATTGCACTGCTCTAGAGGTTAGGTTATTGCTTACGTTTTCAGTTTGGCTTTGGTTGGTGAATCCCAAAAGCAAGTGTGTGTTCATCCTCCTCTCGTAAATACGAATTCGTGGTGGTGATGATGAATATGATGATGGTGTGGGATGACTGGTTTCTTTCCTGTTTTCATCAGTGCTTTGTTGGCGTCTCTGCAGCGTGGTGTGTGCGTGGAATGGAATGAAATAAAATCCCAAGTTTTTTTAACGCTTTGTTGTTCCCAGGCTGAATACAAGTGATTATTCATACCTTCGCTGGTCGCGTGTTTGTTAAGTGGAAGAGTTTTGTGTAAAATAGGTAAAATTATGGGGGTTGCTGGTAGATCGTTCTTGCCGGATGTGAGGATTTTTGGTGAATTTGTGTTTTGAAAAAGTGAAAAAAAATCGGACGTGGTTTGTTTTTTGGGGGAGGAGGAGGCGGTGGGTTTGTTGGAGAAAGTGAAATTGGGGAATTCTTTTGAAATCGGAAATGAAGAAACATAATCGTGCCTCGATCGGATGGCTGGGTCATGCGTTGACTGCACTCGCGGTTTTCATTTTCGTTAGTGCTTTTCCTCCTTTGAAATTAGAGTAATTTTTTGAATAAGTATATGCATAAAGGGTAAAGCTGGATTGTGTAGGGTTTTGTATGCAAAATAAATTTAAGTGAAGCGTTGTAATGAAAGGGAATTAAATATTGAGGCAGGTGATTCACGCTGTAACATTGTGAAATTCGTAAATTCTGTAAACTTTCAAACTCTTAACAATTTTACAAATATTTCTGAGGAAAATTATCTTACACATTTTTGTAAACTTAGTCAAATTTCTTTTTATTTTGTAAAATTAATTTACAAAACGCACACGGAGTTTACAAGCTACCAATGACTGCGTGAATTGCTGGTTTTCTGTAAGACACGAATATTTGGTTTACTTTTATTTACATATTACGGGAAGGAATTAAGTTTTAAAGAATAAAAAACTATGGGAAAATGTGCCTCATAATTTGAACTTTCTGTAAAAATTATAGAAATGAAAGCTACATTTTTTGTGTTACATACTTGCTGTGCTGCATGACTTAAAAAGTCCAGCATGGTCCAGTGACCTGGCACGATTTTACCCGTGATAAGCGTAAACTTGAATGAAATGCAATGCAATGAATCCCTGTAACTCAACCAGGAAGCTAATTAAGGTCAAAATGCATACACACCTGGACCGGACCGGAAGTTCATTGCCCACCAGTTGTCATAATGATCATACAGCAAAAATGAGATGCAATTCAAGTCTCAATATCAATTTGATATTAAAATTAACCTATTTATAATAATAATAATCAATCTCACGATTCCAATTACCTTAATTACAATTAAATCTTAACTTGCCTCCACAGATTGCAGGCTGCATCATAATCGGATTCATCGCCTGGGTGCTTTCAACATCCGTCTCGATACAGAAATTTCAGTCCGGAACTCTGGTAAGGATTTTACTTTCGTTGAGCTAATAATAAACTGTTCGACAACAATGCCTACGCCACGAGGGAGACGAAGATAATTACAACTTCCCATGAAACAATGGGAGCCGGTCGTACATACTGACTGAGCATGCATACATAAGTAATCGTCCTGTTGACAATAACCAACGACATCCACGACAAAACCAGTGAAAGAGAAAGTGTGCCTCAATTTCATGTACTTAGTTTTAGCTCGGATTAGAAAAAATAGTAATTTCTGTTTCAAAGTAAAGCTTAGTTTTCCAAGTTAAGTTGTGACTCTTCAAAGTCCAATGCATGCTTTGGCGTTGCACAGGTCGTGAGAAACCGGATGTCAATATACACCCTGCCAGTTTGCCGTTGTGGGTGAATTAGACTGAAGTTATTAGTGAATGGTTTATCAAGGGGTGTAAACCTCTTTATGGGAATGTTTGTCCGTCTCTCTGTATACGCACGATAACTTTAGAACGGATGCAAATTGTTCGAGATGAGGTTTTCACCCAACGTGTTTCTAATTTTTGGAGAAGAGTTAAGTTCGAAGGTGGGCGTTGTAGGGCATAAAGTCACGGCGACGGGGTCAAGGGTCAAAGATGTCGATTTTTTGTTTCGATCGTTTAGTACGCATAAACGACGTAACGCATGTCTCATGTGTTTTCACCCCTTTGCTATATTTCGTTCCCAACGGTTTATTAAGCTTGCATTTGAAGTCGTATGTACATACGTGCTTAATTTGGGACAGAGTATAATAAATTTAATTAGTAGGGATGAGAAATTGCTGCAGAGTAAGACACCACCCACCTGTCCTGCCCATTTGTCATTAATAACTTATAAGTTCACATAATTAATTAACCACTTGTCAGTTTTATTTGTTGACTTACTTTTTACTTTTTAACATACATGTGTATAGCTTTGCTAATAATAATTGCCAATTGCGAATCGAGTCCCAACAGAAACAATACAATCTTAACGACTAATTCAGTCAGTCAGTATTTTAATGAGTAAATATGAAAATTGAAAATTGCAAATTGTCCGAGATCCATACATACAAATCACACAGACCTCAAGTCTCACGTGTTGTACCCAATTTTCAAGGTAGTCGTTCCTTCCTAATACCTACGTCATATTAACAAATAATTACTAACTAATTACGGATCCAAATAAGCCAGAACTCAGACCTCATTTTCATTTTAGTGCTCATACCCCATAAATAAAATAGAGTGCAGGAAAGCACCATAAATAAATAAATAAATAACCAGACCAAGAATTGCCATCATGCTTTATGAACTCAAACATAAATAGGAGGTTGGTTGGTCGGTAAAGAAGAAATTAAAAACTTTTAACGTGCTGTACCCAAATTCTTCTCTGACTCTGAATGACAGCACATACGCCACGCCACACACACACCTGTCTCACTTCGTTCCAAAAAACAATCCTTTGCTCATCTGCCGATCAGAGGAATTCAGTCTCATTCTCATTCTCACTTTACTTCATTTTCTGCTTCTTGAACCATTCAGTCGTCGGTTTTTTAGTGAGAAAATCTACCAAAAAGAGGAATAAGCTACATAAAATTGCATGAAATACTTATTTCGTTTTGAAATAAAATAAAATCGTATTATTTTCAGATCAATGTGTCTAGGAATTTGGGTATACGAATGAAAAACCAAATTCGAAAAGTGTGTGTGGTGCATTGTACGTTTTCTTGGTCAGTCAGGGATATGATGCACTATTTAATTGTGTAGAGTCTCAATTTGGGCTTGAGTATTTAGTTATTTATTTATTATTGTTTATTTGGTTGGATGGTGCCGATCTTATCTTGGAAAGTAAGATAACGTAGAAAAGGGAATACATACATAAAGGAATACGTATTTCTTTCTAATCTACTTGTTCCACAAGACTCATTATATTATTTTTTGTTTTTGTTCTCTTTTACGGCTTGAAAATCTAAATAAATATGAAAGTAATGGTTTAGTTTGGTTTAGGTAATAGTAAAATGCGAAATTATTTAAAAGCTGTTGCTTTAATTGTGTTTTGTTGTACGAATTGTTTACCGTTTTATCGAAATGATCCATTTGTAGAATTGAATTGATGACGATGTGACTTTTGTGCCGAAAGGTTCGAAAGAAAAAAATATTGTTAAAAATGATGACATTTGAAAATTTGTTGATTTATTTTTTTACAGATTTTGACCTACATCGTGATCGGGATTGGATTCTCACTCTTCTTCACTGGACTGATCGGCTGGGTTGCGGGGGCGAGTGAGACGGCGTGCATTATCAGATTGGTAATTATCACTAATTAATTAATTAATTATTTAATTACTTGTTTTTTTGTACTGATTGGGGACATGTGTTTCCAGTTTATCGTGATGGTCCTCGTCACAGTGACGTCCGGAATTGGGGGAGTCCTAGCCCTGCAAATAACTCGGATTGAGGTAACATGAGAATTTATATTCAACATTTTCTCAAGCTGTCCACTTATTGAATCGGAATTGATTGATTGGCACAAGTAGGAAAAAAATAAGAGTGCGATTTTAACGGAAGTCATTTGTTCAATGGAGCAAAAATGTTAAAAGCGTGTCTCAACAGACAGTCAGCCAGTCAATTGCATCGTCATTCCCAATTAGAAATCCAATTCGTACATATTTAACTACATACTTCCACTCAACCGAAACTTTTCCCCTGAGTGGGAATAAAGTGCGAAAATCAATCAATAATAATTCACCAGGATTAAAATGGATGACGAAAATTGCAAAATTTTAAATAATTCCAATAGTTTCACATTTTTTGTGATAATTTAACTTATAATTTCCCAATAACTCAAAGCCGTTTTTTTTTGGTGGGACAATTTTACCAACCAGATGAGACCACCACGTGGATGTAGGATTCTTTATTATTATTATGCGCATTGAATCACCATTCGTACTTATTCTTGAATTTGAATAATTGCTACATCTTCTCCCCTCTGCCTTGTCTCAAGAGTTGCACACATAGTTAACTAACTAGTGAATGGGCAAGAGAGAGACATACATAGTTATTCTTGAGCTCTGGTTAGTTAAAGTCGTTGGTGGTATCGCAGTATTGTTGGTAGTGTAGCTAAACAATTGGATTGGATGACTTCCTACGACTCATGGTTGACTTATTCAGTTTGACAAATGTGACGAAAGATTTTCCTACCTAATCCAAAAATTACGCTACTCGAGGCACGAAAATAAGTCAAATCTAATCTTACCTATTTGGTAACAGAAGAATCGTTTCAACATGCCAGCAAAACTGCAACATTTTAATCAATCCGTTCCCCTCAGACCTCTTTTGTCATTAGATAACTGCAGCTAAACTTTCCCTCGGAGTCGTAAGGATAGTACCGATATTTAAAAAAATTGTGACATAAAATAGTGCAGGATTGATAAGTAAATATAAATTCAGAGGAAATGTCGTCATAATTTTGATCAACGTTTCTGCAGAAATTTATTTACCTTTATAAAAATGAACAGAAAATTTGGATGACACGCGCTACCGTATAGAAAATGTGCGTTCAGCCTACAAATTAGGTAAACGAATGTCATCCCGTCGCAAAGTTGACCATGCCAATAATTTCCTTGTCTCCTCTAATTCAATCCGTTTCGGCATGATTTTTTACAACTACCATTCGTATCCTGAACTTGAGGACAGTTTTACGATTTACGCACCGAATTAATTCGATCGACGTGTCGACCAACTGATGACACACGCGACGACGACGACGAGATGACGATACGGGTCAAAGTGTCACTTTAATGCTACAGATAGAAATTATTTGCACTTAACTTACTTACACACAGATAAATACGCACGTACATTATTCGAGAACAAAACTTACACATGAATACTCTTTTGAATTATTTAGACGGAAGATATTCTACGCTTCGGATGGATGGAGGTTAATCAAAACTCACGCAATTTCATCCAGTCATCAGTAAGAGATTTTCCTCTCCCTACATACATTTTTTTACGCCTTCAATTGTACATACATACGTTTCCATTTTGTTTTCAAAAGCTTCTTTTTTCAATTCATTCCGTCAGTCATTTTCATTTCGACAGAGAAGAACAAGAAACAAAGGGGCGACGTAAAGAATCGTGAAATCCTTAATTCTCTTACGTCGCCAGGTCTGTCTTATCTTATCCTCGCTGTTGCTTGTGCTGATAACGCTTTCACAACAATTTTCTTTCCCTTTGTCATCCCGTTGGCATTGTTTCTATTGCGTGATGTTTGTCTGAGGATGCACAATTTGCATGGATGATGATGACGTCTCCATTTCTGTTGAAAAAAAGTCTATTAATTAATTCAATTCATTTGCTCCTTTTCAAGATGTAACTTAACCTCGCCTAATTGTTGATTAATTTAAAAAGAGCGCACAACAATTGTTAAGTGTCAATTTCTCCTCGTAAAGGTCATGATGATGAGGATGGGACGTAAATATTTAACTAACTAACTTCACACCAGCGACGGACCGGAATGTACATAGAAGACAAATACTTACGTGAATTTGACCAATGTACAGCTTAATTTTCTAGTTACGATTTTTTGTAATTTATTTGGCTAACAGCGAGTACTTATGATTGAAGTCTTCCAGCGTATGCTTTCATATTTTGACCAAAACCTAGTGTCATTTGATCACAGATTAATTAATATGAAATTTGCAAAAAGCACGATCTCCCAAGTAGGAAGATGAGGAGGTTTGGCAGAGATATTTGCATCCAAAGAGGAGAAAATGGGTCCTGAAGTTGATAAATTTTACACGTTCCAAATTTACTGCACGTCTTGGTCTTCGGATGCAAATATCTTTGCCTAACCTGAGCGTTGGCATATTTTAGAAATTTCAATGAGTGAAATTAGTAAAATTTGTGATAGATTGACACCAGTTTAATCAAAATCTGACGCTGTGGGACCTCCATTGTAAGTAATACATAAAAATGGGAAAGGTTGCACTGTTGAATTTCTAAAACAAAATCCAACACGGGTGGCGCACGCTTTTTAATAAATAAATGTAACACAAGCTACACAAAAATCAGGAAGGAATAGAAATGAAGTTTTTTTATGGAATTTCATTCGATTCTCGCACATAAAACATAGCGACCTGTCAAGTTTTAAATAGGAAAGCCAGATTTCTACGAGTCGTATTCTACTCTTTCTCTTAATCTTCTATTGTAGAACAGAAGGTTCAGCAGAGTGCATTTCACACACGTTGAGAAGAATGTTACAGAAAACGGAATCAAAGTTGTTGTAAAGTAACGCGATTAAAAATTTAAGTTTTTTGGGCTGGGTTCTTAAAGTTCTTGGCTTGCGTGACATTTTGTTTCAGTGACATTTAGTCGTATGAAAGTGCGATATTTTGCTAGATGTTGCAAATTTATAAAATAGCAATTTGTACGTCACTTGCTGCTTCATTTCTTTTTATTTAGTGTGCGAAAACTTGAGATATTTTTTTCACCATTGTGCATAGTTTGTGCTCCCGTTTTTATCTGAATTGCGAAAAATCTTGATGCTTTTTTACACCTTTTTAAAATTATGAATTCATTTCTTCTCATTCTGCAATCTGGGTTGGGACGAAGGTGTGATTATTATATACTATTGTGAATAAAATGATAAGTATTTTACCCGAATGATGACAGGATATAATTCAAATGGGAAGAGTAACTCGAATTTTATTAACTTTTCAGCTAAATTGCTGTGGTTTGAAGGGACCACGGGAATTTGCGGATAATAATTATCTCATGGATTCTACCTGTTATGAAATCACGCATGGGGAAAAGAGGTTGAAACAGGTAATTATTTCAATTAATTTTCATTTCGTATAAGTTTGATGACATCTTGAGACCCGTGAATTTCGAGACAATAAATCATCATCAGAGGATGGATATGTGCTTATTTTCAATTCTTGTCATTTGATAACGACCGATATTCAAACTTTGTTAGTGTGTTGTCTAACTCTTATACATGGATCACTAAAATTTTAAAATATTTTAAAATATTGTTACATATTTCTAGGTTTTTTTAGAAATATTTCCACTATTATTTAAAAAATGTAAATCTTTTTTTTTACATATTTTTCAAGAAAATGTATATTTTGTAAATATTTCAAGAGAAATTTTTTGCTCGAAGAAACTTGATCACAAAAAATCCAGAGCATTAAATTTAAAAATACAAATTCTTATTATGATGTTTTTTTTCTATACATACAGATTTCGTAAATATTTTGGCATTTTTTTCGCCGGGATTAAATACATATTTCAGAGATTTTTTCTAAATACATATCCGGTCATCATTAACGCTTACCTGCTGTACTTAAACTGATCCTGAGAAAGTTGTTTACAGTCCTTAAAAACTCGCAATATCTCACAATTTGTTAACTTTTAGTTTCGACTTAACGAAAAAAGTGAATGTGTAGATTTGACAGCAGGATTTGGATTTAATCGCATTTTCTATATCTTTAAAAATCCGTTTTACTGTTTGTCAAGTCTGTGACAATGACATTAAAGGCAGGAAAGGAATGTGTTAATGGATGAATATGAGAAACCAATTCCTTAAACGTTGTCCTTTTTATCCTTATCTTTCTGCGGTCATGAAACGATCCCATAAAGTGAAGACGATACCTGTAAACATTCAGATTCGCAAAAAGCTTTGGTATATCTACGTTCCACTTCATTTCCTTTTCGCAATTAGTTCACTCATTTCTGGCTGATTTTATCTTGCTCGACTGAAAGAAATGAAACTGAAAACTAGGCTGAGTGATGGATGATGATGGGTAACAAAAGTCATAATATTTCGCAGACAGGGTAACTACTTGACTTATGTACGACCAGACGTATTGCATTGTTTGTGAGGTACAACAACGTAATTATGCGCCTGTCTGCCACCGCAAATAAATGAGGAATAAATGGCCACCAGCAAATCATAACGTGACGAGGATAACAACAATATCATCATCACACCGCAGCAAATGATGGGAACAGAACATGACAATTTCTATTTCAACTCCACGTCCACCTTATCCATCTTATACTTGATAAGAAACAAGTATTAGAGGGAAGAGAGGGAAAATTGAGACATTTCTTTTGACATGACTCTTCGTAAATGATTGAAAAGCTTGCTCTGCCTGTTCCTTCTCATTTATGATGATAATGCCCAAATGTCCGATACAAATTTTCAATGGGGAGCTGCTCACAAATATACAAAACTTTAAAATTTTTAACAAATAAGGACGATTGTTTTAGAATCGTCGCAAAAATATCGAAATTTTGGAAAAACTGACAATGGAACCTTTTTTCAAGCTACACGAGATAAGCTTAGTGGTGTATACTAAAAAATCAAGTTAAAAATTAGAAATGACGTGGTACTTATCTTTCCGTTGAATGGACACTTGGAGGTCAAATATTTGAGGGCAAAGTTCACAGTAGCGGCTTGTTTTTGTCTCATGCGGGCGAGCGGAGGAGTGCAAATTTTCTCCTTCGAGGTCACTCCGCTGCCTTCACTCTCGCGTTCGCACTTTCATTCAATGCATATTATTTTTGATAAAATTTCACAATCTCGTTTTGAAGTAAGGGGCGCCTCTTCCCTTTGTTCAATTATTTCCCTGTCTTCGTTATCAATAAAATTTACATCATGAACTATACCACCTAATAAAAATAAGAGCAAATTCGTAATAATTAATATAAGGGCTAATAGCTATTCATTTACCACCGATGTTTTCATTTTCTTCAATAAGTATGTAATTGTAGGTTATCTCGTGCAGCTTTTCTAGTAAAACTTCGGCAATTAAGAAATGTTCTTCATCTGGGTCCAATTCATCATCCTCGAAACTAGATTGTATTATTTGGGTGAATGCTCTAGCGACGCACTTATATTTTATTGAACCAATCGTCGCTTTTTTATTACGGATCGGTGTATAGAAGGATCGATTTAAAAAGTAAATATAAAATTATGTTAATGTATTCAATTGACGAGATTGTGAAATTTTATCGAAAATAATATGCATTGAATGAAAGTGCGAACACGAGAGTGAAGGCAGCGGAGTGACCTCGAAGGGAAAATTTTCACTCCTCCGCTCGCCCGCTTGAGACAAAAACAGGCCGCTCCTGTGAACTTTGCCCTCAAATATTTGACCTCCAAGTGCCCATTCAACGGAAAGATAAGTACCACGTCATTTCTAATTTTTAGCTTGATTTTTTAGCATAAGTCACTAAGCTTATCTCGTGTAGCTTGAAAAAAGGTTCCATTGTGAGTATCTCTGCGTAGTGTAAGAATCATCCAAAAAATTACTCAAACCAAACGGCACGCGAACTCCGGATCGTGAAATTAAACGAAATGTTCTTGTAAATTAAAAAAAAATTTTAAATTTATACTGATTTTTTTTACAAATTTCAGGCGAGTTGTAGCCTGGAGTTGAGGCGTTGGTTGGAGAACAACAAGTCAATCTGGGTGTCGCTTATCGTCGCACTGCTCATCATCCAAGTCCTCTCCGTCATCACGGCAGCCCTCAGCCTCCATTTTTTAGCCAAAAGAAACAAAAATCGTCGCAACGAAAGTCGTACCAGCTCCAATCGCCAACTTTACGATGATTCCGACAACAGTGAAAACTTTAGGGATTCACTCTAACGTCAAAATTATCAACGCGTGGTACGTCGTCGGGACGATTTTTGTTGTGAACTCGACATGAAGAAAAAGCGAGATTCGAAATGATCAAATTTTTATTTTTTATAAACGATTCTTATCCGTGTAACTAATTGTAAGATTAAAAAAAAATTAAAACTGCAATTAACTTCGCATCAATGTAGTTCTAATTTCGTCATTTAAATGTAGCATACAAATAATAAAAACCGTCAACTTTATTAATTTTGATTTGAGTGGATTTAGTCGAATTCATTGAACAGAAATTACTTGTTGTAATCTGCATGATTTTGATTGGTTGGTTGATGACTGGTTTATCGTAATAATACAAAAATGGACGATAAAAACTGAATGTTTGTGATACAGTGATGTTTATTAACTTTGTATTTATGTGAACAAGCATGAAAACATGTTTTTGTGAAATTACGAATTTTGACGATTTCACATCATCACTGACACTAAAACTAGGTACCATTTTTTCGTACATTTGAAAATTTCAAATTAAAATATCATAAGAAACTAATGTTCATTACTAAAAACTAACAATCCAATCGTGCATTAACAAAACTCGGTAATGATTAAAGAGTAGTTAGGTGACCATGTCAAACTTAAATTATATAATTGTTTAAAAACATTCACACACAATTTTAAACAAAGTTGCAAATATTAGTCATTTAAGGTGCAGAAAAAATTTGTGAACTAAATTGTTGACAATGATTAATTAACTAGTTGCTAATAAACTAATAAGAGTCTATTGATTTACGACAAAGTCGAGTGTCAGCAAAGAGGTCAATAATGACAAATAATATCTAAACTTATGCATATTCGAATAAGTTGAGTAAGCGTTAATTGTTCGAGGATAGTTGGACATTTGGACATGGACAAAAATTAAGGTTGTGGCCATAGTTAGTTTTTCGTCTACAAATAGTAGAGCGATTCACGAAGACTTGTTCCAGGAGCGGCGCGGATACTGCTTCCGACCAGCGACGCCAACTTGTGGGCATACTGAAATTCAATTACAAAATCAATAATCTTCATTCGTCAATCATGAATATATTGAAGAGTAAAAACTAGAGTTACTTGTGTCATGGCTGGAACGCGGACTGTTCCTGGCCAGTTGTAGTACATGAACGAAGAGACGTATGCGAATTTTTGGATCAAATCGGGCTTAGTTTCACCCACGTCTTCGATCACGGTGTAGTGAGTTGGAGTCACGGTGCCCTATAATTTAAAAAAGTTAATTATTAGTTAATTACTTATATTTTTACTTAAACAAGTACAGCAGTTGAATGAAAATGAAATTAAATATGTTTATGTGCATACCTGTCGCACAAGTTGAGAAACGATATAAAAATCATACGAGTCGAATCTCGTCACGGTGTGGTCAATGACCGTTCCAGGATGCGGATTCTCCCAGTTTCGGCCCGTCTATCAAATTAATCCAAAAATATGCATGTAGCAATTCAACACACTTCAAAGATCAGGGAACATCTTACGATTTGGAAGAATCTTTGTGGAATTCGCTTCTGGACAACGACAAAGCTAAAGCTTGTGTTCGGAACACATTTTTCTTTGACGACGTCCAGGACTTGTTTCGACTCGTGTTGATTAAATGTCTTGGGATCCGCCAAGCCACCGTCGCGCCAAATGATTACTCTTACTGGATAACATCCTTGTTCCTAATGAAAAATTAATTACGTTAATTATGCATAATTTAACGAGAAATAGATTCATGTCACAATATTCATACCACGTTAAAGGCTTCCATAGCCTCTTCAAAAGCACTTCGTAAGTTGTCCGCAACCTCCTGATGCACTTTCAGCACGCGACAAATAGATACGTAACGAGTGCACTCGTTGTTGAGAGTAGCAACCAGCCCGAGAACGGAGGCGTCCTTCTTCAACGGATCGTGGGCCACGTCAATTCCGACGAACATCATCGGGTTTTTCTACAATTAGATAGCAACACATCTTGAAAACCTTTACAGAATGCCATTAACGGAGGTGTATAAAATTGTTTAACCGACGAGATTTACAAACTTAACAAAAAGGTCTCAACAATATAGAAATTGAACTTACAAACGGGAGGGAGAGTGACCACAAAGAGCCTCCGAGTTTGCAGTTGATCTGCAAGGCGATCTTCTGGACGACTGAGTTGAACTTTTTGTCGTTTGAGAGAGTCTTTGTGAGACAACACTGCGACGGGACCTCCAACTCACAGAGGGAAAGCTTTTTGATCATTCCATAGACATCCTCTCTTTGCTGAGGCATCAAGACGAAGAGGAAATGGTATTTCTAAAAGTTAAACAATTTTTCAATAATTACGGGTGAGACCGAGTTATTAAGTATTTGGCATTTTAGCTTACATCGCGCGTCAAGTTCGATTTGATAGCTTGACGAAAGTCGCTGATCTGATGTCCCTTCGTTGCAACGACCTCGGGAGCCGATGCGACCTGGATTCCCAACTGCATACATGCCTTCCGATATTGATCCACAAAGCGGCGCGCCTTGTCACTGTCGCGTTGAGTGCAAATTAGCAAGTATTTGTTCACATGCACCTGTCAATTCAAAATTTAGAAAGTTTAATTGATGTTAACGAAATAAATTATCAACATTATCTAACATCTTGATTATTGAGATCTTACTGGTTGCACAACACCGGACAGTGCATCACGGCTGAAGTCAGCTCCAGCAGCAGCGAGCTGCTTCTTGCCAAAATTGAGAGCTGGTCCAGCATGGATCCGCGCCTTCATCGTGAGTGGGATATTCTCCATCTCCAAATTCCACTTTGTAAGAATGGCCTTGGCTTCTGGGGTTCCTAAATACATCAGAACCACAAAATGGATAATCATTACTAAAGATTAACCAATGTAACTCATAATTCCTAGTTGGCAGAAAAACTTACCATTAACTTCCTTGATAAATTTCTCCAGGGCGATGCGTCGCTGGCCAGGGTTCAGTCGGGTGTGCTCCCCGAGGTCTTTCATAACGGTAAAGTTTGACCTTTGGTCTTCCGTCAAACCAGTGACGAAGCACAACTCTGGGACCAGAACGACCAACTTGTCCTCTTGGATAGCATCCCCTCGTCTCGGTTTAATCCGACTCACCAACATGGGCTGGTCTGGGTACTGGATTTGCAAACCGTGGTGCTCCTTGTAATACTCCGCGTAGGTAACCTATACACACATTTAATACAAAACATTGATTATTGATTAAAATTAACTTGCAGCACACATTGGTCTATGCTAAATTAACTAATCACCATTTGATCTTTCCTTAAGAACTGGTCTTTCGGAGATGCGTGCCACCAAATGTCGTCGATTTTATAAGAAGCATTATTAAATCGGGTGAGAACAATCTTTCCCACGGCAAATTCTGCAAACTTGGCCTTCCAGTCCGGACCAAGCGTTCTCATTGCACACCTAAAAAAAATTAACAATAAACAATTAACTTTACCTATGTTCACTTAGCCACTTTAAAATTCACTCACATCTGTTGATATATGGTTTCCTGCCGAAGGACACGATGGGATGCATCCAAACAGAGCATTAAACCGCCTTCTTGCTCATCCACGGCGATGCAATATCCTGGCCAAATATCTAATCTGTGATCAGAGCAAGAAAAAATATTAAAACTTTGAGCTTGAAGTTTTGACAAATAAGGGGAGCCTCACTTGTGTTGTGGGAGCGACTTGACGCCCTGGACATCGTAGTAGTTCCGACGCAGCATTACACGACCCAACGCCTTCATCACTCCTTTGAACATGATGTTGATGAACTGGATCATCGTGTAAGCCGGCCTCTCCTTCACGTAGACAGCAATTATGTTCAATTCGGTATCTGGACTGTTGGGATGAAACCCTTTCAGCTCGGTAACCTAAAAAAAACAAATCAACCAATAAATTTTAACCAGTTTTTATTATTCTAAGTTCTTGGTAATTGGTAATAAAATCAGTCAAGCAACTTACATGCTCATCGAACTTGACGGCGGTAAACAGCATCGTTCCGTCGAAGGTGTACGTCCTATCTCCCATCACAGCCCGCACCGATCGCTTCTTCATCGTAGTGCTGTCGAGGGGAGGATCAAAATCCACATGGTATTCGTGAATCGTGCAGTTGCCGATAAACCTTAGTCGAATGTAATTCGTAGCCACTGTGATTCTGCAAGCAAACAATTAATCAGGCAGTGTACTAATTTAACAAGATGGTTGAAATGAGCTTGATTCACTCACTCCTCGCCCTTCGCTCCTCTTCGAACCATTGGAGCTCGGTCACGTTGAGGCGCCAATGTTGGAGCTTCCTCTGTCCGAGCAGCGGCTGCCGGCTGTTGTCCCAATGAAGCCTTGGGAGCCTCGATTCCAACTTCTTCAGGAGCCATTTTGCCACGTCCGCGACCTGAACTTGATGTCACGACCGCCCCGCCACCACGCTTAGATTTCGAGACAGTCGGTGTAGTTTGGGAGTCCCCATGGCTGGAAACTATCGAATGACTGGACTCTGCCTCGTCACCAATCGGGTTGGCTTGTTCCTGTTCTTGTTGCCCTTCTTCAGGGGCTTCTTGTGCGACCACGACAACAGGTTTCAAGTCTTCAGGGGGAATTACAGCTTCGATTGGTTCTGATGATTCTTGAGGGAGAAGAACAACAGGTTCATCTTCAACCACAGCCGGTGGAGGAGGACGAGGAGGTCTGGCAGGTGCTGCAGGTGTGGGTGCTCTCATCCCGAAATGAAATGATGGTTTTGCCACACCGCTGGTCGGAGACACCGCCTTCTTGGTAGGTTCGCCCACATCCCCCAAGGGCTTCGACTTTGGAGCTGACCCGCGACCGAACGTTCCACGCCCTCGTCCTAAAAATAAATCATTTTTGCATTACTCAGCTTCAGCATGTTTATTTGACGCAATTAATCGAATCAATAAATCATTAATTAACAATTAATTTTTCACCAATGGATGGGCCCGTAACTTCTTCGTCATCACTCTCATCGTCTCCTCTGATTCCAACTGGACGGTCTTGTCGTTGAGGCATCGACGAGATCGAAACTTCCTCCAAGCCTCCAACCGCCTCGTCAATGTCCACTTCTTCTTCATATCTGGCTCGCAGCTCTGCCGCGCTCAGTTGTTCTGGCGGACTGGTCGTCACCGCTGGCGTTGATTCGAACTGGAACTCAACACTGAGCTCCTGCGGATCCTCCTCCTCATCAGGTGGATTATACTACAAAAAATGGAGCGGAAATAAAAATTCATCAAAATAAGTTCAAACAGGTAACGAACCGACCAAAACAAAAATAAAAACTTGCTAACTGTTAACTAACAAGTGTGCACCTATGATCACCTATGATAATTACTAAAGCTTAAACTTACACCTCGGCCACGACCCAGGCCTCTCCCCCGACCGAATCCCCCTCGGCCCGAATCCATAACTAATTGTTTCTACTGTGTGGTGAGCTAACTTCAAACTTTGACAAGGAATTAGAGCTTAGACAACAACAGATTATCAAAAAGTTCACTCTGAACTGAAAAACGAAATAAAATAATAATTTTTGGTGGGAGCAGAGAGCGAACACGTCTGACTAAGCCCGAGTTTAAGAAAGGAATGAGCCGTTAAAAGAAAGGAATGTTTGATGGTTCGGCCACAATGCGCACTCACTCAACTAAATGCGACGTAGTTATAAACTGGTGGTGGTGGCTGGTGGCTGCTTGATGATGATTAGTTTAGCAGTCAGTCTGTCTCATTTCATTAAGTATGCAAATTTGAGTCTGCTGGATCGCATTACACAAATGAGTGCAAATAATAAAATGCAAATGAGGACAAATTTATTTCGGGTTTTGTTAGAAATTATAAATTTTGAAAGACTATGAATTTAATTGCTTTGACCGACGAATAGGAAGTGACGATGGTTATCCAACATGTTTCTAAATATCTTTAAAATGAACATGTCAGGAGATAGATTTGAAATTCAAATTTTAAATCACATGTTGAGCGTGGGGTTTAATACAAATTAATTAAGGAACAATTAAGTATTACCAAAATAGTTAAAATTAGATATATCTAGCAATAAATAACGTATTCATGCATGTCCTTGGTTGTCCTGCATGAATGAATGGCAACATGGAAATTCAGGCGTTCTCTATGAATTTATTTCTGAGCGTCCAATTTTGCAACAAAGTTTCTCAAAGGTCGTTGACATGGGGACGAAAAGATCAGAGTTTTCTCTGCCAGCCAGCCAAAAGTTCACTTCAGGCCCAGAGACGCCAGTCCACTCGCAGTCTCCGCTCCGACACTTTCCTCTCCAGCCAGTCCTTCCACCAATTTCTCTCAGAAACATTTACATTTTTCCCGAAACTTCTCACGATAAATTCAAAGGTAAGTGGTAGCTGTAACAATTCATTACTCGATGATTAACTACTTAAATGTGGAAACATTGAAAACGGTGTCGTTCGTTTACTTTAATTTTTTTCAAATTCTCCTTTTATTTATATTTGAATCCTTCAGGTCCCAGATTAGAAATGGACATCGCGTTCCTTGATAGTTTGCTAGGATCCCTTGGCAATGGAGCAGGCTCTGGAGCAGAGCCAGAGTCTAGTGCTAGTCTGTTCGAAAGATTGGGAGCAGCTGAGGTGGAAGTTATGCTGACGGAGGAAGAAGGTAATTTGTGAATGACCTATTATACAACGAATTAATTCCTTAGATGGAGAAAAGTTGGAATTTTTTCATTTTTTAAAATTCTCATTGTATTTACATTTCATCAGGGCTTACTGTAGCCCAGCAGTTGGAAAAATATGGTTTGGAAGACATGTTAGACCCAAACGTTCAGGCCATAGTGTCTGAGGCTGAGATGATGGCTGAGATGATGCCAATGCCAGCCCCAGTGCCAGATCGAGTGACGGAGTCAGTTCCAACACCAGCTCAGCCATTTTCAACGCATGAGGTGAAAAAGAAGAGTAGGTCACAGAAAAAAAAGAGAGAGGAGGTTCCGGTCAGTGACGATGACGAGGTACAAGTGGTGGATGTAAAACCGGCGAAAAAAATGGGTCTCCCCAAGAAGGTCGTCATCCCAGGTGAATTTGTGGTGAAACGGCCACGTAAATCGAGTCCGAATACCAATGAAAATTTCGAGAACGAAGGGGAAGGCCCATTCTCGTCTGTGAAGGTGTGGAGAGGTCGTGGACCGAATATAATGGCTGAGATGTTGCCAGCCCCAGTGCCAGCTCCAGTGACGGAGTCAGTTCCAACACCAGCTCCAGAGCCATTGTCGGTGCCTGAGGTGAAAAAGAAGAGTAGACCACAGAAGAAAAAGAGAGAGGAGGTTCCGGTCAGCGACGATGACGAGGTACAAGTGGTGGATGTGATACCGGCGAAAAAAATGGGTCTCCCCAAGAAGGTCGTCATCCCAGGTGAATTTGTGAAAAGGCCACGTAAATCGAGTCAGAATACCAACGAAAATTTCGAGAACGAAGGGGAAGGCCCATCCTCGTCTGTGAAGGTGTGGAGAGGTCGTGGACCGAATAGATCTAAACCTCCACCTCAGGTTAAGTCGAGAATTCAACTCGCAAGGGAGGAAATGATGGGCTTCGATGCAGAAAACGAGGTGATCGAACCAGATGTACTTATACCAGAAGTACTTATACCAAGAGGACAAGTAGCCTCAGAAGATGTCGAAGCTCTCATGAAGATCTTCTTTCCGCCAAAAGGTTCAGAAAAGTTCCGTCGGTCAGGTAAATGGTACGCTTAGTGTAGATAGAAAATTATTAATACATGTAAATAAACAAAGAGTAGAGATGATATTACATACAGACAATTTATTAACGTCAAAAAAAATTCATATGACATAGTTTAGTTATTTTATGTTATTACATTGGAAATATCTCCATATTATTATAACCTGCATAACAGGACTAAAAATCAAGAAATGCTAAACAAATTTGCATTAGTTAATGTCATCAAAAATTCTATAAAACTAAAGATAAAATATTCTCAAGAAATAATTAGTTTGGAAAGCACAAATTCAATACTACAGCTTAATCATCAAAACATTTCCAATCAGATTACTGTTAATAATTCACCAAAAAAATACCCACCCCTGTGACGATGGTCACTATCAGAAAACTCGCATCAGAATTGTGGCATCCCGACCTCCACAAGTCACCCATTTTCCTGACTCCACTGCAATTGAATTCCTCGTACTCATTGACCAACGCTCTTACATCGTAAAACAAACCTCGGGGAGACCTGTCGACGTGATTTTTCGAATCGAATGTCTTCACCCATTTTGACGCTGGAGTAAACAATCCGTGTTCGATTACTAGAGAAATAAAGTCAATTGTCGAACAGTTCGATGCCGGATAGAGGGCTTTTGCGAAGATTCTCGCATGTTCAACCAGTTTCTGAATTTTAATAGTGTTCAGTATTTGAACAGGTATTTCGATTGCTTTAGGTTTCGGTCCCCCATTTCTGGCTATGTCAAATTCCAAGCTGTTGTTCTCCAATTTGGTACAATGGGCGAAATATGTTTGATCGGACAGCTGCAGAGAAATGGGATTAAAGCCATTTTTACGATCCGGGTCTGGAGGCCAGTAGTAGAGGATATGAGGGGCAGTGATCTCGTTGCTTACCTGAAATTAAAAAATATTAGTATTTATTTCGACATTACCAAAGACTAGTAAATTGTGCTTGTAAACTGTGTAAATTTTGTGAGATGATTGAATACAAAACTGGCACAAAGTTAAGAGACAGTAATTGGTCAAAGGGGTCTCACATCAAGTAGACTAAAGCTAACTCTCGAATATTTTGAAATACCTTTTGCTAACAAAATTTAGGCGTGAATGAATTGTCTCAATGTTTTTATCTCATAATGTTGAGTAAAGCTAAGTTTTATGCAATAGAGAAAGAAAAAAAAACAATGTAAATGTGTAACTCACAATTGGTGGGCAAACGTCAAACTCTTCCTTACATTCCTTGGAACACAAGATTGGGTCATCAAGAGGAAGAGGAGGTGCTGCTGTCGTGGTCGTGGCGCTAGCGTTATACAAAAATTTCGCCAATATCGATTCTTCTTCTTGGCTTATCATCAAGAACGAATCGTCTTCGAATTCGTCTTCTAGGCCTGGCAGGACTGGAGAAGCGAATCCCCCTCCCCCCAGAGAGAGGAAGATGAGTAAAAGTTGGGGTCGCATCTAAAAAGAAAATTAATAAGATCTGAATTTAGGAAATCAGGAAATCTTATATTCTGCAGCTCTCTCTCGGAAACGATTTCTGGGCGAGTGAGTCTGCTGAATAATTCAGCGAATGGCATGGCAAGGATTGGCGAGTTGGCGCCCGGCCAGGTTTCGTCCGTTGAGTGAACAAAGGAAAGCAAATGGCTTGATGAAAGCAGGGTCAGTTGAGATAGGAAAGCTATTCACATGCAATACAAAACATGGAACGAGGATAAAGTTAAATTAAGTTAGTTAATTTTGTATATAGCAGATTTTTAAGGAAAAATTACATTTTTAGAGGACTAGTTACCTAGAAAGTGCGAATTCAATTGCTTACCGTTTTCAAATCGCAAAATTGAGACACTAACTTGAAGATATCTGATTCACAAATTTAATTATAACTGACGAAACTCTGAAATTGCTATCACTCGCCTTTAAAATATGGTAAAGGTGTAAATTTAAGATCAAATTCTCCAGTATATAAATTTATTGCAAGATCAATTGTTAACCACTGCTCGTATTTATCAGTATCTGGTGTACGAACGATAAGGTACAGAAAATATGCTTTAGGGACTAGTTGTTTAATTAGCTGTAAGCTTGTCTGAGTAAAAGATTAGAAAGTATTCCTACATAAAATCGGTCATAAAAGTATGTCCAGCTGCAATTGATCGCTTTACTTTATGATTTTATCATGTTCACAAAGTCCACTTCTTTGTCATGAATATATAATTATGTATCTAGCTCGGTGTTTGTTATTTGTATACTTAAGCTTAGTTCAACCAACCAATTACGATATCCTACGTTCAAACTCAATCCTAAAAATTCCTACTGGAAAAGTTACTTAAAGAAACTCTGAAGAAATCAATCACTTTTGTTAACAACCAAGATTTCGTTATAATATACCATACAATGAATTGAATGCCAATAAAATGAGAATTCTGAATTTGTGCGTTCTCTATGAATTCATTTCTCAGAATTGTTATGAATGCCGTAGAATCCAATCATGTTCTGTTCTTTCAATCTTAACATGTTTTCCTCACTTGTTGAGATTTTCGATTGTAAAATAAATTACTAGTTCCTTAAAGTATTTTGGTGAAATGTAAGTTCAACTAAAGTCTAAAATCAGGGCGCATTTGTTAACAATCATAAATTATGATTCACAATTTCTACGTTATTAAAGCTCCCCCGTCCACCTCATCATGCATGGTTTGGTTATGTGTAATTATATTCCATGAAGTGAAACAATAACTTCTTGTAAGTCTGACTTATTGCCCGTCCATCCAGTCCAGTCCTGTCCGTTCATATTATCATCGTTATTATTATCACAAAAACACCAAGTAAACAGTGAGGCTAATTAAGCGTCTTCCAACTTATTCTTTCTTATACAGAGCTCGTTGTTTCCAACAAACCACGCTACATGCAAACCGATTCTCATTCTCATCACACAATAATAATAATAATGCTCCGCTGCATGAATTTTACCACTCAAGTACTGACCACGAAGGTTAAGATTATATCGTCATCAGCTTAATCCTGTGACGTGAGATCCTGGTTAGGGATCCATTTAAACCTGAATGAATGAATCACGTATTTAATCACCACCTCATCCTCAGTAACAACACAAGATTAGCAGCATCTAGACCACAAAAGTTGCCGGAATATAATATTATTACTATTTGTGTACCGTTTTCGCTATGAATAACGCGTTATTTCGATCCGTCGTCATAATAATAGCTGCGACACTATTATGTCGTTCCACCCTGGCGAAAATCACGGTACTTCCAGACGAAGAAATCGACCATGTCGACGATTCAGCTCCCCCATTTTATCAAGAGTGCAAAAAGACTTCTGACTGTCCAGCGTCTTACTGCTGTGTTTTGGGTAAATATAGTTGCACAAATTTCAAAAATACCCCATCCGAAATCCTATTTCCTAATCCTAATTCCATTCAGGAATGATGCGTTACCAGATGCCGTTCTGTTTGCCCATTGGCCGATTGGGAGATCCGTGTCACCCGTACGCGGAGAACAATTACAGGAGGAATTTCACCCTGAACTTCCCCAATTTAGAAGACGGCGTCCACATCGAGGAATCCTGGCTGTTGATGTGTCCCTGCGCCAAAGGCTTCTCCTGCTCGAAGGAGGATGCGACTTGTAGGAAAAATAAAACTGATTGATTAAGAAGTTACAAAGTATTTTTATAATAATAACCTTTGAGGTTAGACGATGCTACATTAAAAGTAATATTTATGCGGTGCTTAAACGGTGTGATGCAAGTTGAGCATGCAATTCTTGTCACTTTATGTATCAAGTTTGGGTCGTAAAGTTGGATTTTTTAGCCTTGCTTAGGCCTTGTTTAATATGTAAATGTATTCATTTCTCGTTCCTTGATATTATGAATTATGATTTCATTCATGCATATTTCCAACTTGAACAACGGAAATTTAATTTTTTGGAAATTTTGAGAAATTAATTCTTAGCCAAAAAATCGTCCAAATTTGGTCCAGATATCACTGGAAATAAGTCCTAAAATATTTTTTAAAACTAGCATTTGGCCACTCGAATTAGGAAGCCAGATTGACCAATTGCAAAATAATTGATATTAACGATATCATTTTTATGAATATGTATTAATATGAATTACGACACACATTTTCATGTAAAACCAAAATAAATCGACATATTCAATTAAATGCACTCATTTTTTTCTCTTTCATTTAGAATTCCGCGATTACTTTTTATTTATGTAAATTATTACTCTTTCAGTACTTGAATTGAATTTGTAACATTTTCTCTCTCTCTTTCGTTCTTTCTCTCTTCCATAATATTTACTTAATTAGTAGTAAAATCTATCATCATCATATTATATTTCTCAATATCTATTTGTACAACTTCGTTATATACACAGCTTAATACTTTTTACATTTATACAGGAAAGTTACATCTACAAAAAAAAATGGGGCGATAAACAATTTGTGTGAAAACAAACGATTTTTATAACGATATCGATTACGACGTGAACTCTTAAATATTTTACGCATTTCAAGTATGCATCGAGGTACTACACGTAATTAAGAATGTTTCCTGCTAATTACATATTTTAAGGTTACAACTAGTCTTCCGCTTCTACTACGGTATCCTCTTAAGAATAATACTTTCTAGGAAACACCACAACCTGATGGTACGTAAATCATGGAAAGAAAACTTTTGGTGGGTGGTTATTAATTGCGTTTGGATTAATTACAATTACTCGTTGAGGGACGAGGATTTGATAACAGTTAAATTTAATCAATCCAAATTTGGATAGTTAGCCTTATTACGTATCGTTAATTAGTAAGTAGACAGTCTTCAAGTACATAGTGTAAGTATTTCAAACTATTTCGCAAAATTTTTGCATACTTATTAGAGGAAATCGTTACTTTTTTCATACCGAAAAATTCCATGAATTTAAGTCTCATTCCAAATTTGCGTACAATAAATAATTCTCCTGACAAATTAGTAATTTAGCTGGTGGTAGGTAAGTCATAATAATTGGTGGGATATAGTAACGACCTGGCATCATAGAAGACATGCACAACGTATAAATAATGTATAAAAAAACTGTGTAAAAAATGCACCGAAATTCGTAAAAAATGTAAAACTGTAAAGAAAATACTTGGCACTTGCGAAAAGGATACTTATCAACGCATAATTATTTATGGGGTGACGCTAACATAATAAATATAAAACTATGCAAATTATATAATTATAAAAACTGTGATCACATGATTGTATCGGATGATATATTTATGTGGTGGTTAGTTAAAGGAATAAGAAATTATTATCCGTTAATTGGGGGCAGGTTGTAAATACTGATTCGCTCAAAATAATAACGTCTGTCACATCGTCATAATAATAAATAATTTTTAACAGGACTCTGGTCATAACAAAAATCGTTTTTCGGTTTTCGGAAATCTTGAAAAGTTCTCTTACGAAGATTATTAATTTACTTTTATTGGAGTCAAGTAATTAAATATATGGCGTGGGGAGAATGAGAAGCACAAACAACAGCACGGTTTTGAAGAACTACACAATTAACCGCACCACCACCTCCCTCGTCGTTAATGTCGTTGAAGAGTAGTAGTTAATATTAATTAATAATTAGAAATTGTTTTTAATAGTCTTGTCCACGTGAAATATCAGCGTGGTTCAACTGATATCATACGACGCTCTCCTCTTCTAAACTTTTTGATATCTTTTTATTCCCCCCGTGATGGTTTCCCGATTTGACGCCACCACCACCACCATTAGTCACAGAATTGCTATTGCTAATATTGTTATGATTATTGGCCACGTCTTGTTGGTGTTGCTGCTGCTGCTGGTGGTGGTCATTGTTGCATTGTTGTTGGCCGGCGATAATTAGACTGTTGTTGGCACTACTGGGGAATCCGGGTGGGAGAAGGATGCCTCCATTGCTACTGGCCGCGTACCCATACGGGCTTCCCATGGGATCCTGCTTCCCGTGACTACTTGGGGGTTGGGAGGATGCGGTCCGTTTTTCTAACCAGATTGCGTACTCGGCCTGTGCCAAGAGTCGCTCAACGTGTTCCAACTGTTCTTTGTGAGACAGGAGCCTTTGCAAACCGGCAGAATGAGAGTTGCTATCTAGTGACTCAGTTCGGGAGAGGATGTGCTCCGTCTGGTTGAGGAGGTGTTCCACACGACCGACAATGTTGCCTTGTTGTTGCTGTTGCTGCTGCTGTTGTTGGTTTGGGGTCGAGTGGGGGATCCCGGGATGCATGCCGGACGAGGGGGTGGATGCGGGTGAAGTGGGAGTTCTGTCGTAGAGGGGAGTGTGGCCCGGAGTCCGGTGCTTTTGGAGGGGGAGGAGTGGTAATCGGCGAACGTCTTCGACAGAGCTACGTTGCTTATATTCTCTGCAAGAGGGAGGAAAAATTATGAGTGAGCTTAATTGCATGTACGGATGGATGAAATAAAAAGTAAATTGGAGGAGAGGTTTTGTGGCTTACCTAGAGTACACGTTGTCAGAAACGTCCATACGACCAGATTTGGAATGAATGTCAGACACAATGCCGGACTGCGAGGAGGACAAAATGGGAACATTATTTTCAAAACTCTATAGCCTGCCTCCTCATTATCACTCATTAATGACAACTACTCACATCAGGCGTCACATCGTGACTCGACTCACTCGAACAGTACGGCGGTGGGTTTCCCATACCGGGAATGTGGGAATTATTATTACTATTGTTACTATTATTATTCGCATTTGCGAGTTGAAGGACAAAATTCCTTCCGGGATGCGGAGGTCCGTTTGGGTTTGGGAGAGGACACTGTGGCGGAGGTCCTACCCCTGCCGCGGCGTAACGGATCCTCTCAATCGTCCTGGCGAGATCGGTTCGCCCAGGAGTCATGCTCATATTGCCTCCACCTCCGTTGTGATGGTGGTTATGGTGCATACTGTGTGGATGGAAGTTGAAGTGGCCTCCTCTTCCTGTTTGATTTCCACTCAAGTTGGGGATTGATCCGATTTGATCTAATGGAGGGCATACGGATTCTGAGAAATAGAATGGAATGGAGTTATGCTTTATTTACTCAAAAACGAAAAGTGAGCAAATATTGAGAGAGATAAAATGATGGTGAAAACAGCCTATTTTCGTACCTATGGTATGAGCCAGATTATTTCCACGCGGCCGCGATGCGTCATAAATAGAGTCGATGGTTTTCGTCAGATCTCTAGAAATTGAGTAAATATAATCCCTCGGGGCGGATAGGAGAACGCGATCCGACCCGGAGTGATTTGACCCCGTGGATGAGCCCGCATTTGGAAACGGGGCAATTTTTACACTTTCCAGACTGGCATAAATATTATTCGAGTCATCCTTCGAGCCCGGATGGTTGGAGCCTGTACAGAGAAGGGGGTTTTCGTGCTGATGCGTATGGCTGACCTCGCGGGAGACGGGCTTCCCGAAAACTACTTTGGTCACTAATAGACTCGCTGGGGCGGGTTCGGGGAGCTTCAACCCGGGTGGAAATCCATCAACTGGCGTGCCAGGGAGGGAGTGAGAAGGGCCGTTATTCCCCAAACGGAGAGGTAAACCCCGACCCACGCTCGACCGGTATTCCCCCAGTCTCTCACCTGTGTGCATTAAAAATGAGTTTGAGTTTTCAACCGAAAGGAAAAAATGTACAACTGGAAAAAGCATCCTTCTTTCTCAGTCAGCAAAACAGACGCCACAAGTTTTCTTACTTACCCGGCAGTGTTCTCTCCCCAAATGTCTTTCCTCTCAAGGAAGATCGACTCTCTGTCGGGCCTAACATCATTACATCGGCTCTCGCATTCGAACTGCAAAATTGAGGCGGACAATAAATCAAAATCACTCAACCAACGAGATGAAGTATATGGCAAGAAAAGCCAGGCCAAAGCCCAGTACCACCGCCGCCACGACGACGATGTCGACTACTACTTGTATATCGATGACATGTTGTGTATGCAAATATTTATGGCGTGTTCGTACCTGTACATGGGGATACATCTCTGAACAGCAGTGTTGGATGAGACCATGGTGGGATAAATATCTCTGCAGAGCGAATTTCTTAATTAGCCATGGTAAGAATTTATCAGAAGGGCAAAAAGAAACAGTGGTGCTGGTGACTTACCCATTGATCAATCCCACATTCGTTTTGTTTATTGACACTCGAGTTAATCTACTGCAAACAGACATGACAAATACAAATGAGAAAACGTCAGTGGGAAATGTGCACGGCGTGGAATCATTTTGAGATGAGAAAAGTCTGAGCAGTGAGTTCACTTACCTAATGAATCGAACATCAACGGAAAAAATAGTTACAACAAGGAGTAAAATGACTATGGCGAACTCGAGCATTCGAACACACAAACTTAGGACCCAGCCAGTCCATGTGGAGGATTTTTCACACTCGCCTCGACTCTGGAATGAATACAACGTCAAAAATCAATGTAGCAAATCCTTTCCCACTTTTCCTTCACGTTATTAAATTAATGATCGTCTCCTCACCATCGAAACGGAGATAATTATCATTACTGAAAGCGTCAAGGCTAGCAAAGCTGCCCCGAACATGGCTCTAGCCTGGAGACAGCCCCACTTGACGACGAAACCTCGCTTATTACTATTCTTCAGGGTGGACATGTTACATGACCCGTTCGTCATTACGTTCCCATTCCCCCCAACGCTCCCACCCCCACCACCACCACCTCCACCTTGCATCATCCCGTTCTGTCCCCCCATACCCATCCCACTGCCACACCCACCGCCGACAACTCCACCCAACCCATTCATCCCGTTCCCCATCATCATCCCAGAACTCCCCCGCTCACTCGACAGCTTGGAGTAGAAGGGTTTAAACTTGAAGAGATAGATGAGCGAGACGAGGACCAACATCATGTGGGCCGCGATCCAGGCGCCTTGCGTGAGTGGGGCGTGACTCGCGGGGTAGAAATATGCCCCCACCGCGAGGCCGAGGGGGAGGAGGACCGTTCCCAAGGAAATGATGAGAATAACGTATGCCGGGATGGTGTTGTATGACTTGATAAATGGGAATGGGAAGCGGGCGAGATGGAGCGCTACGAGGAACGCGACGACGAAAAAGGTGGCGGGCAAGACGGACAGGATCGGGAGCCAGGTCGGTCTTGACTCCGAGACTGGCGAGCAGAACCAGCCGGCGAGGAGGATCGAAGCTCTGGACGCGGACGCCGTGAAGAGGAACAATAGGATTACGGAGAATGGGGCAAAATCTGTCAAACAAGTCAAAGCCATTGATTAGACGTGTCCATTTTCATCAGAACAGAAGGTGACTCGAGGGAAGAGGAGAAAGCAGCGGAGAAAGCAAAACTCTTACCTCTGAGACTGAAGTGGAGTGAGTGCAAAACCACCAAGGAGAAGATGAGACAGAGCACACTCGTGATGGAAAAGAGGATCCCCATCAATTTGCACTGATGATTCCACGCTCCGCAAAGTGCATCACAAACAATGTACTTTGGACCTGCGATAATCATACGAGGGGAAAAAAGATCACTTTTAAAGGATATGTTCACTCGCAAACCATTCCCACAAATGAAGTAATTTACTAAATTTTTACCATTTCCGTCCCGATTGCTATTATCTCCGCCGTCGAGTCCATCACTCCCCTTCCACGTGCCACGCTTCCCTTGCACCTCCGCCCCCATGAAGCCCCCTTTCGATGAGGCGTCTTCACCTAGTCCACCCCCACCCACACCGCCGGCAGAGTCCTCATCGTCGTACGAGTAAGGATTCGACTCTCCTCCGCGGTCACCACTGCTGTGGTCCAAGTGGTTGTTCCCGTTGTTACTGGGCGAGTTGAGATTTGGGTTCATGTACCGTTCGTCACGGTCGTCTCCACCCCCACCACCGCCCCCGCCGCCGCCGAAATTGTCTTCTTGCCTCCCGTTGTCGTCTACAACCACGGTGCTTCTTGACGTGGCAAGGTTGCTGGGATTGGGAAGGACGTGTTTCGGAATGGCAATGTTGTTGGTGAGTTGGTCCATGTTGTACATGGTTGGGGAACGATTGGAGGAGGCAGGCGAGGGGACGAATACTGCTGGATTGTTGGAATTACCACTACTGCTACTACTGCCACCACCGGGATGTGGATTTGAGGGCGAGGAGGGTTGCTTGTTGGAGGGATTAAAGGAATTAGTATGGCTGCGGGTGCCAGGGTCCACGGTGTAGTTTACTTCCGGTATAAGATCTGAGAAAAGAAGAAAAACAAAATTAAGACTGGGACCGGAGGAAATGAAGGCGTACATGGTTTCAGCCTGCACGACTATGCAACAAACGGCTAGCGGCCTGGTCGTATATCTGGCCAGATTTGGATCCGTCCGAGAAAGGAGCAGGGTCCAAGTCGAGAAGAAGGAAAAGAAGAGTCGGTTCAGTTCAGTCGTCGTCCCAGGAACTATAAATTCTGGACGAAACTCATTTCCTTTCAAGAAAGAAGAGAGGAGACTCATCGTCCTCTGAAAACATGATGATTTCTACTCCACCCGAGTCAAAAGTCTCTGTCGAAGTCTTGTTATTATGCTAAGTACTAGTCCGGGGAGGAAAAAGTAGTCGAATTCCTATCATCGTCATCATCTCAGCAGAGCTACGACGACGACGAACAACTACTCATTCTCACTCCTCGTTTTTTCCCTCTTTCATTTCGTGTCGTGAAGCAATCACGTGAACGCATAGTATTCATTACATTATTATTACGGCGAGAAGAAGGGAGGCCATTTATTCTTACCATGCAAATCAGGCAAGGTCGGCTCCCATTGTGGAATCCGTCCCGAACTTCCTGCCAAAATGCGAGTGACGGCCGGATTGGAGAGGATGGGATTGAAGTCGAATGCCTCCCCTGGTGCGGCCGGAGTGATGCCGAGAAGTGGGTGAGCATCCGAATCACTGCCTGCGCCCCCGTCCGACCGCACTTTGGAAAATACTGCGTTCACATCCTTCGCCAAGGGTTGTTTTGGAGGTTGACCTTTCCCCCCGGTCCCAACATTGCTGCTCCCACTGGTAAATAATTCGCCTCCTTTGCTCTCATCGTCACCACCTAATCGGCCGGGACGACTGCTGCTTGGGTCATTGCTTCTCGGCGGAGGGACGGATCCCTTATTGCCACCTTTGCCGTTGGGTAGGACGACGCCCGTCGTGGGGAAGACGACCCGTGGCGGTTGGGTTGAGAAATGTGGCGGGCCATGGATCAGGGGAGGTGGCGGCGGCCTTCGTCCAAAGGCCTCTCCACCCCGCGACATCCGGAGAAAGCCTTCATCTACAAACAAGACGCAAACACTTGCTTAGATTAAATCCACTTCATTACAAACTTCTGACACAGGGTGCAACAACAAAGAGCATTATAATAAGTGAGTGAGTGAGTGAGTGAGTGAGTGGGGAAGCCCATCTTAGAGCCAACTTTGAGTGGAGGAACGAAGAAACGAAATGGAGCTCCTCTTGGGAGGAGACGAGAGTAGTTAATGGAATGAATAATGCTTTGTTGAAACACACTGTCAAATTGAGTAACATGAACAACAGGCATTTCACTCCGTCTTGAAAACCCACTCGGCTCCTCTGACGTATGCGAGTTTAAATAATAATTTTTACGAGTGGTTCTCTGACTGGGACAGATTATAAAATCTGAACATGCCTGATATTCCGAAGACTTCTTCTTCTGCATGTTGAGAGCCACGGGCCACGAGAGAGGGTTCGTTAGACGAGTTGCGACACAGGATGCCATGTAAGGACGTCGACTGAGTGCGGGTTGAACAGGTTGCAGGGAGAGAAAGTTGGAGAAAGTCGAGAAAATTTAGCTCCGCCAGCCAGCCAATCACCACCACCACCCGCACTCAATCTCTTGAATGGATAATGCTGAGTTGAAGCACTTTTTATGTCATGATTTATCCACGTGATGCAATAGAGGAGGATGGGATGCGATTCGGATTGCGATTTTACTACTTGGTGTAACAGCCATCCAATTTTTTATCGATCAAGATGTATGTACGAGTAAAAAAAACAGGAAGGTAGTCGTAAGTACATACTCGAAAAGTTGGGCCACAAAAATAAGCGTTCCCAGTTGGCTGATCATTTTATATCGGAATCATCATCAGATCAAAACCCACCCAGTCCGGCCAAATCCATCCCATGCGATACATCATCCACACAAAGTTGCGAGGCTGACAAAGTATGAAGAATTCCCTTTATTGAGGAGGCAAAAGGAGAAACGCTAAATGAAACATGGTGCAATTTTTCTTCAAAATCAACTTTCCCGTGTCTCCTCTCTAAATTCCTGGAAGGATAATCATGACGAAAAATGGCAAGCTTTTTTCTCTCCCTTTTTCTCCGTCTGCCTTTGGGACATGGAATCAAAAAAGGTGGATGGATGGAGCAACTTCCACCTGCCAACCAACTTTTTTTTCCATGTTGAACCAACCACCCAACCCACACACTAACAACTGCAGTAGTCTCTCTCTCTCTCTCCGTATCCTCGAGTCATTTCGGCATCATTGTTCATATGGCTTCCGGTAATCAAAATCTGATACAATCACAACAAATAGAAAAACAACAGCTGGGTCCGGATTCCTTGCCTCCCAGCCATTCTGGAGAAAGAGAGAGAGAGAAAGCAAGTTAGCGTCTATCTGCAGATCTGGAATGTAGAGATCTATCTCTGCGAGATCCATCTAGAACGAGAACGACGACGACGATGACATCCATCACCAAGCAGACCGCACCACCCTGCACCCAGCACTTTAAGGAGTAGGAGAAAGTAGAGACTGTTTCCTTCCCTCGTGGCCCTCAACTGCTGACGAGGATGGAGACGACCAAGTAAGACGTGGATTGAAAATTGTGGGCGAGATGGGATGATGACGACGAGGAGGAGGACGACTCGCTGAAAACCAGGTGGAATGAAAGACCAGTCGAGTTGCCGTCGAGGAATACAAAGTTTTCAGCGAGTACAATAAAATGATATGTAACTCGCGTCCTCCTCCTCCTCTCCATTTATCACTTTTATGGATTTGAGATGAAAAATCTATTCCGTGTCCTATTCCTTCAGCAGCAGCAGCAACCAGTCGAGTTCTCATTCATACAATAAAATATCTGCCCCGTTGGTCGGTCGAGGTCCCTGGGTGAGATACATACCACCACCACCAGCACCACCAGCAACAGCAGTGTCAACTCTGAATTTTTGGCGTCGGATTTTATACCTTAAGTTATATGTCTGTACTGGCTGTGCCCCTGCGGTGTCACATTTTCCCCGAAAAGTGAATTCCTCATTTTTTACTTTCTCATGTCCACGAAAAGTATACATTTTCCAGCCATTGTTTTTTCCCCACTGGCTCAAATTCACATCTGATTAACAACAAGGCTGTGCAAATGTGTGCGCATATTTTTCCATAATAATTACACATGACACGACCAAACTACCACCACCGCCAGAAGAAACGCAACCATGTCAAGTGGGTGGATTTGGATTGGGCCTTCGTGCCAGGACAGGTTTTACTTTTCCTCCTCTTTTTTATATATTTTTCTTCTCGATTCGAAACTGAAGTGAAAATATGGGACATAAAATAACATATTCCGAGTCGTTTAAAAATCAGATTTAAAATTTTTTATCCCCGGCGTCATAAACCATTTCATTGTTTTTGTACCTCTTCTGGTACTTTATGCAGGAATAAAAATAAAGTGTTGCTCCATTGTTGTGGGATAACAATGGATTTTTCCTCGAGAGAGGTTTATGTCTTTTTGAGCTGGGATCACATCACCGCCACCACCGCCACCACGGCTGGCAAACGAGATGATGTCGTCGGTGTGGTGGCATCCTGAACGATACTCGGAGTGAGTAGATGTTGATGCTCCATTTCGAAACGCACTGATGGCGAATCATTATAAAAGTTTGCATTTTATTTTATTTCACTCCGTCAAAGTGGTTACGTTTGCTTTTTAGTGTGTTCTGCCTGGCTGCTGGTGCTGGTTCGTGGTTCGTTCGTGGTGGTGGTTGTTGATTGAAGATATGCTTTGCTCTCTCTTGAAGTGGATCGTGAATCGAGTCTGGAGCAGAGTCAGGAAGCGAATGATTTTGATTTAAATTGCAATCAAGTTGAAGCTTTTCCTAAATATGGAGAGGGAATTGCTCACTGGGCCAAGGATTGAATGGTACGAGAAGGATGGCATCATGTTAGTATTCCGCTTCCACATGTTCTCCATTTCCTCGACAATTCTATCACTCACTCCAACATCCAACTAAACTTCCACCCTGCTGCTTCATCCTTTGACAGGACACTTATTCACACAAAATAATGTCATCTCTCGGCCAGATCTGGTGTGTCGATTTCCAGCCTACTTTGTCTCCTTCAACAACGCCATCCTCCTCCTCCTGACCAGACTGCTGCGCTGCTGATGGTGGTTCAACCATCCCTTATAAATTCCATTTTTCCGATTCATTACTTTTGTCACCCGGCTCCACATCGCATAAATTTATAAAAGTTGTGACTCCACAGTCGTCGAGCGGGGTGGTGGTGCTGGTGGTGCGTATGTGTCCTTGATTGTTGGCACGGCCACAATACGGGTACTAAATCAGGTATCTGTCTGTTGTTACTCCACTCCCAGATGAGTCCTTTAGCGTTCCCTGGCGTCCTCATAACTCTTCTTGACCCCAGAGCAGCGGAGGGGTAGCAGATTACCCTCGCCCATTCATTCCTCCAGTGCAATGAGATTCCCATTACGAGACGTATCATCAAACAATCTTCGGATGCAGTTTAACCATTTCGTACCGAGCGATTGAGCCATTCACTTTCTTTCTTGGGTCCCACTCTCTCCCCTGACTTTCCATTCTACGTTGTTCATACGGCTACTTTTCCTTACTTTTGAGAAGAATGGCCAGGCCCGTAAGTGCACCCTCCAGCCGAGGCATAATTGTGTCCAGCGCGCTATCTCCACTTTATACATCTCCTCCCCGTTATATATGGGCCTCATTCCGGAGATAATATGGTCGTTGGGAGGGAGAGAGACATTGTCCAACAGTTAATGCGCTCACCCTCCCTCCTTCCGTGTAAACTTATACTCCTTAATATGTGCAATCAATTATGGAACACTTGACCCAAAAGACTGCATTTCTGGGATGTACGGACGTACGTAAAGCTCTGCTTCTCCACCACAACGAGAAGAGAGAGACTGCATTCCTCCCCTAACCAAAAGTACGATCCAACAACCCGGTCTCCTCGACATCATTATGATGATGCACTCTCCAGGAGTTGTTCAACCCGTTGTTGGTTGGGCCAGAATATTGCTTTTATTTCGAAACGACCCTTCTTCTGAGGAAGATTGTTGTACGTGAAGAAATATAGTTCCTGAAGGTTGCGAGTGCATTACTGGGTGGGTCGTCTGGCTGGTGAGTGAGTTAGTGAAAGCGAGGAGAGGAGCAGCAGGGGAGAAGAATTAGACAAGAGAACGCTCCAGTCGTCTTAAAGAATGTTCCAACTTCCATTAAGAAACAGGGTGGCGGAGTGTATTGGATGTTATGAAATCCTCCTGCCTGCCTGCACCCAGCTGTCAATACGGTTTCATGGAAGGGATCAGAAATTGGAGAGGAGAAGAGCGAGAGAGAGGAAAAGTCAGACCCTGGCAGACGGAGGAGGGATGACGAAAACCATTACAGTCTCCTCCAGGGCCCTATTTCAAAAAGCTCTGTGTTGTTGGAGTATCCAAGGGTTTCGTATTATTAAGATTGGAGATTGGTTTGGTGGTGGGTGATCACTGGACTATAACGAGCGAGGAGAACTCGTACGTAGCAGGAGCAAGTTAAGAGTAATCTCGAAGTACAACATTATTCGGGTCCAAGTTGGCACGACGCCTTCATTTCTCGCATACTTGACATCACTCTCAATCTTCATATCTCACTGCGATGCATGCTCTCTCGTGAGGGCACATTTGCATTAATTTACTTGCTCCTCATTCCACGTCTCGTGTAGCCCAATTGTACAGCCCAGTTAAATTAGGGCTGGGCAGGAAAGCGTGAAGAAATAAAACATGGAGAAAATCAAATTTGGCACTTTCAAGTGGTTTGCTAGGTAAATGGTCTCTCTTACATGTTTCCCTAAAGAGACATAAACAGGCCGGAATAATTTCATTCTCTCCTCTCCACCAACCAACCAACCTACGAGCCTACTGCAGCGGAATTTATACGTACATACACAGTAGCTGCAAAGTGAATGTAAATATATCTCAATAATCTCCACCACCACGAGGAGGACAAATGGTGTGACATCCTTCTTCTCGCGTCTTCTTGACGTGACACCACCGACACGTCGCCATCCCATCCTCCTCCAAGAAGAAGATGCTACAACTCTCACCAACCTGCCACCACTCACTCACTCCTTTTCCTCCCCACTTATCCTCGAGGATAAGCTTATCGAGAGCGGGGACACTTTTGGGCTCCCTGATTGACAAGTGATAATGGATGGATGGTAGGGAAACTCACCTTTGAAGAGATCTTCGACATCTGCCACGGGTGGGCTGGATTCGCCCGCGACGACGGGCTCAAGGAGGACGAGGGCGAGGAGGAGGAGAGACGTCGAGAGCCATGGCCGCCCTTTCGAATGATAATTACGGAGAGGCCAATCCATCCCAGGCTCCTTTTCTAACAGGTCTTCGTCGTCCAGGAGAAGATTGAGTCAGTCTTCTGTAAAGAAAAAGATAAACTCAATTAGTTTCCGGATTCTTCTTCATTACCCGCCTCACTCACTGCGAGGTCCGCTAAAGCAACAAAGAATAACGCTTCACCAGCACCACCAGCCCTTCGATATGTGTGTCGTCGTCGTGAGGTGATCTATTATCGGCCGTCGACTCGAGACGGGCTGGATCCCTATCGCGCTCTTCGAGAGAGAACACAAACACACAAAGAGCTCCATGTAAGCTTAACGGATTGCAGAAATCATTGCACAAACGGGCAAAAGGAAAACTATTATTCCTTCCCAAAGCTCCATCCTTCGTCTCTGTCATTCCAGAGAGAAAGCAACAGAGTTTCACTCTCATTGTTCCTGTTTATTTGCCTCCTGCTTTCTCCAACTCTTATGTATGTATAACTATCTGTGTGTTTACGTAATCAGTGAGGAGGCTAAAACTATGAGTGCAATTTCAGCTTCGACATCCTCGCATGATCAGATGCTCCATTCACACCATTACTCCCACCACCAGGACCATTGTGCGAGACAAAGGAAAACAATGATGGGAGGAAATCCGAGAAAACACATTTGATCCTTTTTGTTCCCAAAAGTTGGCCTGTTTTCCAACCACGCTTTCAGCCCGTCATCATCATCATAACCTCAAGATTTCCAGATTTCGCGTTTCACATTTGCATTGTCATGCATACCTAAAGGGGCTCAAATGAACCACGACCACCAGCAGAATCAGGCTTTATTGTCGCATCACAAACAAACAGAGACAATGCCTACACGAGGACAGTGACACAATCGAGTCTCTTCTGTGTTGATTGGTGTGAGAGGAAAAGTGCTCTCTTGGTTTCTGGTCGGGTCCTAATAAGGGACACGAATCATCCGACTGCGGATTGTCCTCCTCTCCTCGCTTGACAGTTGTTTGGTTTGATCTCGTCGTCGTCGTCGTGGTACGAAACCAACCACCAACTCTGCCATACCACCAAACTGACTACCACCACGACGGTCTTTGTCTCCTATATTGCGACGAGGACGAGAGGAGGACGAAAAAGGGGAGGCTGTGAAGTGCCGTCCAACAAAACTCATCCTCTTCACTCTTGTGAATAATTAAAACCTGTGGGACATGCAAATAGGAAATGGGAATTGCACACTCGACAGCCACTAAACTTCTACATGTCTCTCTCTCTCTCTTATTTGGAGGAGGGGGAGGACGACGAAATTGGATAAAGCGGCTCATCCCCAAAACACATCATCTCCTACTTTCTCCTCATCCTTGGTCGTCGTCACATTCCGGCGACACAATCTCACTCGCAAGATTTTCATAATGTCAATAACTTTAGTGCTAAAACGGCCATAGAGCAGATTCAATGGGCCCCTTATCCTGCCTTGTCTGGGTCACACACAGCACGCAGTAATCATAACCCAAAGAGAGAAAAGGGCTCATTTCATGCATTTCCATTCAGATAAGCAGACCTCACTCACTCTGCATAGAAGAATCTCAAAACTACGACTGCGTTATTACGAGTATAAAAAAAACTTTATTTCCTCCTTCAACAAGCAGTCCGGCCTGCGTTTCTTTCACTAAAAGCAAGAATCACGTAACAACTTTCCTCCTTTTATTCGACTGAATTACACGTCGGTCCGACAAGATTGGAGTGAAAAGAGGATATGACACAACAAAACAATGCAACTTTCACTCCGCCTCGAATACAATGCACTCTTCATTGGTCGTCGTGGTGGTGGTGGTCGTCGTCGTAGTTCTGACACAAGGACAAGATTTCTTCCTCCTTTGTGTGATGAGAGACTATCATCAACAACCAACGCCTCGTAGCTCACAGTTGTCGCCTTGTGTGTCACACACAACACCTCGCACACCACCACGAAGAACGGTACGTTATTGTCTCGACGAGGACACCGAGTAATGTCTCATTCTCACTTTTTAACCCCATTTCCATTCCTCCGTCCATCCAACCCTGCTGCAGTTTTATGTAGTTTACATACAAGGCATCCTTTTCCCGTCTCTCTCTCCTAAAACAGTTGACAAGCAAGATTGAAGATGCGACACGACTGACAACAATAAATAAGTGAGGCCACACAAATAAGAAAAGGAGTGAGGACAGAAGAGCCCATAACATAACACAACACGACACAACACACTGGAGGAAGAGAAGAGAAGAAGGAGAGAGATGTCTGCATTCATGTCTCAACTTTTTGACACAGATTCTTCTCACCGATAAAATTTCACTGCTTGTTTTGTTCCCTTTTTATACGAGACAGAATGGGATAGAATCTCAATCCTTGAGAGGAGCACCAACTGGCCATGATTCTGCTGCTGCCATGCATGCTCAATGTTCAACTATTTCCTACTTTGTCTCACATTTCCACACTTTCCAACTTTTTGAGAATGCACTTCTTCTCCTCGGGAGTGATGCGATCTCTAAAATCTACCCGTTTGCAGGCCTGCGACTGGTGGATGCAGCTACCGGACAAGAATAATTATGAGTCAAAGTTCGAATTCTGCCGGAAAAGTTGACCCTCCTCTGGTCAAGTATTCTGTACAGGGAGGCGGAAAACTAGGTGATGTCCTAAATACTGATAAAATCATCTCAACTCACTCTTCCTCCTCCTGAAATCTTAAATGGTAACGTTCCGACTTTTGCAATCCATTCATCCATCCATCCATGCCATCAACATGTATGTCGTCGTACCAGGAGCACTTGCCACATTCACAATCTTTCCGTCTGCCTCGCATTCTTGGTATAAAAGTGTGCTCAAACCACTTCACTTTTACACTTGTGCCAGAGCAATAAGATAAGTCGTTCCGGACAAAGGAGGAGGAAGAAGAAGAAAGCAAAGAATTTTTCCTCCTGGATGGTGACTCTTCTTCTCCAAAGACAAAAGAACAAGGAACTCTGCTGACTCTTTACATTCTACATTCTTCAGAGAGAGAGAAAGAGATATTGCTACTGGGGGAGAAAGTGGGGAGAAACCAGTGAGGTGAAATTTTACCGTTTAGCCCACAAAATATAAAAAATCAAGTATTCATTCATACCTACCGAGTCCAGGGTTCATAAAATACGGGACAACTTTTATTTTATTTATTTATGCAGTGTTTTCCTGTACGAGGCAAAATATCCACCTTTGTACATGCATGCATCCAACTGTAAATTTGGGTGCGCACAGAATATACAAAATTAAGACACGCCCGAGATTGACGTGACTTGACTTTCCGCCTTAGGTCAGATTTGTATGTACCTAAATTGAATTTTTTTCTTTCTACTCTGAATTTTTTTAACTCGTGTCCCAGTTTCTTGAAAATTGTGCCGAGAAAAAAAGAATCTCCTACCGTTTAGAAACCCTGCTGCATACCACCCACCTACATTTTCTGGTATCATTTACCCCCAAAATGTCACCATCATCAACAACTTTCTCTCTCCATATAGTCGCTTTTACCCACCCACACATAATAATAATCACACCAAACCTCACTCATCCTCACTCACTCACTCACTCACACCTCACAAAAGTTAAGTTAAGTGGAAACGAGGACGACGACGACAATAAGCACTACTTCTCATACGGAAAGTGGTGGTGTGCTCCTTTTAAAAGATTTTTTTATCACGTTTCATCCTCCTCTTCTCGAGCACAACGAGTTTTTTTTGTTTTTACTTTCCCCTTTCCTCATGTAGAGAAAGCAAGTTTGGATGGTGGAGAGGAAAACGTTATCTTATTTCTTTATGTAGTTCTACGACGTCCATCCATAACTTTAACTTGATTCTTGTCCCCTTTTTTACATATTTCTTACCGGATTACGTACAGATCTCTCTCTCTCTCTGGGAAAAAAATGTGTGTATGTGTATCTATCCGAGTAAGTAAGTAATGTAGTCGCGATATCTCATCGCATCCAATTCTGAAATATTGCAGAGAGAGCGAGCGAGGCAGAGAGCGAGGAGTCAAGGATATGTATCTACATGCCCGTCGTCCATCCCGGTCCGCGACACATTTTCGACGACTTAGGACATCACATGGTATTTTACTTTAACATCTCTCTCTCCTGCTCGTAAAGTGATAGGCATAAAAAAGCTTAAATGCATTCGTATCAGGGGGTAAAGTGCTCAGAACTTTGCATTTACTATTTCACGTTCAACTTCTTAATTTGACTTTATTGACTGAGGGCTCAGAAAGTAAAGTAAGTAAGTACTTTGGGGAGAGGGTGCTGCCTGATGCGTTATGCATGCAACATTACGTTCTTTTTTATACGGGAAACTTCTCCTCCTTACACTTACACTTTAGTCATCTCGGGCCGTTTTGACATTTAATAACGCGACGAGTCACCACGAGGCGGGCTATTATGTCATCTCGGGTGCGTATGTCTCTCTGTCTTTCTCGTAATTTCACTCGCCCCTGATTTTTTAACCCGTTTAGTAAAATGGGCAACAAAGAACTTAGTGAATCTCGGCTCCACACACATCTCGCATTCTGTGTCATCATCTCCTAAGTGGTTTTCTCCTCGAGGAAAGAGAAACAAAGTGTTTCTGAGCTGGTGTGAGTGAGCCTTCGCCGCTTTTCAAAATTCTGCAGATCCGGCTGCAGCATAAGCCAACATGAAGAAATGAATGAGCATGTGTCCGCCCGTCTATCTCGGCTACCTTAACTTACTTATGTTACGTAATGATAAATAAACCCTCCCAGAACTCCCCCCAGACTGACTGGCTGACTGACGGAGAGACGTGGTGCATGGTGTGGACTTATTTGACTGTGTCGGTTAATAAGCAGGGAGAGAGGCAGGGACCGCAAGATTTCGTATCATCTCACATGCATACATATGTACACACCTCGTAACTGGGACGAGATCGATTCGTCCGGGAATTAGAGGCCGAAAGTGACGGAATGTTTGAGATGGAAATTCTAAAATTCATTTTTCAACCCACATCTCGCAGGAATACCTTCTTCTTCATGAAAACTCGTATCACATTGCATACTAATTCTGTTTTCGTCTCTCTCTCTC